AATAAGCGAATGGATCTGGTCCTCAAGGAGAGTAATGGTGCTGGAGCACTTACGATGCATGATATCACTGTTCATTCATCAATCGCCTTGGTCCCTCATATACAACAAGTTACCAAGGATTGGCAGAAGAAGAGTGGTAGTGAGTTAATTCGAGTTGGTTTGAACCATCAGGCCCACAAGAAGGTCCTCAAGTATCGCAACCATGTTCCAGTTACGTTTGTGCCAATTGTGCTTGGTGCGGGGGGTGCCATGAGCACTCTCACCACGGAGCACTTCAAGCAATGGCGCAGGATTACCCCCAACTGGGACCACCTACAGAGGCTTATTTCGTTTGCACTCGTAAGGAAAAGAGTGACAAACTTCCGCTTGATTTAGGCGAACATTAAGATGTCTTATTTTTAAAATTTTCACTTTTTAGTAACGATCTTTTGATAGTATTTTGTAACCTAAAACCTAACCAACCAATCCATAACCATAACCTAACCATCTGAAAAGTGAATCAAAGCGGTGTCTATTCTCGTAATTTGGGGATGGCTCGAAGTATTTTGCTTCTGCCGTATCAAAGACGCTCGGCTGCGTTGCAATGTTATTTGAGTCTGTTTTATATTTTTTCCGTTGAAATAGCGACAATACACCACTTCTCTGTACAGATCACTTGAAAGTGGAGGATTTTCCTCCACTTTATCATCTAAACTCTTATTATCCGTATCTGATTCTGGGTCATAGACCATAGTGTGGGTCACACTATCCCGAACAAGGTTATTTGTCATTAGGGCGGTAACCCTTCTGCCCTGGCTGTTATATATTTTGTGTCACGTCATTCCGTCGAGACTTGCCCAAATCACTCGAGTTAGTGATATTATGACGAATTGTTGACGTAATAGTATTAAAAAAATAAGTCAAACGCAGGAAAATTAAGACTACGCAATTTCAGTTTGAGAAAGAGTGGTATATATGCCCAATCTATTCCATAGCTCAGACTAACCCCATAGACCCTTACTTCCTAATATAAACTAGATTACAATATTTTTGTAGATAGTACTTGATATAGCATTTTAAGCCTTCTACTTAGTCAGTTTCATTGAAGATAGGCCAGTTTCGGTAGACCATTTAATTGGTTTCATCTTTTCTGTGAATTTCAAGCACATTAGTGAGAATCTTAAATCATATCTGGTACAATAGCGTAGCTTCTTAGTAAATTGTGTTTCTACCAGTTTCCACTCTTACCTACGGATTTACCTACAATGAAACCTCCAGTAAGGTGCGAAACTCTATCGACGCCATAACGCTTCTTAATGTCGGCAATTTTGTCTATATTGTCGCCGTAAATACGCTCATGAGGAACATCAGCGTTGGCGTAATTATTATATATGATAGCATGGGATATGTTTTGACCTAGAGCATCAGCATTAAAGGTGATGGCATCCGAAAACTTTTTTGTCAGGTCGTAGAAGTAACTATCTTCCTTCTCGTCAGTCCAGGTTGGAATAAAGTTGGCTGGGGAGAGATATCCATCAGCTGGGTGAGGGAAAGCAGAAGGACCGTATGTATCATGTGAATTAATGTTCTTCAAGAACGGTTCAACGGCCACAACGAGAGATGCCAACGAGTGAGATTCAGCTTCTTTACCCAGTGTTTCAGTGTAATTAGCAATAGATTCTAATAGCACAACGGGATATTCTTTGAGAGAAATTCCGCGGTAATATCCTCTGACTCCATCGGTGGCAGATCCATTGACTGACAATACGAGATCAGTGTATGAGCGGCTAAATACACTTGACTTGGCGCTCGGAATTGCTAATATTTCGTCAAATACTCCTTTTGGCGGTGTTGGACCATCATAGAAGAGAAGAAGTTCAGCAAATAGTCCCTGGCCAGGAGCGTATCCATATGTAACGCCTATTGACGATTTTGGATCATTTTTGTTCTTGTCCCAATTAGAAATAGCCGTATTTGCCTTGCTAAGGCTGTCTTTAGAGATGAAAATTTGACCACCCTGATGAAATTAAGTAGAAGATTATCTGTAATTGCGTGCTTACATAGACTTGACCTTGCTGGTGTGCTTCTAGAGTGACCTTTGTAACGATACCAAAATTGTTACCACCACCTTTCAAGCCAAAGAAGAGGTCTGGGTGATATTCGCGGTTCACTTTGAGGATTTCACCCGTGTAAAGGACAATCTCATATTCGACGACACGATCACTTGTCAACCCGATTTGATTTGTAAGCCAAGAGTAGCCACCACCTAAAACGAAACCTCCAACACCCACGCCCGAAACTCTACCACCATTGACACTAACTCCGTGCGGTTCAAGGCCAGCATAGACAGACTCCCATAGCTGCCCAGTACCAATGGTTGCAAGATTGGTTACTGGATCGTACTCCACACTGTTGAAGTTCTTTAGAGCGATTTGAATACCTTCAGTAGAACTGAAACCGACATTCTGTGCATGACCACCAGATTTCAAAGCAAATGGGACATTTTGTTCAGAAATCACGTTGATAATATCAACTACCTCATCAACTGTAGATGGTTCAACCGAGCAAGCTGCTCGTTGAGAACTACTCGAGCTAGCGTGAAAAATATCAGATTCGTAGATAGGATCATCTGAAAAAGTCAATTAAACTTGCTGCAGACGTAGTAATATACAATGCTTACTAGGGTAATGAACTTGTGTTTTGCCGATCTTCTCAAGGGCTTTACATCCAGCTAAATTTGGATCGATGGTAACGGATGCAGCAAATGCCACATGTGAAGCAGCAGCAGCAAACGACAGGCTCTTTAAAATCATAGGTATAGATATTAAAAAATCATTGCGTCACTTATATAATTCATTTGATTCAAATGCGGCCGTAATTGATTTTTCTAAGGAACTCGTAACATTTACGCAGCATAGCATTTATTGCAAGAAGAGTATTCGCCAAATAAAGCAAACTTATTTCATTTTTGGTGACTATCGCTGTAGCTATCTACTATGGTAGGCGCTTTATATCTGTTTCCGATGTTGTTTTAGCTGAACGTTTGAAAGTCATTTATTAGTACCAAAACAAAGAAATATATACCAGTGACTTAAAATGTTATACTACAATAGGCAAAGCTGTGTTAACAGCTTCTGTCTTGAAATGTTCGAGCTTATTAAGAATTCACTGAGTGACAAACTTGACAGCGAAGAAGTGGCAACCCTGACTCTTGTCAATAATATTAATCTTCCTGATTGTAATCAGATTCTCCATTCAAAGACTTTCGGTAGTGACCTTTTGTCCTCTATAGCTAGTCTCTTTCGTCTTATTGTACCTTAACTTCCACTCGAACACAACAGCTCGAAAATAATTTATAATTCATGAAGTATTGTTGCTTTGGTGATAGCTTTTCTCAGTATGCTGTAAGTTTCGGCAGCGTTGGCAATGACTACTAATTTTAATTCCGCAGATACGAACTTATACGCTATATATTACTTGTATAGGTGTTCAACTATGAGCTTGCGCCGACAATAAGACATTTGCCTGAGGGATCAAGGGCAACGGATATCAAAAGTTCCTTTCAATTGATCTAATGGATATAAGATTATTATAGATTACTTTGCAAGGTTGATGTGTAGGTAATAAAGATTTAAGTATTTTGTGTTTGAGCTAAGCTGTATCATTTTAATAACATAGTTCTCTAACCCATGTATATACGAAGATGAGCAAGTTAATATTATTTACTGCCACATAGCTCTTCAGAAATATCTTTACTAAACCTCGCGTATAGAGCAAAAGACGACGTGGCCTCGGTCTCCGACGATACGCCTAGCTGAAAAACTCATTCAAAGAGCTTTACATTGTTACCTTTAACGTGATTTCAGAGTGTTTAACTGTAGTCATCTTAGTGCATAACTTAAACCTCAATGCAGCCATTTAAATATATACTATCCAATAATGGCACTGTCACAGGTGTGCACTCAATTCCACCGAAATCAGTAAGGTCCATTGAGCACTGTCCTTTGATTGTTGGTCTCCATGGTGGTACCTACGACAGTCAATACTTTGATGCTACTCCTAAAGTCTCTGCGTCTTTGGCGAGTGTTGCTTTTGGAGTTCCGTTTATAGCTATAGATCGACCTTCCTATGGTGGTACAAGTTCTATACTACCCATACCAGACCAATCTGATTTTCCTCAAGAGACCGGCCGCTGGCTGCATCATTACATTCTTCCGAAACTCTGGACTGAGGTCGGAGTACCAAACGGATGCAATTGTATAGTCCTCCTAGGTCATAGTCTAGGAGTAATGGGAGCTATTGTAGCATGTGCCCTTCATACACAAGACAATATTCCGTTATATCCACTAGGAGGTCTGATAGCAAGCGGCATGGGAAACACATCATCGTTGAAGACAGATATGCCTTCCTTTGTTCCTATTGACTCTAGCCACGTAATGTTTCCCGTCGACGCCAAGGATAAGATTATGTTCAAACATGGGACAGTTAGTTCTGAGGTTCTGGAGGAGAGCAAACGTCTCAATGCCATATCACCTCTTACAGAGATAGCTGGATTCGCCATTGATTGGCTTCCAAGATGGAAACAAAAGTGGGCAGCAGATGTATCAGCACCAGTCATGTTTTCTCTCGTAGATGAAGATCCTTTTTTTGATGTCAATGAGGAAGAAATTAATATTTGCGCAAAAGCATTTAAAAATAGTGCAGTAGTCGACGTCAGCTTGGTAAAAGGTGCCCCTCATTGTATGGAACTAAGCTGTTTTTCTCGAGAATGGTATACTCGATGCTTTTCTTTCGCTATAAAATGCGCTTGCGACTTTAATAGCTGAGATAGAACAAAGGGTCCACGAATTAGTAAATATTTACCATGGAATTCTTGTCTACAATTAAGAAGTTATTAAAAATATATTTTGAAAAATACTTTAATGATTTAATAAATCTGTTACTATGTTGAAAGTGAAATTTTGTTTAATTTCAATGTATTAATATTAGTTGCAGGACATACACGGATTTAATAAACGTTACATGAGGAGTTGCTTCATAAACACCATCACAAATTCACTCCATATAATTTTCAAAATCAGTACAAAATAAAATAAAATAGTCTTCGAAGAATAATGCGAGTATATCTATGATGACACAATCATCGACTATTGTACTGGCACTACTTTTGATAGATTGAAGTACAACAAAAACCACGTGTTCTCTTTCATATGTTAACGAAGGTAAACAATACATAGGTTGTAGACGCTCATTTCATTCACATTTACAGCATACTCGAGGCAAAAGAATGTCATGGATGATTAAAATATAAATCACAAATCCAGTTTGTTAAAAGAGTGTGTAACGAAATATGATAGAGAGATTCCAGCAAGTTTGTCTTGTTATTGATGATGTCATAATAGAAAGTAAAGTGAGACAGTTTAAGCGTCGCATTGATCAGTCTCTGGCTGTTCAACTGGCATAGCATTAGCTACTGGTGAGTTTGACCAGTCAACAACGTCGTTGATAGAGTGGACAGGAGCATCTTCTGGTATATTGTACTCCGGAACCTTGACGCCGTTGTGAACGCACAATACTTCACCAATGTAGACGTTTCCACAGGCGTTATCAATTTGTGGGTTGTTGAGCCAGAGTACTGTGGTATTTACCTGTGTATAAGTTAGTACGATGGTGATTTCATTAATATCAACCCACTTGGTTGTTGTAGGCAATTGAATCACATGTGTCATGCTCTTTGACAACGTAAGTCTCTGTGCAATCAGAACCTGGCCAGCCTAAGCAAAGTTCTTCACCTTCTTCGAGGTTGGTGCAGTCAGCGTTGATCTTGTCAAAGTTGCTGGCAGCTAATTGGTATGTAGAAAGTCCTTGAGAAGCTGAAATTTCATCGCAGTATTCACCACCTTGTACTTTGTAGGTACGTGTGCAGTGAGCAGCGGCTGATGCGGCGACTGAGGCCAAAGCGAGTGACTTAATTGAGAATATCATTATAAATATAAGGGTATTTAAATAGAAATGATTTTTTCACTAAACTGGATTTTATGGTAAAGGAGAAAGACTCGAAATGCTGAAGAACTTATTTCAGGGGCACGTCCGCTAGAATATCAAGACTATTTTGGGGTCTTTAGACTTTATATGAGGAGATTCTTAGAAGTATATATGTTATTAATAATTAATTATACTAGCATACACAGCTTGCTATGATGATATTTGTCATATCTGTACCTGTAAGAAGAGGAAGAGGAACGTCAACAAAAATAGCAAATAGTACAGCAGAGGAACAAGTGTAAACTTCTAAAAGCAATCATATTAGAGAACATCATACATTCTATACATTCGTTTACATAAGATATCTACTTCTTGTTTTTAGATGCCAAATCAAGCCAATGTGATCGTTCATCATCGAACGACCGTGTTTGCAACTTCAGCTGTTCTTTAGTGAGATCTTACGTTTTAAAGAATTTACTCACAGCAAGCGAAGAGTATGCATTGGCCAACCAGTTACGGTCTTCACTTCTACTAGCAGCCTTCTCAATGACATTTTCTACAAGCGAGCGAAGTCTCTTGATGTTTGATTGCATCATCATCTGATCGTCAGACGTTGAGAGCTCTTTTAACGACTTGTAAAGTGTCGCATATCTCTTACTGACTTTGTCCGCCAAATCAATACTAACCCTATTTCCACCGAATCCCATCGATGAACTGACAAAATTACCAGCTGTACCTAATAAGCTTGCAGAAGGTGCTTGAGTTTCATCAGCCAGTCTCTGTAATGCAACGACCCTTCCATCCATTTCCTTCTGTAGTAATGGCCACATTGATATCCTTAGAGCTGCACATAATTTACTTGCAGGTAAACATCCTCTAACGAGACAAACCTCATGCGCTTCGTCATTGATTCTAATCATACTAAATAATGCGCTAGGTAGATTCGTATTTGTTGGTATCTTCATTAAATCGTTCTTTATCTGGTTATACGCCGTCTCAAAAACATGATTCCATATTTGTTGTGTTGCTCCGATAGAACCTAAATCATTTGCAATTGCTACTTCTTGCTCTGAAAGAAAGACTCCTGGTTTACTGTTCTTATCCTGGTATAAAGAGTGTAGTGAATCATCAAAGAAACGCGTGCAGAAGGCGAATTCAGAACATGCGTTGTCGATAAAGGTCAATAACAAACTTCTAAAAATTGCTTCAGGAGGTAATTTCTAGGTAAGTTAGTTAAACGATTTAAATGCACGTTTGACAATACCCACATAATTAACATCATCTGCTTGATAGGCTAAAAATACAGACGGCCCTTCCAAAGATGAGTAGCTGAGCCTTTGTTTCACATTCTCATGCTCATAAGGTTCTTCGTTGCTTTCCCAAGCATTTGCAGAATTGGCAATCGCAAGCTCTTGAAACCTTGGTGCAACTCTGAACGCTTCCCTTGTATACCTAACTAAACAAGTCTCGTAATACCCTCTGGCTGCATTAGTATACACACGTTCGACTTCTTGAGCTACGCGAGGTTCTTGCCTTTTGAGGAAAGCGTATAAAGGTGCATACTTAAACAGTACTGCTGTTTGATGGAACGCAATGTTAGAAGTTGCAGACGCTTGGAAAGGTGCGAACAGACTGAACAGCTTGCTACGTATTTTATCGGCAGCCTATAACATTTAGAGGTATACTTGATTATACGAAATATGCTCACCTTCATTTTTAGAACTTGTAAAACTGTCTGGAGTTGAACGCGGGCTTTAACATCTTGATGCTTCTCAACTGAGCGTAGATAACCTTCAATGCTTTTACAGCCGTCGATCCAGGCATCGACATCCGTTACGTCCTTATTCATTATGAGGTTAATCAATGAAGGTGGGATGACGAGCTCCTTGAGGAGTTCATCTATTTCGCTAGCCTGTATCTTCTGCTTTGATAGTTGCTCATCTATCTCAGCTGATTTCGTCTGTAGAGAACTTATCTGTGAGCTTGTTGATAACAATGATTGCTGAAATGTGGATAGAAAGTTCGCAAGTGTCGTTATATCCTCTATTGAGTGCTTTACTGAACTCTCGAGTCCCAGCGTCTCGTTTGCTGTGTTTAAAACTGGGATATGAGCGGTTATCTTCCATACTACGCAACTCACAGTCATCATCAAGATTGCGCTTTAGAGATAAGAATGTATCCTCAATATCTCTATTTTCACTATTTAGTAATTCTATAACGTCGTTCCAATCCTCATCAGTGCCCTGATAACTGACATCTTCTCTGATATCGTCTAATGGTTTGAGCAGAGTATTGAACTGTTAATATAAGAGATCTATGTAAAGTAAAGCTATAAGGTACACCTACGCTTGCCTCATTGTTGACATCTCTACTCTCTGCTTGCATTTATCTTGACAGTTCAATAAAAACGATGAAGTTGTATAGATTTATTAGTACAACCGCAGCTAGATTGAGAACTATAAAAGTCTGTAGTTAAGAGTATAAATTACCTTATTAATCTCCCGTTTAGGATCCTAAATTACCTGGACTATTCTATCATCAACAACAACCGCACCGCTGGGCAGTTAGTCTACTTGATAAACTACCAGAGAACACTCCAAGTAAATTAATATGCGGCTATCTCAACTCTGATAATCCTGAATCCAGCCAACTATATAAATCACTTGAACAAAACGATGAGTTCATTAATTTCTTACATAAAGTTGTAGAGAAGAACTTTACAAAAGATCAGCATGTTATGTGGGTTATTAAACTACGTAAATAGCACATTTTTTTTTATCTCAATTCAGTCAAGATGCTTTCTTTAGAGGTGAAGGATGGATTCCCGTTATGGGTGGGTCTTTAGCGCAATAATATGTAATTTAAATTAAGCGCAATATACAGATGAACGCTCCCCTCAAACATTAGGTAGAGCAGGTGACCCTGATGACTATCTTGGTATGGTTTTAGTAGAAGAAGGTGGGAAGGTGAGTTATCAGTTGTTGTGATAAAGCTATCTTTTCTAATCAGTTATCAATGATCAGATAAACCCTTCGACTTATGAACGTACACCTACATACAGACTAGCAACACGTGATAACGGCTTCATGAAGCTTTCACCAGCACTTGATAAGGCATTACGTGAGGCTTTGAAGAGTGAAACGAGTTAAACATATAGAAACACACTGCATATATTACATCACCACCACTTGCACGCCTATTAATCTTTTGTAATGACTTCATAAATGCTTTTGCTAAATCGTTAAATTTCTAATTTGTGATTGTTAAGAAAGTACAAGAAATAATTCCATTTGCGTATTACCAACTTTTCAATTTAAGCGCCTTCCTCATCAGATCCAACTGCGTATTCCTCTGATTCATTCTCCATTTTCGCTTTCCTCCGTTGCTCAAGAGATGCCCATTCACCTTCTCTTTCGCCTGTATAAGTGAATCCTCTAAAGGTGTCATGATTGCGGTTATTGTTTTCCTTAGGTATAGATTGTTCATTAGATTGTGGTCTATCAAATGAAACATGCGGCCTTTCTTGGTGTTTATCAAATGATTTACGTGGTTCCTTTTGGCTTTCACTTCTTTCCTTGTGTTCACCTGATGGTGTGACATGACCAGATCCTAGAGCTGGCTTCAAATCTTGGTCGTTACCATTTTTATCAACTCTGTCAGGTGATGCAACATCATCATCCCAAGGAACACCATGTTCTCTGATATCAGCACCAGTAAATTCGGTGTCAAAGTTTGCCACACTTTCATCACTTTCAACTAGTGGTTTGAAAGGCGGTGTAACTTGTCTATTAGCGAGGGCATTCCAGTCAATTGATTTGAAGAATGGATCTTCCTTTAATTCGGCAGCATCCCTCTTGCTACCAAGTCTATGCTCTGGATTTCTATTCAAGAGTCCCTTCACGAATTGCTTTCCATCATCTCCAATAACTCCCTTTGGGAATCTAATTTTACCGAAACAAATATTTTTGTACATTTGTTGAGTATCTTCAGCATAGAAAGGTGACCAACCGCAGCACATCTTAGGAGAGTTTTGTTAGACACCCACTTTAAAATGACGTTACTCACTTCAAATAATAATACACCAAGTGACCAGAAATCTACTAACATTGAGTAACCATCATCATTCAATAGCACCTCTGGCGCAAGGTACTCAGTTGTACCACAGAATGTTGAAGTAAGTTGATCTGCTGGTAGATCAGGTTTTGATAATCCAAAATCGCATAATGCAACGTGTCCAGTTGCATCAAGTAAGATATTTTCAGGTTTGAGATCACGATAAACAATGTCGTATTTGTGAAGATGCTCGAGTGCTAGTACGAGTTCTGCAATGTAAAATCTTGCTCTCTCTTCAGTAAATCTTCCTTCTCTTTGTAAATGCCAGAATAATTCACCACCAGACTTATAATCTGTAACAAAGTAGAGTTCTTTCTCAGTTTGGAAACTGAATTTCAATCCAACTAAAAATGGACATTCCAGTGAAACTTGTAGAATTTTACGTTCACCGATTGTGTGTGCGACTTCTTTCTTTGCGATAATTTCTTTCTTTGATAATACTTTCATAGCATAAATACGCTTAGTGTCCTTCTTACGAACTTGAAATACTCTACCAAAGGTACCTCTGCCGATTAACCTCAAAAATTCGAAGTCTTTTGGATTTAATGCATGTTTATTAGCGAAACGTTCGTAAAGAATTTGTAAACGAATTTCACCTGTGACGATTTCACGACCATCTTCACCAAGTCTACTGAGTTCATACCAGTGGTCAATTTCAGCACCTGGGCTGAGATGTGGGCGTATTTCTTTGCTGCCGACATATTTTTCACCTTCATATCCTATGTAATGTACGGCGCTATCCTCCTCACCTGGTTGAGGATCAATTGTAAGGTTTGCGAGACTTTCATCTGTTGTTTGCTTGTTTGGACTAAGAGCTTCAGCTACTGCTGCTGTGGAGTGATCTCTATCATATACCGCAATTTCTAACGGAGAATCCTCCCGTGATACATCGAAAGTAACTTGATGTTTCCATACAGGAGAATCACCGTTCTGGCCTAAAAGACCTGTGATTGGTGGACTTGCCCTGTTTGTTCTATTCGTTGGATCCGGTGTAGTTGGAGTACGAGCCCCACTGGATGGAGTTCTTCTTAAGCTAGACTCTAATTTCTTTGGGAAACCTCTTGCTACGCCTTCAGATGCTCCTATGGGTTCTCTACTAACGAATTCGTTGTTCTCGAATGTGACGACAACATATGAGTGTGCCTTGGTGCTATCAACGACAGCCAATCGTCTGGCTTCCATAACCTTGACAGTTAACAAACCTTTGCTGCCCAATGTATCCTTTGATGATTGTTGTCTGAATGGCGTTCTCGAATTCGCTGATGGTGTACTCGTACCAGATGTGACAGAAGTTGTAGTAGTAGTACGAGATAACTCAAGTTCTAAAAAATGTTAGCCTGTATTATAGTATGAACTAAATGCAAACCTCTATTCTGTTCAAGTCTATCCTTTTCCCGCCTTTCCTTTATTGTCGCCTCAAATGGATTATGCTCCTGCCTGGAGTCTGAGGACTGCGGCTTAGGTGTAGCAAAATCATCTGCTGAGCTTCTAGTGCTCTTCAAGTGCGTCGTTGGTGCCGCCGGTGTTTTGTTTTGCTCCATTTTGTTTTGTGAGTGATGAGCGTATTGAAGAGCGATCAAGGTGTATAAAGTTGGAGTACAAAATAAATTACTTTTTATTAGATAAAATAGTTTCTCTAAGATTACGCGCTTTCTGGCGTGTGCTTTTAGACGCTAATGGCGTCTGTTGGGTAGTCTCTTCATCAGAGTCATTCTGCATCGCTCCCGGAATAAGCAATTGTGCAAGCTCTTCTTCCGTCAACTGTCTATTCTCCTCTTTAAGAACTATTATTTTACGCTTAAGGACGCCTCTTATTCTTGTTATCTGCTCCGTTGTGAAAAAGCCGGTTACATAATCAAACGTCTGGTTGTGTCCCTGTTCATCAGCTATTAGCTTCTTACAATCTTCATCGTGAATATCACAAATCTGGAAGTTCGTTGCTTCTGGTGTGTGCTTTCCGTCAAATATGTGACTTTCTGAGTTCAGTTCCATAGGATTATGTTCTGGTGTTGTTGGCGCATTACCAGTTGTATTAACAGGTGTGAAATACCTCGTTATACTATTTGCTCTTGGTGCTGGGGTAGAAGGAGTTGCCGTACTTGCTCTTGCAGCGGCATTGACACCACTCGCACGACCTCCCAATCCTCTATGTCTACGCTCATTTATACCCAATATACGAGTTTGGATACGCTGATAAATGCGATTTCCACTATCTAACCGAGGATCCCAACCTATACGACATAATGTATCTGCGAATGGTCCAGAGTGAAATGTGTATGAAAATACTGTAACGCTAAGCTTTTGGTTAAGCAAGAATCTTGCCTCCTGTGGTGTGAATTGATTCATAAGAGCAGCCCTCGTCCAGCAAGGTCTCCCATTGAATAAACTCTCCAATCTCTCAAGTAAATCCTTTCTAGGGAAATGTTTTATGAAATCGCTAGCTTCCTTTGTAGTAGATGTTGGCACTGGATAGTGATCCCAGGCGATTGAGAAGCCACTATCGACTTTGGCGCGATTTCTACTAACAAGACGCTTATACGGCTGCCCAGTGGCTTTATTGACACCAATAGATTCATCAGGATTCAGTTTGTTTTGATAGAGGTAATTATTAAATACTTGGGTCCTGTAAAAGACTGGTGGTTGTATTAAACCAATCGGCTGGTTATGTAACCCTTCTATACTTTCACCACGCGTTTTCCTCAAACGGTTATCCTTAACACGGTTTTCAATAAACTGCAAATGGTCTGCCTTCTTCGGTAGTTGAATGTTTCTGAGTGCGGTTATGCTCTCATTGATATTATCCGAGAAGATCTTTTCATTGAGACTATCTAAAAATGTTGGTTCAGGTAGGTTTGAAGTAAAATCTGCCATAGCTGGATCTCATTAGTCGTTATCTCTGCTGACCTAATAAACTTACATCTAAATCTTGCTGTGAGGGGTATGCTACCAATAATTTCAGCTTTAAACTGATAGTGCCATTTACCATCAATTAATTTCCTCCTGCGTTTTAGTTTTAAAGCGTAATTGTTATTATCTGAGTATGTGGCCGTAATGTTACTATTATGATTGAGTTCTAAGGATAATGGTTTACGGTTTTCAAAAGATTTCCTAATGTTTTCTAAACCCCCAAATAATCTCACATATTGCAATTTTTCATTCTCATTTATTTCACCGAATAATTCAACGGCTTGTAATATTAACGTCATCGTCGTAAAATGGAAGGAGGTTTAAACAAAATAAGTTGGTTAAGGAATAACAATAACTTTTTGAATAGCGTTTTAAAGAAATCTCAATTCATTCCTTTACATAATTTGAATCCATTGATTACTAATAACAAGTTAACATCCTTACCTTTCGATGACGCAAAGTCATATATTGGAGAATCTAACTATGGAGAATCTATGACTAACGTTAAGGGATCATTTTTAGAAGGATACAGACAATCTAACACCCTCATTGTTCTCCTCGGTGTAAAAGAGAGCGTTGAACAAAAAGCCAACGATCCGCAATATGCACCATCTGGGACTGTTTACTTTTGCTTTGACGCTACTCCTTTTCCTAAGGAGAAATTTGAATCAGCTACCACTAAATTCCGAGAAGCTCGCTCTTTAATCGGTGTACTCGATAGTGAAGACTCCAAGATATTTGCTCAAGCGAGGTCAATTGTTGACTGGAATTTACGTCATAAGTATGATTCAGGTTCAGGTAAACTGAATTACAGTTGTTGGGCAGGTTGGAAGTTATGTTGCTCTTCTGTATTTGAGAATCAAGACGCTATATCAGAAAGTTGGAAAGGCATACAAAACTATCACTACCCTCGTACTGATCCAGTTGTTATTATGGCCGTTCTTTCACCTGATAAGCAACAGATTCTCCTCGGACGTAATAAACGTTATGCATCTGGTATGTATAGCTGTCTAGCCGGTTTCGTCGAAGTCGGTGAGACTTTTGAAGAGGCAGTTGCACGCGAAGTTTGGGAAGAAAGCTGTACAAAAGTGAAAGACGTACAATACTTTGCTTCACAACCATGGCCATACCCAAGTTCTTTAATGACAGGATTTTACGCCATCGCTGATGATAAGACTGATTACAAGAAGTTTAGAACTGACCTTGATCCTGAGTTGGAAGGTGCCGTTATGTTATAACAATAAAATTAGTTACTAACCCCCGCAACAGAGGCTAGATGGTTCACACGTGAAGAAGCCGCAGAGATGGCTAAGAATTCACCTTCATCACTCGGAGACAAACCATCAGAAAATGTTCTTTTCATCCCAAATAGACATGCCATTGCAGGCGAGCTCATAAGGAATTGGCTAAACGGATTTGAGAAAAAGAGCGCTATTTAACTATCTAAAAAGGGATTTGTACTTATGACACATTAAGGATTTTGAAATACATTCTGAGATGTATAAATGTATTAAGCTACAAAATATATAGTAAAAGTGAAAATACTTAAAATCCAAATGTTGATTTATTAGAATCTAGAAAAGGAATGCACCAACAAGTGAGGTGACAGCAAGTAAAGCTGTAGCCGAGTAAAGTCCTGATACAGCTCCAGATTCGTATGGTTGAATTAATGCACTGCCGTCTGATCTGTCTTGAACGAATTGAGGAACACTATTGATCTCCGGTTCGTACTCTGGTACATCAGCAGTGTCAACTTGATCACCATTCCAACACCAATCATTGAAGCATGATTGACATTCTGGGCTTCTGTCAATGTTATTACGCTCTCTTGATCTATCTACGAGCGCGCAAGCAAGACACCTCTTCCATTCACCATCATTAACTAAACCGTTGAGAGACATTGCAGCCTCACCGTTTGCGATCATACCTGCTGATTCTTCCGCTTCGTATGCCAACTTGAAAGTTGATGTGTTTGCTGGATATACATACGGATATGCTGGAATGTACGCAATTATAGGTGCTTTGTTAGCTTCATCGTAATTAGTAACATCTGTAGCGTTACATCCAAAGAATGTTGGACGAGTGTTCAAACCTTGTGCGACGATCTGATCTGGCGTTGGTACATTGGCCATTGAGCGTCCACTATCGTTATGAATAGTTCTGTTGTAGGTAGCGTACAAACTAGTACCGTTAGGCCAGCTGTAAGTAGTATCGGCAGAGCCGTCGTATGCTAAGACTAGATCAACTTGACGCTCTTTTTTCAAGTGAGGGTCTAACTGTAGGAATGTCAGATGAGATACTCGTTATAAAGCGTGGTACTTTCAGCTAAAAAGGTGATCAGAAAGGATAGAAAGATGTATGAATCAATCAACTCACGCAAGTTTTCGTCATTAAGTCCTCCGTCGACCAAAACAACGTTGGTTTCCTGAGCTATCTTGTTCGTATCGTTTTCCCAACCATAGAACGGATTTTTCCAAAGGGCAACATCATCCATAGACTCAGAGAAATCACCAAGGATATCTCTGAGTGCTCTTTGGAAAACATCGAAACCTGTGATCGATGCATTGGCTTGTTGTACACCAGCAGAGAACAAAGTTGCGGATGAACTAGGACAAATCTTAACATGATAAACATAATAAAATAAGACCTACCCAATAACAAAACCGAAATTGTCCAATCCTTTAACACAGTCTGTTGTGTTAACTTCATCGTTTACAATAGAAGTACCGGCCCATTCAATTGGAATAAAGCCATTTGGTGAGTCTTGTGCATTTCCACCACCTAAGTAGGGTCAATGTTATCAACAAAATTTTTCTATAACCCACCTAATGGACCAAATGTACCCCATTCGTAAGGTGACATCTCCCAAATACTGGCGTTTTGGCCTATGATAAGTTGATTAGGCTGACGTTCGACTGCCAAAACAATTGGATATGGCATTTCATGACTTTGGAAAGTGCTAGCTCCTGTGATGGCACTGCTGAAGGTTGTGTTACGGCCGTAACCTGGGAACTTTTCCTCAGGCTCAGCAAGAAGGTGGTAGGAGAGTGCACGTCCCCAGAAGTCGGTGATTTGGGTTTGGAAACTGTCTTCAGGGTAGACGTGCTTCTTGGCAGCTACGTCCTCAAAAATTTCCTTGAAGTAAGTGTAAGCGTCAAGAATACCAGGCCAGAAGATATTTTCGTCTAGTTTCCAAACATCATCATTCAATTGCCAAAATGGAGTCATGTCTTGTGCTGCAAATCCACTGACCGCCCATGAACCACCAGAAAGACCGGTCATATAAGCGGCAGATTGGAGTAAACCAGCAGTTTCGAAGTCAAGACTAGTGTTACGATTGTCTAAGGCACTTATGAAACCTGCGCCCTGTTTCGCGTCAGCATGTCTAACATTCAAAAACAATGACATACACCAAGCATACTACGGTAACCACCACCGGAAATTGCCAAACCGAGCTTAGGTGCGTTGGTTGCGTTGTTTGTGAGCTGCTCAATATCATAGCTTAAATTGGCGCCGTCAAGCCAGTTCCTGAGCGGATCTATAATCTTATCCATACGTGCGTTAATGTAGTCAGTTTCATTAGAAGATAACTCCTGTCCAGTTCTAATGAATCCATTCCTAATTTCACACGTAGTGTTATATGGCTCGTAAGATAATTCACCTTCATCTCTTGAATGAAGTGCGTGGAATTTAGCACCTTGAAGAACACCACGCGCTGCGAGCTCCTCAGGAGAGCTTGGGAAGGCATGCGCTATGCTAGCTATAGCCAGTGCTGTTATAGCAGTACACTTCATCAGAAAGTTGATGGACGTCAGTTACACAGGATCGGGGAAGCAATCACCGTGAAAAGCTATCGAGTGGAATTTGTAATAGTAGCGAAAAATATGGATATAAAAGACAGTTTTACTTACAACTTACATTAAAAATATCCTATAGTCACTTTCCGCTCTCCTATCATTACGCATCTCTAACCTCATTTATGAAATCACAACTAAGAGCGAATGAACAAAACAAAGAATTCAGGTATGTATATACGTTTATATATGCAGATCTCTAATTAAAAATAGCCATCTACTGCTACAGATCAATGACGACGATTCGGGAGATCGTGATTGGGGGTTCCGGGTTTACGGCGTGCAGAAAGCGAGCAGAGTATTGCTACAAGACAGCAGTACAAATATATCTCTAGGCGTCTTGAAAGATTACCAGTCACTGTTGATATGGTGAGCGTAGTGTCTAAAATGGTAATACATAGCTTACGCAATAATAGCACAACTGCTGAGCCAGAAACTATCAGAGAACTCAATATACCCTCCGAAGAAACCATAAAATCTGTACATTTCAACTCTGCTATTACCAATATATCAACAACGGAAAACTATATTTCTGCAGCCACAGAGACAGAAATACACATATTAGATCATGATTTACAGACACTACACTCTTTAGAATCACCCTGCCCTCGCATTTCTAGTATTGCAAATAGGTATTTGGCTTATCTATATACGTCACAACCGCCACAGTCAAGTTCAGGTATATTAGCATCCAAAAATCTTAAATATTCTGATAGACCGAGCTACACAACCGCTGAAATAGCTTCACATGTTGCTAGCTACCTCGAAGAAGGCTACAAGCAGGGTCATAGGACGTTTGACGTTATACAAAACTATTATAACAACACATTTAGTAAATCAGTACCACTGACTTCTCCATCGATAGAGGCTTCATCACCACCTCTGATGAGCGTTTCACCAGCGAGTCTAGCTGAACAAAATGGATTATTCACTAGAAAGCCAAGCGTAGTTAGAGTACTTGACATAGTTTCCGGTCGCACAGTAGCGCTATTCACTGCTTCTATTGCAAACTTATCAGCTATATCACTCAGTCCTTCCGGTAGATCAATTTTGGTTGCAGATATTAACGCACACACATTCCACGTATATGAATTACGACCACGTCCATTATTTGATAACACCGCAGAATATGATAGTGTTTGGCATCGCTATGCGCTCAGGAGAGGTTATACAACAGCTCGTGTTACTTCTATTGCCTGGAGCAAAGATGAAAGATGGTGTGCTGTCACCACAGAGAAAGGCACGACGCATATTTACCCCCTTAATCCAAATACTGGAGGTGCTATTACCAATTCTCACGTTACAGGCGAACCTATAAAGTTTGGTTCGAAGTATACATCACTCTCCACTACACTCTCTAGCGTAATCAAAATCAAATCTGAGATATTAGAAGAAAATCATGGATTACCTCGAAGCGTTACATTCTCATTTGCAGATGGCGAAAGAAGCAAACTTATTGGGTATACCCACGATAATGATTTCAAACAACTCATTAAATGGGATTATAAGTTGACTTGGAAAGAATTTGAGAAAGAAGATGGAAGTAAACATTCACATATTGATGCATGTCTAGATAGTACTAGTGAAACAGGTGAAAATACGAGCGGTAGTCAACCAATGAAAAAGGCCACAAGTAGCGCATCAAAAGGTAGTTCAGTACATCCTTCACAAATAGCAAAAGGAGAAATTGAAACATTTGATATTTCAAGTTTACGTAGTATTTTCACTTCACGTCAATTTGAATTTAGGAAGATCGCCACTACTGATATGCTAAACAATGATGTCACTTCTGTCTTGATGAAATCGCAAATATACAAAGTACGCCCTGAGGTTAAAGTGAACAAGTTAAATGACGATACCACTGATAATACGGACAACTTAGATTTGTCTTCAATACAACATATAATACCAGCATTACCTAATGGTATTGAACATAAAGCGAGTTTATCACTACCAGATCAACACACACTTAAGAGAATATTAAAAGGATCATATAAAAGAATCTCATCAACTTTTGGTAGCCCTGGCAGCCAGATTGACGACGCTCATGACGATGATCACAATTCAAACGAAAATGATGTTGGTATTTACAAAGAAGCCAAGGATGCTTCAGAAGAAGCAGACAAATTTGTTGTAGGTTTAGTTGATGATGATGAAGAGGAGCTTGAGTGAACGAAAGAACAAACATGAGCTGAATGATGCATCAGTCTTCTTGTATATTTTATATGTAATTGTATAACAAATTGATAATACATCATGAGTACATAATAAAGTAGCTATTGAAGTGGCTCTGCGCTTGAGGATAGACGGTTTACTGAAATGACGTTAGATGAGCCGTTATAAGTTATGTCTACTTACGATGAATATAAACATCAGTTCCATAACCTTCCATGGAGATAAGGCGAAGGTCACCACCGACTATAATTTTTATGTTAGACAAACATCAATGAAGAAAGCAACACTCACAATAACGGGCATATAACCTAGACAATGGTAAACCATAACCAAGACCAGCCATTGGTGCTTTGTAATCGCTACCTGATTGCTCAAATTCAGGATCAAGTCCTTTGCCTTCCATTGTTGTGTACATATAAGTCCATATCAAAGGTATTGCACTACGAGGTATTCCACCACCTTCATCAGAAATCTTAATAGTGATATCTTCGTTACCAGCGGCTACTATAACTTTAATTGGTGGCATTTGGTCTTCAGCGTCGACTCCGAATCTTTCGATGACAGCTCTGAGAGAGTTCTTGATAATTTCGAAAACAATGTGATTCAGGTGTCCAGGAACGTAGCTAATAGTGAGATCTTCAGGACAAATAAGTTGAACTTGTGGTGGTTTAAACAAAGCGTAATGATCTTCTGCTATAAATCTAGCGTTATCGATAGCCTCATCACAGACATCTCTAACGTTCGTTGATTTGCATATAATACCAACGTAATCTTTCGGCTGGTTTATGCTATTAAGAGCGATATGTTGACCAATTAAGAATCTGATACCAATTCTGGACATGTAGAATCTATCCAAAAATGATTGTATGTCGGTATCGACACCCCTACCAATGTGCTGCCTGTGTTTCTTATACTCTAAAACACCTTGAGCGATAGTGGGCACAACAGTATCATGTCTCTTCTTTATACCTTCTAAGAGTCTAGTAAAATTTTCATTATACTCTCCAACTTCAATCGGCCACTCGTAGTTTGGCGTTTCAGCATGATACCTATATTCGATTGGAATTCTTCTATTCTTTGAGCCATTATTCTGAATTGGGTTAACCGGTCCCGGTGTGTGTTCGTCTTCAAGTTGAGCGAGATTCGGCTTAGCCTCTGGAAGTTTGCCGATTTTGTTAGATTGTGCAAATAATTGATTCCTAACTTCTGCGCTGAGTTGTGGCGGTGGGAAGTTTATTAATTCGTCAAATGAATGGGCGTACCAACCGAGAACACGTTGTACTAAAGGGATTGTTGTTAGTAGTTATTTCTATAGTTGTATATATCCACATACTACTCGGCATTTGAGATAAGTTATTCGGTAGGGTGTTGAGTTCTACGCATCGGTGTGCCAATCTTATCGGAAGTTCCTCTGTTATAAGTTAGAGATGAGTAGATAAATTATGCAGAAGAACTCACCGGAAAGGAAATTCCCAGCTCTTAGTAAAGTGCCCTGGGAAGGATTTGATCCGAACATGACCATCTGCTGGAGTGAAATACCAGTTTGAGGGAAACTGGAAAAGTGCAGTAGCTTATTCCAAAGCTTTGGTGTAATATTGTAGAATGCGCTGCTTGCTGACATCGTAGAAGATATATGAGTATGTCTAGCAAATCTGTGATTATATTTTATAATATATAATCAATCTACTGTTTCTTTCTACTAGTTTTATAGAATTTACAGTTGACTGAAAAGAAGAAAGAGTCATCTTGGATTACATCACTTCGCAATCAAACCATCCTGCGCGTACCGAATCCGTCCACGTGAGTCAATTCTCAACTAAATAACCGTAATTTTAAAAGGACATTATATAATATTTATAACTTCAATACTACCGTCTGCCCCCCTTAACTTTTTCATTCCTTCAATGAGATAATAATTTATTAAAGTACAATTATGAAAAGCTATATCGTTACATATCCCATCCCTGGGTTTGCGAAGGTGTGTTGAAGTCGTAGAAATTTTGTGACTGTCTACGAATCTGTTCGTTCGGCGAATGAAAGTTTGGCATATGTGGTAGTGGGCCTGAAACGATCGGCGGTAACGAACCAAGATTATGACCTGGTAGCATGGTAGGTTGTTGCATGCCCTGGCGTTTCATATCAGAAAATTCTCATAAAGTGTCATCTATGACTCACCATATAGTAGGATCCCGTAAATGGACCTTCGCTTGTTATATCCGAGAGTTCATTATTTAAGGTGCTAACACCAGGATGGCGTGTCGGTACTTGTGGTAAGAGTGGTTCCGTCGGACAAGGGAAAACATCACTGAAGTTGATACCCATATTCGCTTGTTGTTCGGTACTCTCCATCATCATTCTCTTGATTCCTCTTGGACCATTATCCGTAATCTCATCCAATGATTGATTTTGTTGTATATCATACACGTCCGTAAGCATATCATACGCTCTACCTGCAGCTGGCCATGTAATTACCATCGCTTTGAGAGCTTCCATTGTTTTAGTCAGATTTTGCCTGGCAACAGGTTCTATATCCGGGTACTTCAAGTTGAAGCAGTGAGTAATACCAGCCGTAAAAACGTGGTAAATTAATAAACTAGGAGCCTTATTTAAGAAATCATGGCGATGATTGAGCGAGTTTACTATCGATGTTATCGAATTAGCTGCCATTGTCATAATTTGATGGCTTGGATAATGAGACGGTATATCAACAAACGGTCTGTGGAGCAAAATGAGTGTACAGTGGAATGCCGTATGAAGTGTAAGAACATTTGGCGGTGGCAATCTCTGCGAGGATGCTTGGAACTTCAAATGGCGTGGTAGATCAATGCTCCATTTATCTACACTTTTATGCAACTCGTGTAAGCTCATTTGAGCTGCCTCACTGTTTGTTTTTTCTTTTATAGAGTAACAGCTTTCTAATATTTTGTTCTCGAGAGCTGATAGTTTACTTAATTGATTAAAGCATGATAAAGCATGACCTGTTTGAGGAATTGCCCAATTGAAAGGATAATCCTGATCACTGAGGTCGCAGACGTCTCTTGAACATGTAACATGTGCCTCAACCGGTTGCCATGCCTCGCTCTCTTCAATTTCATCCTCCTTACAGCCTCTAGTGTCGTAATCCTTTGCACGTATCGCGGTTGGCCTGCCAATGTAACTCGAAATATAAGTATCGAGAATAACGCAACCGTGCCAGGTTCTTTTGCGAGCTTCCACTTGGACGTCACTCAAGCGTAATCTGCCGTTTGGATGGAAATGGCTGACATCTCTATGCAAGCCAAGGTCTTCGGCCATACGAACCGAATGACCGAGGAACATCCAGGCACTTTTCATATCACCCAATCCGACACTCCTATAAGTAAGCAGAAGGAAAGCTTGTACGCTTGAGAGCCTAGAATTTGGATGATCGAGATGTGCAATTTCCCTCGCCCGTTCAATATATAAGGTACCGGCAGCCCAAAGAGCGGGGGATTCGGGGTTATTGACTGCAGAGTATCTACTAGCAACGCCAAAAACACATAATAAGAGCAAAGTCGGTAGTAACTCATCAGCGCGTTCATCGTTTTCTGGTGCCTTGAAATTAGTCATAAACCAACCTTTGTGAATGATTGGAATGACGGGATGTACGTAGGAGAAATATAATTCAATTAGTTTATCTTGTACTTGAATATCTGGGAGACATTGTTTTGCACCTGATAAGCGAACAACCTCCTTCTGGGTAAGCTTCTTTAATTCATGGCTTGCTGGCCAAATACCTGGTGCCGGAAAATTCCATATACCCTGCTCATGACGCTTATTGTTGGTGATAAGGTGTAAACCTGATGCCTTCCCGTGGTAGCGAATATTGCTATTCTCATCGATGGAAAGTTGACCGAGACTATCAGTGACTTCATCTGAGCTGTCCTCCAATTCCTCAATTTGTGGCTTAACATCAAGTTGTAGACTTTGTAAGCTATTCAAACGCCTCCTTTGAGTGGGATTAACGGCCGAAGTCGGTACAGCATCATGTAATTGTTTATCTAAAATGCTATCAACGATACTGGCTGTAATAGCATCTTGAGTCCGTATAGAATCCAAGATGCCGGATGCATTTGGTAATTTCGCTAATCTCGTAATCACGATTTCAAGGCGACCGAGCTTATCACTGAGAGTGTCTATATAGCCCTTAGGAGGACCTCTCTTCTTTGTAGCGCCCTCAAAGACGCATTCTCTTTGGTGTCAGAGTGGAGTAGCTTTGTAAGCGGAATAACTTACCAACATGAGCATTCAAGCAGTTCTCGCAGGGGCCATCTAGAGCATTATTTGGCCTCGCGCATTTAGATTTTATCTTCCTACAATGCAAGCAAGCTGTAGTCAGTTAGATATGAAGTAGTTGTGTGTGTGAAACGGATACCTTTACTAGATCGTTTGCGCTGCTTATCTGCGTTATTATTGGGTATTGGAGTAGAAGTACTAGGATAGTTTAATGCGTAGTTAAAATTATTATACTCCTCCATAGATCGTCGTATTGGTTCAAGGGATCTCTTGATTTCAAACGGCTAAGAGATGGCAAACACAAACAACAGGAAATCTAATAGACAGAAGTTATTATCAGAGATAGAGGATGAAGAGGATAGGGATATTAGGAAGCCAGCTAAATTCAGGCTTCATCAGCCATCTGACTTTAATTTGACGAATTCACACTCTAAAGCCGAAGTGCGGACTCCTAAGCAATCTAAACATATTAAGAAGCCACATAGTGTACCAGCTAAGGGTTTATCTGATGCCTGGGATATGCCTACTTCATCCGGAATGACAAAACGAAACGAGCCATATAATTGGCAGGAAGTCTTACAATCTTTACCTTCAACCACAACACCTAATAAGAAGCAACATCACAACCATCCTACTCAGCGATCTCAATCACAATCTGCTACGAAATCTAAGCCAGCTAAACAGACACATCAAATGCGCCCACGTACGAACTCCTTAAATGATAGCACCGGTTTGAATTGGCAGCAAATTCAGCTCACAAAGACATTTAATTCTAAGCCAACACCTTCAAAATCTTCTAACAATATAAGGAAAAACCTCCAACAAAGTCAACATCGTCAAAAATCTGATTCAGCCATTTTTATGTTACAAGATAACGCCTACGCAGGTGCTGCATTTCATAATTCACCCGCGCCAACCGACTTACCGGCACCACAATTCCTGAAATAGTTATTAGTTAGTATACCCTTAAGTATATTTATTATAGTACTTCTAGTTGAGTTGATTATATTAGCGTATGTTTTATTTAAAATTATCTATTTCGCCTGATAACCGAGTTAGTCAAATCACAGAATAAGACACCTTGAATACGATCTTTTTAAAGACCAGAGAGACATACACTCGTTTTATAGTTGAAACACTCATTGATGCACTATTTACATTATGTCCGCTTAGTAATTTGAGTTTGATTGTTCGGTGAAAAATAAAAAATCTGAGATCGATAATGACACAATTATCCACTTTCGTCTTTCTCTTTATTACAACAATAATCAGAATATCTAAAATGGTTAAAGAATCCGTCGCAGTCATTGGTTCAGGTATGTTCTTTTAGACTCGCTTTCCCTCATAGAATACTGACTTCTCGCTACAGGTAACTGGTACGTGTGACAATTTCTCACATTCTAATTAAACTTTAACAACTTTACAGGGGTTCAGTTGCTGCTAGAATCGCAGGTCAAAATGCACTCGAGAAGACCGATTGTGAGTGGTGCTTAAAATGCCCGGTATTCTCCGCTTACAGGTTTTAGTATTCGAAAGAGACGTTCCAATGTGGGTTTTCCAAGAGCAAGTTGAAGGCAGAAACCTCACAGACATCATCAACGAAAAACATGAGAACGTTAAATATCTTCCAGGCGCAAAGTTCCCGGAGAACGTCATCGCCAACCCAGATTTGATTGACACCGTTAAGAACGCTACTCTCCTCATTATTGTCATCCCTCACCAATTCTTACCAAAAACTCTCGCTGCCCTTAAGGGTAAGATTAACCCAAATGCCCGTGCTGTCTCACTTATCAAGGGTGTTGAAGTTGTTGGTGCTGATATCAACATCTTCGCTAAGGTTATTGAACGTGAATTGGGCATCAGATGTTCAGCCCTTTCAGGTGCCAACATCGCTAACGAAATCGCCCTTGAGAAGTTCTCTGAAACCTCCATCGGTTACGCTGACAGAAAGGATGGTGAAATCTTCCAAAAACTCTTCGATAGACCATACTTCAGAGTCTCAATCGTTGAGGATGTTGAAGGTGTTTCCCTCTGTGGTGCTATGAAGAACATTGTCGCTATCGCTTGTGGTTTCAACGATGGTTTGCAATGGGGTGACAACACTAAGGCTGCTATCATGAGAGTTGGTTTACTCGAAATGAAGAGATTCTGTCAAGAATTTTTCCCAAGCTGCAAGGACGCAACGTTCGTTGAAGAATCCGCAGGTGTTGCTGACTTGATCACCACTTGCTTGGGTGGTAGAAACCGCAAGGTCGCTGCTGCTCACGCTGAAACTGGCAAGCCATTCGAACAACTTGAACAGGAACTCCTCGGTGGTCAAAGATTGCAAGGTACCGGTACCGCAAAGGAAATCAACGAATACCTCACCCACAAGGGTAAGGTTGATGACTACCCACTCTTCAAGACCGTTTACGAAATCGCTTTCGAAAACAAGCCAGCAAAGGAGCTCACCTCTAGACTCTAGAACGTTTTTAGTAATTATGAATTTGTGATTTTCTATTTCAACTAATCATAGACTGCCTTGATTGTATGAGAAAAGACGTGGTGACGTGCTGATTACGGGTTAATTTGTCGGGTATCGTCGGTATGAATGCTATGACATTCCAATTGTCACGTGTGTTTTAGGTCTATGAAATTTAAAATTACAACTTCCTTAGAAATACATAGTTATTTACAAATAATTTAAATCAAATACATAGCATTTAAGCGTGTTGTTAGTTCTTTAGCACTAACCGGTGTGGCGTGAACATTGGGTGATGTTTGTATAGTTTTACTCTTGTAAGCAATTTTACTACCAGCGTTTGCATTAGTTATGACATGATCCGGTGGTGCTCTCTTGTCATAAGCTTGTACATGTTCTTTACCAAAGCTAACGCTCCTTTTTCTTGTCAATTTTGGCGATTGATTAAAGCTCAATGGTGGTGGTGATCGCAATACTCCTTTAAGTTTCATCGGTGATACATTTGGTGTATTTGTTGTACTTGTCTATTATCTTGTTAGTTGAAAAAACTCGCAAACGAAAAAAAAGGACTAACATTATTCTGCTGATTATGCTCAAAAGTGAAAGATAATCCCAATCCTAATCCACTTCTTGCATTATACGAACTTGAATTATTACTAGTTTCGTAATCTTTACTTATATCATAATCGAGATCTCGACTATCGAATATCATTGTTAAATAATAAAAAGGAAAGCTACTACCATTGAAGTAGTTAATAAAAACCTTATGACGTATATAAGTACTCTGATACATCTATACCTCCCAAATCAAGATCTTGGAATTAATGTCTGAAAATTATTGACGTCACATTACTTATTGGATTTCCTTTTATAGTAATTTCATAAATCAATTTCGGCGGTTTACTGAATTAGTATGAAAGATACTCCACATCCATATGATCTTCATCGGCGTGCTTCAAAAGCGTATGTTCTAAAATAATCTGTTTCAAAATTTTCTTATAAAAACAATTATTAAATTAGGTTATTACAAGATAATAAATAGGTTTTAGAAAACACTAATAGGGTTGTACTTTAAATTAACTTTTTTCCATCCATGATTGTTAAATTTAGGATATATTATTATTATTGTTCATATCTACGTTCACTTTGCTGTTCTTGTTCATCTTGCAATCTCCTCTTAGATTCAACACGCAGGGTATTCCAATCTATGCCATCACTATTGTTGTTACTACTATCATTCTCATCATCTGCATCATCGTCTTCTTCTCTTAATCCTAATCCAATTGGTATAGCAGATGATCTTTGTGATTGCCTTGACTGCCTTGATTGTCTTGATTGACTTCTTTGCACTACCTCAGGGCTAGTACTAGTTTGTTCGATTGTTTCGCGACTCTCACTGTGGCTCACTGTAGGTGTATAAGGTGGAGGAGGTGAAACATTCTCTGTTTCAACACCATCTTGATTAACATTATACTGATTTCCTTCACCAGGTTCTCTTGATTGCGCTAAAACAGTCTGTGATGAACTTCTCTTTTTCTTTAATTTTCTAGCGAAGAACGATGACATTCTTGAGAGTGAACTTGAACTGTGACTGTTATTACTGTGATTTGATAAATCAGATGATGATCCACTATTGTTACTATTACTACTTGGTTGTACTTCTCTTTCGGGAGTATATGAGAAATCATCAAGCATTCTACTAGTCGATTGAATTGGTCCTAATGCATCTCGACTTTCACTCGCGATTAAGTCTCTTTCATAGCTACTCTGACGGGAGTGATTTGTGTTACTATTATCATTACCATTACTTTGACTGCCAGAACTACCCTCCTGGGTCAAGGCAGGTTCAGCGGATGTAGAGGCTGGTAATGGCGGTACAGGGAGTGAACCATAACTTTCATCTCTAGGTAAACTGTTTCCATTGTTGTTGTTGACTAATGCTCCAACACTTGACATACTGGTCGTTGATTCCCTCGCTGGTCCTACACGAGGTGATGTTCCATTTGATCTGCTGTGACTGGCAACAGTTGGCTCACGCTCAGGTGTGTGCCAGCTTGCATTACTAAAAAGTCCGATTGAATTAGTAGGTGATTGTTCATGTGAAGAATTATTATCTTGAGTCACTTGCGAACTTTCCTGTGACTCCTCTCGCGATTGCGCAGATGTTACATCCGATTCTGCCTCTTGTTGCATCGTATTGAGACTATTAGATCGCGTTGCTACGCTTCCTCTCCTATCATCAGTCATGATTGGTGTTGGGACAAGTGAATGTTCAGTAATACGAACTACAGGTGCAGACCGTGATGTCACAATAACTGAATCAGAATTACTCGAACACCTCCTCAGCCTCTGTCTATCCTGAAGGCGTACCTGATTAGGCGTCCACGTCGTCGGTCTTTCTCGGATACTCCAACTGAAACGCTTCTCTTGTGCGCTTGGATTAATACCTCTCCTGAAAACTTCCTCGATCCTATGAACCATTCTTTCCTTCCATGCCCAACTATGGTTGTTCTCTTGAGCATAATTCAAAGCCTCTTTATCATCGTATGGTAATGGTGTACCAAACATAGAAGAAGAGAGTGAGTAGTGAGATAAAAACGCCACAACAACTACGAGTAATCTCAATCCGACCCATACAACATGCGTAATTAAAACACCTTGTGCGTATCTAGATAATTGAGCGTCTCTTTCAAAGAAGGCATTTTCAATTATAGGTAAGAAAGAAGGATTCCAAAATTGTAAAATAAGAGCTAAAGATATTGCAGCTCTTGGAACGCAAGTGAGAATAATAGGATAATCTACTAAAGTAAGTAAACCCTCTAGATGAAAAATCTCAACACTTACTTTTATGAAGATGATGCGTGTACTCCAAAAAGAAGTCTCGAGTACTAGATTGATATGCGAGTTTACGTATACTGAAAAGCAATCTAAAATGCTGTAGAGATTTTGAGCAAGTGAGATTGAATAGCTTTGGCGTCGTATAAGCTTTATAAATTGGTGGTCGGCGGAGGTTCCAAAAGAGTCTGTATGAGTGTATATCACTAACTAATACTATGAACCACATAGCAGCTAAGGATACGCAATATACCACCAATGCCCAAATCCAATTATTAAATTTTAGTAAATTCGTTAAAACGTAGATTGAGTTCGCGTCAAAAAAGATAGACACTGGTAGATGAATATAAATTACGATCAAGTAAAGGGAATAAGTAAATTTTGATGGGTTATTGTACTCATTAATATTAAAATACGGTTCGTTAAATCTAGGTGGGGCCGGTGGCTTCTCTTGTTGTATAGTAGGTGTTATATTGCGTATAGTTGTGGTTGTCGAATGTACGTGATCATCATCATTACGTGTATTATCATTATTATCGTTCATATTACTAGATTCGTTACTATTCAAATTAGTCTCTGCTGTTCGTTCATCGACTAAGGGTTGTAACCAATTTGGCAACCAATTATTTAGCGTGTTTGTCGATTGCTTGCCATTCAATTTCATGGTTATTGAATAACCATAAAGTTATTCTGGAATTTTTAGATTCCTGCCTCAACTATACTGCCTTGGGAATAGAGAAGGAAGGCATGCTGGCCATACCATACAGGCCAAGAAATAAAAAATGCATACAATTCTCAAATAACAAATGGAATGTTCTTCTATTTAATTAAGTAATCGAATATTTTGGTCCACCACCTCCTGTTGGCGTCGTCCCTTGATAATTTTATTAGAAATGTTTTGCATTTCGTGTTTTATACTCACAATTTATATCCTGTGTTGGTGTTTTTATTGAACATAGTTTACAATGGATGCAATTTTGTGAATTGATAACGAATTTATGTCCAAGTGCGTCCTCTTGTCCACCGTCTTCTTTTGTGTCTCGATATTCGTATACTGCAGCTGGACAGGCTCTACCAAGAAGGCCAGCGTATATGCCAACATTTTGAGCTGTATGATACTTTGGTGATGATGTTAGTTTCAAATGTACAGGTTCGTCTTCCTCATGGTTGGTTGAGGTACGTGAAACTGAAGTAAGTATATCGAAACTGAGCTTTCCATCTGGACTTGGGTATTCTATTGGTTTATAATCATGCATTGGTTTGGTCTGAGCGTGGTCAGGTCCTGGGTGGTGGAATGTCCAAGGTGTTCTACCCTTCAAAAATAGACTGTCAATTCCAGAGTAAATGATACCTCCCAAATTTCCCAAAGATGAGTGGAATGATGGTCTGATGTTTCTCACTTCATTAAGTTCTTTCCAGATCCAACTGTCTTTGACTTTTTGTTCATAGCTTGTCATGTCAATTGAGGCAGGTTTGAAATCTTCTTCTTCTTTGGAGATGTTTTCATTTACAGTTTCAGCAGCTAACATACCACTTTTCATTGCATTGTGAACACCTTTGATTTTTGGTACATTGACAAATCCAGCTGAGCAACCAATGAGTGCACCACCAGGGAAGTGAAGTTGAGGAATTGATTGCAAGCCACCCTCGTTGAGAGATCTACCACCATATGCAATGCATTCACCACCTTCTAAGAGATTTTTGAAGATAGGGTGGTGCTTCATTCTTTGGAATTCCCTGAACGGAGAAATATATGGGTTTTTGTAATCTAAACCAATGACTAAACCAATAGAGACCAAGTTGTCCTCCATATGATAGCACCAGCTACCTGCGTAGGTTTCGTTATCAATCGGCCAACCGACTGTGTGAGTGATGTTACCCGGTTCATGCTTTGACGGGTCAACACGCCAAACTTCTTTGATACCGATACCATAAGTTTGTTCATCTTTGCCTTCTCTAAGGTTGAAATGATTGATGATTTTCTGGGACAAAGAACCATGTGCACCTTCAGAGAGGAGAGTAGTTTTAGCGTTGAAAATCATACCCGGTTCGAATTGATCCTTTGGTTCGCCGTCTTTGCCCATACCAATTTCGTTTGTTACGACACCACCAACTTTGCCATCTACCCAATTGATACCTGCTGCTGCGAAACCTGGGTAGATTTCAACACCTAATTCTTCCGCTTTTTCAGCTAACCAAGCGCACAATCTGGATAAACTGATGATGTAGTTACCGGAGTTGGACATTTGAGGTGGATGAGGGATCGGAATAGAGTAGTTCTTCGTGAGGAACTTCATACTATCAGCTGTGGCTGGCTGGTTGAGTGGTGCACCTAGTTCCCTCCAATCGGGGAACAATTCGTCGATTGCTTTTGGTTCAATGACAGCACCGGAGAGAATATGTGAACCTGTAATGAGTTAGTAGAAGCAATACTATTAGATTTCTAGTTACCAACTTCTGGACCTTTTTCTAGGATAACAACCCGAAGATCCTCGTTCAATTGTTTGAGCTTTATAGCGGCGCTTAGTCCAGCTGGACCTGCACCAACTATACAGACGTCGCATTCGTCTTCTGCCCTCTCAGCATTTTTAACAAAGTTAAAAGGCGAAGTTCTCAAGCCATCTACACCATTTTTAAAAGATAATCTAGAAGTTGATAGACATCTTTTGTTATTTAATGATATTCTAGATACTGCCCTTCTGAGCATTTTATGACTAGATGGTAGAGAGAGGTCACCCGCCAATCTGATGTCAACGATTTGTGTCTATAAAAATTCTTTTTACAAAATTAAATTGCTGAACTGTCTGCTATGCCTGGACCTGCTGGACCGGCGTTAGAGCGTGGGTGAGCAACGTATGTGTTTCCCAATTTTGGCGGGTCGCTCAATCTAACGAATTCAGTCTTTACGGGTAATTTAGCTTGAGCGAGACGAAGTGCTGTATGGTGTTAGATAGACTACTCGGATAAAGAAGTTCAACTTACCCTCTTGTGCGACTTCTGCACGCATACCACCGCCGCCAACTTCAAAGATAATCTTGTTAGGTGTTGCCCTACAGGCCCAGAACTCGAAGGTGCCCTTTCCTTTACCCATTCTAGTCTCATTTCCCTTCACACAAACCGGGATATCTGGGAAAACTCTCATAAAGCATTGTGAACCTTTCAATGGCTTTATTTTACGCTTGATTGATTCCTCACAAGATTGTAAAGTCTTTGCTGATAATCTAGCACCTTGCTTTACTCTCAAACCGTATTCACCAAATGCTAACGTTGTACCAGCTGTACTACCACCTGTAGGACAGCCAACTCTGCCTTTATGACTTTTACGATACTAATGTCGTCGTTAGATGTCTCTGTAGTTAGTTTTACTGCTATAACGCACTTTTGTCCGTCTTGGTGCGAGTTGACCTCTAAATCTCAACTGCTGTGTATTTTGTTGTAATGTTTTATTAAAACTTAAGCTATTCCTGAAGGAGTTCACTAGTTGGTTAAGCATTCTATGATGGACGTATGAGTTGAAGGTGTCCTCGGTATACTAACATATAATTCTTCTATATAGTGTGTATAAATATAAAATATATTACAAAATTACTTTGTTTTGCTCATTCTAGCGAGGTGGTAGTTGATTGTTGACTTCTCCTTTGGTTTTGTACGTCCCTATAGTAGATGCTTAGTTTTCGATTTATTAAGATAGTAGTAAAGATACCTTTGATGCCATGCAATTCGCTAAGGATGTACTATACTGTGCACATTGACTAACCGCAAGGTAATCTCCACTACTAGCAAAACAATTGAGCAATCCACTCAATTCTGTACCGCAAGGTGGTGGATTGAGATCTTTGTATATCTATTTAGGATGATATACTCTAGATAGAGACTTCTACTCACTCTTCCTCGCTCTGACTTTGAGCTTATCGACTTTCACTATATTTTATTTAGCTGTGCAGCTCTATTTATAGTATATAAATTATCTTACTCGCTGTTGCCCTAGTTGGATTCATCGTTGGTCACTATCAAGGTGTAATTCTAAGCTATTTATTAAATTTACTACAATTTATATAATATTTTATGCCCATTTACCACTTTTTATATTTTGTTAGCATTTTTAAGCCTTCATCTAATCTTAAACTCACAGTACAGCCATAAGTAATGATCCTAACAGCAACATAGAAATACCTAGTGTCGTCTTGTAAAAGCCACTATTCCTCATCTCTGGGTCTTTGAACCAATCTGCAGCAATCATCTCAACCAGAGAGGCGTATATTAATATTCCGGCTGATATTGCATTTAGTATACCGATAGCCAGCAAGGCGGACTTGGAATTTGGACTGTAACTATTATGTACACCAATTCCGATTGCTATACCAATTGAAGTTATTATCTAAACATCCATTAATTCCTTCGTTATCTTTAAACAAACGTTTGACTTACGCTAAACCAAAATATCATTAGCGATTTCTTCACTTTATTCCATTTGTTAAATTTAAGCAAACAAATACGCGATCCTAATCCCAATCCTTCAAATAACTGATAATGTCTCAGTATACTCAGCGTTGTGTCCTTATGAACTCACCTGATGGAACACAATTGCTATCAAAAATGGCACAAAGTTACTTCCGCCAGTTGCGCCAAGTGATACACCTTCATGCTTTCAGACAATCGTTAAGTGGCACCATTCTACTCACCTATCATCACACTATGGAAAACAATACCACATTCGAGCAAATTGACTTCCCACTTAAGTTGCTTCATTGCTGCTTCTGGTGTCGTATGTACTGAGTAATTTCTAAAAAGTTAGATATGTTTAATAGCACAGACTCTACTCACTCTGGTATATCTTGTTTATTGTCGAGTGTTCCAGCCGCGATTGCTAACTCTCGTGTCTTCCTCGAGTTATACCTCATCCCAAGGTAATCAATCAAGCTTAGTGATATTAGATTTTAGCAATTTGGAATCTTAAGGTGACTCACAAAATAATGTACACTCCTGCTAGTGATATCGCTGCTGCAGTTGGCTCATAAGGTAATTCGCCCAAACACTCATTGTCAAACATGACAAAAGCGTGAAATAGCAAGTGAATAACTGTATTGCTTTAATTATGAACTTCAAAAAATAAGAAACACTTACGAGCTGTACACAATATAACACCTGTACCAAAATGTTTGACAATAAACAGTGCCCATTTAAATATCGACATGTCTTTCCAACCTGCTAAAGCGACTGGGAGGCCAACACCAAAGAAGGATGAAGCAAGAAGAATGAAGATTGCACCGATATGGAGACCTTTGTCGTACTCCCCTGTGTCTAAATTCTCACATTGTTCTGCACTAGCTTCACCAGAGCCCCCTGAACAGTGAAAGTGATTACCATGCACTTAATAGGGTTAAGTTGTTTATATAAAGAAAAAAGTAGATACTCACTGATGCAATTTGGACCACCAGTTTCAGATGTCTCTCCACCCTCACCTTGACAAGTCCAAACATTATTCTCAAATTCACAGAAAGATCCATCATCACAATCCCAATGTGAACCATGAGAATGACATGATTTACCCGGTGGACCTTGTGATTCTAATGAGTCTTCTTCTTCATCTGTACCACCTTCGCATTGGAATGCATTTGCAGCATCATCATAATTACATCTTGCACCATTTGAGCATTCAAAAGTACCTTCTCTTAGCGCACAATTTCCTTGTCCGCGCGGTCCGGTTGATTCGTTTCCATTCACTACAACCGCGGATACAGCTAAGGATAAGCTCGCGACGGATAGCAAAAAGCGCATTATGTTGTATTTGAGAAGGAGAAGCTATCAAATCTTACAATAAAATCACAAGATGACCGCGAAGGTGTGCCTTGTCAGGAACGATTTTGTTCAATTGGAAAAACATCTGCGTGTTAGAAATTCCATCATACCAAGCCAACCGTGAAAGTACACTTTTCTTGGCGTAGTTGGGGGTATTTTATCGCAAATTTTTAGTATTTTTAAAACTCTACAATAGAGAACGATTTAATGAAATTTTTCGCTTTTCTCTTAACAGCAGTTATAGCTGCACCATTTGATAACGCGAAATGGGTTAATTCACGTTACACATCTCGTGTCGCTGTTCATGAATCATGTAATCCTGTTCAGCGTATACAACTTGAAAAAGCACTCGATGATTATGAACGTCTAGTTCATAATGCTAATGATTACCTTTTACGTTCTGGACCAGAAGATGAATTAGCAATCAAGTACTTTGGTACAGATAGTCAAGCACAAAATCAAGTAGTCGCTGCTGGAATTTACGACAATCTCTCTCGTGGTGATAAATGTGAGTTAATTGATGGGAATTGTATGTGTAGAAAAAGAACTAATAATACTCAGATGGTGCAACTTTAAGATGTGATGACCCAGACTCTCTTTGCGCTCAAATTCCAACATACGCAGGTCATCATAGGGGTACGAATGGAACACTCGAAACTGTCATTTGTGATCTTTCATATGAGACACGCAAACCAATTGAACAAGTTTGTGCATTAGGTCATCGCGTACCAGATGATAACGCTTCAAAATTCTGGGGAATTGATTTTATACATCGCTTTTCACATTTACCAATAGTTGCAGGTGGTAATGTTGGTCATACAGCCGATGATTTTGATTCTTTAATAGATTTAGCAAAAAATAATGCAAGTGCTTCAGCATGGAACATGAAAACTCTTCAATATTACGCTTTAGACGCCTGGGCTCACACTTTCGCCAATCCAGGTGTTGGCTGCGACGAAGAAGAAGCCAGCCAACCAGCACCAGCCCAACCATCACCAACTGCCGATGCGCCAGTTTCATGCCACACCCACGCAAATGGTGAAGAACATTGTAGCTCAGATGGTTAAATTAAAGTATCTTAAAGTGTCTAAAACATGAATGTAGAAAATAATACAAGTTGAAATTATATATAATAGCATTGATTAGGGTTGCATTAATGAGATTAAACAAGTGATCCATTATCGTTAAATACTCTGGTTAAATTAATTGATGCAAGAAGTGAAAGGATAACACTATGCGTTCTTTGATTTACGAGGCAAGGCTGTTTTAAATGATTCAACAGTCCTAGATGTCCAACTATTGGTTTTACGTTTGAACTTTCTCCTTCTAGATTGAATCTCAGCATCATTTGCTGATGGTCTACGATGAAATTGTGAGCTTGTCTCACTTAAATGACTTTGTAATCTTTGCATTGCATATCCATTCTCTTCTTGATCGAAACCGAATGTTTGATTACGTCCTGTTGATCTCTGTCCAGTACTCATATCTATCCTCTGACCGGATCGCACTGATGATGGCCTATTTGGTGGGTATTCATTATCCTTAGTGTATGTGTTTCTCAAATGTGACTGCATTAAAGGATCATTTTCAAAGTCATGATCGTCATCTTTCTTCTGAACATATTGTATAATCTGTAAATATTGTTAGGTTTATTATATTATTGATCTGTAAAGAACTTACATTTATGTCATCTGGATGGAATTGGAATTTGTATGCCTTGAACACATATCTAGGCATGAGGGAGAAGATGACTGTGAAAATCAAACAGAACCAGAACAAAGCTGAATGGAAAACGAGTTCCTCATTACCCCAGAGATTTGTCCAAACAAGTTGAGGTGAAAGGGCACTATAGACAGCCTAAATTGAGTTAGAGAAAGAATATTTCAAGACACTTTTGACTCACAGTAAATGCCCAAATGAAGACAATACCAAAGAAGACACCGAAGACGATCCACCAAGTCCAAGCATGTACGTTCAAACCACTGAAGAGATTACATCCAGTTACGGCAGCTATAACCATTGTTGTGGACATCTCATAAACATAAGTGTCATATCCATCGGCACGTGTAGTTGGAGACATGTAAGCATAGTAGGTGAAGAAAAATACGATTGTCGACTGTAATATACCCTCAAACATGTAAAGAATAAACAACCAACTGTTGAAATATTGTCCTTTTCTTCCATACTTGTATAATTCGGGTATTGCCATCAAAACTTTATCGTTAAGATCTCTGTCGAATAATCCAATACCAATAACAGGACAGAGTGTCCAGAAAACGTTCCATAAGAGCAAGTAAACGTATTCAAAAACGTAGGAAGTTGAGTATGCGCAGAAGAACTGATACCAAAATAGAACACCAACACCGATAATGTTCTTAAACCAGAAATTCAATATAGAGTTTGAATTCCTGTAGTAACACCAATGACCATGTACTAAAAGTAACTTCTTCAAGTACCTGAATTGCGCGATTGCATAATCTGATGAATTGACAGCTTGTAAACCTTCTTCACCTGCTATACCAATACCGACATGTGCAGCTTGAATCATAGAGACATCATTAGCACCATCACCGATAGCAAGAGTCATAGTATCCAAATTATCCTTTATGAGGCGAACGACGAGGGCCTTTTGAAGTGGTGATACTCTGCAACAAACAACAGATTTACATTTAAGTGCAAGGTTCAATAAAAGATCTTTACTCCATGGTTCAGACAGCGCGTGTGAGAGTGCCATACCATCAATGACTAGAGCGTATCCACCATCTCTTTGTCCATTGTCTGCACCAACTAACGACTCAATACCAGATAAAGCATGCGAATGAGTTGATGATCTTTTCATGTTATCATAGCCATTGTCAGGTGGTTGATTTCTTAATCTGGAGGGAATGCTTTCCTCAGGGAAAAATTGATCGATTGCTCTGCGCATTTGAGCATAAGCAGAATTTCTTTCACCATATCCACCACCCCTAACGATGATTAGGTTATTGTCGTTCGTGAGAAGCTGAGTAGAATAACCAATAGCTATGGCAGTTTCAAGTTTATCACCAGTAGCAACCCAAACCTTTATACCTGCGCGTTTGAGATCACGAATGGTTTCTGGAACACCATCTTGGAGCTTGTCTTCAATCGCTGTTGCACCTAACAAAGTCAAATTGGTTTCAAATCTACTGGCCTCCTCTTCAAGAAGCTGTTCACGATTATCCAAAGCGACCGTAGCTTCATTGTATTTCCTATTCCATTCCTCGTATTCTTCGCTAGGAACTACACGATAACCAAGACAAAGCGTACGAAGACCTTCACTTGCGAAATAGCTAAGATCTTTATCTGTTACATCTAATAGGAGTGTGAGTAAAAAACAAGGTTGCTACAACAAGCTTACCCTTCATACCTCTATTTTGAATGTTATCTTCGCATCTTTCGAAAATTACGTTATCAGCTCCTTTAGTGAGCAAAACGATCTCACTATCCTCTTCATCATCATCATCCAAGGGAATTTGAGGATTTCTTTCACCCTGGGCAACATTGTTGGCAACATCGATCTTCATTTGAGCTCTGCTTTGAGATAACTTCCTGACTACCACACTCATTCTCTTTCTAGCAGAGGAGAACTCGAGAACATTGAGTAACTCATAGTAATCGACATTGTTATTAGTAAATGGAGTTTGAAGTTTGAGTATATTTCTATCTCTACCTTTGAAAACATAACCGACATCAGCAGCACCTTGCACTAAAGCACTCTCATCCGGTGATTGAGCTTTATAATCTAGACTACCATCTTCTTGTTCAGATGCAAGAGCAGTGTGACATAAAGACAAGCATGTCAGGAATGCATCGACATCTTGTCCTCTCTTTTCAGCTTCTTCACCACCACCTTCAGCTCTAATATCAGTGTGTAAAGCTGATGAATAGAATTTAGGTTTCACAGTTGCTTCACTATCTACTTGTGAACCATCAGTATGTTCATTGATCTGAGCTTCATATCCATCTGAGGAGTTCGAAGATGAGTGGGTCTTGAGTGGTGTTTCACTACCGACTATAGAAGCTGGCATTTGAGGCGACGATGTTAATTTACTTTCAACTACAGTTGTATCATCTGATTTGTAGATTTTTCCGGCGATAGAACATTGTCTGAAAATCATAGAATTTTGAGTTAAAGTACCAGTTTTATCAGAAAATATATACTGAATTTGACCTAATTCATCAGACAAATTCCATGATCTGGCGACAGCCCTATAACCGTTCTTTTTATACCTCATATCTTTATCGAGGTAGATCCAGCCAGCTTGACAGGTTCTCACGAACTCCATTGAAATGTAAAGTGAGATTGGAACAATATTCTGGAATGTAATCAGACCGTTAAAGAAAGTGAAAACACCATTAGCTGAAGGATTATCACCTGGTCTATCATCTCTAATGGTCCAATATGCGCCATTACGTTGATCGCTAACTTCAATTGTGTAAGCAACGATAGCACAGAAGGCAGACATGACGGCCAACAATGCTAAATTGATACCAACTTGTGGATCCATCAACCTTTCAGTTTTTGCGCGTTTTGATGGTGTTATACCAGAGTTTGCGATGATCTTCGTGTCTGAACCGGTAAAGAGAACAACACCGATGACCCATTTGGTGTTACGCAAAACCGTACCTCTGAGTAATACGGTTGACATGTCAACGGGTGACTTCGTAGGGTGTGTACCTTCTTTGACGACTGCGGCGTTGAGTTTAAACATGTTGACATCAGGTGCTTCACTGTCAATTCTATAACCATGACAATCTCTGGCTATTGTAGAAGGACTTCTAAAGTGTGACAATTGCGGAATTGCGTGACGAGATTTCAAGTTTGTTTCACCATCCAAGTTTTTAGTTTCGACGAAACAAACATCCTCTTCTTCAGACGTAGAGCATATAACGATATCTGTTGGATGTATTAGAAAGATTAATTTATGAACCCAAACCAACCTGCTGGAAACTGTTCATTGTTGTTAATTTTAACGAAATCACCGACTTTAACGTCCTCCCATAAGGATGTCTTCCATTTATTACCTGCTTCATCTTCTTCGTCGTCTTCTTCGCCAAACTCCTCATCATCCTCAACTATCGGACCAGTCGGGAGCTGAGCTGGAGCTGGTGGAGGCGTATAGGTGCGAGGATTCTCTAAATCATCAACTAAACCCATTTGTCTTCCATCAAAATCACGGGTGTCATTGAGTTCAGGCGGACTGCTTATGCCGTAAGCGCCCTGATCGTTTTCAAACTTGGCTTCGTCATTAAGTGACGTAACCGCATCTGGAACCGTTGGTGGTGGAAGGTGATCACTAGTTTTTGACTTCTTCTTTAACCTTAATTTACCAAGTTTAACGTTTTTAGGGAGACCAGCTGTGAATGTTTTTGACTTCGCTTCTACGTGGTTGAAATTGTGATAATGATATTCACTGTGGTGTGCTGCGCCGTGTGTTCCTTTCAATATTTGAACTTTCGAGTGATTCACTTTCCTATCAGATTGGTGTCGCTTAATATCCTCATATCCATCCTTACACGCAGTAATGAAGACGATAATGATCAATGGTAAGATAACGACACCGCCGTTGATGGTGGAGAATTTAGGGAAGAATTGTAGAATTGCAATACCAAGGAAGAACAAATTAGCTACTCTTCTAAATTGTTCGAGTAAGTTTCTCGGTACGAAGGTTAATACGGTGTATTTTGAGCTGATAATCTGATTTGTCGTGTAAATCCACTCAGAACCAACGTTTTGCATAGACTTTGGTTGTAACATCTTCTCATACCAAGGCTTTTTGCCCAACGTCGACTCGTACGGTAATGGGCTATTGAGATAGACGGACCGTGGCGTTGGAGTGCGCTTTTTACGTGCGAACAACTTCTCTATACTGAAGTTGTCCCATCTCTGGAGTATACCAGGTTTCGTCGGCGTCGACGTCGGCAGCCGTTCCGCTCTTCGTTGGTTGAAGATCATGGTAGAGATCAAAGAGATAGAAGATATTAGAAAGCAACGGGTATATTAAACGATTTATACAAAAATATTAAAAAAGATGTAATTTAAATTAAAATATCTTATAAATTCCTAGGCTGGTCCATTCATTGCAGGGTCAACGTCGCTATCCTCAAAGTTATCATTCAATGCTTCAACGAATGAAAGCTGTTGGTTTTCGGAAGCTAATGGAAAATGTCAGCTAAAATCCACCGGCGCTCGCTAATGCCTCACGGATATTCTTAGGACGGAGCCCTAGCATAGAATCTACGTTAACATCCTCGTATAACGAGCTATTCCTATTATCCCTCCTTTGCCTTGATGGCCGTGGTGGTATCGGCTGTAAAGGCGACAGTGGTGCCGATTGTCCGTTTGCTTGAAGATTTTTTGTTGAAATAGCCGGTGGTGGTGTCTTCTTCTCACCATGTAACTTCGGTGCGGGCATTAATACATCCACCGTTTCATCTTCTATTATCTCCGTTGGTGTCGTTTCCTGACTCGACGGCTTATCACTGGCCGTCGTCGTCGTAGACAACCGGGGTTCTTGCTCTTCATCTGTTGACTCTTCAATTGGTGCTGGTTTGCCGTCGTCTGCTACATTGAACACATACTTAAACTCTGTCAAGAAGAGTCCAAATAGTGGTGCTGGAATGCCCAATGTAGGACTAAAGACAATACCAACATTCCTCAGTGACATTCTATTTAATTCCTCATTTGACACTATATCAGTTAAATGTGATATTAAAGCCCTCAATAATGCGTAATTAGCAATAGGAAGCGCTGAAACTAATCTTCCTAACTCTCGTATCCGTTTTTTAGCGTCAGGGAGTTCAGTCACTTGTAAGAACTTGAAGTGAAGCTCCCTTGTAAGCACACTGTTTGGCAATTCACGGAAGTAGAGCTTCAGGAGACCTGTGATAGCGTGTGGATCGAAGAAATCGTCAGTCTCAACTAAATTAATATCACCTTCATTGTTGAAACGCTCTTTTAGAGCCTTCACTTGAGCACTAGAACCAGATAATCTATAAATACCTTCTTCTTCATCTGCCTTCACGTGTTGGAGGTATTTTATACATCTGAAAACGACAGCTGGTAATCCAGCGATTTGAGCTTGTTGGAGTGAATCGTTAATAGAAACACCAAATACTGGTGCTTTTTGTGTTTTATCTGATGTTTGTCATTAGTCAATTCATACTAGTTTGTATTTCAACTCACCCTTGGAACTACCACTGAAGGCGCCCCAGAATCCTCTACTTTTAGCTTTACGTTCGCGTTCCTGTTGTTTTTCTGATTTTTCTTTATCGTCTACAACCTCGTTCTGTTGATCATCTCCAAATTTAACGCCTTCTGGAATAGTTGCACCATTCATAGGTTTGCTAATCTTGATATCCTTATTGTTAGCAGCCAATGGAGTTGTTGCGCCCTTGCTATCTTCACGTGGTGGTAAAGAAAGCTGGCTTTCATTAGAATGAGACAATTCAAAGGAACCTCCTTGGCGTGCTTCTTGTAGCTCCTTAGGGATAGAGAATTTAGATGCAGCATCTGGAGGAAGTGAAGATAAAGTAACAGGATTACCAGGTTGAATGTCATCCTTCGATCTTGGCTTGTCAGATGTACGCGGTCTGTCACCATCACGAGATCCTCCCTCCCTTGAGCGTGGCTTGGATGAAGATGTCGCCCTCCTCTTCAAACCGCCTGCGGCGAGGTTAGGTGTTGCTTCTTCAATCAAGCCTGCGTTGACAGGAGATGTGTTGACTTCATGTGGAAAAACTGGCGAAGAGGTGGCTGCATTTGAGTGAGCCCTCTGGTGCCAAAGAAGAGTGTTGATCCATGCGTCACGTTCTTGGTCATTTTCTGCACAAAGAATGTGACGATCTTTCTCCTTCTGTGTTGTTTCATGTCGTTCTATGATAAGGAACGCGTGACGGAAAGCATTTTCTGATTCTGGACCGTTAGGATCTGACTGGAATCTTTGTGGATGTTGGCGACCTATACTGGCATCATGTATCCGGACGCTGCCAATATGATTTCCGCCTCGCTGCTCGTAATAGTCAAGAATCCCTTCCTTTCCTATTACAAAGTAGCGAGCTTTCCATCCACCGAAGTTCTTCCCTTTCTTTGTGAGGTAACCATCCTTGTGACCATTTATTTGACCATTAGAGGATTTAGCAAAATTTGAGGAAAGGAAAGCAGCCAATTCCATGTGAGGGGTTGCGCTATTCTTAGGAATAATAGAGTATGTGTGCGGTATAGATATAATAGAGTTGAAATAGTTCTCTAGGAGTATCTGAGGAGTTGTGAGTTATGGAATCGATAGATAGAAATACCGACCTTTTGGTGTATAATTTTGTTTGGAGATCTATCCTTGAAAGTGTTCTTATCTGGTAGGGTCATCAACCTTCCTTTTGTATGTTTAAAGTAAGGTTTCTTTATAATTTCTCTAATTTTCATATCCAAAGCATAAATGGCATCATAACTTTTCTCTACTTTCCACTCAGCATTTGATTGCTCATATTTCACACTGATAGTAAACGCGTAAGAATCTTTGTTATCCCTGTTTGGCTTGATAGAAGATGACAAGACAGCTAACTTTAATGTTGGAACTAAAGAAGGCGTGAGTTTAAAGTAGGCCGGTTTGTCCTCGGTTGTGCGCGCCTGAGGTGGGTGTTTCTGAATGACTGACGCTGATTGATGAGCAATTGGTGGCGATTGGTGGGTGATTGGGGGTGATTGGTGAGCTATTGGTGGTGATTGGTGGACAACCTGAGATTGTTGAAAGTGAGTACGTGCTTGTGGCAGGTTGTTAAATGAGTGATTGAATTGCTGCATATATGGTCCTCTTTGTGGAGGCTGTTGGCTATGCTGGGCCTTCTCTATGGCTGAAAGCATGGCGGGTCTTATCGGAAACTTTGTGAGGGCATCATCAAAGCTATGATTAGACTGCATATAAGGCGTCTGGGCTGGCGGAGGCGACTGAGTGAGCAATTGCTTGTTATTGAGGTGCAGTGGCTTAGGCGCAATAATTTCCGGTGGGGATGGCTGCGGAGGTGTAGAATGTTGATATGGCAAACCGTCTAACTCGTCATTCAGCCTGTTTATTGTAGTCTTCTGCTTGTCTATCAAACTCCAGAGCTGGTTGTTCTGATTTGCGAGGTTATTGCGCTCTTGCAAGAGGAACAATAGAGGGTCCTCCTGCTTAAGATCTAGAATATCCTTTAACGTTAGAATCTTTGCCGTACTGCTCATCCTCTCATTTAAAGTTGATTCAGATCTGATCACTGAGCGTTGTATGAGAAAAAGAAGGGAACAAGCGATATGCGAAATTTTAAATAAAAGCTAGTAATAGTTTATTCAATATCTTTTATAGTTTATTATTAATTAGTTCATTCAATTTCTAGCAAATTTCCCTAAATGTCAATCTATATTTAGTACCGAAGTCGATTCATCCTGAGAATATATTCCGACGAAGCTACTTTCATTTCGTTAATAAATAACATCTGCTTACTTTGAAATAACCTTCCTTTATTACTACGATGGACGTCAAAACGCGTCACTACCAGCAGCTCAGCCATCAGCTTAGCAAACTCCAAGAGAACATCAGCGAATCTAAACACCAGTTTAAAACTGCAGCCAGTCAACTTGAGCAGATGGAGCGTCTCTCAATATCTCACGCGTCACAGTGCGTCTACCCTTATCGCTTTCTACTTTTGCTAACGTGTGTAGATTTATGGCTGTTTCTAAAATAATAGACAAGCAGGAATCCCAAGAATAAATGTATTATTACTCTCTATATATGACGATCATCTCTATCGATTTTGACGCTTTCTACGTTGCATGCCATAGAAGTCGTGATAAGACATTACTGAACATACCCTTCGCTGTACAGCAAAAGCACATTTTATGCACTGGTTTGTATTTCTTCTCTACTAACTAGATGATCTCATTATTCTCCAGTTAGCTACGAAGCACGAGCGAGAGGCGTGAGTTACTAGAATATGTTACGCGTATTATTAATAAACTGAAGGTCAAGAAGCTGTCTAGCTTGTCTGATGCACGTAGGATCTGCCCAGAGATTAGAACAGTCAATGGGGAAGTGAGTATTTTTATATAGCATATACACCGCTAACATTATAGGATTTAACGCTCTATAGAACAATCTCACGTGATGTTTTTGCTTTTTTGGTAGATTACCTCGGTGCAGACACACCAATCCAAAAGCTCGGTTTGGATGAATTCTTTATTGACATATCAAATTTACCAGGGCAGCCACGCGAGTCAAGTCAGACCCATCTTGTGTACCAAGACAATGAACTCACAGAAGATCAGCTTAATGATATCGCCATAACTGCAGACATAAGGCGTCAAATATACAACCGTTTCAAACTGACTTCTTCAGCTGGCATAAGTAATTCAATAATGCTTAGTAAGCTCGTCGGAAACCTCCATAAACCTGACCAGCAGACATTGCTGAATGTCAACAACGAGACAGAATTACAAAATCTCTTAGATGCATTTCACTTGAGGAAGATACACGGTAGGTATTGGTAGAGTATTATTAGCACCCAGTTAATATTTTAAGGCTTCGGACGCGTCGTGGTCGAGCGTATACAGAAACTGACCGGACTGTCAGACGATGAGACGACAGTCTACAATACACGCAGTAGACTACAAGAAGATGCACTCATTAATGAATTTGGTGAAAAACTCGGCACGAAGTTATACAAAAATCTACACGGCGTTGACGACGAACAAGTACGACAGTCAAGTGTCTACCCAAAACAAATAAGCATTGAAGATTCATCTGGTAATATTGACACGATTGATGATGCCTACAAGATGCTACACAGCGTCACTCAAAGGCTCGTTAAGCGCCTCGATGAGGAATACTTGAATATAGATAAAAACGGTCGAAAATACTTTGTCATGCATCCCACGAAAATGCGGATATCGACGCGAAGACTCTCATCTATTCCAAACACAAGAATCGCGTCTCACTTCCCAGAGAGCGCGAGTTGTGATATCGGCGTCGCACTTTTCCAAATAGAACGCAACACAGTTGTCGAACGTGCAAGTCGACTCTGTAGGGACTATCTAGAGACGTCACTCACGAGACTCTATCGTGCTGGTATTGCTGCAGGCGCTAACAAACTACGTGTCGTTAATGTCGCATTCACGGATTTCGTAGAAGGTCAGCCGATGAAACCTATAGACGATTTCATGAGAGGGCGGAAGGAAATCATTAACTTGAGTAGCGATAGTGAGAGTGAGAACGAAGGTCATATTAGCGAGAACAATGATGATGAAATCAGATGCCCAACATGCAACGCTCAATTGATGCCATTCACTGTGGAATCTCACTTGCGTTTTCATGAATTGGGTGACTAGTTCATGTACGACGACTTGCCACTTTCGGTAACTGAATCAGGCCACCACGCATAGACCAATAATTGGGTAAATCATTAATTGTATAAAAAAAAGTGATCATATTTAAATCTAGATATCTTAAAAAGAGTAGGGATTTTTTATTCTCCGAAAATTTCCAACGAATTTTTAAAATTGTCGCATTTGTGGCCTGATTTTGGGCTTCCTCGATCAAAAAAAAAAGATAATCTTGATAATCTTTTTTCGGTACGACGATAAAGGAAAATAAAAAGCAATAATGGACGTCGTACTTGAGATATGCGATGATTTGTTTTTAGATTACACCTACGCCAAAGCTTTCCCAAAGACACCATTACCAACATGTGCTTACGCACCAATTGACGCGCCATCATGCACGAATGGAACGGCAAGCGATATTTTACATTATGATCAACTCAGCAGTCTCGGGAGAGACAGTTTAATACGGCAAACTATATCACTTAGTGTTTTGACCTACATTGGTATACACTTCCTTTATTTCATTTGCGCGGGTTTGAGTTATCAATTTATTTATGACAAAAGAGTTATGCGTCATCCACGCTTTCTCAAGAATCAACTTAGAATGGAGATCGACAGTTCACTTAGTGCATTCGGACCATTGACATTAATGACAGTACCATGGTTTATCGCTGATGTCAGAGGTTGGTCGAGACTATACGAAAATGTTAATGATTATTCGTACTTCTATTTCGGTTTTTCTATTCTTTGGTTTTTGCTTTTCACAGATTTCTGCATTTATTGGGTACACAGGATAGAGCATCACCCAATGTTTTACAAATGGTTGCACAAACCTCATCACAAGTGGCTAATTCCAACACCATTTGCTAGTCATGCTTTCCATCCACTCGATGGATACTTGCAATCAGTACCTTATCACTTATTTATTTTCATTTTCCCACTTCACAAGTATTTATATTTGGGATTATTTGGCTTCGTTAATATCTGGAGTATACTCATTCATGATGGTGATATGAGATGTGGTGGTACAATGGAAAAAATCATCAATGGTCCTTCACATCATACACTCCACCATCTCTACTTCACTGTCAACTACGGTCAATACTTTACCTTCTCCGATAGAGCATTCAACAGTCATCGTGAACCTAAACCAGAGTTAGATCCACTCAATCAAGTTTTAGAATTGGAGAAGGAAAGAAATGAGAAGAAGGAGAATAAGAAGAGTATTTAAGGCGATAGCATTGCATATTCCCACCAATAAACTGTTGATATAATTAAATATATACCCTAATCTAATATATACATTTTTTTGGTATACTATGGTGTCTTAATTTTGATTACCTCTAAAGACTGTAATCGCAGCGAGACCTAAAATGAAAATGCTGATTATTCCCGCAAATTTGAGTGACTTGTCCTATAGCAAATTAGTCAGTAGAAGTTCTCTAAGTAATAAACTACATTTACATCTTTTAGAGACTTTTCGGTTTTCTTCTGAAGTGAATCTATCCTCTTGCTCTGTTGTTCTTGTTCCCTTCTGAAGATATTTATGGCACTCTCTAAGTCTTCTTTTTGTGATTGTTTATTAGATTTCAAGGCATTGTCGTATACAGTCTGCCAATTCTTTTGATTTCCCTCAACTTGAGCGATTTTGTCATTAAAGAGAGTAGATTGTTGTTGTAATACAGATAATTCATCTGAAAGTGTTGTAATTCTCGAAGCTAACGATTGGTTTTGTTGTATTAATTCTTCGTAATCTGGTTTATCATCTGGTTTTGTAGTCATGATAGAGGAAGCATCTGAGTTGTCTTCACCTTCATGAATGTCCCTCTGTGGTGGCTGTTGATCATCTTTTTCTTGTAATTTAGACTTCAAACTTGAGTGATCAGCTAGCAACTGTTGATAGAATTCCTGTTGTTGCTGTAATCTTTGATTAAATTTGGAGAGGTGTTGTTGAATATTAGAGACATCGACGTTATTAGTATCTATCTGAGGGATTTCGACGGGCAATTGACCATTGAGAGTGTCTTTTATTTGACTAAAGTGGTTCGATATACCGGATAAACCAGCGCCTAACTCTCTCGATTCCTTAATCTCCTTCTCAAGATTATCGAAGCACTTATTAAGATTGTATGATTTATTACTATCAAATTTATTCAATTCTTGTTTCAAGTTGAGGAATTCCTGTTGGTTGTGGGATATCATACATTTACTACTAACTTTTCTGTGTATAATAGATTTATTATCATCGCCGATTATATCAATACCAAATTCCAACAAGTTGTTATTCTCGAGCTCGACTGAGGATGATTCAACACCCTCTGGAGAGAGTCTCTCGTTGTTTAAAAAAGTACCATTTGAAGACTTAACATCTTTTATGTATATCTTATTATTCGCTGACCAGATCTCGGCGTGTTGCCTACTCAGTACTTTGCTATCGAAGTATCCGTTCGACTGCTTAGGCAGCGTCCTCTGGTTAGTTTGTCTACCTATTTTAACCTTCTCATTATCAGCTAAAGCTATTATTTTCAGCTCAAACGAATTATTCAGCGGAATTAAGAACAGATGGCTCATTTCAGCTGCTCGTTGTGGTGATGTAAGAGTACTAGAGTAAGAAATAAAGAATAAAAATTATATCTATAGCTCATTATGATCATATTACACGCTTATTTCTTGGCGCCTAATGAGACACTATTAGATCTCATTTTCATCTTGTTTTCTTACCATCATGGCACATTTACGCAGACCGTCTATAGATTCGTCTGTATCCCATGAATCTTTCGCTGCTCGTATAGGCGGCAAGTTCAGGGACGCAATCACACCAAACATTTCCCATGACGATCAGGACGACAGCAGCGATAAGCGAGGCAGGTCGTTCTTTTCCAGGGGCAGAGATAGTGAGTGTTATATACTTTAGAGCTAGTTGGTGTGTTATGTCTCTATCTCCCTCCAATCAGACATTCTCTCTTATCAGTAGTAACTGATAAGCTGATATCTATATCACTTGGCTAGCTCTCAATTTTAAACGACGATTCTAATGCATTTCAATCATACAGATAGATCAGAATCACGTGGCAGAGACCCCATAGTCTCCACTGGCAGAGGCGGTGCAGGAAACCTCAGAGCAAGCTCAAAGACGAGAGCTGCTTATGAGAGCGATGCCCAAGATGAACGCAGGGGGCGTAGCTCACATGCGACACCACCAAAAGTGTGTACATCATAGACTATCGACATTATCTTATATATTCCAGGCAGTACATGCGGGTAGAGGTGGCGTAGGAAACGTACGCTCGCCATCTAGGGATCCTAAAGACATCCGTAATCAGCAAGCTGAGCATCAACTCGAGGCGAAACTCCAGCGTGAGGCGCAAGAGAAGGCTGAGCGTGATGGCGTGATACCAACTGGGTAAGTGCTTGCTTTATAGAAAAATTATCCTCTAATAGACGGTAAGTCGTGGGGGTGCGGGTAATATCCGACACAACGAACATTCCCAATCACGTTCCAGGTCACGCTCAAGAACGAGGGATCTCCTTCAGCGCGCTACATCAAGAGACAGGTCATCTTCTAGGGACACACAAGCAATCTATAACAATAGTACTAACAATAGTGTCGCCCATGACGTCCATGATCCAGATACTTCCTTGGCGGCTGTACGCGAGTAGCGAAAGCACAAGCAATACGCAAGAATTTATAAATCAAGCTCGCTATTAATGATTATCCTGTTGTTTTTCTGTTGTCCTCATAAATAATTCATTTCGACCGGTATGACATAATAATGTAATATGTTTGACATAGGCATTTCCTGATGGCTAAGTATTTATACCCCGTCTTTTATGCTTTATCGTTAACAACAATGAGACAATCACTCTTGGCTGCTGCCTGCCTACTCTCTATCGCATCATCACAGCCATTGGCCGAGAGAGGTGAAGATTGTGTTCAAAATTGCTTCCTCACTGGCATTGTAGGTGTAGGTGCAACTGCCGCCTGTGGAAATGGAAATGGTTCGTCTTAAAATACTATTAAGATGCACAACTAAAATGTTTTAGATTACATTTCACAAGCAATCTGTTATTGTCAGACACCAGGTTTAGGAGACGCTTACTCGGGCTGTTTGGAGAGATGCCCTGAAGGTGGTTTCGAGAAAGGACAACATCTCAGAGATGAAGTTTGTTCAGCTGCAAATGGGCAACAAAGCCACGGTGGAGAGCATGGTCAGGACGGCGAACAAGGTGGTAAGCAAGACCCAGGTCATCACGTCGCTGGTATAATCTACGACAAAGTGCCACAAGCCCAAGGAAATATGGGTGATTACGCTGGCGGTGACTACACTGGAGGCGCTCAAGGGGGAGCCCAAGAAGGTGCGCAAGGAGGTATCCAAGGGGACACCAAAGAGGGCGCTAAAGGAGGTGTTAAAGAAGGCCATGATGGACACAAGGAGCACGAGCAAGGTCATGCTCAGGAGGGTATTCAGAGTCAATCCTCAGCGGCACCTTCTCAAGCATCATCAGCTAGCTCCTCGTCGCAGACATTCTTGACTCCTACACAAACCAATACCAAGACCCATAGCAACACCTCCTCTATGACATCCTCGGCCTCGCCAACATCAACCGGATTCGAGGACGACACAAGCAGCGCTGGTAGCAACTACCAAATCAGCTGGGTTGTAGTATTAGCATCAAGCGCAGCTCTCTACTTCCTCTCTTAAGGAATTTTCAACTCTTTTACTGGACAATGGATGGTCGGATCGACACTTTCTAATATTAAATAATTGACAACTTTTCTTTTAATTGAATACACTTTTAACCTTATTTGAGGGCATATTTGAGCAACTGGTTGTATGTTTCTTCGTTATCTTTGATTGCTTCTTCCACGAAATCCGGCAAATCAATTTTCTCCCTTTTGACAGCCTTAAAACCTGTACTGTTTTGGGCATCCTCGTGGAATCCTTTCCATTTGTCGAATTCTTCAATACGTTTACTTTCCCAGCTAAGCATGTTGTCTTCGAAAGGTATACCAACCTTATCGCAGAGGAGTTGTAATGTCTTTCCAGGGTTGTTAACCAAGTCATCACTATCTATGAGTGCGATTCCATCATCTGGATTTAATTTTCTGATGTATTTCTAGTGAAAAATCGTCAAAAAATGAAACAAACAAACAGCGTGAGTGAAAACTTACCATCATAGCATGTAATTCTTTGAATCCAGCTTCTGATGGGTCAAATTCACCGAAATCACCACAATCATTATCAATTGTTGCCCTGTAATAACTTGTAATGGCTTTACGTGGTGATCTGACGAGGAAAGCGTATCTAAATTCCTTCAATTGATCATCTGTTGGAGGTGTTAAAGACGTCACAACTTGTTTGCGGATACACCCACCTGATAAAATGGTTGGGTTTATTACATCAGCTTTATCCATCAATTCAGGTTTGACAAGATCTGGTTGATTGTTAAAAGGGACATTACAACGATATCACTTACAAGCAGCCATATCCTTAATAAAAATCAACCTGCCTGGATCTTCCATTGATTTCGACTTGATTTGGTCGATTATATCCTGGTAGGTGAGGTTTTCATATCCAGAAGCAGCTCTCTGTTCATCATTGTATCTATCCGATAATCTTTCAGGTCCATAATAGTATGGCTGGTTATATTGTTATATAGACATCCACATCCGATGCCATCGCTTACCTCTCCAAACGGCTGCGGTATATGTTAATAATTGGGTATAGAATTTTAGCAGAAAAACCCACTTCGTGGAAACAGTGACAGTTTTCTCGTTGTATAAACGCTCGCTCTAATGCCGTTGACGTTGATCTGTTCGATTGATTGTTCCTCAGTCGGGATCCATAATTGATAAGGAAATACGCACCTCGGTACGGATAAAACGAGTAATGGTTTATGTATAGTCATTTCCTATATATTTATTTTTCACTGTTTGTTGTTAACCAGGAGGAGTGAGTTTTTAGCCATTATGCATGATGATGTCAATATCTACGAAAGGAGATTCATTTTTATTTTTATATTGCGTGATCAATAGTGTTACCGAATACTTTTATATGGTTTATGTCGTATAACCTATTAAAATAAATGTTTCAAAATTTTCACCCCAAACAATTTTAAAAAAACATACACTGTGTAAATGAAGAAAATCAAAATAAAAATACAAGTTGATCCAGAGGGGTTACCGTTAGTTTTTTTTCTAGTTCTAGATATGTCATTAAAGATATGAGTCGTGCTTAAGATGCAGCTGAGTTGTCTGCACATGAGAATGGTGATCCAACGCTACCGGTATCAAATTCCGTTTTGATACCGACGATTGTACCATAGGCACCAGCAATACAAAGGAAGGCGCCGAGTATAATGAGGAAGCCAGCCCAGACAACTTTAGATCTAAACCAGAGTGAAGTGTCTGTCTTGAGGTTATGGCGGTTAACGTCTAGCCACATCATTGCAGGTAATCCAACGCAGAATAGTGATGCGAACAAGCTACCAACGAGACCCAAGAGAGAGTCAAAGAATGGAATAGCGTTTGCGACGATAAAGCAGAAGACAACAACACATGCGACTGTGGTAAGCCACACTGTCCAGTGGATGATCGTTGGCTCGACAAGGTGCTTTGAGCCTCTCATTAGTCTAACGAAGACTTGCTTTGACGCAAAATGGGCATAGAGTAATCCTGATACTAATAATGCAGGAATAGCAATACCATATGAAATTTTTTGGAAGATTGCACCAGCAGTACCTAGTGCTGGTGATGTGATGTATTGACCACCGTAGTACCAGAGAATAACGCCAGTGATGAAGTAGAAAATCAATGTGAAAACTTGCTGAACGTGAACAGCCTTGTAGTAGTCACGCTCTGGGTCACGCATTTCAGAGTAAATTGCTGGATATGATGGTGTACCTGCAAAAGCGAAAAGTATGTTGACGACAGCATTCATTGAGCTGGCAAAACCTTCAGCTGGACCTGCTGCAAGTTTTTTGTCGAAAACTTCTGCTTCATTACCTTTTGCAGGACCTGCTTGGGCAGTTGCGATAACAACAATCATGACAGAGACGACAATGCAAAACATAGCTATCCAGCCAACCCAACTGATGTGATCGAGCTTGCGCATAGTGGCGATAACGAAAATAGAGGCTGCTGCTATACCGACATATGCTACTGTGCATATACGCATACCTTCTCCCAAGGTGTTGAATGCGATAGACAAACTGAGCATTGAAGATGCAGATATCAGGGTCATGAAGAGGAAATAACAGATTGATACGATGGTAAATGCGACCTGTCCGAATGCTCCTTTACCGAATATAACGAGTGCTGTGTCTGGTGTAGAGTGTACCGATGGATGCGCCATTTTGAACTTGCCTGAGGCATGATTGGACCAAGCGGTAATTATACCGAGACCAAAAAGGACGACTAAACCTACTGCTGCACCGAGTGTTTGCATTGCTGCAGGTATAGAAAGTACACCCAAACCGATTTGAGTCTTCTTTTGTCAATATGTGATAGAATGTACAAAGAAGACATACCTTAGTCATAACAACAGACGCTCTAATCCATCCTGTCGTTCTGAAGTTCGTGACATTCTCACTCGAGCTGTTTACAGCGAAGACATCCTTCTCGCCGACTTCCTCTACATCCCTCACAAGTGTGGAACTTATAGGGCCATTCTTATAATCTTTCTCATCTGACATGTTTATTTGATTTGTGATGGTTAAAATACAAGGTTGTCTGGGGATTTAAAACCGCATTCGACAAGCGAGATATCACCTCTCGCTTATGACCTGAACAAGTGATAACTCAGGTCCGCTTTAAGCGAGAATAAGTTAGATATATTACCGAGTGTATTTACCAATTATGAAATATTATTTATCTATTTTAATACATTTAAGGTATATTATATGATCTGTAATATTTGCAATTCCTCGGAGAACCTGCGCTTGGCAGCAGAACTCAGTGACTCAATTCGCTGATTAGATAGACGCATGACCCTTTACGTTTCTCCGATCAGTTTCATCTCATTTCGCTTATCCAGACAGACCTTTGATATACAACTCCGGTGAATCCCACAGTATCAATAATCGAGTTGATAAGATAAGCTCAATACACATATATCTATGATGTGATTGGAGGCATATTAGAATCTACTGTTACTACCTATACACCAATCAACTCTGGTACCAATCTAATACAGTCGTATTTGATGTCTCATACAACAGCGTCATCGACATTGGGGCTTCGATCATAAACTACACTCGTACCACCTAGATATCCTCATTGATTCAGTTCTTTTGAAATACATTATTGGGACTACTATGAGAAAGGCCTTATCTCCTCGATATGATGTTGGTCACTAATTCTTCTCTCTCCGGGCAGGATTTCCCGAAAACCCCGAGTTACACTCTCTGAATGCATAGTGAACGTAATGCCTCTCATGCCATACATATCCTCTTTGCTAAGCTATTTGATATCCTGCAGCGGCTACTACAATTTCATAATGCTTTGTATCTGATTGATGCTAGCCAATTTTTTACATATACATACACACGATTGGCTCGGCATTTTGCGAAATGATAACAGAATATCGAAGGAATTATATGGAGACTGTCTTGTGTCTTGACTGACTATTACACTATTAGGAAGCTATTTTAGCGATATTCGCCTCTGTCAGACTTCGCTAGGACCCTGAGTAAAAAGACCTACGTCCATATGCGTGGACAATTACGCTGGCGATTTATCTATCCCATAAAGTTCTCTGTTACGTAGACCCTATCCAATGATACGATTCGGTAGGTCAGCTGTTACTTCTTGGAACTCTCGAATGTCACCAGGGCATACCCATGTCCCATAATCGAGTTGATTCGTTACTCAGGAAAAATTCAGTAGCATTACTTTTGTTAAGCTTGTTAAGGTCACCTGGTGGGAGCATGCCATGTATTTGCATTGTTCATGTTCTTGTCTTAAAAATGCTTATTACTTAGCGTACATTTGTTGCTTCTCTTGAAAATCTAAGAGCTGTTGTTAGTTTCATCACTACGGGTTTGTACTGCAAGTAGTTTACTTTCTGCTTTTCTGTGCTCTCTCACCAGCTCCTACTACTACTACGCTTATATTGTTAATATTTCGCAAGACAATGTATCTGTAGTATCTCTAAATGTATAAATAAACAAATGAATAAATATATAGAATGTAATTTTGTGGCGATCTATGTGGAAGCTCATCTAACCTTAGATTCTGTTATCTAATGACGAAATGACGGTGCATAAGAATAAATAAGCAAGTTACTCGCTATCCCGCTAGCTACCAAGGCTGTTCATTCCAGCATCTGTTCCAGGTATTTTCTTGTGATCTGCTGGATTAGCTTGAATTTGATGTTAGATAGATTATATGTTTTAGAAATGCTACCCACCAAATGCCTCATATGTTGTTATGACTGGATCAGCACGCAACTCCGTCCAGCTGCCTTTGAAACCCACGAAGTAAAGACGTGACGTATCATCTCCAAAGTTCTCAGGGAAGAAGAGCGTCAGATTCTTTACTGAGTTGAATTTTGATATTCTGTTGAATAATTATAAGATAATCATTAAAAAACGGCTATGCACCCACTTAATTGGATACTCTATACACTCAGAAGATTGAACGAGCTCAATTTCTTGAGTGGCTGCAGGATCACTATCTAGATCACCAAAATCGAGGAATTGGTTGGCGTATATCTTCACCTTAGAAGGTGCACTCTCTCCTGGCCCAGCTTTGAATAGTATAGACTTTAGTTTAACACTCGCGGTAAATGGAATCCTAAGTAAAAGCTGTTCATCAGCGTCACTTTGTATGAATAGCGTGGTGTCATCTTTATCAATCCATTCCTTTATGACGTCTTTTCCTGTGGCACCCTCGTCTTCGTCGATATTAAGCGCTGTGACATTTGGTTTGTCGATAACTTGGTAAAGGAAATCATGATCTACGCCGCTTGAAGGGTGTGGATCGTGTGTATGGTTTGGCTGCTCTATGTGAGAATAGGGTTCAATATTATCTGATACTCACATCACTGCAACTGTCGCTACACGTCATTGAAAAGTAAAAAGAACTTACGTAATGTTTTTTCAATCTGAACATCCATCATGCCATCAGTTAACAACATCAGCTCAACATACAGACTTGCATCAGGACATGAGATACCTGCATTTCAACTAGGTGTCTATAAGAGTTCATCTGATGTTGCAAAGAACACTGTCACTTCAGCTCTCAAAGGTGGGAATGATATGCATGGCATATAGCACTTCTGACATGATCAGCCGGATACATTGGCGTCGATACAGCTCAATACTATGCCAACGAAGTTCAGGTCGGAGAAGCTATCCGTGAAGCAGGAAAACAAGCTGGGGACGTGTTTGTCACAACAAAGGTCATGGAATCTGCTGGTGACGTTGATGCGAACTACAAGAGGTGTTTGGAGTCAATCGAAAAAATTGGTCTCGGATATGTAGATCTGTTCTTGATACACTCTCCACGTCAAGCCAATGGTGCAACTGATCGTAAGAGCCTCTGGCAGGCTCTCGAGCGTCTAGCAAAGGAAGGACGTGCAAAGTCTATCGGTGTCTCAAACTATGGTGTAAAACACATCGAAGAACTTAAGAAATATGCAAGTGTGCCTGTAAGCGTCAACCAGATTGAGCTTCATCCATTCCATCAGCAGCGCGCTATTGTTGAGTATTGTCAGAAGAATGATATCATCTTGGAAGCATACTGTCCTATCATTCGCGGACAGAAGAAGGATGACCCTACTATCGTAAAGATATCTGAAGAGACTAACAAAAACTGGGCACAAGTACTTATTAGATGGTCTATTCAGCGCGGTTTCGTCACTCTTCCAAAGTGAGCAAGTCTTTTATTGCGTTGCATGATAGCTAACTATGTATATAGATCTGACAACCCTGAGAGACAAAAGAGCAATGCTGACATATTCAATTTCGAGCTCAGTACCGATCAAATGGCTCGTTTGGATGGATTAGAAGCTGGACATCATGTTGCACCATGTCCAGTCGATTGCGATTAAGGATGTAACAAAGTAAATGTAAATATTTGAGATATATAATGTCATTTCATGCAATTATGTTATCGCATGTGTTGACACTATTTGAAGTGCTAGATAGAGATGTAGGAAAAGAAAGCGAGATAAAGGAAGATAGATGTAGACATTTCTGATAAGGACACTTGCATAACTCAGAAATAACGATTTCATTCTTTCTTCCCAACATCCATGATATCAATTGACGATGACTTCGAAGAGCGGCAAGGAAGGCAATCTAATCCACATCTAGAGCCTTTTGACACTTTCATGGACTTTAAATATAATGATGACGATAATGTAATGAACGAGATTAACGAATTCTACTCATATCTCGACGTAAGATGCATTCTCGACGGAAAGCACGAATGGCTGGATGCGGATTATGGCAGCTGGTGGGCTATGGAAGATTCTCAGCGGAGAGATCTACTAGCTAAACTTCTTAACGCTATCAATGGTGATAAATTGTCCGAGAGACTGAAAGCTTCACGTAAATTGCTATACGTTATGCAAGGTGGGAATCAATAGATATGAATGTAGACTCCCTAACAACACCTAAAGGTAGCTTTATCGAGAGCAAAAGCACTAAACACCACTTAGATTGCATCATTGAGAATGTCAAGTTGGTTAGGGAGTGCGGCGGTCTGAACAAAATAGCATCCGCACTTAGAGCTGCTATATCTTTTCACAGTATCGTGCACACTGATTATGCACACCTCGCAGAGCCAGACTTTATTGAACAGGTAAATGTCGAGTTGGGCTCTTACATGGAGATGCTCTACTATATGGTGCAGATATTGCGCCACGACAGCACCTTCGCTGATGAACTAAGTGGGTGACTCATATATCAACTGTTTAATTCTTATGAACTTCCAGTGAATCTTGAACCATCATTGCCAACTTACCTTTTTACTTTGTTGTCCGGTTTACGCGACAAAACGGCAAAAGGATATCCAGTTAAGAAGGTTTGTTGGCTGTAGTCTATGTGACTTTTTCTCACAAGCTTTAGCTTCTTCTACTATTATGGAAGACCCTCCTTGTTGTTTTTGGTGGCTGGGAAGATATTGATTGTCTGAAAGACATATCATATGAACTCTTCAAATGCAACCTGGCAGTCAAGGATGACAATACCATTTTGAAGAGCAATCCGCTGGATTTACAACAATTCTATTCGCAGACTTCCCTCAAATACCCAACTTACAGGCCTAAACAGCAATCCTTACCATTAAATGGATTAACATTGGCATCTGCACCTGCACCACTGAAGACAAGTGCGCCCAATCAGGACATCCCGAGTGCATTTAGTGTTTCTGGACCGACTGTCTCTGGTGGAAGTACGTCCACCATCAACACGAGTGCTCCAGGCAATGGTATCCCTGGAACACCACTACCAACCCCACCACCATCACCCGCGTACAATGGGCCAAAGCTGAAAAAGACGCAGTTTCAAACGGACCAAACAAAGCCTTTCATATTCCCATTCTCAGAGTCAACTTCGACTGTACCAACATCGATCGATGAAGCAGGAAGATTGTTTGCTGCTCACATGCACGTTCCAATTTCACTCTGGCAAACTCATCAAATACGCAAAGACTTCGTCCGCAGTCTTGGCTTCACAAATAGATATGCGGAAATCGCAGAAGCTGAATATGAGAGTAATGCGCCAGTGGATGATTTTGACACATGCTCCGTCGCGAGTCAGATTAGCAACCTTAACTCAGACCATAAAATATATGTCGACAAGCTGATGCGCGTTGAGGTGGTTTACAGGGAAATACTACCATATCTTCACAACTGCGTTATTGTTTTACTTAAGTTGTTGCTCGCTTCACTTAACTCTCAAAACACAGGTGGACACGCTCATGAAGGTGAACATCCTGCAATGTCACTCGATGACATAGATGTTGCACGCCATAGGGAAATTACGTCGAAAGCTGTATCCGCTATCATTCTGTTACTTTTGAAATGGTTCAAGGTTTCACATGTCATGAAATTCCAATGGCTTTCTACACTTTTGGTTGACTCTAATTGCATTCTTCTCATGTTGAAGATGTATGGTTTCCAGGATGTGGTCACTATGATGCGAACTCAGCATGAAGTAGAAGAACTTAAGTGAGTGTGGTCTTCTTTTTCCTTACGGTCGCCAACATATTATAGTTTCTTCAATTACTGTCATACCTACGGTACATCTACACAGGATGGCAGTCACAGGAAAGTACCTTCTATAAATTCGAACGATGGTATACCAGATTTCGAGACATTTGAGAAACCGGATTTGCGCACTTTCAGTTGGCGTAACCTTTTCTCTACGATTAACTTTATGAGGATTGTCCAGAAGTTGAGCAAGAAGCGTACACACAGACTGTTACTATTGGTGCAGTATAAGAGTAGTGTAGGTTTTCAAAATAACATTCGTAGTACAAGCTAACAAATATAGGCCATGCTGAAGCGTTTGCTTAGGATTTCTGAACCAAGATTGCAGCTTTATATTCTTAAAATCATAAAAGGACAGGTGCCATATTATGGAAGAAAGTGGAGGCAATGTGGGCGAGCCCTTTTCTGCCAAGTATAATGCTAACAGCCTACCAAAGCGAACATGAAAGTAATCACCGCTATATACCTAAACTGTAGACCTGAACTGCGTGATGAATGGCTCGCCAGTGCAGATGTTGATCAAGAAATCGAAGATTCTTTAGTGGGTTGTGCGCTTTGAAATTTACATCTCTCACAAAGCCTAAGCCACAAGAGCAATCTTTACGCGCATTTGTCAAATTCTGTAAGCTCTTCTTTTTCGCCTGCTAACATACTAACTGGAGAAATTAGATAATGAAAAGTACTACAAGTGCGTAACACTCGTCAGACTAGCTCAGCTAACGCACAGAAAGCACCCCTGGGGGACAAACACATCACGTAGATGTTGAAAATGTTGCCATGAAGGAAAAGGTAGCCGTCGACCGTGAGCAAGAATCATCACAATCGGAGAGCGAGCATCATTCAAGCAGAGGTGGAATGGTTGCTGATGATATCTACGATCTGCACGAATATGACGATATCATGGAAGATATCCTTAATGGTGTTGAAGGCGACTCCTTCGATGCACAAGGTTTAGACCAAGCATTGAAAGAGTTGAACCTGAACCATCTAGATAGGGGTTCAGACGCATGGAATAAACTTAACACGTTCTTAGGACCGGGATACATGGATGACGTTAGCGACAGTGAAAGGTGGGTAGTTCTCTACGTAATTGTATTTATTTCTCACTATAACAGCGTTGTCACCGTCGATGATCTTGGATACAACGGTACAGGTGAAGGTGATGCTGAAAACGCTGAGAACCCAGGCCTAAACGATTGGGAACACATTAGCGCGGATACATTGTCGCAGCTTCCACCTTCGCCTAATAGGGTGCTCAAGTCGCCGCAAAAAGATGGCAGGAGGCTCTCTGAGGGTGAACAAGCTGATGAACAAATGTCACCGCCACCTGGTAGCCCCAAGCCACTACCATTTGCAGGTGGTGCGAATGGCATTGGCGTTGATGAAGTTGAGGTGTGTGTTTTGATTTTCTTTAAATGTGATACTGATTCATGTTCCAGTTTTTGTATGGAGGTGAGCAAATAAGATGTTCCTTCTATATTCCGCTGACATTGTCTTACAGAGTGATAGTAAATGTAACAATACACGAATTACTTATATATTAAATAAGATGTATGCGTACAGTTGTGATCATTAAAGTAGTAGATACGCGAAGTGTATAATGCTGTTATGATTAGTGTGATGATTGTATATATTGAGGTAATCCTATCCGAGGAGAAATTCTATCAGCAGGAGTATGATGAATAATGCAGATAAAGTAGTAAACTTCGGACGTTGAATCATTCCGTCAGAAGTTTCTAAAGTTGTGTCCATATATGTCGCTTGCGAAACCGTACCATTTTGACATTCATCTATGAGTACGTTTACGTCCTTCATTGAATCTACCACCCAAGCTTTATTCCCGTAATCTAATGTTTCGCAACCATTTCTACATTCATGGAGTAACTTCGTGTTATTTGCTATCAATTCTGAATTTTGCAGATAAAATCCCGATGTTGTTGGTTGCCTAACGAAGCACACTCCTGGGTGGACTTTGGTATACATTTTTAAACTGATGTTATAATTAAAGCCTCACGTCTGGAAACGATTTTCATAGTTCTTTTCAGGTACGAATCGTGCAAACTGACAGTTTGAATTCTTTGTCGTCCTCCAAGTATTTTAATTGAGATATTTGAGGCGATTACATGATGTATTATTAATATATAGATATATATACTTAGAACAGAACTTAGGCACACAACCGATCGGTAAGAAGGCACATCGAGAACATTTTTTGGAAAATTATGAAATTGCAAAGATTTGTACAAATGAGTGATGATTGATTCTGTCTAACTCTTTCTCTTTATAAATAAGTCATTACTGTGATTCCGGTTGATTATCTGTAGGTGCTTTTTTGCTTTTTCTTTTTGTTAGCAAAAAATAGCTTTAAAAAGCAGGACTTACATATCTCCTTCCAAGAACTTATCTAATTCGTCCTTCGTGTGCTCGAATGGACGTGGACCAAGCAAATCAATCATGTCTTGCCGAGAGAGAACCTCCTTTACGAGGAGCTTTTGTGCTACCTTCTCTACAAGATCTCTTTTTTCACCTAAAAGCTCATGCGTGCGTCTGTGTGCTTCAGAAATCATACCTCTTACTTGATTGTCTATCATTTCAGCTGTCTTCTCACTGAATGGTTTTTGGAATCCTTCATTGCTGCCTTCACGACCACCGTAACTGACAGGACCTATTTCATTGTTCATACCATAGTTAGCACATACTTCAAATGCCATCTTCGTTATCCTTTGCAAATCATCTTGTGCACCTGTTGTAATTCTTCCAAAGAAGATCTCTTCTGCGACTCTACCACCTAATGTCATACACATTCTGTCAATGAGTTGCTCAGTAGTGAACAAGAAACGTTCTTTTGGAAGGTATTGTGCGTATCCAAGTGCACCAACACCACGTGGAATGATAGATACCTTGACGAGTGGATCAGCGTGTTCCAAGAACCATCCACAAATTGCGTGACCTGCTTCATGGTATGCGACTGTCTTCTTCTCTTCTTTGTCTAACACTCTGCTCTTACGTTCGAGACCTGCGATGACTCTCTCAATTGCTTGCTCGAAGTGAATAAGGTTGATGGAGTTAGCGCCCTTTCTGGCGGCATAAAGTGCAGCCTCATTGCAAACGTTGGCAATATCAGCACCGGAGAAACCTGGTGTAAGAAGGGCCAATCTATGAGCGAGATTGCTATATGGGTTATCTGAAGTAAGAAGCTTCTTGGCATCTCTTTCACGGCGTTCAGCTGGAGTGAGATCATCTTCTACAGTTTCAGCCATGACGATTGGAGCACCGAAGGTGTCATCTTTAACTGGAGAGAATGCCATAGTTGATTCCTTGAATAAAGCTGGGTTTGGTGTAGGGAAATCACTTGCAGGCTTACCGACACTAGAGCTTGGTCCTGCATCACTATCTTCGGAAGGTGGGCCAACTTTCTTTAATGATACATCCAATTTGAGTGGACGGAGGTGAACAAGGAATATTTGTGAACGTCCGCCGACGTCTGGTCTGTCAACGCTGATATGTCTGTCGAAACGACCTGGACGCATGAGAGCTGGATCAAGAACATCTGGTCTGTTTGTACCGGCTAAAACGACAACGTGTTGGTCTGTACCGAAACCGTCCATTTCAACAAGGAGTTGGTTTAATGTACTTTCACGTTCGTCATTTCCACCACCAACACCGCCAGATTTGGCTCTTGATTTACCGATAGCATCGATTTCATCCAAGAAGATGATACATGGTATGTTTTTACGTGCTGTAGCGAACAAGTCACGGACACGGGATGGACCAACACCAACGAACATTTCAACAAATTCTGAACCTGATACTGAAAGGAATGGAACACCAGCCTCACCAGCGGTTGCTTTAGCGAGGAGAGTCTTACCGGTACCAGGCTGTTTTAGTGGTTAGCTTGTATGATTTCTATGAGAAAATTAGACTCACTGGACCTGAAAGAATAGCACCACGTGGAATCTTTGCTCCTAATCTTTCAAACTTTTCTGGCTCCTTAAGGAACTTTACGAATTCCATAATTTCTTCCTTTGCTTCGTCCATACCGGCGACATCTTTAAAGCGGGTACCAATTTCATTCTCATGGTTGAACAGTTTTGCTCTACTCTTTCCTATGCCGAAAATACCGCCACCAGCACCAGAACCAGCTCCTGCTCGTCTGCTCATCCAGTACAATAAACCAGCGAAAAGCAAAGTTGGTGCGAAGTGTAAGATCATATTAAGCGGTGAAGTTTCTTCATGGTATGCGACCGGAATCTTCTCGTGGTTTGGTACGCCAAGTTCCTTTTGTGCCTCATCGAGGTGACGTTCGAAAGCGTCTACGCTGCCAATAGAGAAGTACATACCGTAGCTAGAAGGAACATCGCCACGCAAGCCAACTCGTACTTTGTTACGGTTTACTACGACCAAACGCTCAACGAGACCTCTGTCGAGGTAGCCTGTTCTGAACTCTTGCCAGGTAACTTCCCTCTCGGTAGCGTCTGGCACAAGGAGTCTATAGGTGAAATATGTACCGACACCCATCATTAAAAGCTGCTGTCCGTTGATGCGAATTTCAGTGTGTGGTCCACCGCCGCCACCGCCTGGGAAACCACCTGGGAAACCGCCTTCGCTGTCCTTCTTGTCCTTCTTCTTGTTATCCTCGCTGTCGTCATCCTCATCCTTGCGCTTGTTTTGTTTCTTCTCGTCACTCTTGTCGTCTCTTCGGATGATAGGCGTATGAGTGAATTGCCTCTGTGGATTGAATTTTGTTATTGGCCTAAAATACCGCGGCCTTATTAAATTAGATAATCTTAGCATCTCGTCGTATTTCCTCAAGTTGCGCGAAATCGTTGAGATCTCTCTTTGGCAGGAAATGCAAGGATCAAAAATATTAGGAATTGCTAGAGGTGAGTAGCCGCTTAACTAGCGAATATTTTATTCACTTATTTAGCCTCTACTACGCCTATTGCTCCCCCATTCGTACACCTTCCTCTTAGGCATCTATTCCATCCAAAATCTGGTTTCGTAGAAAAGCAGGCAGTGCCTTTACCTTCGGACGCCTTCAATGCTCCCCTTAGAAGGGATATCCTCCACTCCTGCGTTCGCAGCTTCCTTTTCTCTAATAGAGACGGTACAATAGCACACGTTAAGAATAGACATGAGGTTGCAGGTAGTCATAGAAAACAGAGACCACAGAAAGGTACCGGTCACTCGAGAATGGGTACCAAGCAGTCCCCGCTCCTCGTCGGTGGTGGTCAAGCTCATGGCCCTCGTAACACCCGCAACTGGAAGCGCAAAGTTAACAAAAAGGTCTGGGCACTGGGCATGAAGGTAGCCTTGTCCGACAAAATTCGTTCAGGCGAGTTGGTCGCCATTCCAGCCAGTCATTTGGATATTCCAAGAACAAACAAACTGAGCAGACAACTCAGCAATCTTGGTTTGTTAGATAGAACGCTTTTCGTTAGCTCAGATATTACTTTGCACCTCGCTTCACGGAATATTCCTACCATAGACACACTCACACCAGAAGAAGTTGACGTTTATGATGTTCTCCGCGCTAAGAAGGTTGTCGTGGACGTGCAAGCGCTTAATTCACTCTACCACAAGATTCAAATAAAGGCAGGTGAGATTGAGGGCAGCGTGGAAGAACCTGAAGAATTCGGGTTTGAGACACCTGCACTCACTGAACAAGAAGAGCAAGCGTTGTTGGAAAAGGCTGATTTTGTACTTAATAAGCAGTGATTTATAGATTCATTCGGGACTTTCAAATTGTATTTTGCCTGTTCTATCTCCCCAGCTAAACTACCTTTAACCATTACCACCATCTGCTTTGCTAACATCCTATGAGTGCTTTACAGAGGCTCAAATTTAGTGCAGAAGTGCTGGATGCAATGGCTACCAGAAAGCCCGTCGTTGCGCTAGAATCCACTATCATCACTCATGGTCTGCCTAGAGGAGATAATCTCTCACTTGGAAGGAAACTGGAGAAAATTATAAGAGATAATGGTGCTATTCCTGCTCATATTGCTGTCATAGATGGACATCCCCTCGTTGGCTTGTCTGATAAGCAACTCGAAATACTAGCTCTCGACGAGTCACTCAATCCGCTCAAAATAAGCCGGCGAGATCTTGCAGTCGCATCTGCATTGAACAGAAGCGGTGGTACTACGGTTGCTGGAACGATCTGCCTAGCTAGTGCAGCTGGTATCAAGCACTTTTGTACGGGCGGATTAGGTGGTGTCCACCGTGGCGCTGAGCGTACGTGGGACGTTAGTGCAGATCTCACAGAGCTTGGGAGGAGCCCAGTGAATGTCATCTGTGCCGGGGCGAAATCTATCCTCGATACATCACTTACATTGGAATACCTGGAGACACAGGGTGTCACAGTCGCAACTGTGGGAGAAACAAACGACTTTCCGGCATTCTACTCACCAAAATCTGGATACTACTCTCCATACAACCTTACACCAGTTGAAGCAGCGAGAGTGTCACTCGCTTCAGATGGTTTGTCGAGTGGTGCATTATTTTGCTGTCCTATCCCAGCGGAATATGCTGAAGAAGGTGCCCGGATACAAAGCTCAGTCGATCAAGCTATCAAAGAGAGCCAGGAGGCAGGTATCGCCGGTAAAGAGACGACACCGTGGTTGTTAGCGCGCGTTGCAGAGTTGACGAAGGGTAGCTCTATCAAGAGTAACTTAGCATTAATCGAGAACAACGCCAAAATAAGCGCAGATATCGCCGTCGCGTATAACCAACTACAAAAGGGACAAGAACCAGAGCAGAAAGTGTATCCAATGGGACATATGAAAAAACCTGATGCTACCAAGCCTGAAGTTGGCAAGCCACCTGTAAGACAGCCACCACAGCAAGTGCAAGAAGAGAAACAAACGGATATACCAGCAGATGTCATGATCATTGGTGCATCAGCCCTTGACATAACATCGCAATACAAGGACGTCGTTGGTGAAAACCCCCAATCGACATACCCAGGCGTCATCAAGATAGGACTGGGCGGTGTCGGACGGAACATTGCCGAAGCGACGAACAGGGTTCTCCGCAAAAGTCCTATTTCTTCTATGTTGGTCACGCCAGTTGGAAGTGATGAATTTGCCGAAACGCTTAAGAGTGCAACGTCGAAACTCAAAATGCGTACGGATGGGTTTATCAACACATATCACCCAACACCTGTCGTGAATCTGCTACTCAACAGCGATGGAGAGTTACGCGAGGGTGTTTCTTCATTTGAAGCGGTGGAGAAGCTCACATTTGACGAGGTGGGTGTTTTATATTCTTGAAAACGCTAACTGAGTATGTCATAAAGGTTAAGAAAGTCCTTACGAAGCACAAGCCACAGTTGATCGCTCTCGATGGTAATCTCAATAGCAGTCTTCTCGCGGATGTAATGGCATATGCAGAGGTGAACAACATCGACACCCTCTTTGAGCCTACAAGTGTTGCCAAAGCAACTCGCATACTTAGTGGTAGTGGCATACCAAAATTGACTTATGCTACACCAAATATTTTTGAATTGAAAGCCTTAGTGGAGAGCAAGCAATTTGGAGAACTGAGAGAAATTGATTCATATTGGGAAACTCTCAATGGTTTGCGTTTATTCCAAAACTTCAGAGACCAACTCGAACGCAACCTCCCAAAGAATGTTCTAGAGCTAGGTTTGCCTCAGATGTCAGTTATGTTACTTCCAATCTGCAAGAACCTCCTCGTTAAGTGTGGAAGTGACGGTGTCTTAGCAGTCACTCGCGTCAAACGCGATGAGTTTGGTGACTGGAAGGACATCAAATCTGACAAAGAGGCTTCACGAGTTGTACATCTCCCTAATGATGGTGATGGTGTCGTCGTGCAACATTTCAAAGCCTCCGTTGCAGAAAGGATCGTTAATACAACAGGTGCGGGAGACTCATTCGTCGGTGCACTCATTGCTGCAGTTGCATCAAGAAAGGGTCTCACCGATAGCGTAAAATTGGCTAACGAGGCAGCTATGCTCACACTTGGCTCACAGGATGCTGTCAGCGCTAGGTTGAACTACCTCAGCGATGATTTGGAGTTGTAGATATTAAATATCATTAATATTTCTTTATATCGTCTCCTTGTATTGCTCTCTTCGCTGAAATCTCTTTATACGCTCTGTCGTCCATTGTCTTCAGTAAGAGCGTATATATCAAAGGTAGACACGTAATTTAAACCACTAGAGGTTTATCTCAATTACACAATGATAAACTACAGCAAATATCTATCTCCTCGACTTACTCTCAACCTATTTCATTCTCAATGTTAATAACGAATTCTCAGTATCTATAGATAAATAATACAAACGAATACACCGATCATAACACATCAAATGGCACATTCCATACAAAAAAAAGTAATCACAAGGTAAAAATAGATACCAAAAAAGAATCTCCCTGTCTGGGAGTTGAACCCAGCTCTCCCGCGATAAGCCTGAAAATCAGATTTTCTTGACAAGCGGGCGTACTAGCCGATATACTAACAAGGAATCTGACTTAATCTTCAAAGAGCATTGTGTGTACCATAAATATCAATATTGCTGATTTTTTATTTCGGAAAATTTTAACACCATGAACACTTAGGACTTCAAGCTTCCAAACAACACTCCTCTCACTAAATAAAATCTAGGACTGAATTACCAGTCAGGACATAGTGGAACGTTCTACGACATCAAGAGTAAAGCTATCCAGATCAGAATTCAAATACGGGTGTTGAACATAAAACGACAACTAGTTGTTAGATATGTACGTATAAATAGTAATAAGACGGCAGTAAGGAACAAGCGGACAGTGAAAACTATGGAGACATAAAAATGAACACAAACGACAAGATGATCTAGAATAAAACCATATATGTATAGATATTTAATTTATAATGACACAAGCTGAGTTGCCTTTAGGATAGCGATCGCTAGTTATGAACATAAGTGACATATTCCATATAATCATACTAGCAACAGAATCGCACCATTTTACAAACATGGAAATGATATTTAAACTCAATATAAACAAAATCAATGAAATCTTCATATGTTAAATTAAAATTAGAAGGTAAAACCTTTACTTCATACCTTGCCCCTAACCACAACTTTCAGATTAAATAAAATGACGAGATCTCCAGATAGTGAAGGTGACAAAAGTGAGAACTCCTTCTATTCAAATAGGGTTGGTAGCCAGGAAGAAGTACGTAAGCCTGGCGACTACTTTGAGACAACAGGACCGGGTGGCTTAGGTGTAGTAAGAGTGACTAAAGGAACTCCCGTCTCCGAAGAGATACGCAAAGCCAAAGCTGAAGGAAAACTTAGACCTATCCCTAACATAAATAGATTGCTGAGAGGTAGTACTCTGGTTATCATGATATTCTTCGTGGTTTTAACATGTCTCATCCCTGTAACCCTGTGCTAAGAATGAAGTTTCCGGTGTCACCGTTATTAAATAGTGAATTCCAGACGTACGGTGTTAGGCCTGAATACACATCAACACCAATCTATTAGAAAGTATATCAACAATAAGAGGAAATAATTAACAAGAAAAGTGAAAAAAAAAGATATGAAAGAAATAAATCTCGTACGGAGGCAATTGATGCTAAATGCTCAACATATATAACATACTTCGTACTACATAATACAAGACAGACAGCCTCGGGCTTCTTGATAGTGAGGAATTGAATATTAAACCTTACCTTTATTCCATATATGTGATTCTTAAAACCTATCAGAGTAAATTAGAGACTCTGAAGTACGTGTGAATGTTAGTTTCGTATGCATTACCCGCACTTACTGAGGTGCACAATACTATTTTTTACATGACTAACTGATTAAAAGCATCAACGACCGATTCACAAATTTAAGAACGCGAATAACGATTTAAACACCTTAGAAGTTATTAGTACATTCTCTCACTTAAAACACCCCATGATGCCCTTATCTAGGTCTGCTATAGTTCAAATATACACAGCCAGAATGAGAGAGAAAGAAGCTAAATAATATAGAAAGGAGTGATAGGGATCATCGCTAGACATCAATTAGAAGAAACAAATTTTAGAATTGACATGCCCATCCTGCCGTTCTTCGCAAGTTGCGAGGAGGCGTTCATAAACTAAGAAATGAGGTTTTACTCACAGAAGTTCCCAGAAGTCGATGAACTTGTAAGTAGTAAAAGAATAAATTATTCAGATCATCTAAACTCCTACAGGTCATGGTACAAGTTCGTCAAATCGCAGAAATGGGTGCCTACGTAAAGTTATTAGAATATGATGGTATAGAGGGTATGATCTTGCTTTCAGAACTTTCAAGAAGACGTATAAGGTCGATCCAAAAGTTGATTAGAGTCGGCAGGAATGAAGTCGTCGTCGTACTCAGAGTAGACAAGGAGAAGGGTTACATTGATTTGTCAAAGCGTAGAGTATCTCCAGAGGATGTTCTCAAATGTGAAGAACGGTTCAATAAGTCAAAAGCAGTACACAGTATCATGAGCCACGTTTCCGGTAAGCTTAACCTCGACATGGAGAAGCTTTACGAGGATGTTGCATGGCCATTACACAATAAGTATGGACACAGCTACGATGCTTTCAAATTATCCATTTCTGAACCAGAAATGATATTCAGTCAGCTCAGTGTTAGCGAGGAGATTCTTCATGAGTTGAAGGCAAACATTAGCAGGAGGCTCACACCACAACCTGTTAAAATCCGTTCAGATTTAGAAGTTACCTGCTTCAGCTACGAAGGTATTGATGCTATCAAGGGCGCTCTCAAGGCTGGTGAAGCACTTCAAACCGAGACTATCCCTATCAAAATCAAGCTTGTTGCACCACCACTCTATGTTATTAGCACGACTTCAACTGACAAAGCAGGTGGTCTCGCTTTGTTAGAAAAGGCTGTCGCTTTAGTCCAAGAGAAGATGCAACAATCTGGTGGTGAAGTGAACATCAAGATGAAACCTAAGGCAGTTTCAGAATCTGAGGACAACGAATTACAAGCACTTATGGAGAGAGTTGAAAGGGAAAACAAGGAAGTTTCAGGTGACGAATCCGATTCAGACTAAAATTAACTAAATTTGGTTCAAATGCATAAATATTTCATTTTATAAAATTATATAATAATGCTATCCAGGAAGCGAAAGAGAGAGAGAGAAATATGGTTGTTCTATTAAGCATACAAACGCTTGGTGTAGCTGTTCAATCCATGTACACCACCTTCTAATTGAGCAGATGCGGTACGAAGTTCAAACCTAACCTTGCCAGCTTTGACGGCTTCTTGAAGTTCAGCAACGCTTCTTTCACCCATATCTTGCAAACTGTGTTGAAGACCGTTGTAGAGGTATGGCATAAACTTGGTGATTGAACCCTTGTCGACAACGTCACCGGAGACACCTTGTGCGACCTTGACAGAGTCAGCTTCACTGAAGTATCTACCTGAAGCGGCATTATCCTTGCTGTCATCTTCAGCGTTGACTACGCTCTTCTTCTTGAGCTTATGTTGCATAGCCTCGATGGAACCCATACCACGGTAGGCTTTAACACGTTGACCTTGGTGGTAGAAGTATTCACCAGGTGATTCTGTTGTACCAGCAAGCATACCACCCATCATGACTGCAGAGGCACCCAAGCAGATTGCCTTTACGATGTGACCGACATTTCCGATACCACCGTCTGCAATGGTTGGGACACCGAATTGGTTGGCGAATTCGGAGACTGCGTAGACAGCGGTACCTTGTGGTCTACCAACAGCCATGACTTCTTGGGTAATACAGATAGAGCCTGGGTGTGTATGTGAGATGAGTATATCAAATTATATCGTACTTACCTGAACCCATACCGATACGTAAACCGTCAGCACCAGCGCTAATTAATTCGGCAGCTTGCTCTCTAGTAACGACATTACCAGCAATGACGTCGACCTTGAAGTTATCCTTGATCCACTTGATCATGTTGATTTGGTAGACTGAGTTACCTTGTGAGCTGTCCACAACGACGACATCTAAGCCAGCTTCTACAAGCAAGCGAAGACGTTCCTTGTCAGCGTCACGAGTACCAATTGAAGCACCACAGTAGAGTTGCTTAGTCTCTGGGTTCTTGGATGCTAATGGGAAGTTGAGGTTCTTCAATAAGTCAGATCTAGCGAGCAAAGCGGTGAGGTTTCCTGCTGCATCGACGATTGGAAGTTTACCCTTCTTTGATACACGAAGAATCTTGTTTGCTTCTTCAAGGTTGATACCTGATTTACCTGTGACTAATTCTGTAGTCATAACATCCTTAACTGGAGTGTTGAGGTTTTGGAATTGAATGTCTCTGGCGGTGACGATACCGAGCAACTTTGAGTGGAGGAAACCAGAGTCGGTGATTGGAATACCACCAAATCCGAGCTTCTCTTTGATGGAGAGAACATCGCTAACTGTAGCAGATGGTTTCAAGCAGATTGGGTCGGTGATGAAACCGTTCTCAAATTTTTTTACTTGTCTAACCATATGAGCTTGTTCTTCTGCGGTGTTGTTGTGGTGAATTATACCAATACCACCCATCAAAGCCATGTAAGTGGCCATTTGTGATTCGGTAACTGAGTCCATAGGTGAACTGACAAATGGAGCTGAGAGTTCGATGTTTCTAGAAACCTTTGTCTTCAAGCTGACGGATGAAGCGTCAAAGTTGATGTGGCCAGGCAAAGTGAGGAAATCTTGGTAGGTGAGGCCACCACGGGTCTTTGAGTCCATCAAGGACTGTACGGATAAACCGTCTCTTTCTTGGTAGGTAGAGAGGTGTTTGATGGCATCGCTAGCGTTGAGTTTTGACATTTAGATGATGGTCGTTCGATACGAAGAAGATTGTTACAAAAAAGTTCGGTCAAATGACTGTAAAGTGCGAAGGAGATAACGGATTTTAGATATCTATAGATGCATAGATGTATAATAGGTATTTAAATTATATATCGTCGCTGAATAAAATATTACCTTTGCTTACATAGCTTGATATGCAGTGTATGTGAGTCATAACTATATATAGAGCAATGTAGAAAGTTTATATGCACTAAATAATAAGTCATCTTCCCTAATTATTCTCATCTCTCTTTGTATGACGACGATCATAGATTTTCCGCCATTCTACACACAGCAGCCAAACGTTGAGACGCTGAGTCAGCAGCTACAGCTCTGGTCGCAGCATATCCTCAAAGTATGCAAGCAGCGGCGGCAATTTCAGCTCTCTATGAGTGATGACATCTGGACTAACGAGAAGATACAGCGTACGAGGGTAATTCTTCTGTCAGTATGCATTACTAACAATAATAGGAGCGGCTAATAGAGAGTTTATCACTGTAATACTCGACTCACTTGTGAAAAATGGTGTGTTAGACAGTCATTTGTTACTATCTACTGATAAGCACAGGGTTGGCCACCTACACAGATACCACCAAGGAGAGCGTATGGGTTTACTGGCGCACGCTCGCAGAGTGGGCAGCTGTTTTGTATGATCACGTAGACGGTACAGCTCAGTTAAACACACCACTGACTTACTACGAGCTCACGGAGGGTGATTATAGCCATCTCAGCGAGTTAAATGGGCTACCCACTCCAATACTGAGATCAGCGATAAACATACTCGTTAAACAAAACAAAGCAGTCACTATCAAAACATCAAACGGTGAAGGAGTAAAATTTATCTAATAAATAATCTACATTGGAATTTGATAGTCGATACCTGCATTATTAAGCTTCTCCTGCTTCTTTGCGAGCTTATCCTGGTACCTCTTCTTGGATTTCTCCTTTTCTTCTTCGGTCTTTTCCTTATTGAAGGAAATTCTCTCGATTCTGTCTGTTGGTACAGCTCTGAATTTGCGGTTTGCACCCTTGAAGAGATGTTCGTTGATGTCTTTTTCGTCGACGACCTCTACGACAAGCAATCTGTTATCGATAAGGTAGTTGTTCATCGTCTCTGCGACTATTTCAGCTACTTGGAGGTTCTCAAACTCTATGAAAGCGTAATGCTTGCTTTTACCAGTCTTCTTATTCCTAGATAACCTCAGTCTGGTTATTTCACCGAATTGGCTGAAGTATGCCTTCATTTGGTCCTCATAGAAACCGTGTGGAATGCGTCCAACATATACTACACCTCTCTGGTTCTTCTTTGCCTTGGCTTTCTCTAATTTAGCTTTAACTTGTGCGTTTGTAGGTGCTTTTGGTACGCTCTTAGCTTCCTTGCTGATAGCCTCATCGTCTGAGCTGCCATCTGAATCGCTGCTGCTATCACTGTTGTATTCGTTGATGTTGATTTCATCCTATCAAATTATCAGCTAGTGGGATTATAACTAGAAATCTACTCACTTGATCCTCAAATTTACCCTCTGGCTTCTTCTCTACACCTTTCCTAGCACCCTTTATCGTCTTCTTCGTTGCTTCTTTTGGCATTATATGATCGTTTTAATCAAAGACAATTTATTAAGAATTTTACATTGAAAAAAGACATTTGATATAACAATTAGTTAGACGTGAATTGGTATTTTATCCGCTTAGCTCAAATTTGTAACGCTAGCAGATTGATTCGGTTGCTCTTCAAGTGGTACGAGTGGTTGTTGCTGTGTGCTTATCGTCATATTAGTATCACCATTAGCTCTAAAATAGCTCTTTCTTCTCATTCTCGTGTAATCGTAGACTCCAAATTTTTCCTCCATCTTAACGAAGACGGGTTCTAAGGTACTTATGTCCCTTTTAGGATCACGCTTTTTAGCTTTTAATGGGTTATCCTCTAATAGTAATTCTTCTAATTCATGCGTTGCGTCAAAATTTGCTTTCTTAGACTGCGAATCGTTAGAACAAAAGCTGAAACTTATAATAAACCTACATCCGGTACAAAGGTTGGTGGTAGTTGCTTCTTGCTCAATGCATCCCAATCGAGGTTACTGAACCATGGATGCTTCATCAGCTCTTCGAATCCACCATACTCACTACACCCTAGTCTCAAGTCTGGATCACGGGTGAGGAGACCATTAATAGCGCTGATGCCATCTTTGGAAACCAGATCATAAGCATTATCTGGGAAGATGAGCTCTTGTTTCGTTATTGCGTTCGTAAGCGACGAATTTGTTCTCGCCCTGAATGGCCGCTTGTTGAACAGTAGCTCGAAAGCAACTATACCAAGCGACCACCAATCAACTGTTGTGAAATACCCTCTCTTCTCGAGTACTTCTGGGGCCATATATGCCATACTACCAGCTACACCAGTCAATGCACGCTTTCCCAAGAAACAAGCGATGTTGAAATCGGTAAGGTGAGCATGTCCCTGTTCGTCTAGCAATATGTTGTCTGGTTTGACATCCCTATGGACTATCCTTCTCTTATGGAGGTAATCCAAAGCTAGAGCGATCTCAGCGACGTATATCTTGACTGTTTGCTCGTCGAATGCGCCGTTGCGCTCGAGGTGGAATCTGAGGTCACCACCGAGCATAAGATCTATAACCATAAACAGGTTCTCGTCGTCCTGGAACGCATAACGAAGATTAACGACGTAGGGACAATCAATCTCCTCCAATAGTCTTCTTTCCTGTATAATATTATCGACAGCGCGCATTTTAACGCATTTATCCTTATTTATGTACTTCAATGCGTACAATTTCTTAGTTTGCTTGTGTTGTACGACACGGACCTGAAGAGTGAGCGGAAGCAAGAGAAGTAAAGAAACACACCTTCCCGAATGCACCCTTTCCTACAGCTCTAAGTAGACTGAAATGCCAGAGATCTACGGGTCCTGAGCGCGGTTTTAGAGCTTATATGGACCGAATCTGTGGCCACATACCGTCAAAGTCGATAACCTGGAAAATATAGGTTAGATGGTAGTATAAGGGCATGTATAGTGCACACCTGAGGCTTGCAGCATATGCCGCCCATTGTCTAGATGGATGTAAGGGAGAAAGAAGGGAATAGTTACGACTGAGTAGTGCAGAGTTAAGGGTAGCTATTCGCTAGCAAGGCTAAACAGTCGCTCTTATATGTGTTCCTACTTTCGTACAGCTTCCAAGTGTACATCCATCATGATTCTCCTTAATTCCGTAGCTGATTTGAGCAAGTTAGACGATAATAAGCTCAACGTGATTGATTTCTTCGCCGAGGTATGTATTCTCTTAGAAATATCAAAACCCTCCTCTGAACAGACTCTCAGTGGTTAGTAGAAGTTGTCCGCTTTATAGCGCACTCTAACATCACACAGGTGCGGTCCTTGCCACGCTATAGCGCCTAAATACGAGGCACTATCAAAACAACATACAAATGTGAACTTTTTCAAGTGCAATGTTGATACAGCTAAAGATGTAGCCGCGAAGTACAGGATCAGCGCAATGCCAACTTTTATCTTCATCAAATCTGGCCAAGTCATAGAAACCATCAAAGGCGCAAATGCCTCCGCGATAGAGAATGCACTTGGAAAGCATTCCGGTGGAGGATCATTCAGCGGCAAAGGTCAGACATTAGGCTCTGCATCGGGCTCTACAAGCTCAGCTAATGACTCTTTCAACTCACATTTGTACATCGGCATGGCTCTTCTCGCTTTATATACTGGCCTCTGGTATTACAATGTAAAATATTAATCAAGTCAAACACGCGTATTATATATAATATGTAATGTGTCACCAGTTAGATCCTCCCAGGGTTCTCCTTATCGTTCCGTCTTGAACTAGACCTGCCTCTGCTTGCGCCAACGTCGTAATAAAATGGCACCGCATTGTCATCCGGAGACCCAGCAGCAGTTAAGGCCGTAGCTACGCCTGTATGGAGCTTCGTCTGGCTTGTGGTCGCTATTGGAGCTGACATACTCCGCCTAATATCCAACTCATCAAAGTCCATCTGGCCGACAACTTCACCAAAGTCTTGCTTCTCCTCTTCTTTAACAGATGAGTTCGCGAGACTAGAAACACTCATCATCCTAATCTTTTCGTCAAGCTGTTGCTTGGAGATTGTCGCGCTTGATGTCTCTTGAACGGATCTTAGTTGTGGTTTTTGGTCGATCAGTTTGATAAATTCTCCAATATCTTTATCATCATGTCCTTCTTCTTCCGCCAAAGATTGTGATAATTTTGTTGATTGTTTTCTAGACACTGTTACCCCTGAAGGTGGTGGTGAGGGCTGATTTGGAGATGCTAAAGGCTTGATGAGACTCTCACCACTGCTTCCACCACCAATCGAGGAGTTGCGTCTATATCCAAAACTGGAAGAATATCTTCTCGTAGTTGATGAGCTACTTGATTGATTCTCTGGTATACTTATCGCGGCGCCTTGTCGCTGGTATGATTGTGCGACAATGCCTGTGAGTGATGGGGTTGGGGATGCACCGCTGTAGAGGCTCATTGGTCTCACAGATGGTGATGTTGAGAAATATGACGTCGTTCGTGGTGATAAACTGCTATTAGCTCTGACGCGACTCGCGCCAGTTCTTGCGACGTAGTCGCGTACTACATTGCCTTCCTCTTTGTTCTCATCTGAGACGGCCGGGATTGGGAACACACCGCTCGTACCGCTTGACCCAGCGCTAGGCGTCGACCGATGCTTCGTCAGCGTAGGTGTGTAGTAATCCTCATCAACGAAACGAGACGACAGAAGTGATTCTATATCATCTACCACAAAGTTCGTATGACATCTGTATTCAACACTCAAGTTTAAGATTCCGGCGGGTGTCGTGATAGTGTTAAAACGATGTGTGTCGGTCAAATTGCTCTGTGGATCTTGGGATAATTGCGCATCAATAGGAAGGATGCCATCAGATTGTGTAGGCTTGCTATATTCCGCACTGAGCCTACAGCCAATATTGAGACCACGGCTGTGTGATCGTCTGAGCCGCCGTATGAAGGTGTACAAAGGGAGGACTCTAAGTAGGGTATATAGTGCTCTAAAAAGCACGATTGATCGCTTGTAAACAATAGGTAAGTCCTCCTGTGCGCCAGCACCAGACAACTGAAGCGTCCACCTTTCTAATACCAGGCTAGACTGCACGGTATTGCGTCTGCCTTGTGTATCAACGAACAAACATGCCTGATTTGGCGGTATGTCCGTAGCATCGAGAATAAACTCGATTACCATCGGTGGCACTTGAGTACTAGTGCTAAGATTCTTCCAAGTGCTCAGCTCTGACTTGAATAAGTTGCTCCCACTGTCTGTAGTCTGTATATTGAACTGTAGAGCGTCTGAGCTATATGTTTATAGTGTATTGAGCTACTTACCCATTTCGATATGCGCGATTTCGTCTCGGGGAGAGACACCCTGCTTTCCAGAAGCAAGTGCAGCGTTTTGCTGTAGAAATTATTTAATATGAGGTCAACTTTGCTGTGATCACTCATGGGTGATATGCGATAGCATCATTACGCACTATCTCCAGATGACAACATAAATTAAAAATCGATCTGAAATTAAATACAACAATTTACAGGAATTTAAACTATGGGCTACCAACTAATCGTGCTAACAACGCAAGCAGAGATGGGTTCTCTGATGATGCATAAAACGCGAGTGAGTCGCGCATAATCTGGAGGAAATGTGAGCGAATGGCTAGGTGATCTTAAAATATAACCCACTTTACTTTGCTTATTGAACGCGTGTTCGAATTTATTGAGCTCGTTCCATATTTTCGCAAGCGGAACAAGTGTCTCAGACGGTTCCATCCCACTCTTCCGTGCTCCGATGATAGCATCCATAGCTTCGACCGCTGTTTTGGTTAGTTGCACAGAGTAGAGTGTGAATGTGCCTATAGTTTTCATGATATTCTGCAAGCGCTCAATCAAACGAGCATTTGAAAGCATACACTCTTTAACACATCCGTCGAGGAAATCAACATGATCCTTGAGAAGTGCATCAACTGTCTGGACCCTACCAATCTTCTCTTCGAGTTCTAACGACTTTATGTGTAGGACCTCTTCGCAGACATAGCCAGTAACCTGTCTGACAAACTCCAACATGCGGGCTCTCAAGACACAGACCCGCGTTCTCCACATATCGAAAGGCTTGTAATTAAGGTTCCGTCTCCAACAATCCTGTGCGTGCTCACCCCACATCCCAACGAGCGCATTCTCGGTATATTTCAAATGGAGAAGGAATCGGAATATAAGTTGGTATCTTAGGATTGTCTTGCGGGATATGACGAGTGACAATGGGAAATTAACCGTGTAGTCGAATGACATACCCTCTATTGCTCTAATTGGCTTTTCCTCTGCTCCTTTACGTTGGTTGAAGTTCTCCTCCTGACCAAGCGCACCACTGACGTTGACGACGGTGAGCAGCCATTGATAGAGTGGTTCCTTATTCATTGTTATCTTGACATCCTCTTTATATGGATCGTTGAAACTAGGTGAAGCAGGGTTGCGCAGCGTCAGATCCAGCAAAGATTGTAATTTAACAAGGTTGGCGCTCTTGGCCGGCTTTCGCAGCTCATTGTAGCTCTGGTCTAGGAAGTGGACGAAGAAATCAGACTCAGCGAGGAAAAAGTAGTGCTTCAAGCTCCTCAAGCGTGATACCAAGCCTTCATCTTCCAAGAGCAGCTTTAGGAGTGCTCTATTAGCATGGGTGTAGGCATCCTCAACTTGCTTGTAGAATGGAGCCGAATTTATGGACATTTTGTCAAGTTCTGCAAAGTTCCGCGTTTTAGTGACTTCGATGCCACATTCTCTGATGACATTGAGATATTTTCCAGCAAAGAGGATTTTGAACTTCCATGCCTCCAGGAAAGGTGGCACGCATGCACCACCTGCAAGGCGCTTAAGATTTCCATCGCTATTGAATGCTGTATCAGGTTTGAAAGGCTTATCTACACTAGAGCCATCACGGAGTGTGTATCTTTTCTCCCAGTATTCATCGGTATAATCCATATCGAGACCTTTCTTACTGATTGATTTGGCTTCGCGCACGAGAAGCTCATCGTAGGGATCATCGAGATCGCCAGAAGTCGTCCAGCTGAGGAGCATTTCCGCGTATGGTTGTGAAGCATGGAAAAGCAACCTATTATATACCTCATGGGCTACAGGATCACCGGATGATTTCATAAGTTTCTCCCATACGACCTTTATCACTTCACCACCTTTGACGATACCTTCGCTCTCGAGCGCATTTTCTTTTGTCTCGGCGTTTAACTGTGCGATTGCCTTTTTCATGCCTTCGCCCATGAAATCCTCGCTGTCTTCGTCTTCCTGCTCAGCCTGGTCATCGATATCTGGGGCTTCGGTGCTTATCAATTCGAGTGCGAGCTGGTGAATAAGTGTGAGTTTGTGAAGTGCTGGCTGGAGGTGGTAGAAAGCCATTTGGAGAGTGTAACACGGGGAGGTGTAGAAGAGTGTCTCTAGTTGTGCAAGGAGGAGGTGATATTCCTGTAATGTTATGATGATGCATTTGTTAGAGAAATTGACTCACTTTGAGCATGTCTCTGATAGCTGCACATAATGCATGGTTAACTAACCCCCAATCCATCGCTGAACGCTGTTCGACGAATGCTGTTATAGACGTATACAGCGAGGCCAAAGGAAGTATGCGCCGTATGAGGGTCGACAAACCAGGGTCAATTGAGGGGTCGACGATGAACTTGCTGCCCTTGAGACGGGCGTTCATGTCATCATATGCGTAATCTGGGTGATATGTAATATACTGCCCTTGTATTCCCTAGACAGCTAATCAACCAGAGGGCTTCTTATCAACTGTTACTCACGACTAAGACATACTGAAAATCTTCCAAGATGGCTGCCTGCTGTACATCCAAACTGACGCCTTTGAATGCGTTTGACTTCCTAATTGAGTTGTAGCTGTGTGGTGATAGTTGGGGCACGCGTGAGTTCAGCGGCGCGCGTAGGAAGCTGGGCTCAGGCTGGAAAGAGTAATCCTGGAAACCTTCATAGTCATTCTCGTCGTTATCGTCGTCGTCGACTGTTGCGAGTTTTGTGTTAATCTGGAATGTTTATTAGGCGAAATACGCGTATAAGGATGTGAATTACCCTATTAAATTGCTTATTCGATAGTCCAGCCAAACGTGAGCTCGGTCTGGCTGGGTTCGGCGTTGTTGATAGTCTGTCCATCCCCTCGCCTGGTCGTTCAACTCAAACGGTGAAGAAGTCGAAATGCCGACAAATAAAGTTAATGCACCAAATGCAAATAGCTATAGCTTTTTATTGTGGAAGATGCGCTTAGGTATGGAGAGTACCTGGGGATTTGCGATGTATGTTCTTTTTATTCACTTTCTATTCTTCTAATCATATCCAGTTTAGAACCTTGGGAGACGGCTCTTATTATGTCAATAGTCATCGCTGTAGCCTCCATCATCCTCTTCTCCGTACTTTTCTACGCACCAGCACAACTTCTTCGTCTGAAGTCCAGGCTGGCGTATTACCTTTTCGGCAGCGAATCATCCCAGAAGGAGACTATTGCAGTTTTGAATGAATGGCACAATGTTATTAGAGGAGTCTCAAACTCATAAATACCCCACTAGACATGTATTTCTACTCATATGTTATCTCTTATAGGTATATGCATCATTATTTTATATTACAGTCCTTTGCAGACTTTCACAGACCACTATAATCCCTTAAGTAGCTCTTCCCGCCGTTTTGGTTCGCATTTCTTGATGTACTCCCCCGCGAGCTTCTTATTACCGGCCTTTTTGAGCGCTTTGACGAACGGTTCGTATCCAATTGGACTCTTCTTGCTAGATGCAAGCTCTTCCAAACCATCGTAATCTGATTTTCCTATTAAGTGATGTAAACGTAGATACCACCATCTATGTCATTTGTTAGATGCCATCAACAGATAGAAGTATATCTTACCTCTTGTCAGAAACCTTGAAATCAGTCTTCAGTTTCTCAGCTCCCTTTATGTCATCTTTGTTGAGAAGCTCCCTGATAGCATCGTTGACAGACGTTGCACCATTCGTTATAGTCAAGAGTTTCTGATATTCATCACAAGCCTTGCTCTCAAAAGCACAGTTCTTGTCCTCGCTGAAGAACTTCATTGCGGACTTGACCTTCGATACCTTGGCGTCACCAGACAATTGCTCAGCTTCTGAGAGGTCCAATTTCGCAGATTCGACCCGTCTGTCGTCCTGGAAATAGAAATTGCGGAGCATATCTCTGTCCTTGTCTTTGGCGTAGACTACGAGGAGGGATTTAGCGAGCTGGTAGACACTTCCGCCGTCCTCTAGGACTCTGAAGAAGTCTCCAAGTGTGAGTCTCGAACGGAGGTGGAGGAGCACGTCAATGACTAGGAGTTTTCAATAAACAAAGGCTTAGGAAATTGAAGTTGATACCCACCTAAATCAGGATCAGATGATTGAATAGCCTTTAAAAGCGCTAACCGATCCTCCTTCATCCGCTTCAGTTGTGGAACTACCTCACTTGCTCGTGGCTCCCTATCGAGCATCTAAAGTATGTTAGAGGAAGTTTCTACGGTTACTGACTATTTACCTTGGTCGCGAGCGACACTCTGCCCACCTCATAGGCGACTTTTGCAATATCTGACCATCCGACGAATGTATTAGTCACTGAAGCTATCCTCTCTGCAATTGAAACGGAGAGTTCCTCATCAGGGATAGTGTGATCGCTAGCATAAATCTTAGCATTTGCCCAATGAACAAGCACAACGTCTGAAGGTGTCTGAAGGTGTTTGGATATATTAATCGCCATCGCCCATTTACGTCTCGGGAGGAGGAGCTGTATGAGTGCAACATGCTCAAGCTTGTCACATTGAGCCTTTGAGAGGGGTATTCCGACATCTCTGTATGCGTTTAGCACTCGCAGAGTTGAGGCGACTTTTATGAATTCATCCGAGTTGTAATTGGAGAGATATTGCCAGCCGAATTGCGCAGCTTTGAGCAATCGTCGTTGGATCTCTGGTGTGTACAATTCCACAGCAGCTCCAATGACCCTGTCAACCGCCTCAAGAAGGTCATGGCCAATATCGCGAATAATATCGTCCGATTTCGAGCTTCCTCTTTCGAGTTCCTCGAAAGCAGAGAGAAGCATGCGCCCAGGTGAGCTCGAGGTGGCCCCCAAAACATCTTGTACACACTCAGGAACTTTCTGGATGACGTCCAAGGCTTCAGGCGTGATAGCTAGCATCGAGGATGGCGTACTGTATGCCTTTATCGATGTCGCATTGTGATAGGGGAACAAAACATGTTCGCCTCCTGGACCGATGAGCCAGATATGTGGTGAGGGTTCGTTATAAACGACCGCAACAGCATTTGAACCACACCAATCGATATCATCTGGAGTGTAAGAGTCTATCGTCGAGAGATCGAATGTTGTAAGTAATCTAGCCATGTCGCTCGTCATTATACTTAATTGCAGCGTCGGCGTCAAGAGAGCAATGAATTTGGCATTAGGGGAGAGTTTAATCTGCGCGTGGGGCGTACCAAATGGGTGGGTCATACAGCTTAGTGAGTCAGACAGCTGAATATCGCCCTCAGTGGCTGCGATAATAGTCGTGAGAGACGTCTGGGAATACTTGGATGGTATGACTGTCCAATCTGAGGGTATATCCCTGATTTCCATTGTTGAGAGCTTCGTTGGTCGGCTAGTGAGCGTCATTTCGTAGAATTCCATCTCGTTGGTAAGTACGACTATCGTGTCGTCCGTTATCCGTGCGTCTGCGATCCCTGTACTGTTGATGGCTATCCTGTGGGTACTAGCTGTGGGTATCTTTCCAGAATAGTTGTATATTTTATATTGGCAGTCATCTAATACGACAATGAGCTCGTCTGCGCTGCTGAATCCTACGGCTATCGGTGGAGATGTGCAGCTGATAGTGGAGAGATGGAGGCCATCTGCTGAGTATATGTGAATAAACGGCTGATTGCTGGTGTTTTCAGGTAGGTTAGTGATAGTTGTAGGTACTAGCTTGCTGTAGTTCCTGTATATCGCCATTGTAGATGAGTACCCAGATGTGACGATCTCGTAGGGCTCGAAACTGGAGATATTCCAGTGATATTTATAGAGCGTGGTGAGTGCATAGTACACATTCCCTATATTCTCCCACTCCTGTGGATCTTCAAGTGGCATTTTTGAGTGCACGCTTCTTGACGGACTACTATCAAGAGATGGAAGGTGACGCCGTATCGTTCAAGCCATCGGCACCTGTGCACGTAGTTCTCTGTGCTGATTGTGGTGTGTAAAACTATATAAGTGTCTCTCGATTTCGCTGACATATCATTCAGGTGTACCAATACAGCCAAATTCAGCCAATCTCTGTGTGGGATGTCTGCGTAATACGTGCGTAATATCTCCTACGCTGTTCTATTACTCACACTTCACCCAGCGTCGACATCACTGCTGAGATACCAAAATCTTCTTCCGTCACATTCTGCAGAGGTTGCGACCGCTATTCAAACCCTCCAAATGGATGGGTACTCGCAGATTGGGAGAGTAGAGAGTTATTAGCTATCTGTCTTAAGAAACTCAAGGGTTTATCCAAAATCAGACTCATAGACGCTGGTTTCGTATGGACAGAACCACACAGCAAACGTATTAAAGTTAAATTAACAGTACAAAAGGAGGTACTCGCAAACACCATCTTACAGCAAGTTTTCGAAGTCACCTACACTATTCTCGGTGCCCAATGTCCAGATTGTACCAGAATGGCAGCAAAAAACACATGGCAAACCTCTATACAAGTCAGACAAAAGGTTCCACATAAGCGTACTTTCTTCTACCTCGAGCAACTCATCTTGAAACATGGCGCACACAAAGATTGTGTCAACATCCTCGAAAGAAAGGATGGTTTGGATTTCTATTATCTCCAAAGACAGGCTGCATTGAGGATGCTCGAGTTCCTCCAGAATGTTGTACCACTTCGCTATAAAGCGAGTGAAGAATTGCTCACAACTGATGTCCACACGGGTTCATCAAAGTATAAGTTCACATACTCAGTTGAAATCGTCCCAGTTTGTAAGGACGACTTGGTTTGCTTGCCTATAAAACTTGCAAGACAATTCTCAAACATCTCTCCACTCGTACTTTGTTCAAGAATAGGTAACTCTGTCCACTTGCTCGATCCGATGACTCTTCATGTCACTGATGTTACTGCGCCTACATACTGGAGAGCACCTTTCGAGACTTTGGCAACTGTTGGTGAGTTGGTTGAATATATCGTTTTGGATATCGAACCACTTGGTCCTACACGCGGTAAACTCGTTTTGGCAGATGTACAAGTAATGAAGGCATCTGGAGGTGCATCTGACGATGAAATTTTCCACACACGCACTCACCTTGGACATATCCTTCAAGCGGGTGATAGCTGTCTGGGATACAACCTGAAAGACAGCAATTTCAACTCTGACAACTTCGAGAGTCTCAACCAGGATAGGTTACCTGACGTTGTTATCGTCAAGAAGGCCTACCCTAACAGACGTAAGAAGAACCGTCCACGTCAATGGAAGCTCAAGTCTATTGCCAAGGATGCCGAAGATTCTAATGTTGAGGGTGCATTCGGTAGAGGTGCATTAGGAAGACGTGGTGGTGTCGACACTGACAAGGTTGAGAAGCAATACGAGGAGTTCTTGAACGACCTCGAAGAGGATCCAGAGATGAGAGCGGGTGTGAATCTCTATAAGTCGGAGGAGCAACAGACTAAGGATGAGAATGAGATGGATGAGAGTGACGGTGGAGAGCTTGAGGAGGACGAGAACCTGCCAAAGATGGATGAACTGCTCGAAGATCTGGAGGAGATGAACATAGAGGATTAGATTGTTGTTTTTAGATTATTTATGCATAATGTCTTCTTATATAATTTGTGATGATATGATGATAGTCATTTTTTTTTTCACACTTTAGTGCCTAAAAATGGGCGTCTTCTCGCTTTTCTTCAGCGCACCATGAACTCCATGGTGTGTTCTGGTGGCAGCCTGAAGTGACTCGTATGCTTCTTTACAGACGAGCTGTCTCGTACGGCTATAACGAAGCGGGTAAGGTCTGAGAGTTCTAACTTCCCTCGTCATACAACTCGAGATGGGTTGAACGATAATTCGTTGAGCGACGCACCAGAAAAGCACTCTCTTGTGGATTAGCTGAAGACAGTCTTCCTCGAGGCGACGATATCCACAGCCGAGAGTTGGGAACACGTCGTGGGAGTCGCAGAAGTGGTTCTCAGGGTTGAGAATAGCTTTATACACCTACATGGTGTATAGATCACGCCACTGCTGCTTAAGTGCACTACGAGTCGTCCTGCAGCAGGAAAACTCGATTCAGACTACTCTTAGGCTGCCACCACCAAGCATTTCATCTATGCGTACGTATGATTTACACATGTACGTCTATATGGCGTGTCTTGCTTTGTACTTTTAAAGTTTATCATTTGTCAAACATCTTGTACTAGAACATCCATGACGACTGTAATTAGGAAACGCAAACTAACGACGGAGCAGAAGAACAATATTGTGAAGCTCGCCCAAACGAACCCTCATATGAAGCAGGATGAGATTGCTAGACAGTTCTCTGTGGATAGGTCGACGATATCGAAAGTATTGACGGAATCTAAGAAACCGAAGCTTGTAGCCTGCGAGACGAACGAACATAAGGACGATAACGTAGTCGCTGATGAGCCTGTAGAGCAGCTCACCCAGGATAACTACTCACGTGCAACCAGGAGCCGGTCATCCTCGAGTTCACAGTCCTATAATCACCAAATTGACGTATTTGGGAGCAGCCCCTTGAATATCACTAGCACGCCATACCAGTCAAATTACAGTCCTTACTCCAGTTATTCGAGTTCCCTTGATTCCTTTCAATCAATAAACGATCATTTTGATTCACTCAGTTTTACGAATTATTTCAGCTACGACGATACGATAGACGAGTTTAAAGCTATTGATGCACTAAGCGTTGTTAAAAAGTACCTCGAGCAGCAACTGAATAACAAATACACAAGTTCATTCATACCCAATAACCAAGACATCACATATATCGACAGTCTGGTCGATAGGATACAGTCTAGCGCGGACAGCCAGCTGGGTTTTTACTAAACAACTCATTTAATGGAATACACGTTCATTTGTACTATCAAATGTATTAGATTACTCTCTTGACTTCGAAGAAAGCCTGTGCTGATTTAGAAAGGAGTCTTTGATAGATATCGGACTGACCTTCAAATAGTACACCTGCCAGGCGCAAGTGACGATCAGCAAGCCAGACTGTGCAAGCGACCACCATTTCACCCTGCTATTTGTTGATTCTGCGGTATTTCTGTGGCTTCTCTCACGCGCTTTGAGATACTCCTGCTCATCCTGGACAGCCTTAATGTTGTCTGCGAGGACACGTATCTCGTGTTCGATCGGGAGGGTGTGTCCCTCGTCTGGCACGTACAAGATGCCGTGCACGTTGAAGGACAGCGTCTTGTCAGTGTTGTAGCTCATAGCGTTGCTGAAGCAGTAGGTGTACCTGCCGTCTTTGTCTGCGATGAACGAATAAGTACCGGTATCTTTGCCGTTGTTGGTGTATAGGGGGCCAGAAGGGTCAGAGAGTGCGAAGTCGATGTCGAGATTGCCACCGCTGGACACCTGGCTGCTGTCTGTCAGTCTCGTGTGTGCGTATGCGCGTGTGTGCGCTGGAAGCAAACCCACTAAGTGACGGTCATCTGGGGCTAGTAAGCGACCAGCTGCTGGAGAACAGAGTAGAATATACGCACCTCATCATTCTTGTGCAAGTCCTGAAGATCGTTAGCCAGCGTCTCTGATAATAGAAAGACTGACCTCGAAATAACAATCCTTAGAGCGGGCTGGTATAGTCACAATGTAGGCTTCTATAGTGACTGCCAGAGCCAGTATAGCGTATAATAATTGCTGCATAGTTGAATAATTTTTAATCTGGCGTTTCAGAGAAGAAGAAGCCTGGGACGATCTCGAGCGCTTACATCCATAATGTCAGCAGAAGAGCCAAAGGTGGGTACTAGCGGCCGTGTAGCGCGTTTTATAACTTTTACTCCAGCCAGAGACAGCACACGTTGAAGAGCCACAAGAAGAGTCAACAGCTCACTTCGAGCCTGTTGTTAAGCTCACAGAGACGGTCGAGACAAAGACAAACGAGGAGGACGAGGAAGTCCTCTTCAAGATCAGAGCAAAGCTGTTCAGGTTCGCTAAGGATTCCTCCGAATGGAAGGAGAGGGGTACGGGTGACGTCCGTATACTCCAGCACAAGGAGACCAAGAAAGTACGTCTGGTCATGCGCAGAGACAAGACATTGAAGGTCTGCGCGAACCACTTCCTCACCCCAGACATGAAGCTCTCTCCTAACATTGGCAGCGATCGCAGCTGGGTATGGGCAGTCGCTGCAGATGTCTCAGAGGGCGAGCCAACAGCTGAAACATTGGCTATCAGATTCGCTAACGCAGAGAACGCAACGGCTTTCAAGGACAAGTTCGAAGAGGGTGTCAAGTTGAACGGCGAGCTGAAGGATGACGCTCCAGCCAAGGAGGATGCCCCAAAGGAGGACACCAAAGAGGAAGCCAAAGAAGACGCAGCAGCTGAGGAGACCAAGGGACACCCAGAAGAATCCGTTGACGAAGCCAAGAAAGCCTAATACCATTATAGTACTTTTTTGAGTGCATGCATACGCTCATTTATTACAACTTCCTGTTAGACCCGACGGCGAATGTGTTCAAAAGACCGCTCTGTCTTGCTCTCCTGACTGCCTTGCCCAGTTTGCGCTGTTCTTTCCAGCTCAAGCCGGTCTTCCTCCTTGATTGTATCTTGCCCATCGAGGTTAAGAAGACAGACATGGCGTTAGGGGACAGAGAGAGCCTGTTCAGATCAGGTAACTTGACACCCTCGGGCGCTGAAGGCTTTTTGAAGAATTGTGCGGGCGTGTGTCCAAAGCTCGAGGGGTAGTAGCTGTGGCCAGTTCTGAAGGAGCTTGCTGGCAGATACTCTGACGGGTTCTGCGCGCTGGCTGGGGCTACATCAGCGAGCTATACTGGCATATCCGCTATCAACTCACATCTCGTCTGCAGAGGCTCCATGTTCTCTAGCAAATAATCCAAACCCTGTGATTTCTGTGGCGCTCTCCTCGTGGCTGTAAAATTTCTAGCTATCGTTCTCAGCATCTTGGTGGTAGACTCTCAACAGCTCTTGAACCAGATCTGCCATGATGTCGAATGGTCCACCGCCAGGATTTGGATCACACACTTCAGTTCTATCCCCAGAGGATCTCTCAGTAAAAGTCAAGAAACACCACCAATTCTCTAAGCGTCGCTGGGGCTTGAAAAAGCCCGGCAGCGCTGGTACTTCCGGGAGTGAAAAGGTCGAACTCCCGCCAGAGCATCTCCGTAAGATTATCAAAGACCATGGCGACATGTCCCATATGCGCTTTAGAAACGAGAAGCGTATCCATCTCGGCGCACTCAAGTATGTTCCACACGCCGTACTCAAGTTGCTCGAGAACATCCCAATGCCATGGGAGCAGGTTCACGAGGTGCCCGTACTCTATCACATTACAGGCGCTATCACTTTCGTCAACCAGATCCCACGCGTTATTGAGGTTCGTCTCTCCCTTCCGTCTCCGCCCTTCTAACATCCATTTAGCCCGTCTACCACGCCCAGTGGGCTTCCATGTGGCTTGCCATGCGGAGAGAGAAGCGTGACAGAAGGCACTTCAAGCGTATGCGTTTCCCGCCATTCGACGACGAAGAACCGCCACTCGACTACAGTGACAACATTCTCGATGTAGAACCTTTAGAATCCATACAATTACCACTCGACGAGGAAGAAGACGCTCCTATTATCGACTGGTTCTACGACCCTAAGCCGCTCGAAGATACAGTCCACATCAACGGCCCATCTTACAAGCAGTGGTCGCTGGATCTCCCACAGATGGCGAACCTCTATAGAATAGGTAAAACTCTCCTTTCAGAGACCCACGATCGCAAGAATGCTAGTTATCTTTTCGAGGATAAAGCTTTCTTCACCTCAAAAGCTCTCAATATGGCTATACCAGGTGGTCCTAAGTTTGAACCACTCTATAAAGATGACGTCGACGATGAAGATTGGAACGAGTTTAATGATATCAACAAGGTCATCATTCGTCAACCAATACGCACTGAATACAAGATCGCTTTCCCTCACCTCTATAACTCTCGTCCAAGGGCTGTACAAATTGGTCCATATCACGCTCCTCAATCACAGTATATACGGACAGAAGATCCTGATATGCCTGCATTCTACTTTGATCCATCGATAAATCCTATCTCCTCGAGAGCAGTGGCAGGTGCAGCTAATACACCACAAGTGAGTCACGAGGATCAAGTATTTGGATATGGAGAAGATGAAGATGATGACTTTGAAATGCCTGAAGATATGACTGCATTCTTGGAAGACAAACCAGTGTATAGCGATAACACCTCCGATGCTATCGCTTTATGGTGGGCTCCTGCACCATATAACACCCGTTCTGGTGTTACTCGTAGAGCCCAAGATGTTCCACTCGTCAAGGACTGGTACATGGAGCACTGTCCACCTGGAATGCCAGTCAAGGTCAGAGTATCCTACCAAAAGCTTCTCAAGGTCTACGTTCTCAATAGACTCCACCAACGCCCACCAAAACCACAAAATAAGAAGCGCTTAATGCAAAGCTTAAAAGGAACCAAATTTTTCCAAACTACTACAATCGATTGGGTTGAAGCTGGTTTGCAGGTTGTTCGCCAAGGTTACAACATGCTCAATTTACTTATTCACCGTAAAAATCTCAACTACTTGCATTTGGATTACAACATGAACTTGAAACCTGTCAAGACACTCACGACAAAGGAGCGTAAGAAGAGTAGATTCGGTAATGCTTTCCACCTTCTACGTGAAATCCTTCGTTTGACAAAACTAATTGTCGATGTACACGTTCAATTCAGGTTGGGGTTATGTGATGCTTTCCAACTTGCTGATGGTCTTCAATACTCATTTGCACATGTTGGTCAGCTCACCGGTATGTACAGATACAAGTATAAGATTATGAGACAGATTAGAATGTGTAAAGATCTCAAGCATCTTATTTACTACCGTTTCAATACTGGTCCGGTAGGTAAAGGTCCGGGTGTTGGTTTCTGGGCGCCAGGATGGCGTGTCTGGTTGTTCTTCTTGAGAGGTATTGTTCCTCTCTTGGAGAGATGGCTCGGTAATCTCCTCGCCAGACAGTTCGAAGGTCGCAATAGCAGAGGTGTTGCCAAGAATGTTACAAAACAACGTGTTGAATCCCACTACGATCTGGAATTGCGTGCTGCTGTTATGCATGATATCTTGGATATGATGCCTGAATCACTCAAGCAAAACAAAGCCAAGACTATCCTTCAGCATCTTTCTGAAGCGTGGAGATGTGGGTAATTAGTATTTGTGAAGTAATCTACTAACTCAATCCCAGGTTGGAAAGCAAACATTCCATGGAAGGTACCTGGTATGCCAACGGCGATCGAGAACATTATCCTCCGTTACGTCAAAAACAAGGCCGATTGGTGGACATCCGTCGCACACTACAATCGTGAACGTATTCGTCGTGGTGCTACTGTCGACAAAGCTGTTGTTAAGAAGAATCTTGGTCGTTTGACCAGACTCTATCTCAAGCAAGAGCAAGAGAGACAACATGGATATCTCAAAGATGGTCCATACATTTCATCAGAGGAGGCCGTTGCACTTTATACTTCGACAGTTCATTGGTTGGAGAGCAGAAAGTTCTCTCCAATTCCATTCCCTCCACTTTCCTACAAGCATGATACCAAGATTCTTGTTCTTGCATTGGAGAGATTGAAAGAGGCTTACTCCGTTCAAGGTCGTCTAAACCAATCTCAAAGAGAAGAGTTGGCACTTATTGAGCAAGCGTACGATAATCCACACGAATGTCTTTCAAGAATTAAGAGATTGTTACTCACTCAACGTGCTTTCAAGGAAGCAGGAATTGAGTTCTTTGACACCTACGACAAGCTCATACCTTGCTATGATATTGAACCAGTTGAGAAGATTACTGATGCCTACCTCGATCAATTCCTTTTCTTCGAAGCTGATAAGAGAGGTCTCTTCCCATCATGGGTCAAGCCAGCTGATACTGAGCCACCACCATTATTAACCTACAAATGGGCTCAAGGTGAGCTAATTGTTTTAGTAATACCCAATTCTGACATCTTCCAGGTATTAACAACCTCCACGACGTTTGGGAGACAAGCGAGGGTGAATGTGTCGTTATGATGGAGACTCAATTGAGCAGGGTTTACGAGAAGATCGATTTAACTCTCCTCAACAGACTTCTTAGATTGATCATGGACCACAACTTGGCTGACTACATTACTGCAAAAAACAACACACCATTGACTTATAAGGATATGTCGCACGTCAATTCCTATGGTCTTATCAGAGGTCTGCAATTCTCTGCCTTCGTTTTCCAATTCTACGGATTAGTTCTTGACTTGCTCATTCTCGGCTTGAACAGAGCTTCTGAAATGGCTGGTCCACCGCAATCACCAAATAATTTCCTTCAGTATAAAGACACAGCAACTGAAGTTGGACACCCAGTCAGACTTTATTCTCGTTATGTTGATAAAATTCACATGCTTTTCAAGTTTGATGCTGATCAGTCGAGAGATCTCATACAGAGGTACTTGTCAGCCAACCCTGATCCAACAAATTCTAATATTATTGGATACAACAACAAAAAGTGTTGGCCTAGAGACTGTCGTATGCGTTTGATCAAGCATGATGTTAACCTCGGTAGAGCCGTCTTCTGGAATGTTAAAAATTCACTTCCAAGATCTCTAACAACTATCGAATGGGAGGATACTTTCGCAAGTGTTTACTCTAAAGACAACCCACAATTGCTCTTCTCAATGCACGGTTTCGAGTTGCGTATCTTGCCGAAGATAAGGGCACAGAATAGCGAGCAATATAGACTCAATGATGGTGTATGGAATCTCACGAACGAAGCCACGAAGGAGCGTACAGCACAAGCGTACTTGAGAGTATCGGATGACGGTATCAATGCTTTCAACAACCGTATTCGTCAGGTACTCATGAGTTCTGGTTCGACTACATTCTCCAAGATTATCAACAAGTGGAACACAACTATCATTGGTTTGATGACCTACTACCGTGAAGCCGTTTTACACACCAATGAGCTCCTCGATTCTCTCGTCAAGGCTGAGAACAAGGTGCAAACAAGAGTTAAAATCGGTCTTAACTCGAAGATGCCTTCACGTTTCCCACCTGTGGTATTCTATTCACCAAAAGAACTTGGTGGTTTGGGTATGCTTTCTATGGGTCACGTTCTCATTCCTCAATCGGATCTTAGATGGTCGAAGCAGACAGACACTGGTATAACCCACTTTAGATCGGGTATGACACATGAAGATGACCAACTCATTCCAAACTTGTACAGATACATCCAGCCATGGGAAGCAGAATTCGTCGATTCAGCTAGAGTCTGGTCCGAATATGCCATGAAACGTAAAGAAGCCATGAGTCAGAACAGACGATTGACACTTGAAGATTTAGAAGATAGCTGGGATAGAGGTATACCACGTATCAACACTCTCTTCCAAAAGGACAGACATACACTCGCATACGATAAAGGTTGGAGAGTCCGTACAGATTGGAAACAATATCAATTGCTCAAACACAACCCATTCTGGTGGACTTCACAACGTCATGATGGTAAATTATGGCAACTTAATAACTACCGTGTGGATGTTATTGCCGCACTTGGTGGTGTAGAGTCCATCCTTGAGCATACCTTATTCAAGGGTACTTACTTCCCTACTTGGGTGGGTTTTTTCTTTGTTTTGCAAGGGTTATATACTGACGATCATATAGGAGGGTCTGTTCTGGGAGAAAGCCAGCGGTTTCGAAGAATCTATGAAGTATAAGAAACTTACGAACGCTCAAAGATCCGGTTTGAACCAGATTCCAAACAGAAGATTTACACTCTGGTGGTCACCTACGATTAATCGTGCTAATGTCTATGTTGGTTTCCAAGTACAACTTGATCTTACTGGTATCTTCATGCACGGTAAGATTCCAACCCTCAAGATCTCACTTATTCAGATCTTCCGTGCGCACTTGTGGCAGAAGATCCACGAATCTGTCGTTATGGATCTTTGTCAAGTTTTCGATCAGGAGTTAGAAGCATTACAGATTGAAACCGTCCAGAAAGAGACTATCCACCCACGTAAATCTTACAAGATGAACTCATCTTGCGCTGATATCCTCCTCTTCTCGGCATACAAATGGAACATCGCAAGACCATCACTGCTTAATGACAGCAAGGATGTTTTGGATGGCACTACATCAAACAAATTCTGGGTGGATGTTCAATTGAGATTTGGTGATTTCGATTCACACGATATTGAGAGATATACAAGAGCCAAGTTCTTAGATTACACGAGCGATCCATCTTCCATGTACCCATCACCAACTGGTTGCATGGTCGGTCTCGATTTGGCTTACAACCTCTACACTGCTTATGGTAACTGGTTCCCTGGTCTCAAACCGCTGATGCAACAAGCTATGGCGAAGGTCATGAAAGCTAATCCAGCTCTTTATGTCCTTAGAGAGCGTATTAGGAAGTCACTCCAACTCTACTCCTCTGAACCAACAGAACCATATCTCAACTCCCAGAACTATTCAGAATTGTTCTCCAACCAAACTATCTGGTTTGTTGATGATACTAACGTATATCGTGTTACTATCCACAAGACGTTCGAAGGTAACCTCACCACCAAGCCTATTAACGGTGCTATCTTCATCTTTAACCCAAGAACTGGTCAGCTGTTCTTGAAGATCATCCACACTTCCGTATGGGCTGGTCAGAAGCGTCTTGGTCAACTTGCTAAATGGAAGACGGCTGAAGAAGTTGCAGCACTTATTCGTTCATTGCCTGTTGAAGAACAACCTAAGCAAATTATTGTCACTAGAAAGGGTATGCTTGACCCACTTGAAGTCCATCTTCTTGATTTCCCGTGAGTTGCAGTATTTTGCAATCTTTTTTCACTAACTAGGCAATCCAGTAACATTGTCATCAAGGGTTCTGAACTTCAATTGCCATTCCAGGCTTGTTTGAAATTGGAGAAATTCGGTGATCTCATCTTACGTGCTACCCAACCACAAATGGTGTTGTTCTCACTTTACGATGATTGGTTGAAGGAAATCTCATCATACACCGCATTCTCACGTCTTATTCTTATCCTTCGTGGTTTGCATGTCAACAACGAGAAAGCAAAGATTATATTACGTCCTGATAAGAACACTCTCACTGAACCACATCACATTTGGCCATCTCTCTCGGCTGAAGATTGGATCAAGGTTGAGTCGCAACTCAGAGATCTTATTGTCAATGATTTCGGTAAACGTAATTCAGTCAATACTGCGTCACTCACACAATCTGAAATTCGTGATATCATCCTTGGTATGGAAATCAGTGCTCCTTCTATTCAACGTCAACAGATGGCCGAAGTTGAAAACTCAGCTGCTGACGCAAACCAAATTACAGCACTCCAAACTAAGACTACGAACGTTCATGGTGATGAGATTCAAGTTGTTACTACTACTAATTATGAGAACCAACAATTTGCTAGCAAATCTGATTGGAGAGCTAGAGCTATCTCTTCAACTAACTTGCCGTTGAGAGTTCAACATGTCTTTGTTTCAAATGATGATGTTAAGGATGATAGCAGTGCTTTCACTTACGTTATTCCAAAGAACATCCTCAGACAGTTCATTATTAGTGGTGATCTTCGCACTCAAGTGGCCGGTTTCATGTACGGTGTTTCGCCGCCGGATGCACCACAAATCAAGGAAATTAAAGCGATCGCCTGGGTTCCTCAACGTGGATCATTCAACAATGTTGAACTACCAAGCAACCTTCCTGAACATGACTACTTGCTTAACGATTTGGAGCCACTCGGTTGGATAAAGACACAATCACTCGAATTGAACCATCTCAGTCCACAGGATGTGACAACACAAGCACGAGTAATGGCCAACAACCCAATTTGGGGCCCAAGCTCGATCTGTTTGGTCTGTTCATTCACTCCAGGTAGTGTCAGTTTGTCAGCTTACTCGCTTACGGTTAATGGTTTCGAATGGGGTCGCAAGAACCAAGACCTGGGTGGTCAACCAGCTGGTTTTAACCCAAGCTTCTCTGAACGCACACAATTGCTTCTCTCTGATAGAATTCTCGGTATGACACTCGTACCTGGTAAGTTTATCCTACTTTCTCTAATAATCTTTCTGACAATATCTTCAGAGGGTGGAATTTGGAATTACGCGCTATCATTATCACAACAATGGACACCTACGCTACCATACCAGATGGCACTCGCAAGACCAACCTCGTTCTGGGCTGACATTCACCGTCCATTGCAATTCTCCAACTTTACCGAAATGTCCTCCGGTGCTGATGCAGATGTCGAAAACAGCTTGGCTTAGTTTAAATTATTGTATAATTATACATTTTCTTCTTTCTACTTTTTAAATTTGAAATAATATTTGACGTCATTTCGTATTCCTCAACAACCATGGAGAGTGTACTGAAAGTTGGTTTAGTTGGTAGGTAGATGTCTATTGTAGTTTCTGTGTATCGTCTAAACGCACTAAGGTGCTGGAGAAGTTGCCCAAACTATCGTATTACCAAACCTGCGTCTTTTATCACATAGGTTTAAAGTAGAAGCTATCTGTGATATATCAGAAAACGCTATCGATCATGTCTCTGCCAAGTTCAATATAGATAAGAAATACAGGAAATATCAAGATATGCTGGCCGATAATGACGTTGAAGCTGTTATGGTGTTGGCAGCAGATGAATTCCATGCGCAGATTGCAATCGATGCATTAGAAGCTCGTAAAGCGGTTTTCATCGAGAAGCCAATGGCCTTGAGTGTCCAATCTGCAGATGCGATCATAGATGCACGCAATAGGACAAATGGTGTCGTTTTTGTTGGATATCAACGTAGATATGCAGAAGCATTCAATCAAGCTGTTGAAATTGTGAGATCTATGGATAAAATCTCATATGCACGCGTTCGTGATATTATCGGTCCTAATAGTATATTCGTCGGACAATCTGGAACATATCCTCAGAAATTCTCTGATTTTAGTCCAGAAGCAACAGAAGAAATGCGTCTTCGTTCAAAACAGATTGCTCAAGAAGCACTTGGTACTTCTGACACAAGTAGTAAAGCATATGGACTCTACAGATTGCTAGGATCTTTAGGCTCACACGATTTGTCGGCAATGAGGGAAATTTTAGGAGGTATTCCTAAACGCGTGTTGGGTGTATCCAACACTGCTCCTACTAACGCTGGTGGTTTCCTTACTGCTTTGTTTGACTACGGCGACTTCGTGGCTACCTACGAGACCGGTGTTGACGAAGTTGGCTTATTCGACGCTCACATAGAAGTCTATGGTGGCGGAAAACGCGTGAGAGTTGAATATGACACCCCATATGTCAAGGGTTTGCCTATCAAACTTGTCATTGGCGAGACTATAGATGGTGCATACGTTGAACGCGTCATCAGACCTACTTACGAAGATGCTTATACTATTGAGTACAACGCTTTCTACGACGCGATCCGACATGGTAAGCCAATCAAGACAACAGCTGAGGATGCAAAGGTGAGATGACACAGTTAGTAAGTCTGTCACTAACAAACCCTCGTAGCAAGATCTTGCGATATTCAAGATGCTCACAGATGCTTTCGCACAACACACTTGAATCTATGACTGTAAATGCATAATTGGATGAATTAGAAATTTTCTTCATATCCTCTCTGTTTGTGCTTTTGGAGCGCAATATTGGGTTTTTTGCGTCTAGGAACGTCGTCAAAACAAAATCCATATTGCTTTGCGCGTCTAGCGAGTGCCGTGCGCTGTTCACGTGGATATGGTGATGCATCCTTCCATGCAATCTTGTGTGGTTTGTCACCCATAATGGATTCTATTTCAGGTAACTCACTCTGTCCTTTGTCCAGCCTCCAATCAGGGTCCCAAGTGAGCTATGGTGGTATTTCTATCATCTCCGCTAACATCTTTCTTAATTTCACCTCTGCGAATTTAGCTCCCTGTCCACACTGGTTTCAATAGACCAGTTACGGTAGTCTTCTAGTTTACCCCAAGAACTGAAAGTAGGGATATGGATTCAACAGTAAATCCTTAGGGAATCGTTTATGAGCATATCACAGACTCCAGTTGGGCTTTGTGGAGTGATATGAGCAGCAATTGATGTATTTTCTGCTTCATAATAGAGTTAGACGTCTTATATGTGTATCCGCTGGTAGAGTCTATAATTTCTTTGCTATGGTTATCCTGCGTCTCTATCGATTGTTCTAAGGCCGACTTGGTTTTCTAGTCGTGCGTTGATATACATCGATAGTACTGATATACGAATACCACTCTCCAACTCGCCAGTTTGTCCAGTATTTCGCGTATCTGCTCACGTCTGTCGAATGCATCAGCGAAAAGCTCAGGCTGTGCTATTCTGCGTACTGTTCGAGTAGTTTGTCCTCCTTATACATTGTTTTGATAATGTCTAGTGTGATAAGGAAAGTCACTCACGACATGTAGCCGTATGGTGTCCTGCCAATACTTAACTTCTTTCCTTCGCTGCTTTTCACCAATTAGAGCGCCTGTTTTCTTTATCTTCTCGTCCAATTTATGGTTCACCTGTTTTCCGGTAAACTGATAAGAAGTGAGAAGATGAGCATTCTCACATAGAGGTGAGTACACCCCCTTTGTACTTCTCTACGGCTTCATTATGCTTCACACTATCTTTTGGATTGCCTAGTAACACCAAGTATGAGTAATTGTGCTGAATAGCCTTAATTATTGCGTCAGCAGTTTTATCGAGATCCCGAATAGATAAATCACAGTAGTAGACATAGTTCTATTAGCGTTACACTGCGGTAGGAAATCCACAGCCCGTAACCGTCTCCGTAAGAAAATCATCTATGACGGTATATAACGAAGTATTGGAAAGTTATTTTATAAGAAAATAACAAAACGAATACCGTCTGTAGTCTTTTGATCATTTCTTATCTACGTCATTCGGCCAATTGCTTACAATGTCGAGGTACAATAGCTTATATGCGGGCAAGATTGGCAGACAGAAAAATGTGCATTAATTGTTGATACCCTTCCACTACTGTGATGCACTACCCATACTTGGATACCCAGTCTACCCCACCTCGTATCTTTATCAGGCCAGGTGTCACAATTGATTTGAACTCATCAACGAAAGCCCTATTGGAGGAGTTCTGTGAGCCTAAAGATATTACCACCTTTAGTGATACCATAGAAAGTGAAGATGAGGCTAGAAGGACAGTCTTCGCCTTAAAAGAGATGGAAGTACATTGGCTCTCAATCAGGGTCGATAAGCTTGACCAGCATCTGCTGAAGAAGATAACAGAATTGCGACATCTGGACACCCTACTTATCCATTCTATAAAAACCACTGGAAAGTATCATTCGCGTGTCGATGATATTGTTTCACTATTTAGTGGAATGAAAAATCTCAAACACCTCGAATTCAATTTTGAAGTAACGGATATCTGCTACGATCTAGCAAAGGATTACGATTTCAAACATCAGTATCGACTCGTAGAGAAGCTCGGTGTGGGATGTCCATCTTTGAAATATGTTCAGACTATCACAGATGGTATGACGACGTCTTGGGAAATAGAGCAGAGTATGGGCTATGGTAGCAGATGGCCAGTTCCTAAACAAAAAGCAGGTCAACAGCGTCTTAAGAATAGTGGCGATGTTTTCTCAAAACGTAAATCTGACTTCAATAGCAGACGTTGGTTTGGAATCGGTAGCCCGGTCGCAACTCCATTCAACACATTTAGTACCTACCCTGGTTTACCAGCCTATTCAAACAACGCTATGAACCCAATAGAACAGTTCTATCAAGCCCAGTATCAAAATCAAATGAACAACCTCATGCCGTTTGGATATAGTATGTATGGATCTGAGAGACCATTCGCTATGCCGCCTCCAGCACCTGTTGTACCTGCTTGGGGACATGAACTCAAAGAATATCCAATATGGTCATACGATGATTACAATCCAAATGACTATCCAGATTGGTGCGTGATTTACTTGTCATTTCTACATAACTCACCCTCTATAAGGCACCGAAAGAGACACCAAGCTAGACCTATCCAAAAGCGCAAGACTGTGTCTTTTTTATGACTTTGCTTACGATTTTCACGATTGCTACGTTAATTTACCACACAATTACTTCTTAAAAGTCTTGCTATACATGGCTTATTTTAAAATTACAACTATTGATGCTATTAATTAGGTATTTGCTATTAAGTTTCTGAAGTGGTGCCTTTGAGTTTAGCGTTTAGCTGACGTCTTAGTTGTCTTCACAGGCGGTTCATCTTCCAACAACGATTGTGTTTCTGATTCAGAAGATATTTCAATAGGATAGCTCTTCCTGAGATTTGATATCCGTCTGACAATCTTCTGACTGGGACGTTTGTGTCCACTCGCAGGCTTCTTTACAGTCTCGAAGCTACCTAGACTGTGTCGTCCATTCGAATTTTCAGTCTGCAGTGGCTTTCGCAAAAGAGCTGGTGGGTCCATGATAGAATTTTGGGAGGTATTTGCATTTGTATTAGCAGCTTGATTACTTGACTTATTCGCTAAAGCAGTCGAAGCAACAGTTATGCTACTCTCCCTCGCCCAATTGGCTACCTTCGCCATCGAATCCATCTGCTTAGCATTCGCCATGAAATCATTCAGGTTGCTCTTCCGCCTCTTAAGATGAGATTGATCGTCACTGTCCGTTTCGAATACATCTGAAGACATTTCTATTGCGCGCTTTTTATCATTATTTGAATTCACTGACTTGTTTGCGTCCAATGCGTTATTTAGGGATGGCCTCAACTTCGACTGGGACGGCTTCACTTTCTCCGGCCTTGCAAAAGATGTGCTTGACTCATGGATCTCATGCATTGGATAGCCTGTTTCTTTGAGTTCTTGGAATGATTCCAACCTAAGTAGCGCCTCCTGAGTCTTTCTACGCCGTTGTTGTCTTTCTTTATACTCTCGATCGCGATCATCTTCATGAAGATCTATGTGAGTGTTCTTACGTTCTATATGAGCTTTCGCCATTGGTTTTGGCAAAGATGGTTGTTTTCTCGGCTTACTAGCTGTCAGCATGTCGAAATCTTCACTACTGCTACTATTGTCACGGCTGTTACTGGAACGACTTCTATTGTCCTCCTCCTTCGCTTTCGAGATGGGCTTTTTAGTAGTCAACATATCGAAATCCTCACTACTGCTATCTTCACTCTCGACACGAATCGGCTTCTTTCCTTTTCGAGATGGTTTACTAATTGTGTCGTCTTTGTCAAAACTCTTCTTATGCGTTATAGACTGTTTCCCTCTTTCCTTTGGTCGAACATTTATGATATCCCTACCATTTTTGTGTTCGTTTATAAACGTGTCTGTGTGGTAACTTGCCTTATTTGCATACAGTGAATTATCATCGTTGCTTCCTTGTTCTGAAGATGTCTGGATTACTCTTCTACTGGTGGGCTTTTGAACTTTCTGTTTTTTCTGTTCTAAGTGGTGGGTGTCATCTCTGAGACCTTTAGTTCTGTTCTGTAAACGCTGACCAGAGTTGGCTTTCTTCTGGTTTTTGGTCTTCCTCACTGGCTGAGGTTTTTTGGAAGTTTTCACCTTAGGTTTATCGGGACTTCTGGGATTCTCAGAACTTTCATAACCCTCGAGGTTATCATCACTACCATTACTACTTTCATTTTCCATACCATTATCTGAATGATCTTCTGCGGAATACTCGCTGGAATCTCCATCTTCAGGCAGAGCAGGGAGATTCTCTATCTCCTTCCGGTTGTCATTTTCAGCGAGGTTGACGTCAAGGTCGTCGTTATCGTTATTGTTACTATCACCTTCATCGTCATCATCATCATCGCCTTCATATCTCTCATTCCAATTGCGCTGGATAAAGACAGGAGTACCAAATCCATAAAGTTTGTTTGTTCCGTGGAATTGGAACTTCTTTCCAAATACTCTCTGCGGGGCGAGTGCATTCTGAGTTTTGCGACGAAAGAACGGAGTTTGCGAGAACCGCGGCGTTGGTAACATCAAGTACGGTGTTAATTTATTCGATTTGATGATACTACTTGCTGGTGTCAAATCTAATACCCTTGACTTGCCTTTCTGAGGTGTTTTGTAGGTAGATGTGTGGAGGTATTGTATTTTTTCTTTCTCGAATTTAGCTTTGGCTGCTTCTTTTTTCATGTGCAGGGTGGTATCGTCGATGCCTTCAACATGTAGACCTTTCGATATGACTTTGCTAAGAAGACTTAGCTGGGGAGGCAGGAGATTACCATAGTCGAACTTGTCTATTAGTACACTAGATCTGCTGTAGTCTAAAGCGAAAAGTAATTCCAAATCAAACATCGAAAGTGCTTCTGATGTTGTCCGCTGTATAAAGGGTATTTTTGATATATTATCTATGCAAGCGCAAAGTAAGTCACATGAGTAACTCTTTCTTGACGCAAAAATGAGCGCAGCTGAACATAAATTGTACGTAATTGTGAACCATTCTTCACGGGCAGGTTCGTTGAGTAGCCTTTCAGTGGTTTCAATAGCTAACTCAAACAACACGCGTTGTGCAAGTGGTTGGCACTTGTTTAGCGCAGCATCGAACAGCGAGTTTTCGTTAGAAATATACAACCAATCACGTAATCTGAACGGTGGAATATGAGACTGATAGCATGCTGATAATATTGATTGTATCAGTGGTGATAGATCGCAAACTGGAAGGCTTCTAATGTTATCAATTGCCCTGCAAGTGGACAAAGCTGGCTCGAATGCAGGTAGTAGCTTCGTCAGTGAGCGGAGTAACTCTGGTATAGCATTGAATTTGTTCGCAATTTCAGTGATATAGTCGGGTGGTGGTAGTGTTGACCGCGCAAAAGCAATTGTGAGAGACTGATGGATGATGTCCTGAAATTCCAATCCGTGTGGTCGTGTCGTTTGCAAGAGAGAAGACACCGTAGGGTGATGGGATGAAAGGGTTTCGCTAGAGAAGAGAAAGGAGAGAGCATGAGATGGTACTAAAAGGCTGGTAAACAGTTAGACAAAATAATTTGAGCTGTATCACATGCTTACCTCCTCAAATGGGCTGGTACACAGTTGTATATATAGTCGACAACCTCAATAGAGCGTGCTTCTCTCTCGGGCTTCGTAAGTTCGTCCGAGTCGTCCGAGTCATCATCCCTGCTGAGGTCGTAATTGACGATCGAGTAGCCGATAACCTTTGCAGATAGCTGTACCAAAGAGGGGAACCGTGTTGATGGCTTGTTTAAGTCTAAAATGTTACTATAGGCCTCTCTAAGGGCTTGTAAATGGTCTATCAATTCTAAAAGAACTTAAAACGCGTCGTTCGAGGGTCTATATCGAGACTCACCTCTGAGATTGAGACCATCGAAGGTGCCAGACCGGGGGTTGAACAATTTGTCAGTTTTCGTGATATTTGGAATAATTCTAAGGCTTTTCCAATCGCTGTCTCTCTGCTTTCTTGAATAGCTCTTCTTCTGTGGTCTTTTATCCTCGTCATTCTCGTCTCTCCGTTTACTGACGAGTTCTTCCAGTAATTTAATCTTCCTACTAAAGTTTCTTAACAGTCTATTTATCCTCCTCAGTTCGTTGTCATCGTCGAGCATCAAGATGTTACGCGCATCTCATCTCTCTTCTTTACATCGATGAACGCGCTGAGCAACAGCACATCTGTGACGATAGCTTCAGCATTTAATCTCGCAATGGAGCAGCAGCAAAGACGACAGACGAGATCGCGTTCAAAATCTCTCCTTTCCGAGGAATCTCAGCAATCGACGAAAGAGAGCCATCTGCTCTTATCTACGAGGCAGCAGTCTGAGTCTGATATCAGCGATAGTTACGATTACGAGCCAGAGGATCAAATTGTGAGGGATCTCGAAAATCAACCCAAAAAGAAAGGACAGTGGTTGGCAGACAAGTTACCACAAGATTCACCTTCAGATAATTCTATGACACCAGGCACTAACAAAGACAACGCTCAGACACCCCTTGGTTCCCACAATTCATACAACAACAACAATAGCACAGATAGTGTCTTAGGCAAACGCGCTAGAAGAACTTCCCGCGCTAAGAAACTCCCAGATGAGGAGGATGACTTTTATCAGCCGCGCGACGAAGACAGTGGAGATGATCACGTTCTCTCAGACGAAGGCAAAGACAGGTCAAAGAAATGGCCAAAATCTAGGCTTCTCTTTAACACAGTTCTTGACGGTAAGACAAATAAAAAGAGAAGAAGATCAAGAAAATCGAGAAGTTCAAATGCCTCAGATAGAGTCAGTGAAGTTTCTCAGTCACCAGCACCAGAGAATGACGACTGGAGGATCCCTCAAGACTTCAAACCCGCGCAATCATTTGATGACGAATCTGTCTCAGTTCAGGATGACCAGAGCGTCGATCTATTACCAGAGGACCACAGTTTCAGCGCTCCTCCACCCGCCCCTCAACCTTTACGCGCTCCTGCTATGCCTCCTCCTCCATTGCCAAGGGCTGCTTCAACGAGGAAACCAGCTCGGAGACTCGCGTCACCGCCAAAGTCAAATATACCAGCACCTCCACCAAAGAAGTCTCTTCTTCAAATACTCGCTTTGACGGCCTACTTACCCATCGTTGCTATTAAAGTCTTACTAAAGAATGCCAGCAATCACAGGAAAGCAGTCATTGTACTCCTTGTAGCTACTGCATTTGCTGTTCTTAACGGTTCAAAGGACGCCTCTAATTATATACCCTCTTTTGGTACCACACAACCTATCGATGTTTCAGTAAAGGATTTCCAGAAGTTGTCGCGAGGTACACAGAATCTTCAAACAATGGTTGAAAACCTAAACAGAGACATGCAACAATTGAAGACACGTGTAAAATACGGAGAAGAAGCTCACGTGCAAATGCAATCAATACAAAATAAACTCAATGACATTACCAACAATCAACTTAGTGAAGTTCAGGTCAGTAAAATAGTTGAGAAACTGCTCCCACATAGACTTTTAGTGAGAAAATCACCAACCGGAGAGGCAATCATAGATGAAGCCTTCTGGAAGGCTCTCAGAAGCGTATTTGAGACTCAAAATACAATCTCTAATCCAAATTGGGACGAGTTTATTCGCGATAACTCCGATAAACTTAAGGACTGGATGTACACTGATGGTGGACTCGACGAGCAAGTGGTGAACAGAATTGAGTTTATGAACATTGTCGATGACAGAGTTAAGAGCTTCATTAATAGCGCGTCAGGCAAGAAGAGTGGCCTCAACTCGTGGTTCAGAGGAGGCACATCCACGCCATCATCTGATGAGTTACAATCAATTGTTAACGACATCGTCCAGACTTCTCTAGAGCGCTATAGTGCTGACACAATTGGTAAAACTGATTATGCGTTGTTCACTGCCGGTGCAAGGGTGTTGCCAGCCAATACGTCACCTACCTATTCAATCACACCTGTCAGTTTCACAAGGAAAGTGCTCGGAAAACTTCTTGGAAGCGGTACGAGAGCGTATGGTCGACCACCCGTGACAGCCCTCCATCCGGACATCAATGTGGGAATGTGCTGGTCTTTCCATGGTTCGGCAGGAGATATCGCCGTCAAGCTTGCCAGATCAGCTATACCAATCTCTGGATACACAATCGACCACGCCTCACCATTGCTCGTCCAAGATCGCTCGTCAGCTCCTCAAACTTTCGAATTATGGGGTTTGTCAGAAGATCAAGCCCAGATTGAGAAAATCAGAGAAATAAATGAGGAAGTTATCGAGGATGTCAGTGGAGAGTTCCCCGTTAATGAGAAAGCACCTACAACTAATGCTGCTCTACTCGGCGTAGACAGATACGATCTCAATGGTCACCACATCCAAACTTTCGGCGTACGCGACATTGTTAGAGAATTAGATTTCCGTCCTGATGCTGTTATTTTGAGAATAACAGATAACCATGGTAATAAACACCATACTTGTTTGTGTGAGTCAATAAATTATAGTTATGACAACTAGACTAACGATTTGCAGACCGGTTGAGGGTACATTCATCGACAGATGATCGTAGAAGCGTGTTAGTTGAGAATGATGAGCAGTAATAGATTGGCAATACCATCTTATTAATTCGGATAGAGCTTTTGCAGAATTCAGTGTATTAATGTGAGTATTTTCCTTAACCTTCAATATCTCTAACAACAATCTGGCAGACCAAGATATATATAATGGTGATAACCTAACTTTAGCTTTAAAATATGTAAACAATTTTGATCACACTCTTTTTTATTATTAATACATGCTTATTAGTCTATTTAGATGGCACGAAGTAATTCAAAGCAATCTTAGCTTCTTTAATGTTTTTGTCAAAGATACCCTTCACTGGCACGAAAGTTGCATCTCCGTCAATGCATTTCTGTGCTATGCGATGTTAGCATACTCCCTTGTAAATACTAAAACTCACCCTCATCAAGTGATACTAATGGTGTGTAATACACTGTACAGTAAATGCTGTTATTTATACTATTTGTAGTCACTTCTTGGAGGAATTCAAAACATTGCACGCCTTCATGAGATCTGGCATGATGTTTTCTAATTAGCTTATCTTCATTATAAGTGACATTCAAAGCATCTTCCTTCTGTGCATCTTCATCTTCACTGTCGTACGATATCTGAGATGGACGATCATTGTAGACGAATTGCCATTCGACGGCGGCGTTCTTCGGGAGGCTGTCTACTACGACATATAATTGGGCTGGCTTCTGTGTGATAACGTCCAAACAATCTTCTGAGCGTTCCGAATGAGCATCAATAGCTTGCTGTAAGACGTTCTGACAAATACTAACGTAGTCTCTCGACGTAACGTAGCAAATAACGCTTTCCGGGCGCATGAGAAGCTCTCCAGCGGTTATGTGCACTGGTGCAAGTGCCTCTGAGACTTTCCTGGCATGTTGCAATGATAGTATAGCCTGCTGGGAAACACCACCGTCCACGAGTGAAAGAGTAGATGGCTTCAATGCAATTTGACCAGATATGAAATGTCGGTTGTTGATTGTGATGCTCTGACTATATGGGCCTATGTTTGCTGGTGCCCAATATGATTGTCCACGGACATGGAGTGCACTCCTCGAGGAGTCTTTCTTGGCGACAAGAGATATGGCCACTTTGTATGTCTCTCCAAGGTTTGTGGCAATACAGGCGCGAGCTGGTGGACCAGACTTCTGGAAGTACGTTCCATATGCTTCGTTGAGCGCACTGAAATCACTCATATCTGCTATGTAAACTGAAATAAAGGTGGTGTGCTCGTCGATAATAAAGCCTTTCTCTTGCATAAGCGCAGAACATTTCTGAAGGATGTCGTGTGTTTGTGTGGATATGTCTCCTGCATTGGTTGAATAGACGTTCGATATGGTCAACCAATTGGATGACACTTTAGTGGAACAGGGTGGTTGGACACCCTGCCGCCGAGGTAACGACATTCCATCAGTATTGCTTGTCAAGACCGCTGGTGGTTGGATCTCTTGTGATATCTCATCCAATATCTCCGGCTCTGAAAAATGAACATCTTGTTCTTCATCCTTGTCCTCCAAGTGAGCCTTATTTATGCGTAAATATGCAACAGGGGCATTCGGCGAAGGATCGTGATAAATCACCTCCACGTCGTCTCTGTGGGTTGTTTAAAGGAAATTTTTATGGCGCTGTGAAACACTCACAGGACAATCCTTTGTTTGTATAACGGACTATCGAGTGTGACGGTCTCAAACTCGCCACCTTCACCACAGACGTGGGAACCATAGAGATTGTGCAACTTGTCGAGTGTTGGTCGAAGTTGTGCGAGTGATTTTCCGAGGTGGCGCTCTGGATCGAGACCGGCGCCGGCAACCTTTATAACAACTGACGTCTGTTGTGCTGCCACCATTTCATCCAATAGCTTATCCTGCGGTCTTCTCCAGAGGTACGCCAAAACAGTCAGACCAAGTCTACTGCAGACGTGCTCCACGCGTACGCGCTGGTAATTTGAAAGGATAGCACCAACACTGACACCTTCAAGATCAGGATGCTTCGTTTTGACAGTCTGAAGGAGCTCGAAAAGGTCCTCTGTCTCGTCGTTGAGCGTCTGCTCATATGTGCTTTGTTGGTTGATTGGTGTACCCTTTATTAGACCCTCGTACAGCTCTACACCGAGTGATTGTGCTATTAGTGGTAGAATTGACAATCCAACAGTCTGGAACATGTAGCTGTCCATTTCTTCATACGCCCCGCCATTCTTAAGATTCGCAACAGCGATAAGTTCGTGGCCGTTGTTTCTACAGTGTAGCAAATTAAAAATTGAGTCCTTCCCCCCGGATATCAGTCCAACGTATTTCATCAGCGTACGATGAAGACATTCACTCGAAATGCGGTCGCAGAGCATATTTTACAAGGACAAATATTAGTTATATACAAATCTAAGGTACTGAGATTAAATAGTTGGATTGATAAGCATCCTGGTGGTGATTTAGCCATATTACACTTCGTTGGACGAGATGCTACGGATGAGATATCTGCATATCATGACGATGCTACGATAGAGAAGCTCTTACCACGTTTTATTGTTGGACAACTAGACGAGAGCGATTCTGAGCCATTCTACCCCCTCATCCCGCCTGTTCAGCTTGGTTGGCGAGGCGATAAGCGCGAAGGACACACCACGCAGGCGATTGGAAGGTTCAATGGTAGTGGAAATAATACAGAGGACAAAGAAATCGAACCACATCTTCCAAAGTCTAAATTCGCTAATATACCACTCACAATGCAGGAGTTGGAACCTCCAACACCCACTGATGAGAGTTTAGACATCAAAAGGCAGTTTAAGATATCGCAGAATTATCATAAGCTGCACGCTGAAGTTAAGAGACGTGGACTGTATACAATTCAATCGGATGCTTACCTCTATGAATGCATACGGTATACCGCTCTATTGGTAATTTTTGCATTACTTTACTTCAAATTAGAGTGGAAGGTCCTTGCAGCAATTCCACTAGGTTTGTTCTGGCATCAAATTACTTTTGTTGTACACGATGCTGGTCATTGTGAAATTTGGGGGTCTCAAAAGACAGACAAAACTCTTGCATGCTTTATTGCCTCCTACATCGGAGGCCTTAGTGCTAATTGGTGGTGTGATGTAAGTGTCTAGGTTTACTATAGTATCATCACTGACAGTTATGTAGAATCATGATATTCATCATAGTGAGTACACGCCGTGCCCACATGTTTGTTTCTAACAGACAATAGTTGTCACCAATCACCCAGAACATGATCCAGATATCCAACATATACCTTTTTTCGCAATCTCAACCAAGTTTTTCAATTCAATGTGGAGTACTTACTATAGACGGGTAATGGAGTTTGATGCTTTTGCGAAGCTTGTACTTCCAATACAGTGAGTATCTAAGCACCTACCTGCATTTGTTATTGACAACTATAGACATAATCTCTACTACATTGTTATGTCGGTGGCTCGGTTCAACTTGTTTGCGCTGTCGTATATATATCTCTTAACGAAATCAAAGAATGACTGGTACAGGAATTTTGAGATAGTCGGTGTCAGCGTTTTCTGGACTTGGTATGGCAGTCTTATCAGTCACATACCCTCCCATTTTGGCAAATTCGCATTTTTATTACTAAGTAATGTTGCTGCATCACCCGTACACGTCCAGGTAGGAGCAAAAGGGTTATTTTATATTTATCACTAACGTTCTAAGATTGTACTGTCACATTTCGCAAGGTCGACGGACGACTTGGGATTGACTGAATCGTTTGCACACAGGCAACTAAGAACGACGATGGACGTCGCATGCCCTTGGTATTTGGACTTCTTACATGGTGGCCTTCATATGCAGGTGTCACACCATTTATTCCCTCGCATACCTCGTCACAACTTACGTGAAGTCCGCGACATGGTTGCAAAATTCGCAGCTGAAAATAACTTGGAATATGCAGAGCATGGATTCGTAGCTGGTAATGGTCAAGTACTGGATGTACTACGTAATGTCGGTGAGCAGGTCAAATTCGTATCGAAGGTTGCCGCAAGTGAGGCATCTCAAAAAATGCACAAGACTGCAGTTGTACAGTAAATTATTATAGATTGATCGTTTCAAAGTTTCACAACATGAGTGCGAATGTATGGAAATTTTATTTTAGTCTCAGATGTCGTACTGTGATCTCCACAGACTGAGAGCTACTTATACTACTATTGTTTCAGATAATGCGGATGTGTCATACATCGAAGTTGGACTATATATACCATTTTATTCCATATTGAAAACTTCTCTATTCAGTACTTCTTTTTATTACTATTGATAACAACATACAATGTACCACACATCTACGTAACGTCGACTTGTAGATTGACTACTTGTCAAAAATATAATAAAAAAACGCGATAGTTCATGAGAAAAGTATACAATAGATTATTATATAGGGTTCACCACCATTATCTGAACTTCCCGTTCAAAATTGAGTGGCCTATTTTACATGAAAAATTGAAATTAATAGAAACACATCTAAAACCCAGGAACTAAATTGAAATTATAGTCTATTCTTTTCTTGTATCTTCCTTTTGCATACGTCCACCGTGTCCGATGGCATTGTCTTGCTCTTCAGTTTCGTCCCACTTTCTGAATGTGAAGTAGAAGACGATACCAGCAATAAATGCTGTGATTGCAATTCCAGTGTAAAGCCAAACAAGGTGAGGATCTTCCGTAACCGGCAAGAGTGCAAGGTTGATTGCGTTACCGAATGCAGTTTGCAAGAGGAAAATAGCCATAATGAGACCTCTCATACTAGTTGGAGCCTTCGTGAATGCATATTCCAAACCTATTATTCTGTTAGCTTACCATTTGTGAACATACTATCTGTCTCACCTGTGATTGACGCAAAGCACTCTGACAACGCTATCAAAGCGTATGCAGGAGCGACGATCCAGAGGTTGATATCACCGGGCTGATCACAGGTTGTAGCTTGATCCCCACATGGTGACAGCTTCGAATAGATAAAATGCTGCAACACTGCACAATAGACCATAGCCAAAGATGCAGTGAAGAAACCACAAGTAATACGAGCAATTGGGCGGAATGGAATACCCATTTTCCTAAGCCCTGGGTATACTACTAAATCCAAAATCGGGATTGCAGCTATCAAGAAGATAGGGTCGACGTTCTGGATAAGGTCATTAGGTGTTCCATCACTCCGGAGACTACCAGCCATGGAAATTAAGTTGTTGTAGTTGTTGTTATAGCAAATCCAGTATAATGGGAAGAATGCAAAGATTAAACTTGCCCTCATACCTCTCTGTACTTCATCGACAAACGCACCATCCCAGCTTGGCTTTTGTCCGTGTTTTGATTCATACATATCTGGCTTAGCAGCGTTCCAGTTCCATCTCCAGTTAGACCAGGCCGCTTTGCATACCTTGTACGATTCGATGAGAACACTACCTCTAGGTGGGTAATGCGTTAATCTACTGTACATAAATACCAAAAGGATAGGAATGAGGCAGAAAACAATTGTGGGTAATGCGTATGCTAACCAGAAACCGACTTTGCGTTCAGATGTAGTTGTTGCGAGCGCCGCAAGCGATCCGACATTAATGGTGAAGTAAAACCACGAGAACAGGCGTTGAACAGTGATATTTGGATCAACAATTTCTTTCTTGCCTGATTTTGGATTTGTCCTGACATACATGGTATCTGTTTTGATTTGTTCACCGAGATAGACACTGATGTTTGATTTTATACCACCAGTTCCAAAACCAATGACGATCATGGAGACAATCATACCCCCGAATGCAGAGTTTGATCCACCTGAGAGTGATTGTGGAATGCTAGTGCATGTCAAGATGATCAAACCTGGGGAAAGTGAGAAATTTCACTCGAATGTGAATGTGCAAACGTACCGATTAGATAAATACCTGAGAAGACTGCAATTGTTTTAAACCGTCCAAGCTTTGTATCAGCGATGATACCACCAATGATTGGTGTAACATAGCACCAGAACTGGAAGAAGTTGGTCAAACCTATACGTTGTCAAACTATGATAAACTTCTACAGTAGAGCGCTCGCGAAACTCACCAGTTGATGCTTGTTGGCCCATGTCAAGTGCACCAGGTGACTGGTTCTCGTTATCGACGAGGTTACCGGCTGTTGAGCCATCTGGAAGTGGATTTTGGATTTCATTAGCGAATACACCTGTAATACCATAAAAAGCAAATCTTAAGACTGTCAGCATGGCCATGAAGCCAAGGAAGAAACTAACCTTTCGGCAAATTCTACCAAAACGATCAGGAATATATACCAGTTAACCTAGTTTATCCGTAAATTGGCTGGTAGGGTGCATCATATTCACTTACACTCTCTGACGTTCTTGGTAACGTGGCCATCTCTTCTTCAGTTGGGAAGGTGCCCTCTACATCTACGTCTTGTATGTAATGTCCTTCTGGATCTATTACGCCCTTTTCGTTGGATTTCTCGTTATACTTCTCGTCATATGGCTGCTCTACGGTAGGTATGCCACTTTGGTTTGGTGGTGCCAGATGACCACCAGCAGCGGCTGTATTTTTATGTTCATTAGCTATTGCAGCTCCTCCGGCTACAACTTCTGTTTCTAAACCTTCGAAATGCTTTAGTATTTATATTGTAAACCGCCTGAGACACTCACTTGACATTACGATGGAAAAGAAGAGAAGTAGATGTCTGATAAGTTATGGTGTTATCAGTAATATAATTAAGAGGACAGAGATAGGTCAGTGATTCAAGGTACCCGGAAGATTTTTAATGTCTTATCACCAGGTCCGGGATACTGATACCACCATATGCATGTTCTAAGGCGAATTCGCCGCACGTACCTAGATAAAAGAATATATAACCATCTATATAGCTTTGAAAGGCCTAACTTGCAGGTTTTTTGTGGGGACCTATGCCGAAGTCTTCTATTAATCACGCGCACGCAAGAAGACGCATTAACTTGTGATAGCCTTTGCAGCTGATAACACAATGCCGACAAAGAATAAATTAAACGAGAATATTAGTTTATAATAAATTATTAAGCGACGTTCGTTGTAATACAACCGATCCCCATCTGCAGGATTTGGCGATTTGATAACATTATTGAGTGATAAGCAATGTTAAATTTAAGACAATGTTTAGTTACGTGTAAAATAATAGCCAAATATGAGTTAATTAAACAATACATAACGTGATAGGGCAGTACATAAAATTAGAAACTGTCGGAGAATCACCGGATACAAGGCTTAAGACCGTAATTGTCTGAGATTAAAAGTTAGGTGGAAGTAAGTAATTTTCTGATTATTGTACTCATATTATTGAGAGCCTAATTACATTACTTACCAGGTGACCGACTCTTTATCATTATCCCAACAATTTGGATTATATACTTCTCCACCAGCGGCATCATGTAAAAACAAGACATATGTCAATTAGAAAATATACTTTGGCTTACATGATATTTTCAAGCAAAACTGCCCAAAGTAGACTGCCTCTTCATCAAAAGCATCCGTCCTATTCTAAACCAAGACAACCAACATCCATAGTAATTCTCAGATATAAAAATATCTCAATGAGCTAGTTGGTTCATTACACCGTTCGACATCAGCATGCTTCAGTTATCAGCTATCAATTCTAGACCTCTTGCAAACACTACATCTGAGCGCAAAGTGGGTTTCTGACTTGCTTATGCCTTACCAACAAGCTTGTAAAATCTTACTACTGACATCCTGCCCTTTATTTGTAACAGATTGATTTAATTCTTACCAGGAGAGTGTGCTTGTCAAAACAGTCAGAAGACGAGTGGGGGTGGGGCACACGTCAATGAAGCACAGAGAAGCTTGAGAGGAAGTTTAATCACATATACACACCCATACTATTATGCTGGATTTGCTACAACAATGATTACAACGATTTGGTTTCCATGCATGGTTGGTAGCTTGAAACACTGAAGGGCTATTGCTATGCGTCAAGTTTGTGAATGCTCTGGAAGTACCCAGTCTCGTATACTGACAACTAGACATAAACCTTCATTGAAAATCTGAATTATAAAGGTAAGTGTGTATTCTGTCATACTGTGTAATTAGATATGACCTTATAGCCAAAATAAATGCGTAAAACTTTGCCCAATATTCCATTAATGCGTACCATTGATCTGCCCTCTTCTAGAGTGTCGTGGTGTGTGAGTCTATGCGCCAATATCACTCTCCAAGCAACACAAACGCGTAAGCTATCTCTATGAATATGGTATACCTCTCTATAACCATTTGTACTGATTTTTTATACACAAAACACGCTTTTACTTCTTACTTCCGTATCGTCAACCGCGTCGGTTCAGATAAGAGATAATGCCACCAAAGACGCCTGGAAGTTCACAATCACTTAAACAGGGGAACTTATTCTCTGCCGGGTTTTTCAAAAAGACGCCAACTTCCGCTGGGCCAGGATCTTCATCTCCAGCTGCACCTTCTACGGCGACAAAAAAGAGAGATGCTATCAAACCAAGTGGGTATTTCAAAATCTCAATAGCGTGACTGACGCAGGAAGACTCAGGTAACTCATCTCCATTGGCACCACAATCTACAGATAAGCAGCCAAATAAGCAGAAATCAGCGCCTATGTCACCATTAAAGGAGATGGCAGACGATGATAGTGATGACGACGAGGAGAACCAGCAGCCCAAGCGTCAATTGAAGAAACGGAAGCCAATGGTGATCTCCTCTGATGAGGAAGAGCCACAGCCAGCAAAGCGTGAGTATATAATAATTTATGCACAAACATTAAACTAATGTACACCTCAGGTAAACTTAAGAAGAGGAAAGAGAGCAATGATGACGACTTCATCGACGATGGGCCAATTGAAATGGATGAGGATATTAAAGACGCGCCAGTTGAAGAGGAGAGTGACGACCTAATTGAGGAAATTGATTTAGAAGATATTGAAAAGTCTAAACAAGCGCCTAAGCCAAAGCCAGCACCGAAAGAGACACCTGCGAAGGCAGCCAGACCGTCAGCTGCAGGACGCACACCCTCAGGCGGTAACAAGTCACTTCTTACGAAAGCTGAGCGTCAAGTGCAGCAGACAAAAGCTGCTAAGAAGGACGCTGAATCACCATTCATGTTCTTGCACCCGCCATATGATGTAAGGATGTTTTGGGTTGTTTGAAGTATCTAACGAGTATTACAGAAATACCAGAACCCTATTGGACATCCCGACTATGATCCACACACATTACATATCCCTCCAAAGTACTGGAAAGAATTTTCACCATTCGAGAAGCAGGTGAGCGATGTCTTAATGTCCAATCGTGGTTACTAATAACCTTGCAGTTCTGGGAAATCAAGGCTGATCACTTTGACACAATTTTGTTCTTTCAAAAGGGTAAATTCTACGAGGTAGGGATGGGATTCTTCTGAAAGTCTAGTCTAATCTTCTTCGCAAGCTTTATGAAAATGATGCTATTATTGGGCACCGAGAATTCGATTTGAAGTTGACGGAACGTGTCAGGATGTGCATGGTTGGTGTACCAGAGGTAGGTGATACGTCTCTGTATCAGTCACAAACCTAACATTAAACTATAGATGTCTTTCGACTTCTTCGCCGCAAAATTCTTGGCATTGGGTTACAAAGTAGGTAAAGTTGAACAGCGTGAAACAGCAATTGGTATGGATATGCGTCAAAGAGCGGACAAGAAACCAGCAGGTGGAGCTAAAGCAGGCAAATCTGATGACAAACTCGTCCGTCGTGAATTACGTTCCGTATTGACGAATGGTACATTGGTAGATCCAAAGATGTTAGCTGATGAGGCGGCATCTCATTGTGTATCCATCAAGGAGACTAGCAGTAGTATCAATGGTAACAAACCTACGTTTGGCTTATGTATCTTGGACGCAAGTACTGGTGAGTTCAATCTCGCCACTTTTGAAGACGACAAGTCGAGATCAAAACTGGAGACATTGATTAGACAATTACGTCCTAAAGAAATTGTTCATGAGAAAGTAGGTATCAATCATCATTTATGCTTTGACTAAGAATGTTCAGGGGAATCTCGACCAACTCACTTTACGTGTCCTCCGAAACATTACGTCTATTTCATGTTTGTGGACATCACTTAACTCCGGCAAAGAGGGAATGGACGCGATTGAAACTATAACTGAACTGAAGAACTTGTTTAATAAGGATAATGAAGATGCTGATAAAGTTAAACTACCTGATGCTATCGAGAGCCTCATTGAAAATACCGAGGCTATTGAGTCTTTGGGTAACTTAATGTGGTATCTTCGTTCACTAAATCTCGATCGTGATTTGTTATCGCTCGGTAATTTCAACATTTACGACGCTACACGTGAAGGTCAAGCCATGATATTGGATGGTCGCACATTAGCTCATATTGAAGTAAGTTTAATGATATAGCCATACCTATTTTAACGTGATCAAGGTTCTTGTTAATAGTGAAGGCGGTGAAGATGATACATTGTTGAAGTTGCTCAACAGATGCACTACGCCATTTGGTAAACGTCTATTTAGAATCTGGTTATGTACGCCCCTTCGCTCTTCCAAAGCTATCAATGAGCGGTTAGTTTTGTTGAAAAAATAATGATGACCTACTAATATCTCTCTAGTCTCAATGCAGTCGATGATGTGATATCGAATACTGGATTTACTCAAGAATTTGATAGTAACGTGAAGGGTTTACCTGATTTAGAAAGACTGCTTTCAAGAATTCACGCTATGTCCGTACGTCCAAAACAGTTCTTACAGGTTTTGGAGGCTTTCAACAGACTTCAACAAGTGTTTGAGAAGTTAGAAGAAGAAGCGAGTGAATTTAAATCGCAGTCTCTTAAAGCTACACTCAGATCTATACCTGATCTCAGAGAATATATATCAAATATCGAATCAAAGTTCGATTTAACCGAAAATGACACGCTTATGCCATGCGATGGTGCTGATGAAGCTTACGAAGATGCTAAGAAGCTTAATGAAGATTTAGAACAAGAACTTGATGAGATCTTAGAGAGGTATAAACGCGAATTCAAGATTAAGACTATAAGTTACAAAGACGTCGGTACTAAAGAGGTGAATATGACTTGACTTTATGCGGTAGTGTGCTAACCACTAGCAGATATACTCTATTGAAATGCCGAAAAAGACATCTGTTCCTGCTAACTGGGCAAAGTTGTCGTCAACACAAAAGGTAGACAGATATTGGTCACCTGAAGTCCGTCAACTCGTACAGAAAGTTAAAGAAGCAAGAGAGACACGTGCTAGTGCTTTGAATGACTTTGCTAAGAAGCTCTACGCAGCATTCGATGAAGATTACAAGGTGCGCTATATGTTCATTCTCTAACTATGTTTTAACTATTTATCTTAGACATGGATAGCAGCTGTCAAAGCTTGTGCTGAAATAGATTGCATTAATTCGCTGGCAAAATCATCCATCAACATGGAAGAACCTAGATGCCGACCAACCATTATAGAAGCAGATGAAGCCATCATTGACTTTGATCAGCTTCGCCATCCTTCAATGGCTCTCAGAAGAGATTTCGTTGCTAATGATGTCAAACTTGGTGGTAACGATGAGGGTACAATGTTATTAACTGGTCCGGTGAGTATAGACTATAGTTTCAGTTCAGCACGCTAATTTGGAATCCAAGAATATGGCTGGTAAATCCACGCTCCTTCGTATGACTGCAGCTGCTGTCATCATGGCGCAGATTGGTTGCTACGTTCCTGCTCAAAGTGCTACTATTGCCCCTGTCGATAGGATTGCAAGTAGACTTGGTGCTTATGACAATATGTTCAGCAACTCGTCAACATTCATGGTAGAGTTGGCAGAAACGTAAGTCTCTGATTAACAGATTGGCAAGTTATTTAACAACAAAATAGCTCTAAGATCGTTAATGAAACCACGCCGAAGAGTTTGTTAATTTTGGATGAATTGGGAGTAAGTTGCTATTACCAAATGATCTGGACAAACTAACAGCATTACAGAGAGGTACATCTACAACGCAGGGTATTGCGATCGCAAGTGCGGTATTACAACACATTGCCTCATTTTTGGGTTGCTGTTTGTTCTCCACCCATTATTCAAGTTTAGGTGACTTTGGATCTACACATCCAAACATCAAAGCCTGTCATATGGCTTCTGAAGTGAATAGTGAAAAGAGAGAAATACGCTTCCTCTATAAGCTTGTTGAAGGTGTTGCACTTGATAGTTATGGTCATCATGTCGCTAAACTTGCTGGTGTACCACTTCCAGTTGTAGTCAGAGCTGAACAGGTAGCAACTGAGTATACAGAGGCTAACAAACTGGAGCAAGAGAAGGCAGAAGCTAAAAGACACAAAACTATCCCTCTTGCAGCTCAATCTGACTTTGCAACAATGATTAGATTAGCAAGACAAGGTGCAAATGAGCTGACATTTAGAGATAAACGCAATTTAAGATTCATCAGTGAAGCAAACAAAGTAAATTGAGAATTTGTAAACAATCTAATCGAATTTCCATAAACGATAAACAAAGACAATAATTGGTGGTATAAACTAACTAATTGCTCACTTTCCCATCATCATGTTAACGAATTCTGTGTAGTTGATTTGACCGTCACCATCAACGTCAGCTTCTCTAATCATTTCATCAACTTCAGATTCGCTGAGCTTCTCACCGAGGTTTGTCATGACGTGTCTCAATTCAGCTGCGCTAATGAAACCGTTTCCATCTTTATCGAAGACTTTGAAAGCTTCCTTGATTTCTTCTTCACTATCAGTGTCTTTCATCTTTCTAGCCATCATTGTGAGGAATTCTGGGAAGTCGATAGTGCCGTTACCGTCTGCGTCGACTTCATTGATCATATCCTGCAACTCAGCCTCTGTAGGGTTTTGACCGAGGGATCTCATAACAGTACCAAGTTCTTTTGTGGTGATAGTACCATCGCCGTCTGTAGAAATATAAGCGAATTTCAAGAAAGGGGACAATGCGAACCTTTATCGAACAAGGAGAAAGCCTCCTTGAATTCTATAGAATGTTAGAGTGTACAAATAAATACAAAACTTGTTTATTCACCTGAAATTTGTTCTATAAAGATGATACGTCAGTTTCAAATGACTATAACGATAGCTAGAAGCACAAACCTTCTGTCTATTGTTGCTTGTTAAAGAAGTTTTAATTTTTTATTATATTCACTCACTAATTGATCTGCCATTTGAGTGTTACTTCAAAAGAACGCATCCGCTCAAATGGATCAAGATGAATATAAAATTATAAAGAACAATTCAGACGAGAGCGACGACAATGACAGCGCAGAGGATGAAGTCCCAGATTACCGCCAGTTGGCTAGCTTTACAAACAGGAAATCAAAGGAAACCTATATTCCACGCAGGGGTGAAAAGGAATTCGAACCTACTGGTTTGAAGATACAGCAGAAAGCTTTAGATGAGTCACGCGAAGCTATGTTTAGCGCTATAGATGGTGTACGTCAATCCTCGAACAAAAACATCAGTATCGGTCTTTGGTCGAATAGCCAAAGCAGGGCGAGTATCATCATACAGAGGGGTACACATTTCTCGTCTATTGGCCATCCAGTACGCAATACTCCTGCAAAATTCGAAGGAAATGCTCAGAAGGTCGCCTCAGAAACTAGACTTGAATTATTACCAGAGGAGGCTTTATATATGGTTGAAAGAGGTTCACTCATGTGTTACGAATACGAATGGTCTGACAGGAATGACAAAATGCTAAAAGTATCTACAAATGATAGCGAAGTTGACACACGTTTTTCAAACCTCCCTCCCTTCTCAGCACAAAGGGCTTTCGATTGCTGTATTGGAAAGGATGGGTTAACACTGGAGAAATACACTATTTACGCACAGCTCAAAAGACTTGGTTATATCGTCAAGAGAGCTGAACAGACTGAGACAAACATTGTAAGAAGAGGAAGCATTTTAGGCAACCTCTGGAAATCTCTACAAGGAGTTTTTAAAGCTTTATTGTCACCTTTCGCAGCTTTGGTACGCTTATTTAGTCTCAGGTTTGGTTCATTGCTACGTTCGCGTTCGTGTCTTCTTACACCACACCAAGATTACGGTATGTATCTGTTATATTATATTGTACAATCTAACGACCTCAAGACTCCATTTTCAAGTCTCTCAGGTTGATTCCATCTGGATATAGCAAAGCTCACGAAAGTAGCGCAAAATTAGATCAAGACGAACAGCACGAGTTTGACGTTACGTGGCACGTTTGGAGACCAGCGACAAAGTTTAAAAAGAGTTCACCACCACCACCTGATTTCAGGATCGTCGTTGTAGATGCTCAAAAGTCGTCGTTACCAAGTATGCACCAGTTCGCCCATATGTTCAGCCAGCAACCATACTCTGCACCACCAATGACGCGCAAGCAGAAGCTTCAACGTGAAAAACAAAGCAAAGAGGGTAAGGGAGAGGATACACCACAAACAACTTGGCTCTGGAGATGGTGGAATAGGAAACAATTGGCGGCTGACGAAGCAAAGAGGAATAAGGATCCAGCTGTCATGTTCCCTGCACTCAAGTATGGTAAGAGAGCTGTCGTCTTAGCAATCGTAGATTCTGGAACTACATCTTGGATACAGTTTGGAGAAGGACAGTTTGGAGATTTCCCATTATACTAGAAAAACAATATTGCATTTATTGTATTTATTTGGACTGCATGTAATTAGATAATAAAAAATTAACTCTAACCCTAACCGAGAGTATAAATTCGCGTCTTCTCTCTTCAGAAAGTTCCAATGCTTTGACGATGAAGTATTAAGGAGAGCATATATACATATGCCTATCTTTGTACTTGTCTGTTGCTAGCAGATTGCCATCTCACTCTGTGTGTCGCTCGTCAGTAACGACATTCAATTTTCTCGATGGCTAGAGAAATCACCTCTATACTCAGCGGTTTTTGAATAAAAAAGGATAAAATCGCTCCATTACGAGTTGACATTACTTTGTATTATGATTTATTAATAATATTTAGTTTCATTATAATCGACCGTTAGAAGTAGAGTGCACTATGTTGTAGTGGTAGATGAAGTGAGTTGTTTGTATCTACTCGAATTGGTATCCTAAACATTCGTCAGCATTCTTACCGCTACTGTCCGCCACAGTGCGCCACGTCACGGACGAGAACTACCATTAAAGGGCATTATGTTCTACGGAAAGAAGCTTAAAAAGTACTTTAGTTGTTACAATTCCGATAGCGTTATCCTCAGATGATTATTATGTGATTTGGATTTCCATTGCGTGATAACGCCCGAATTTCGATGGTGTGCTCATTTCCGGTATTAGATAATCTCCAAAGCTTCCTTTAAACTAACTTTCAAAGCTTTCTAATAAAATATCTATGAGCCAAATAACAGAGACTCTGACTACTTTGACACTCAACGGCACAGATTTGAGGGGCCCTTTCGAATATCCAGCTAGCTGGGACAACCAGATCGATCGACACCTTACTCCAGCCATTGGTACACAAATCAAATCTGGGGTACAGCTCAGCGATATTCTTAACAATGACAAGCTCGTACATGAACTAGCTGTTCTTATTTCTCGCAGAGGTGTCGTTGTCTTCAAAGATCAAAATCTTAACGAAGAACAACAAGCTAAATTAGGTAAGTTTTTCGTGAAGATTCCTTGTTCACATTCTAACATCTTATAGGACAAGCACTCGGCGAACTCACTGGCAAACCAAAAGACAGTAAACTTCATATACACCCTCTTACGCCAGACTTCGGTGAATTCGGACAAGCACCAGCTGTATTTAACTTGGATGACAAGTTTAACCAGGACAACTACGATGAGGAAGTCGAAAAAAGTGAACATGCAGCTGAAAATTGGCACACAGACATCACTTTCGAGAATGTACCTAGTGATTATGCCATCCTGAAGATGCATACCGTTCCTGCAGGAGGTGACACACTCTGGTCTAGCGCCTACACTATCTACGACAAAATTTCACCGGCACTTCGTACATTCCTTTCGACACTGACTGCAACCCACCACGCGCCAACCTTCCAAGACGCTAAACGCAAGTATGGAATTACATTCCGAGGCGAGAAGCCAGAAGATGTTGGTAGGGGTAGTGACGAGAATCGTGGTGCAAAACTCCAGGCCAGTCATCCAATCATACGCACAAACCCAGTCACTGGATGGCATGGTGTGTTTGTCAACAAGTGTTTCACGAAGAAGATTGATGGTTTGAAGAAGGATGAAAGTGATGCACTGTTGAATTACCTCTATCACCTGCAGAATTCACATGATGCGCAAGTGCGTTACCAATGGAGCAAGAATGATGTTGCATTGTGGGATAACAGAACGACCACTCACTGTTGTACACTCGACACAACTGGTCCACGTGCTGGCAATCGCGTACTCGGTATAGGTGAACGTCCATACTATGACACTAAAGGTTCTTCGCGTGCTGAGAACCTTAAAAGCAAAGGTCTTGCATTCTAGAAGATTAGGGAATTTTTATAGTCGATTTTCCTAATCAAAGGAACCTATACCAGACAAAAAAAAGACTATATTATTATTATCATTATCACGATCATAATGCACTGTATATTACCGTAATTCATATTGTTTTAATTATCATATTGTCTGGCAGTTTGACTGACACTTTGATTCGTGTAAGGCACCCCCGGCGATTTCAAATATGGTGACCGAAGGTCTCTATAACTAAATGACTATTATGGATGTTACTCTAGTTTTGTATGGAATAGTGTGCCTCCCATTGTTTTGTTTTCAAGCTGCGACATCTGCTTTGTCTGTTTCTAAAAATGTCTGCATTTAAGGATAGAAGCTATATAATTAATGTTAGTTAACAAGAAAATATTGTTTGGATAAATTTCTGTTCTATCGTTAATTCATTCCGTACGTAATGACATTGTCTTCTCGATACACTCAAGATTGAAATAAACAGGGCCTCAATTTAGAGGATAATTCCGAAACCGTAAGTGTTTAATGGCAGGAGTAGTAAATACTCACACTCGAGATAGTTTCAACCAAACCTCAATCTATACTGCTGCGGTATGCCAGGTTCCATAGCAAGTTCAGCTCGACATTTGATTGATTACACTACGGATGAGGACTCATCGCTCAATATAGATTCAGATCTTCGCCTCCGTACTGTCAGATCTGCGACAGGATCTATACGTGAAGCCCATAGACACGATAAGCGGAGAGAATCTAAGAGAAAACGTTTGAAAGAGAAACTAAAGAAAGCTGCGAAACCGAAATTTAAAAAGGAGTCTCAGCCTCTTGAAGGCAAGCGACGTAACGTCTATGCCAACATACCACTACCAGCTTCTGAACTAAACAAATCTGGAGATCCACTCGTTAAATACCCACGGAATAAAGTCAGAACAGCTAAATACACTTTGATTACTTTCATACCAAAGAATTTATTAGAACAATTTAGGAGAGTTGCCAACATATATTTCTTAGTCTTGGTTATATTGCAGATATTCCCGATATTTGGTGCGACAACACCACAAGTCGCTATGTTACCACTCGTTGCTATCCTCGTAATAACCGGGATTAAGGACGCTATTGAAGACTATCGACGAAATGTCTTGGATAATCAAGTCAATCAGTCTATTACGACCAAGTTGCAAAACTTTAAAAACGTAAATATACCTTCAGATGATAGAAGTTTATTTGCCAAACTTTTTAATATCTCCAAACGACCAAGTAGGGGTGTTAGAAAGCTACAAAAGAGTTCATTTGATTTATCAGACAATGTTCTCTACAAAGATGGAAATAAAGCTGAGACTATGACTTCTCTTACACCATCTATCAAATCGATTGGTGTGGTTGATTATTCAAATCAAACACCCGGGATCTCAAAATGGGAGAGAACATTTTGGAAGAAGTTACGAGTTGGTGACTTTGTTTTGCTACGAGAGAATGATCAGATACCGGCAGACTTAGTCCTGCTCTCCACATCTGATAGCGACGGTATGGCTTTTGTAGAAACTAAGAACCTCGACGGTGAAACCAACTTGAAGCCTAAGAAATGCCTGAAAGCGACATCTGGAATGTCATCAGAGGAAGACATCGAACACTCAAAGTTCTTGATAGATAGTGAGCCGCCAAATGCTAATTTGTACTCCTACAATGGTGTACTTCGATACCAGTCGAGAAAGAATGACAATAGTATGATTATGCAAGATGCAGTAGAACCTGTAACGGCATCTGAACTGCTTCTTCGAGGTTGCTCGCTTAGAAATACTCAATGGGCCATCGGTATCGTTGTTTTCACAGGTAGCGATACCAAAATCATGTTGAATGGTGGTGAAACGCCATCCAAACGCTCCAAGATAGAGAAAGAGACCAACTTTAATGTTGCGATGAACTTCATCATCCTTATTGCCATGTGCTCTATCGCGGCTGTTGCTAATGGTGTATACTGGGATAGTGATAGTTCGAGCTCGAGATATTACGAGCCTAATGCGATGATGGACTCGAGAGTACCTATCAATTCACTCATTACTTTCTGCGCTTGCTTGATAGCTTTCCAGAATATTGTAAGTGATACCCATGACCGTGTATTAACTGACACTCGCTTAAGGTTCCAATCTCACTTTATATTTCTATCGAAATCGTTAAAACTATTCAAGCATTCTTTATCTGGCAGGTAAGTGTGAATATATCTCTATAACTCTGTTAAACAGGAACTAGGATCTTGCCATGTACTACCCTGAACTGGATCATCCCTGTGTTCCAAAGAGCTGGAATATATCTGATGTAAGTAAATAGCAATTGTCTTTCTTATGATTGACAACACCTCAAGGATCTCGGTCAAATAGAATATATTTTCTCAGATAAGACAGGTACACTCACACAAAATGTTATGGAATTTAAGAAATGCTCTATAGCAGGCAAGCCATACGGAGAGGGTATAACGGAGGCCATGCTCGGTGCTGCTAAACGTGAAGGACGTGAACTCAATTTCGATAGTGAGCAGCACGCTTTTCATATGGCAGAATTGAAGAAAGGAATGATGGCAGAAATGAAGAGAGCATTCAATGATAAGTACCGCCAAGAAGAGAATTTGACTCTAGTTGCACCTGAATTAGTCAATGATCTTGTAGCGTCTGACCGTCGACACTCAATCTATCAATTCTTCAGAGCATTAGCACTCTGTCATGATGTTATTGCATCTGCACCAGATGTTTCTAAACCACATGTATTGGAGTACAAAGCTCAGTCGCCAGACGAAGCAGCCTTGGTTGCGACAGCCCGAGACATGGGATTCGCATTCGTTAATAGGACTAACACAGTCATTGAATTGAATGTATGTGGAAATGTAGAGAAGTATACTCCACTCAAAATATTGGAATTCAATTCATCGAGAAAGCGTATGAGTGTTATTGTCAAAACGATGGATGGACGAATTCTCTTGCTTTGCAAAGGTGCGGACTCAATTATTAGCGAAAGGTTGCGCCCAGATCATGACAAGGCTTTACTCAATGAATCAATGAAAGATCTTGATAACTTTGCTAATGCTGGTTTGAGAACTCTCCTCGTGGCTCAACGAGAGGTCTCGCGGGAGGAGTATGAACATTGGGCGATCCAATACGATGAAGCTGCCGCATCTGTAGAAGACAGAGAGGAAGAAATAGAAAAGAGTTGTGATATAATTGAACGTAATTTAGAAATTCTCGGTGCTACAGCTTTAGAAGATAAATTACAACAAGGCGTACCAGATGCTATTCAGACTTTACACAAAGCGGGTATAAAATTATGGATTTTAACAGGAGATAAAGTGCAAACCGCTATCGAAATTGGTTTCAGTTGCAATTTATTAGATAATAACATGGAAATGATGATCTTATCAGCTGAAAATAGTCAAGATACAACTATGCAGATTGAATCAAGCTTAAACAAATTGCAATCAAGTGAAGGTGGATATATGTCTCAAAAGTATGCTGTCATTATTGATGGTGAGACACTTAAGCATGCCTTGAATCCTGAAAATAAGAACTTATTCTTGAATCTTGGTACGCAATGCGAGACTGTACTTTGTTGCAGAGTGTCACCATCGCAGAAAGCTCAAACTGTTAGTATGGTAAAAGAGGGCAGGAAAGCCATGACGCTGTCTATTGGTGATGGTGCAAACGACGTTGCGATGATCCAAGAGGCCAACGTTGGTATCGGTATTGCTGGTCTCGAAGGTGCACAGGCGTCGATGTCTGCAGATTATGCAATTGGTCAATTTAGATGTAAGTAAAGGAAGGTTCATACAATACAAACTTACTAATTCATTCACTCAGATCTCACGACATTATTGCTTGTTCATGGAAGATGGTCTTACATTAGAATAGCTGAGATGCACGCCAATTTCTTCTTCAAGAATATCATTTTCACTTTGATCATGTTTTTATACTTGATCTACAGTTCTTTCGACGCAACATACCTCTTCGAGTATACGTATATCATGTTCTACAACTTGCTTTTCACATCCTTGCCAGTCATCATTATGGGTGCTTTCGAGCAAGATGTTAATGCAGCTGCAAGTTTAGCTTTCCCGCAGTTATATAAACGTGGTATACAAGGATTAGAGTATACTAGGACGAAATTCTGGCTATACATTATCGATGGATGCTATCAAGCTTGCGTATGCTTTTTCGTCGCTTATGGTGCTTACATAGATGGTGCGACACAGAGTTACAGTGGTCGTGAAGCCGGCAGTCTCTGGGAGATTGGTGTTACGATCTGTTGTACTTGTGTGTTGTGCGCCAACGGGTATGTGGGATTGAATAGCAAGTATTGGACTTGGATTATCTGGACTGTTAACATCGTCACAACATTATTGGTATTTATATGGACAGCATTGTGAGTCGTTTAATGATTGAACCTACAAATTTAACATAATATAGATATTCGGCATTCGAAGGACAGAATTTCCATGGCGAGGTCATTGAAGTGTTCTCATCTGCAACATTTTGGTTCACAGTGATCGTCACCCCCGTGATAGCACTCGCGCCGCGGTTTATAATCAAGCTTGCACACAATACCTACAGACCAATGGACAAGGATATTATACGTGAACGTTGGATTATGGGTGACCTCAAGGACGAGTTGGGTCTTAAGCATAGACGGGAGATAGAACAGGAAGAACGTGAACGGAAACAGACACTAGAAACAATATCTGAAGATGTAGAGATGAACGTGCGACAAAATCACACCTCAATAGCATCTTTTGGGTTAAATGTCGACCATGAACAGTCAAGAGATCTTCCGAAACTCAACACTGACGTAAATTACGAACCCTACCAAGATGGTTTCTCGCCAGATGCAGAGTCGCGGCTGCAACTTCCACCATCTGCTATATCTCAGAATTCACCACGGTCTGTGACTTCGTCTCGGACTACACCCTATAATGTCGCTGCGGGTACGGTGTCGGAGCTGGATCTCAAAGGGAATTACAGGTCGTACGATGAATATCCTCCGACATCACCTATACGCTTCTCGTCGAAGAACCCATTTAATGAATCTAACGAACCTCTCGTGTAAAGAAGAACAATTTATAGTGTCTTGTGAAACTTGATAGAAAAACTAAAGAGTGTATTTTTGTATGATACAAATATAAAGACTTTCTATTGCTTATATTAATTAAACAATAAAAAATAGCTAAGCAAAAATCAAAATTTACGTTGAGTTAAGCTGGCTTGTCAAATTCTGGCAGACGACTTCCAAGGACAAGTTAAAAGTAAAAATGGATTTGCAAAAGTTACAACGTATGCAAAATGCTTCACGTGCTGGTGAGTTTTTATTTTATACTATAAATCAATCAACTAAGCTTCTCGAAAAGGTGGTAAGAACGCACCACGTCGTAAGCAAGTTCGTAAGCCAAGATCAGAAGCCGACGACCAAAAGATTCAAGCTGCATTGAAGAAGATCAACGTACAACACGTTCAAGGTATCGATGAAGTAAACATGTTCAAGGAAGACGGCAATGTCATTCACTTCCCAAAGCCAATCGTTCACTCTGCTGCACCAGCTAACACTACCGCTATCTACGGTAGAGCACAAGAGAAGGAACTCACTGAACTCGTTCCAGGTATCTTACCACAACTCGGCGCAGACTCATTAGCAAATTTGAGAAGACTCGCTGAACAGTACCAACAAATGACACAACAACAACAACAAGCTGCTCTCAACAAGGCTAAGGAACAAGACAACGGTGATGATGATGTCCCAGATCTCGTTGAAAACTTTGAAGATTCAACCAACGCAGAATCAAAACAAGTTGATTAAATATAGTTTAAAATATAAGAGAGAATTCATTTTTTCATTTTTAAAATAAAAGTTATCAGATTAGCGACTTTTTAGTTGTATGACCCTGTGTTGATTTTGTCTCGTAATGTAGACAACCATTGAGTGTATGAGAGACCCATTTCGAAGCGATCTTCAACGAGGAGTGAAAGTGCCCATGAACGAAGGCTTGGGTCACCATCTTCTCTAACGAGATATAAGTGTGGTCTGTACGGACCTCTACGTGACTCGCGAACTTTATTAACAATTGCGTTCAACCGTTCAGACATTGGGTTTTCAAGTACTGGAAGTGTCATCTTACCCGGTCTCAAATCTTGCAATGAAGGAAGGTTGAAGACATCCAAAACAAGTTGGGGAACTGCATCTCTACCAATCCAGAGGAAGATGTGTTGGCCATCTTCTATCAAGTAGAGACCATGTCTTTCGAATTTCTCAATAGTCAAGTTTAACTTTGGTGGCATGACTAATCCCTGTTCGTTTATTGTACCCGCCTGATTTATTTGTTAGTAATAAAACACTTTGCAAGCAATATCACCCACCTCCATTGGCATATTGTGCAATGAGTATAAAGTTGGATAGAGGTATGGTATCAACGATTGAGTAGGCAATGTTGTCAACAGACATTGTGCGTAAGCGCGCAAATCTGATGGTATATGTGATGATTGGCGTATACCAACATTCTTGAGTAATCCTAACATAAGTAATGGTAAATTCTTAAGGTTCTCAGGAATCATTAATTGTGCAGATGCACCACCACCTGATGTCATGATTGACTTGTATTGTCCCAAAATGTCAACAAGTTTGTTCACTACTGCATCACGAGCGTCTTCCAACTTAGCAGATTGTGATCTCTCAACCGCCTTGTTGGCGAGAAGTGTAGCAATAGCTTGTTCATCTGCACTTGCATAGATTTCAGATGGGTTTGAAGATGTTGGAAGTGACAATGTAATAACTCTTATCCTTCTCTCACCATAGCAAGTAGTGTGTAAAACTGCAGTTTGGAATACTACGAATGGTACATTCAAGTTCTCTTCGATTGTGATTTCACAACAGTATGATTGATCAATTGGAACAGTTGGCATTGCGAGTAAATCTGTAGATCTTACGAAGAAGTTACCGTGGTATTCTGACATTCTTACACCTCTTGTTGCTCTTACTCTCATAACTGCTTCGAGAGCAATAGGTGATGATAAAACAGTTGAAAGTTCATGAGCCAATTTAAGTGCGTCTTCGGTTCTTGATGCATTGAATCCGGGGTAGAAGTAAGTCTGACCAGATGTGTATTTTGGTAAGCATTGCAATGTTGCTACATCTTGGTATGGATGTCCGAAAAGGAACATATCAACGGAAATTTGTGATCTTGAACAATCGATTGCCAAATTTTTGTAAAATCCACCACCTGCAGCTTGCAAGAGTGTTGATTCTTTTGGTGTACCAAGAATCTTTAAATCTTCACGATTCTTCAATGCACCTTGACCTACGTTTGGTAATTGACCTGTCATGACCATGATTTTACCACCAAATGGTGATATAAGTTGAACTGCAGCCTTCAACGCTGTACCCATAGCAGATTCAGGACCAGACGCAGTTTGGAACATATCTGATAAGTTTGTCAGGAGATTTTCGATGGCACCTCTAGCTTCGGAGAGGTTGACGAGCAAATCGTTAGGTGTTGGCAAGAATGGATCGTCGAGATCACCAACGACAAGCATGTTAGGATCTGTTGAACCAGGCGGTAAATTGAAGAAGTGAAGGGCGTGATCGACAGCAATCAAGCAGACTTTAGTTCTGCCATCTTCATTTGGAATCCTATCAAGAGTTTCCAAGATTGTTCTAGCGACAGTTGCTACCATACCTGATTGAACTGAAGTGTAGCTGACATCGATCAAGAATGCGTATACGGGTGGTTGAGGAGGTCTAACCATGTATTCAGATGGTGCAACGAATTCAACAACACTGTGGTTGAGCTCCGCTCTCTTGAATCTATCAGCGGGCTGATTAGTTATTGGATCCCAGTCGAACATTTGCGGAACTTCATTTGAGAGGTTACAAATGGAGCACTTCCATCTAGTACCGCCTTCCAAGAAGGTGACATATGGGTTGATATATGTTCTGCATCTTCTACATCTGGAAATGACGGAATCTGAAATGACGGGGATTTGTTCTTCCGTGGAGCTTACTGATCTGTATGGGGTGATAACCAAGGACAAAGGAATTTTGAACTTGTTGAGAAGCGATTGAGTTGTTGGTATAACGTTAAGAGTTGAGCGTTTGAAAGAGTGATGAGCGTTAGCTGTTGGTGATTGGGAGAAAGTAGCGTTTGGTGGTAAAGAGATCATCGGTGGATCATTCTCTAGAGCGTTCGGATCTGGAACCTGACCGATGAGATTGATAGAGTTAGCAGATTGACGCTGTTGCTGAGGGTGTGAAAGGCTAAACTGTTGGAAATCATTTGTTAAGTTCTGAATTGGTTGCTGTGCTTGCATTGGCTGCTGTTGACCAATTCCAGGTGTAAATAGTTGCGTAGGCTGCTGAGGGACATCTGCGGGCTGGCTACTATAATACTTCTGAGCTTGCTGATGAGTTAGGTGTCTTCTCTGCTTCTGTGTGTTTTGAACTGTAGGAAGTTCCCATTGGGATTGCTGAGTGAGTGAGTTGACATAATATTCCTGTCCAGTGGATGGATCTCTATATTTCTATTAGTAAAGGAGACTGATAATATAACTACAGACATATGTGCACTCCAACCTGGTGGTAAATTATTTGACATCGTATCAACAACTAAAGAAACGTCCACGTCAAATTACAAGGAAATGAAAATAAAAATAAAGCCGACGCTTGAATTAAATATAAAGGAAATTAAAAATGTTAAAAAATTAGACAGCCATTTTAGTCTAAATAGACTGCCATTCAGTTCTCTACAGTGTTACGGTTACGTCGTCGCAGTTTATTATAATAAATTGTATTTGGATGACGGTACAGGCGTTTTACTATGCGCTGCAGACGAAAATATAGACAACCTCTCTATCGGTAGTCCTGTCATCATCACCGGTAAACTAGATAACACGAAATCTAAATTGTTCATAAATAAGCTAGAGAGGTCTACAGCCGACCACGAAATAATATTTATTGAAAAAGTAAAACAATCCATCTCAGATTCTAAGAACAAAAGACAGAAGGCAAAAAGCTCACCGAAGTTACTACGGAAATTGACAAGTCCTTCTAATTTATCAATAGATCAGCTCAACAATGAGATGTTTGAAATATACTTAAAGAACTTCATTGAAAATTTTACCATATCTTATCCTAACAGTAAACTCTCATTAATATCACTCAAATTGAACCCTCAGTTGCGGCTATTTGGAAGGTTGTATTACAACAAGTTATCCAGTCAGAGGGTTTCCTCGGAATCGAAGTTTGCAAAAATAGATAGACTATTCGTCCATCGAATACATTCTTTATACCTCAAAGGCGATGTTCTAATATTTGAAAAACATGAATTTGATTTTTCGACAATCAAAGATCTACCTACAAATGATGATCCCGATGATCCATTAGAAACAACTTACAATGGTCAATTCGAATATTATAAGCCAATTATTAATGAGGTTTTAGAGGATATCCTAGTTAAAGCCATGATTAAACTGAAGCATCAATCATCTCTAAATATAATCCACAGAGAGATTATAAACCATGAAAATTTTCAACACCTCTCAAAGCAAACAATAAAATCAGGTTTAGATTATTTATTAAACAAAAACTACATCACTTTAGTGAATGGTGATAAATATAAATTACTGTTATACTAATAGTCAATATAATACTCGTCTGGTTGCTGTTGCATAGTTTGGTCATCGTTGTTGAGTCCCTCAATAGAAATCTTGTTGAACTCCTGCTTTAATTCATCTTGGAAGGTACCACAATCTGCTAGTAATCTCGTAGCAGCATCTTTCAAACACTCCTTTGGTGTGACCGTACCGTTTAAAGTCTGAACTCTGATTTCAGATTTTGGATTAAGTGGATGTGGCACCCTGTAACCAGAAAACACGACATTCTTGTCCTTTGAAATTTCATTTGAAAGTAAGTTTGCAATAGTGTGATCTTGTCTATTCAAGGTTATAGTTGAAGTTGAGGAAATCCGGGAATCATCAACGACAGTAACCCTTTGGATAGTTAAGAAAGAAGTGCTAACATGTTTTGAGCACCCACTTTGGCTCGTTATCTGGGACAATAAATAATTCAAATCTATTCGGTGCGTTCATTATACAAGTAACTATTAATTCGTTAACTGGACTGTTTAGTTGAATAAGCGAGCTTATGATGAGTTCAGAATGTGGTAAAGACTATATCGACATGCTTGTATTAAGACAGGGATAACTGTAAGAAAGTACTTCTCATCTTATAACGTATAGGCTCGCTTATTGGGATAATATAACTTACTATACCTGAGATTTGTTAGTAAAAGTGCTATAGAGAAGACACGAGGGATGGATCAGTAAGAGATTCCTTTGTCTGCACGTTAAAGTTTGAATATCTAGCTACTAAGACGATTGACAGATTGATTGGATTTTTTAGCTTCCTCATTTCATCCCCCTTTGTGTCTAAAATTTACTCACAGTAATTTTTACAATGAGAGAATGGAAGCGAGAGAGGAGAGCCATTTATAGTAAGAAAAATAAAAAATTAAATTTTTAATACCTCGTAAACTAGTATATATTATGAATTTGAATTTTACATTATAGCCACGAGACTGACTTTAGCATATCATACGCCTATGATCATTAACTGATCAATCACCCGGTCTGAGATATCGGTATTTCTAAAAAAAAAGATGAAAATATATATATATATTTAATCGTCCTTTATTCCTTTATACATCTACTCTCTATAAGTCTAAGGCACAGAGTTTGCCGTCAAAGTTTGCTCGCTTAGCGCCCCAAATGAAGATCAATTAAACTCTTATCAAATCTGATCTGCTCATCTCATCCGCTCCACTCGTCGTTCTGCCAGACGAAATTTTCCTTTCCCTTCAACACACAACAAAGAAAAAAGCGCCCAAAATTCTCTATAAAACAGACGTACACTTTAGTAGTATAAACTCGTTTAATACGACAACATGGATCAACAACAACCACCAAATCCTACTCTACAAGTAGCTGCAAAATCTTTCGAAGACTTAGTCGACACTGAATCTGGAAAAGCAAACTCTGATGATAAATTACAACCCCTGCAAGATAACTTTGGATATGTACAAGAAATGCCTCGGAATAGATCCATGGCTAGTATCCTCTTCCTAGCAGTAGCTATTGCTGCAATCCCTTATGGTCTCTCTACAACAATTATCTACCCACTCACGAACGGTGGTCCATCTGCAGTCATTTGGGGATGGGTGTTCATGGCATGTGTCACACAAGCGGTCGCTATAAGTCTTGCAGAAATCTGCTCGAGATATCCGGTGGCTGGTGGTGCCTATTACTGGAGCTACATGCTCAGTCCACCGAAGTATGCCAGAATTTATAGTTATATTTGTGGGTGGGTATATCTCGTCGGCAACTGGACTGTCACTTTGGCTGTCAACTTCGGCACAACGCAATTGTTCCTTGCCGGTCTGAACATCCTTTACCCCGATTTCGTAGCCAATCAGTGGCAAACTGTTCTCACTTTTTGGGCTCTTACTATAGTCACAACTCTAATTAGTTGCATACCGGGTAAATACCTTAAATACATCGATCACGGTTGTTTCGTATGGACAGTCGCTGGTTTGATAACCATTCTTGTTGCACTTTCCGTCAGAGCTGATGCAGGAAGACGCACAGCTGCTTGGGTATTTGGTTATTTCAATAATGATGGCTCAGGGTGGCCAAAAGGTTGGTCATTCTTTGTTGGTCTCCTTATGGGTGGATATACACTCAGTTCAACAGCAATGATTTCCTCTATGTGTGAAGAAGTCACAGATCCTGAAGTTGTCGTACCAAAAGCTATGATAGCAAATATCCCATTGTCCTTTGGTACTGGTCTTATCTTCCTCCTTCCCCTTCTCTTCGTCATGCCAGACATCACGACTGTGCTTGAATGGCCGACTGGCCAGCCGGTACCAGCTATCTTACAACTTGCTATGGGATATCCTGCTGGTGCGTTTGGATTATTTTTCATCCTTTTCCTCATTGTGGGTGGTTTTTGTTTATGGAGACTATTTTACTGATAATTTTTAGGGTATCTTTTCTGGAATTGGATGCACGACCGCTGCGAGTAGATTGACATGGGCGTTCGCCAGAGATAACGCCATCCCATTCAGCGGGATTTTCAAAGTAGTCAATAAGAAGCTTGAGTTACCGCTTAATGCGATCTTATTCTCCACAGCTGTTCAAATGGTTCTCGGATGCGTCTACTTTGGCTCATCAGCTGCCTTCAACGCCTTCTCGAGTGTGTCTGTGATTTGCTTAGGCTGCAGTAACCTGGTTCCAATCACTATCTCATTCTTTGAAGGACGTAACGCGATCGCCGATGCGCGCTTTAACATGGGAAAAATTGGCGCATTCTGCAATGTAGTAGCTATCCTTTGGTTTAGTTTTGCTATTCCACTCTTCTGTTTTCCTACTACAACACCACCTACTGTCGATGAGATGAACTATTCTAGTGTCGTCTTTGCAGGTTTCGTTGCTATTGCCGTTATTTACTATTACGCCCAGGGTAGGAGAACATTCACAGGTCCACCTACTCAACATTACAAAGATTAACAATCTTTACCTCTTTCAAAATCGATATAGACTATAGACTATAGAAATCTTCATAGATTTTGGATTATTTAGACAGCACTATTTGGATTTTAATGGATTTCAATGGATTTCACAATATACTAATTAAAATTATGATTCTGGATTTTTAATGCATATTTTAACTGTTTCTTTACAATGTCTCGTTCATGTACTTTACCAGTTGGGTCGTGACAGCTTGATCGGCTTGCATGAAATAGCGTTCATTAAAAGCGTCTGGACCGCCACTGAAGGTCTGCTGAGCATGTGCTAGACTGTGACTTATGAACTGAGGTAAAGTGAATGATGAAAGTGGGTCATTGGAATATATAGCAAGTTTCCTAGTTTTTTCAGCTGTACCTTCATCTCCGACCTCATTTAACATTGGGTTGGGTGTTATATTGACAACTGGGTTACCACCTTCTTCTGACTCCATACGTCTTTCTTTTATTTCTGCAAGTACGTCAACGAAGACATTGCTGATCTCACCAGGTAGGCGTTCAAGGACAGTTTGATGACCACTTGCAACGAGGCGCGCAAGACCTGATGCACTTAACTTCCTCTCATAGTTGTCAACCAAGTTGTCCCATTTATCCCACCACCTATCGAGCAAGTATCCGAGTGCGACCTCCTCAGGTACGTTCAAACTTGCCGCTGACATTCGGACTAATTGGACGAACATCTCAGTATCAACTATACAGATTCTGCTGAAGAACAGAATAAATTTGGAGAGATATACAGGTGATTCCTTGTTCTCGATGAGTTTTACGAATAAATCGCGGAATAATCCTGTATCATTGAGGGCATTCGCCCAACTAGATGGTGAGCCAGCGATTGTGACAAGGTTTAAAATGTCGATTATTTGATCACGCAATCTGTCCTGTGCGTAATCTAATGTCTCATTGATTGCACTAAAGAGTGCTGGAGAAAATTGTGAAAGAACAAGCTCCGGTGAAAGGTATATATAAGACTCAATAACGGGCGCCACGTCGTTAGCTAAATCTAGGTCGTTCTTGAATGTCTCCAAAGCCAATGGTAGTAGTGACACCAACGATTCGTCCAGTCCTGGTGTATGTTTGAGAGTAGTTTGCCAAAGTTCAATACCGTCGACATCTATGAATGGTTTACCCTGCAATTGTTAAAAGAGAACTGAATAGGTTAGAAATACGAACCTGTGATGGATCTAAAGCTGACTTGATGAGAGGGACCACAATTCCGAGCGCCCTATTCGATCCTTCCTGTAATGCGGCAACAAGGCGCGAAAGCATGGAAAGAATTCCACCACGGAAATGCCAATCTCCTTCTGAATCATCCCACAATCCTGGAACGAGCTCAAGCAAGCGAGGTCCATAGTGTATAGCCTGTGTACGCGTTAATTGAATATCCCAAATACATAAAAGCACCCACTTTATCACCAACTTGATCAATTATACAGGTCACACTCTTCAGAACGCGAAGCTTGACTTCAACCATCTCACACGCACTTAAGATGCGTATTAATTCTGGCATGATATCGTTGAGGAATGGCTCAAAGAGGGTGGGGTTGAATTCCCATCTGTTGTTTTGTCAGCGAGGCACTATAAGAGAGACAATTACCCACGTATCGACAACACCAGAGAGGGTGATTGCCGCTGTAACTTGAACAGCAACATCATTTGCGACTTCAGTTGGACGAAGACAATGAAGTAGGATGGTGTATATTTTCGTGAAAGCTTCAGGAGAGAGACTCTCACCAGAGAAGCGACCAAGAACTACAGCAATTCTGCGTCTTAAAATGCGCTGATCAGAGCCACTAATTTGAACTTCTGGGATGAGAGATTTGTCAAGCCATTCCTCAAAGCCTATCTGATCATAGAGGTATTCTGCGCACTTTCCAACGATACGGTATACACTCTCTTTCATTATTAGGTTCGTGGATGTTGCTTCGAGTGACGATGCTTCTTGAAGCATAGTACAGATGTGAGCACCGACTGCTTCGCGACGCTTTATGAGTGTGCCTACTATCAGATTTTCTGCACATGGACGAGGGTCGATTTCCCATTGATCCAGGTCATCCTCATAGACCCAGTCTTCAGGTGCACTATCCCATCGTTCAAGATCCTGTGAAGTGAGTGGTATGTAATTTGCTATGAGGAAGTGAACAATCTGGACAGCATATTCATCGCTTATGACAGCATTTGGATTATCTTTGTTGACGTTATTCGGCGTCCAGTCAGCCAATGTGAGCTTGAGTATGAGGAGGATATGAATAATGTACTTCGGTGGTGAAGGCGTATAAGGTGAACTGGTAATCTGCGAGAATAACAATGGTATTATCAATTCTACATTTGGAATTGAAGAGAATTTCCGCTGATTCGTCGATTGAAGTAACTTTAAATGTTTCGTAAAGCTATTAACTAACTTGAAAAGAATCGTGATATCAGAGTTTGACTTGTATTCGAGGACGTGCGGCAGGTGCGAGATGGTGAGTTGAGTGAATGACGCGCTATTAGCGAGCTCTTCGTCACTTGATCTGTTGAAATTGTGTAAACATAGACGCGATAGTGTCTTATGTGAGTAAATTGCTATATGTATCCAGTCGAGATTGCGATTAAGATTTGTGAATGCCAATTGGTATAGGTTGAGCATGTAGTTGAAGAGGGTTGCGTATAGACCCGGGAAAGCCTTATTAGCAATCCTTATAGCGCTAATCTCTTTTACAATCAAATGTAGCGTATAAGTTGCCCTTCTGAGACGCGTCAAATGAGTTGCATCTTGTAATGCAAGATCAACGTCCAAACGTGCGAGGATATCTTCAATTAAAGTCGACCAATAGCGTGGATAGTCAATTCTAGCTATTTTAGATAAAATGATTGAGTTTAAAGATGATATTTTGTCATCATTTACGTCAAAGAACTCAATTGAACGCTTCCGTATGTTAAACCTAGCGTTGTCTGACAATTGTAAGGATTTAATGTTCCTCCAGAAACCTATGAGATTATTTTTGACTACAATAATTGCGCTTAAACGTAGAGAAGAATCTGCGTCTGAAATAGCGTATGCGTGAAGAAGATCAAGAAAGTCAGTCTGTCGTAATTTCCTATCTAATTCATCTGTCGCTTGTTGTAATTGTAAAATATTCTGCGAGACCGCGTTCTGCAATAAATTTTCTACTTCGCTCATCGTTGAGAGCGAACAGTCAAGGGCGGGCCATAGTAAAAATGCTGATATTATTCGAAACAAGTTTGGGTGTCACGCTATTCAAATTAAAGGATGGCAAAATGACAGATCCTAACCTTTTTAAGGAATTTGAGGACTCTGAATCTGCCTCCAGCTTGTGAGTAGATTTTGAAGCGAGAAGACATAAATTCATACGATATATAGACTTAAATTGAAAGCTATTCACAAGTTCAACAGCACCACAGAAGCTTTAGAAGATATCACTTCCCTTCAGGATGGAAAATTGACCAAATCTTTGAAAAAATTCTTACAAGATAACATCCAGTCAGACAAGAAAACGCAATCCTTGGCTGTTATGGACCCAAAGTTAGCCTCAACTATCGCTCAAAAGTTGGACGTCAACGTCGTTAGTGATTCCACCACAATCGACTTGTTCAGAGGTTTACGTAGCCAATTACCAAACTTACTCAACGGTATCCAACAATCTGATATCGACACTATGTCATTAGGTCTCTCACACTCACTTTCCCGCTTTAAGTTGCGTTTCAGCCCTGACAAGGTCGATGTTATGGTCATCCAAGCTATCGCTTTACTTGACGATCTCGACAAGGAGCTTAACATCTACGCTATGAGAGTCAAAGAATGGTACGGATGGCACTTCCCTGAAATGGCAAAAATCATTTCTGATAACATTGCCTACGCTAAAATCATCAAATTGGCTGGTTTCAGAACTAACATCCCACAAACTGACTTATCTGGTCTCCTTCCAGAGGACCTTGAACAAGCTATCAAGGTTGCTGCAAACATCAGTATGGGTACTGAAATCTCTCAAACTGATATCGATCACATTCTCGACTTGAGTGAACAAGTCATTTCAATCTCAAACTATAGATCAGAATTATACGACTACTTGAAAAACAGAATGAACGCAATCGCACCAAACCTTACCGCTTTAGTTGGTGAATTAGTTGGTGCTAGATTGATCAGCCATGCTGGTTCATTAACCACACTCGCCAAGTACCCAGCATCAACCGTTCAAATTCTCGGTGCTGAGAAGGCTTTGTTCAGAGCTTTGAAGACCAAGCACGACACTCCAAAGTACGGTTTAATCTACCATGCTTCATTGGTTGGTTCTGCTCCACAAAAGCTCAAGGGTAAAATGGCAAGAATGGTCGCAACCAAGACCTCATTGTCATCCAGATTAGACGCTCTCGCTGATGCTGAGACAAAGTCTGACATGTCCTCTGCTACAATTGGTTTAGAGCAACGTGCATCACTCGAATCGAGATTAAGAGCTTTGGAACGTAGCATTGGTATTCAAAGAACCAGAAATGAGGCTGACGTCGGTGCCAAGAAGCAATCTAAATTCGAATACGAAACTAATGGAAATGGTACATACAACACCAACACCGATAACCTCTTGCCAACTCAACCAACCGCCCCTGCCACTGAAGAGAATGGCGATGGTCTCACTGAGAAGGAACGTCGTAAGGCTGAAAAGAAGGCTGCTAAGGCTGCTCGTAAGAGTCTTGGTGGTGCTGAAGAAGAGGCTACTCCATCTTCGAAGAAACGTTCAAGAGATGATGATGAAGAAGAAGACGCTTCACCAAAGAAGGAGACAAAGGAAGAAAAGAAAGCGAGAAAGGAAGCAAAACGTGCCAAAAAGGCCGCAAAATCTGAATAGATTCGTGTAATTATTTCATTTTCATTCAATAGTGTATTTATTTTTTCCTCTTAATCCATATAAAGCATATATTCAAAATACAAAAAGTATGATTCCAATTAAACTTCTGTCAGGTTATATCCAGCTTGTAGATAACAAGGAGCAAAATCTATCATTTCGTTATTATTATCGTACGAGAGTTTATCCAATTGTTTTTCTTTATTCACGTAAACTGTTTTCTCGTACTTTGGTGAAGGACTAAATGAGTTGCGGACTTTGTCAACCTTATTCAATAAACTATTTGATCTAGATCTGAAGAAACCAAAGTTATCATTTCTCACTTGAGCAGGCGGTGTGCTAATAGGTGGTAAACCGAAGTTTTCGTCATCTACACTGCCTTTACCAAAAGACATAGAAGAATTATGAGCAAAGGCATCATTATAATCAACTGTAGGTGAAGGTTCCTCAAGTTCTTCCTCATCTTCGTCTATTTTGGGTGATAAATTATTATTTGCTGACATCGGAAATCTCCAATCGATAAGCAGGGAATGAGGTCTGACAGGCTTCTCCTCATCTTGATTTGTAGCCTCGGTATCTAGTTTTTCTTTTTCTTTTTCAGTTTTAATTTCTTTCTCTTTCTCTCTTTCTCTTTCTTTCCTCTCTCCTTCTCTCTGATCTTTTTCTCTCAATTGAGAGCGTAATTCCGAAATCTCTTCCTGGGATCTCGAATTAACTTTTTTGAACTCTTCTAACTCATTTGATAAGTAGAATAATTGTTCTCTCATTTCATTTATCATTTGAATTTGCATTTGATATTCCTGTAAATTTGGCAATTGATTTAGCTTTTCACCTAACCTCTTTACACGTTCTTCACTGGCTAGTCTTTCCTTTCTTTCGATAGAAAGATCCCTCTCTAAAGCGGCATTCTTATCACGCCATATGCTCAAATCTTCTAATGTAGTCGTTAATTGTTGTTCAAGGAAAGCCTTGTTAGAAGGTGAGCTATTGAAAAGGTCGCTAGTTTCTGTTGATGTATTTGAGCTGTTAGATCCTGATCTTGCTTTATTTACTAAATTAAGTGGTTTAGGACCATTTTTATTTGATACTTGACTTGCTGGACTATCATCGATATCATCACTACGTCTATATTGAATAGAACCTCTCTGTCTTCTAGGTGGTGTTGTTGAACTAGAGGACGTTGATCCAGATGGGATGGGAGGCATACCACCGTAATCGAAATCTGCACTTTTACCAAAAGACATACTAGTAAATGGTGAGCTGATAGAACTTGCGATGGAAGACTGTGAGTGACCCAATGACAATGACTCAGAAGATGAAGAACCGCTTCTTTGGAAAGTAGGTGGTTGTGAGACTTTCGAAGTGAAATTGAATGGGCTTTTGCCAGTGGAGTTGCTCATTGATAGTGGCCTAATAGGTCTATTACCAGCTGAAGGACCACCATTAGTTCTCATGATACTATCAAAATCGACGGAATTGCGCTTCGTTTTGTATGTTTTGAAAGAAGGCTTCGATTGTCGAGATGTCTTGGTTGATCCATCCTCGTCATCTTCCTCCTCTTCCATGAGTGCGCCTAAAGGTTGAGGCATTTGTGAGATCGACATCGGGGACGGTCTGCGGATCTGTTGACTTTGTGGTGTTGGTATTCCCGAGAATGTTGTAGAAGCAGACGGTGAATTTGGAGAGCTATCTGAATTATCTGTGTATGTTATTAGATCAGATTTCATTGAAATCTAAAACACCTACCACTCAATTGATCGATTTGCTGAGATGTCGGCATCACTAGGAAACCATCTGAGGAAAGACTATTCGAGGCGGAAACGAAACCATTTTCTAGTGCAGTCTCATCTTCTTTGCTGAGTGCAACGTCTTGGCTATTTGACGGGCCCGCCGTATCTAAGTTGTCTAGGAAAGACTCATTAAACTGATTGCCGGACATGAGCTGCATACTGTCTCTACGCGTTGAAACTGAGGAGTGTCGCCTATGTGAGTGTCGCCTGCCATGCGTAGGCCTGTCTGCTTTCTTGTGCTCTGTAGCGGTTGGAGATGAATTACCACCGAAGGAAAAGCCACCGTTATCGCCAGTGAAACCCATATTTTAAAGAGCGTGGATAAAAACTTTAGTTTCTGATATAAATTTCTTTTTTGGTATTTTTGACAATAGACGTCCTCTCAGTTGTTCGTCGTTGGATTTAAACAATTTATTAATGAACAGAATAGAGGAATTTCGTAATTTTTGCTTGAATAATAAGCCTACAAAACTTAGCGATAGTAAATCTAGAGAAGCTCCACATTCAGAACAACCAACTGAAATCAATAGAGAAGCTAAATACCTTTTATCTACGCTTAACGATCTAAACAAACTTATAAAATCAATTCCTGCTCAATATGCGCAAAATAACGCGAGCTTAGACGTCATCGATGAGGAGGTTACTTCTCTCCTTGCTGTGACAAGCAAACGATTGAAAGAACTGGACGATAAGATAGAGGCTACTCTCTCGACGCCTCTAAACTTTCTTCAACAACTCATAGGCGCTGCCAGTCCAGATATACAGAGACAGCATCAGCACGGCAAGCTTATTAGTTTGAATGCATTGCTTATTAAACTATCAACTAGGTATCAGAGTTTACAAAAGCAAAGACAAGCAAAGCAGCGGAAATACATACCTGAATATGAACAAATTGATAATATACCACCACCCCCACCATCAACTTCCGCCCAGCAACTCTCACAAGAGCAGATACAAATGCTTGAGAGAGAAAATGACGAGTTGGTTGAGTCTAACAAGAGAGACCTTATCGAAATCGAGAAAGCTCAACATAGCTTGTTATCTATAACTAGTTTACAGTCAGAAATACTCACGCATCTCACACAACAGTCGAAACTTGTTGAACAACTATATGATGACTCTTTGAATAGCACTGGTAGTTTAGGCGATGCCTCCAAACAACTCCTACAGACACGCGATCGACAGGAGTCTTCGAGGAAGTTCCTCGTCGTTTTCTTTATTATGGCCGGCTTATCTATTCTTTTCCTAGAGTGAGTTTTATCACACAGTAATCACATAAGCTTACTTTTTATAGATACTACAGCTGAAAATACATAAAAATAAATACACTCGTGCTAATAATTAGTCATAATACCAAAAATTACGCTAGATATGTTACGTTAAATGAGATAAAGATGATTATTGATATGCAATTGTTGATTTCGTGTTATCATGCGTATGTGATGATTGTCTAAGGGCGGCAGTTTGGAATCTAAGAATGTTAGCTATGGATGTAAAAATAAAGCAATTAATGACTCACCCAAAATGCTTCATAATTACAGTTAATTGCGACTTCTGCACTGGTTTGTTCATCGTCGCCGACCATACACCTTGCTCTTGAATTTTTAAATCAGTCTTGAATGAACTGACGGCTACGATTGGTTTCGTTTGGTTAAGGTTTGAGAGATTTCTAATAGCCCTTGCCGCACTCTCACCATTTAAGTTCGGCATCTCGATATCAAAGAACATGATATCGAATTCTATCTCTCCCATTGCACAACTTACGGCATCTGTGCCATCTCTTACAACAACACAGCGACATCCGAGTCTGGTCAGGAGAGTTTCAAGTATCTTCAAACTAATCGGATTATCGTCGGCTATTAATACGTCGACTGGTCTGTCATTCGTAGCATCAATCGACGATATCGATGTTGGTGGTGCACCAATATCTATACCCTTGAATGCTTCAGAGTTGTCAGATATGGATACATTTCTCGATCTCGTCGCTTTGGCTTTTCCTAATTGTGCTTTGAGACGCTCGACAGCCAAACTGTCGGATGGCTTTCTTGAGTGTGGTTGCGAGCTCTTTCGTCTGATTATATTAGACTCTGCAATCGATGACGAAGCCGTACTCGTGCTAGGTGATGGTGGTCCTGTCGAATTCAAATTCCAAGAGTTAGGCTTCTTATTCTGTAACGATGTGGACATTTTACGTTGTCTAGTAGATGATCCCCGGCGAACTCTCTCAACTGGCGACAATTGTTCTTCATCAGATGACACAGAGTTGGCTGTAATGAACTCATTCCTCATTTTACGAATAACCTCGTCATTTGCTTGCTTCAATACTGGTAAATTCTTGAAACTGAATGGTCCAAAGTCATCATGAGCTCTCTTACTACTACTGAAATTTGCAGAGCTTGTTTCTGATCCTGGTGTACCAGGACCCGCTGTAGCTGATTCTGATGGTAAAGCTGCATCCATCGGTAATGCAGGTGAAGCAGGGTATTGAGTAGGCGGTGTCATAGGTGCAGATTCATGTTGATGTTCGGCAGCGGCAGCCTTGTTCAGTGCTTCGATTTGTGTAGCAAAGTCGTCATTAAGAGCTCCCCTTGGATCGAAATAATCAGTATCTTCGGGGTTTGCGGCATCCGGAATGAAAGCAGCTTCCATTGTCATGAGTTTTTCCCAGTCTATGTCAGCAAAGAAAGGATGACTCTTTACTTCCCATGCACCATTTGCACCTAATCTCTTCTGTGGGTCGCTGCAGAGGAGCTTTTCCATCAAATCTCTAGCTTCTGGGGATACTTCATAGTCTGGATCATCTTCGTGCCAGTTTATTCTCCTCGATAGGATATTCTCGAATACTTTCGATGGTGTGGCATCGTTAAATGGTGGTATACCATACAAGAATTCATATAAGATGACACCAATGGCCCACCAATCGACCGCCATATCATCACCACCATATCCCAATATAGTTTCTAATAATTATGTCAGCTAAAAGTAAAAGTGTTTCTGCTAAACTCACCAGGTGCCAAATAATCAGGGGTACCAGCGAAAGCTTGAGGACGACTTTTGGAAATAGACGATTCATCAGAATGATTTGGTGGAGTACCTCTACTTAGACTTCTATTATTTCCAGACGTGTCTGATTCTGACACAATTGAATTTCGTCTAGATCTACTTCCCCAGGTGTTCGAGAAATATGACTGAATGAAGGAGTTTGACGCAGGCAAGGACGTCGTGTCATTTGAAGGTGACAAATAGGATATTCCTTGCACATCAAGTTCGTGATTTTGATTTGATTTCTGTCTAGATGGATCACTTGTTGTGCCTCTCGCTTGACGACCGAGCAGACCGATCTTGGATAATCCGAAGTCAGTCAGTCGGAGATGTCCTTTCTGGTCAATAAGAAGATTATCTGGTTTCATATCACTGAAAAGTGTGAGTAAGCTTATATATATATATAATGACTCACCGATGGACAATATTCTGCCCGTGAAGGTGTTCCAAGCAGAGTACAACCTCTGCCATGTATCGCTTTGCCCATTCCTCACTCAGTCCACCGAGTTGCTTAATGAGCGAAGCGCAATCACCTCCATTTAGATATTCCATAACCAAGAAGAGGTGATCGCGTGTTTGGAAAGTGAAGAACAACTTGGCAACAAATGGTGATTCTGCAGTCGACATTAGAATTGTTCTCTCGGCTCTAACATTCGTGACTTGATTTTTAGAAATCATATCAGCCTTCCGGAGAATCTTAATAGCGTAATAATCTCCTGTCGCTCTTTTCTTTGCAAGATAGACACTACCGAATGCACCCTTAGAAATTGGTTTTATGACTTCAAAGTCACGTATACTTGCAGGCGTTGTGCGAGCAGTCGGTACGATCGACATCCGCGGTGAATGAAGACCAAGTCTAGAGGAATGGTGCCGTGATTCTGTTTCCAATGTGAATGACGAAGGAGTATGGGGCGATGAGCTTCCTTCCTTCTCAAAACCAACGTAACGTGTTGTTGTTGACGGGCTACCGCTTGGCATCGCACTGATGCTACCCTTGCTTCGCTTCTTTTTATGACCGCGCTCCTTCACTGAGACAGGTGGTGAATTTACACGTGAGGACGGCGAGTATTCTCCACTAGCCATCTTCGATAGCGGTGATGTGTTCGATGGCGACACACTCGTTGCTTCGGGGGTGTTAGATTGTGGAACGGTTAACGACCTCGGTGATTCGGCAAATGGCTGCGTTGTGTCAAATATATGTGAAGCCCGTGGTACTGCTATTCCTGCCTCCTTATCATGACGTTTCTCATCGCCTGATGATGAATGAATTGATATCTCTTTAGATAACTTCCTCGATGCTGAATTTGGAACTACGCCACTAATTTCGATAGGAGTATCAGCACGTGAAGGCAATTCACTACTCCCGATATATGGGTAATACGATGGTGCGTTCAAACTCGAGCCTGTATCACTCGATTGTGGTGCTCCTAATTTCATCGGAGACGAAGCTTCCGAAGATCTAGAACTAACGCTAACACTTTCAAACTCCTGCTTTATTGCTTCCTCCCATTCTTGGCGGATCTTCTCGGTGTAGATGATTGTATTACGCATACGCGTAACGGCTCTCAATTTCGCTTGGAGAAGCGGTTCAATGTTGGTTAGCAGCTTGTTGAGGGCTTCATCATCTGTAATTGGCTTTTGCCAGAGCTTCACTTGCTGATATTTGCTTTCGGATGATGGAGAGAGTAGCCTTTGTTGCTCTATTGGTAATTCTGCTTCTTTTTCATCTTTAGCTCCTGGGGTTGAAATATCCAAGGCTGTCTCGACGCCTTCATAGAGATGATCGAGTACTCTTATATGCTTCACAGATGATCTTCTGCCATGTGCGTCTGTAACATCACGGAAGTTGGCACCTTCATATAAAGCCTCTCCATCTTTGGTGCCACCAAGGATACCCTTAAGATCATTGATTACCTCAATGAACTCAGACAGGCTTTCATTTATACCATTTATATCCATTTCAAGTCTGTGAATCTCGTTGCAAGTCTCATTATGTCTTTCAAAGAACCATAGAGGTATTTCCAGCTCACATATACGACAAAGGAGTGGCTTCTCTAGATCTTCTTTATTGCCTGACATAATGAGCTGATGAACTGTTGATTGCTGCCTTGCAACTTCCAAATCGAATACACCACCAGATCTCACAGCTTCGGATTCCTTCAATTCTATGCCATATTTTGTTGGCGGAACTGGCTTCATTACCCACATAGTATGTGTGAATTCTCCACTGTATCTCTCCTTCATCATCATACCTTTAGCTTCAAACTCTACATAATTGCCTGAATCGAAATCATAGTCTATCTCTTCACCATCACGTGCATATTCTGGTACAACGTAGAGTCCGAAACGTACTTCCTTTATTGATTGATCATCTTTGTAGAATGCCTGCGTAGCTTCAATGAAGACAGTCTCATCTTCTGGTGCGAGGACTTCTGATATAGGTCTACCATAGAGGTCATCAGGGTTTGTGCTTAAAGGATGTAAGTTATAATCAAGAAATAGTATAGTCGAAGAAACTCACCCGACAACATCTGCCCATACAGGTGCAATGAATTGGAATTTGGCGTCGTCTAGACTAAGGTCGACAAGTATGTGCTGAGTACGCTCAACGCCAATAGCCTTGTCGAGATCATCAGGACGATGGCTGTGTATCTGAGAACCCTGTGGCTTATCGCCTTCTTGGTCAGGTGATACATTGGTGTCATCAAAGACGAGTGGCTTGGAATGTAAACTCAATGGTGGTGACGAGCGTGTACTTGACGGTGGAGGTGCTTGTATTTCTGCTGATCGCAATTGGCTCTCGGGATCCATCACGTTTGTTGGTTTTGGCGACAATTCATCTGGGTTCCTGATCCAGATGTTAGTGCCATCATCCCGAACGACAAACTTGATTGGGTCTTTCTCATCATCACTCTCATCAAAATTCCAAAATCCTTTCTCAGCTATGATTTCTTAGTGATAGTTCTTAGAAAAATACTAATACTCACCTTCCCACCATTCAACAATGCGACTCAGTCCAGCAACAGCCAGCAAAAATTGAATGTACCATTGGCGCCCCTCCCACGCAGGGTTAGCATCCCACTTCGTACCCAGCTGACGAGCGCGTTGGACGATTGAGCGACAGAGCTCAGGATTGCTGATATATGTACTCAAAGGAGTATCTATTATTTCTTGACCCATCAAGATAAGATCCTGAAGTACTTCCATAAACTCGTCGTTCTCCTCTTTTTCTTTCCCAATATCGACATCTAAATCATCGTCAAGCTCTGCCTTGACGAGTGACGAACTTGGAGGTGGTGACCGCGTACGACTTGGTGAACGCGATGAGCTTGGTGAACCTTGTCTATATTTGGCTGGTACATGCGATACACTTCTGATACTACCTCTATGTGGACTTATGCTTACTGGTGAAGACTGCTTCATAGGGTCCAAGTTATGCACTGATATCTTACGAATAGGTGACGAAGGGGCGTATGATGCTGAAAATCTCCTAGATACGGATGATTTACGAGGCAAAGGCACACCGATAGCTTTATTTGAGTAAGATGATGGGAAAGCCTCTATTCCTAATGATGAATTTGAAGGAGAGTCATTCAATGACATTGCAACCGCACCATCATCCATAAGGTCATCTTCTTCTTCATCGTCACCTGTATTTTTGCGCAACTCATTTTCAACATATTCTGTGACCTGATCCGATACCCATTCGACTTCTTTATTCGTCTGCTCCTTGGCCTTTGTTAGTCTAGCTTTGATTTGTGACTGCATCACTGATATTGGCATTCCTTGTACACTTGGTTGACGATGATCCATGACAGAATCATCAAAGTAGTTCTTTGGGAATGCTTCTGCTCTTGGTAGCTTTGCTTCTCTATTAACACTCGGAGCTGTACCCGTATTGATACCCAGAGCTGTCAGCGATGGTTGAGGTTTACTGGATTTATCGTCTGATGGAGGCGTTGCTTGACCCTTTAGTTGTGCAGTAAGCAATGATTGCTGAGTGTTCGGCGATTTAACTTCAGCAGAAGCTGAATCGAGATATTCGTCCGGTATCGAAAATGGGTCTGTAAAGTCTGGTAGAGTGAGAGAAGGTGGCCTCTCTGGGTGCTTTCCTTTATCATGATGTGTACTCCTCTCGTCTGATTTTGGACCTCCTGATAAAAAGTTCGTTTTGACGGCAGACCACCAGCTTTCAATCTTAGCACCCAATTGATGGCTCTTTTTCCTTCTCAATTCAGGTCTATTTGTTGAAGTGCCTGGTGAAAGTGTGCTAGCAGAAGGTGGACCTAAGTACCGCGATTTAAAATCAGTTGATAATGAGGCCGATGATTGTTTATTTTGCGGGAATCTAAAATCAGAAGACTGTTGACAGATAACTGGCGGAAGTTGTGGCTTTGCTGGGACTCCTTCCTTAGCTGGTTCCTGGTGAATGGACTTCGGCGTGAGTGTTTCTGATGAAGCCTGCAACTGATCGGACTTGATCTTAGCATTTTTCATCTGCTGGTATTCCTCGAGCCAATCGACCCACTTTACATCTCTGTCCTCGGATTTCGGTGGGTTGTTTGGAAGACCTACGTCATGCATACGATGTTCGAGTGAGGGTTCGACAACGCTAACGGTGCGCATACGACGGAGGGGCTCATGAGGCGCCGGTATAGGCGCTTGCTGGCTTCTGACGTCTGCCGAACCTCTACGAATGTGATGAGATGGATGCCGGCGAATGGATGACGGGGTGACTGAAGAAGAAAGACCCGAAGGAACGTTAGCGGTGTGTCCCCATTTGTTGAGCTTGACGGCCCTGCTCTGTAATATCAAGGCTGCGTAGTGATTTGTATCCGGGGTACTAGCGACAGGTGACTTCACTAGTGGTTGGGATTTAGTGGTCACTAAACTGGGCCGAGGGGTGAGTTTTGAAGGCAAAGGAGAGATGTTTGACCTCGGAGATATATCCATAGAAGAGGGGGAGGTACTTTGCTGCTGGTGCATCCGTTGCTTCCTGGGCGGAATGTTCGCTGTATTTTGGCTACTAACGGTGAGAATAGAGATATTTTTAGAGATCTGAACTCACTGAGGTCTGCTGTCATCTGTGCTACTACTAAGAGCTAGCTTTGGTACGTCTACGTCCTGCTGGAGGTTCGAAGATGAGATCACTTTCGCAGATGAGAGCGGACTCGGGCAGCTGGGGGCATTATCGAATGGCTTGTAGTAGCCCTTCTTGGCTGTGATATCCTCGTCAGTCTGGAATATCGAATTGTTCGAGTTTCGCTTGTTCATATCAGAACAGCTCGTGGTGGAATCGAGAGAAGCTTATCTATGGAGTTACAAAATATCAATCTGTCTTTTTAGATTTATTTAGCTCGTAGTAGAACCTGTAGGCTGTTATAATATACTCTCGCTGGGCTCCTTACTCACCAGTTCACTGTCGTCCAGAGTGCGATCACTATCATAGTCAAAGCTATCACGTGCATTCTTCCATTAGCGTAATCGACGGCGAGGATGAGGAAGAGCAAGTTGAAGAACAGTAACGTGAATATAACGTTCGTTATCGCTATGAATCTACCATTGATGCCTGCTTTGAGTGGGTTGATGGACATCGCAGTCTAACGATCAACGAACTTGTTTTTCAATGAATTCTATTACAATATTAATTTACAATCGTTTATGCTTAGCAGCAGATCTTGAGCAATGTTCTAAAACTGCATTCTATTAGGAAATGATGTCGACGCGTTTGAGACATTTACTCACGCTGCTTTTCTAACTCATCCATACCAGCTTTGAACTCAGACTCAAAGCTCTTATCCTCGACGTTACCCTCGTACTGTCCCAAGTCAAATATCTCAATCAGCCGCTGACTGAATGCCAGACGTAACGATTGCTGCAGTTTTGCGTTATCCTCTAACAAATCACTTATCCTCAGACCAAATGAATACCAAAAGTGGTTCAGGTTCGCTAGTTTGACGTATGTCGGTGAAGCTAATAACGCGTTACTGACACGTCCACTGAATGCGCCAGGTATAGACAGGTTTAAAAAGTCGTATTCGCTGCTTCATTAGTCACTTTCCTCTGATCTGTCTCTGGACTCACGATAGAGCGAGTGTCGAGGACATCCAATAGGGCAAATCAACCTTGGACCCTTCCTTTATCTAGCAACTGAGTGTTATACGTTACACACTAACTTATACATCGCTTACATCCTTATCGAGACCTCCCTGAAGCCATCCCAAGCTTGGAACGTCTGTCAAGAACTCTGAGGGCACTTTCTGTTATAATTTAGATAAATACACGTCTACGTAATCTTTAATATACCTGGTTGTCCGCAATTATAGAATCAATTGAGTAGTAGGAATCAAAATCCATGATGTAACAAAATAAGAGAAATAGACGCGTTTATTTTGTGATATATGCTGATCTGCGAGTAGTTTATACTAATAAACTACACAAATAACTTGTATATTGTACTCCAAATTGTATTCTATATTTATTGTTCGCAGCAGAGAAGACTATATGTAATCACAAGAAGGATAAATGAGAAACAAAACACCAAATACTACTTGAGAGTCTATATAAGTATCGAACTATGTAATCATCACCATCATCCCACTGTCACCTTGATTAGTTACAACGATCAACTTCCCGGAGTACAGGATGAATGACTGGTCAGCTGACGCTGTAATTGACCAACTTCTATCTACGAATAATTTACCATCACGTACGGCGTTGATAGCCGCTATAATAGCCATCCTTCTCTACTTACAATGGCAAGCAATCATCGTTGTTGTCCTAGCGGGGTGCGTATATCATCTTCGATAAGCAAATTCCTGATAATATTAGATATTTGGCGACATCCCAGCATTTCAGTATTCTAGTCAAGACACTTCTACATGATGTTAGTTCGTTGTCTTATCGTATCCTAGCTAACTCCCTGTAGGATAATTCGATCGAGTTGATTAGAAGTCAATCTGATGAAGGCGTAGTAGAATCTAGAGAAGCTGCTCTTAAGTCGCTTCCAGGTCTTCTCACTCGACAAAAGTCATCTTCTGGTGATAAGCTCAACGTTTTACCTGAATTGAGCGAACCATTAGACTCTACTTTGAATTTGGTTATCAGGGATTTTGTCGAATGGTGGTACATTCCTCTCGCACTCGATCCACCAGATATGGCTTTCCCGAGGGAGTGCAGGAGAAGTCTGAACCATATAACGTCGTCGATATGCCAGCGTGTGGTTGATGGACGCAGTGGTACTGATATTGTAGGTTTATTAACTATCCTAAGCGCGATAATCCTGATAATCTCTCGCCTAGGCCATCTTCTTATTCTGCTCGACAGCCCAAACACTTTTGAGGGGGTTGAGGACACGTAGAATGCCAAATGGGAAGCTTACGGACAAAATTGAGCCGAAAGAAAGCCAAGATTACCACCCGCTATTACGCAACACGGCAGCACAGATACTCTCACTTTCATCATCACATAGAGACGCAGAAAATCCAGCACTACAATCACTGCTCACCGAGATTGTTGCTGGACAGATCGAGGCGGTTGTCCAAATTCTCACACCTGATTGGGTCAACCTTACAGTAATTGCCTTCTTTGAAGACGAGAAAAAGGAACAAAGGGTACGAGAAGAGGCAGAACGTATGAGGCAGAAGGTTGAGCAGGTTGTCAATGCCGATACCATCCCTGGCGAGTTCAAAGACGACATTGAGACATCAGATGAAACCAAACAGAATGAAATAAATGAAAGCAATGTAAAAAATGAGAAAAATGATAGTGATATACCCCAAAATGATGATAATGCAGATGAGAAACCTGCAGTCAGTGATACAACAATGATGGAGAAGAGACCACCACACAAAGAGACACATCATGGTCAAAAGCCTTCGATATACATTCCACCTAAAAAGGAGCCAGTTCCTTTAGAAGAGGGTGACCTTGGTGAGACGCCATCAGATAAGAAACCTTCAGTCATATCACCGTTCAACAAACAACTGCACGATTCCTTTGGCGATATAGGAGTCAAAGATAAAAGCGAAGAGGATACAGGGGATACACCATCACTTCGAGATGTGTTATCACATAGGAATGACTCTGATGTATACGATGATTTCGAGCGTTTCTTGGAAATGAGACGTAGAGAAGGCTTGCTGAGATTGTTGACTCAAGTTACGACATTCAAAGAAATAGTATCAATAACGAGCCCTTCTGAACCGATATTCAGACAAGATGCAATAGCTTTGCTTGCTAGAGCCGAAGAGGCAGTTTTACCAGGTGACACGCTCTTGTTGGACAGTATCAACGCGACAAGAATGAAGATAGAGGTTGACGCATCCCTGAATGCCTTTTTACCGATTGAAGTGGAGATATACACCAACCTCGAAAGCGAATACGCGACATTTGTAAACATAAAGCGCGACAGTGTATCTAACTCGTCGAACACCCATTCATTCGACTACAGTCAGAGTCAGTCAACTGCGCGAACTTCCATCGAGCCAAGAATGAGCAAAGAGTATGAAGCAAGCTACTATCAGCGACAAACTAAAGTTGATGTCACTGATCTCTCGGCAAATGCCCAAACTGGTGACTTTGTCAATGGCAAAACCCTCGAGTTGATGATTGCGATTGAAGAGGAAGGGCTACCCGGATGGATGTTATTCCGTCGTTGGAATGAGTTTGAGAAGTTAGACAACGCACTACAAAAAGCCTTCCCGATGGCCGGTACGGCTAGCTTCCCAAAGGCTTATCTCCCTACGTTGAAGTTTAAGAAAAGTGAGGATATCTGCGCTCTCCTCGGCGCATACATAAAAACACTACTCATCGATCCTCGTTACTCCGAATCGGCAATCGTTACGAATTTCCTCAAGAAAGAGCAAACTGAAACTACAGCAAAGAGCAGCAAACTATTTAATCTCACCCAACCAGGAAAGACTTTCACTGAGTTTGCTCAGGCCGTTTCTGACATTGGTGTCAATAAGAAGAGATTGTCATTCCCAGGTCCTATGAAATTGGGAGAAAATCGAACAACAGTAGCACCTTCAACTCAATCGAAAGAGCAACTTGGTACTATAAGTAGCGAAGCTATCAATGAGGTAGACAAAACACCTTCCGAGGAAGTTGATTATAAGAATTACACCAACCTTGGACAAGATGAGAAAGAAGAGGAAGAGAAAAGTAGTAGCTATAGCGAGAATGATGCAGAGGAAGAGAATGAAGTACCTTCCATTGCCGTAGCAGAGACACAAGAGCCGATCGTTGAAAGTCCGTCATCGGAAGGAGCGACGAATGAGGCGGCAACTCCAAATGGAGCAGCCACACCTGTTACTCCAACCAGCCCAAGTAAATCATCTCGGATAGTGTCGAATATAAATGATGAAGATCTCAACCTTGTGCTCAATTCTATATTCTCAATTTTGGAAGAAGCGTATCAATTGAGTGGACAACAATGGTCATTGAGGAGAGGATTCGTGGGTAACATTTATCCTTATAGAAAACACTAACAAGAATCACAGTTTAGAGTCTTGGAAAGGGTAATAAGAACGTCATACTCTTCGACGGTAAGACTAGCACTACAGTCGATAGTCGAAGGTGTCACTGAAGTGAAGAATGTATCACAGTTGCTGAACTCGCTCCGCGACGCACTCTGGCCACCACCACAAAGGGAGTGGGTAACAGCTGAGCAGAACACACGCACAGAGGAAGAAAAAGCTGAGACTAGGGAACTTGCGAAGAAGCTCCTAGTTAATAACAAACCACGCGCTCTCTCAGGTGCTATGGGAGATAGTGCGACTAGGGAAGCCGTCATTCTTCTTCATGAGCTTTTCCAAGATGAGGAATTCTGCAAAGAAATAGCAACACTATTAGCCTTAGATTTACTAAGAGTTTGTTTGTAATATGTAGTTTATAAAATATTGGCCATTCTATTGGCTCGTTTCTTTATAGGGAACGATGATGTTTGCTAGACAAATCAGCCAGACGAGTAAGAGAACATTGAGATGCGGATATTCAACTAGCGTCGTACCACCACGCTCTGCTGTAAACACCAGCCAAGAGAGAGGAAACCCAGTTGCAGAGCTCCCAGGACAAGCTGAGGACAGAGCAACGAAATGGTCACCAAGACAGAGAAGCAAAGAGGACGCATACGTTGGTGCGAGATTTGAGCAGAAGCACCTCGGTTTGCAGCCAAATCCAAAAGCTGCGATTGAGTTGATTGCACAGTGGGTGCGCTAGTTATCAGCGAATGCATAGCTTATATATGCTATAGAGAGCCTGTCAGGTTAGTTGAGGGACGCGTTGCCAGCTGTGATGGTGGTAGGTGTACTCTTTATGGATAAATTTATGCTAAGAACTCAGGCGGCGGTCCGCTTGGACACCCAAAGATCTACATCAAGCTCGATAAGCCAGGTGCACATGCTTGCGGGTGAGTAAACCATTTTCTCTCTTGTTAGAGACTGACTTTATATTCAGATACTGGTAAGTAGATCCACCAAGCTAGATAGAGACTAACACACGATAGTGGCATCAGATTTGAACAAGCACACAGCGAACATCACTAAATGGTAGAAATATATTTCCTTCTCTTTATTTTACAACTCTAGCAATGACTTCACAGCTGCGATTGACTCTTCTGCGACTTCTTCACGGGATTTGTCGATATCGACAACTCTGACGTCGGTTTCATCTTCCTCTGGCTCCTCTAAAGTTTGAAGTTGGCTATTGAGCATTCTTTCAGTCATGAAGTGACCCTTTCTGGCTGACATCCTCGCCTGGAGTGCTTCCTGACTACCTTTGAGGTATAAGAAGTATGTTTTTATAGGTGAGAACTGGGTATCCGAAGTGACTTTCTCATCCCCACGGAGGGTGTCCCTATAGATCTTCTTGAGAGCTGAGCAGGCGATGAGTATAACCGGTCTCTTGACGTCTTTGTCGTGTGCACCGTCTGTTATTTCTTGGGCTTTGCGATGCATAACCTTCAACCAGGGCTCTCTATCCTCGTCCGTAAGAGGTTCACCTCTCGACATCTTATCGACATTCGCTTGTGGGTGCAGATCATCGCCGTCGATAAACTGCACGTTAAGAGAGGCTGCTATATCATTACCGACTGTGCTCTTACCGGAGCCAGATGTACCCTAGAGAGTATCTCAGAAAGTAAAACGATATAGAAAGATATACCGACCATTATAATAATTAAAGCTGGTCTTTTATCTCCTTCTGTCATTCTTTATCGTTGCACTTGGTGGATAGTTAGAAATGACGTTGCGAATAAACTCAGTTTCATTCGGCTCCGGTACGTGAGCCGACATAAGTTGACTGACTATTCTGGCTGGTATAGAGTCCATAGTAGAGCATCTATAAGACAGTCTCATACCTTGACTTCCGACGTTCAAGAATGCTCGATGAGAAAGTGGACCGCCTGCAGACTATCCTAGAGATAGACGACAGCGCCTTAGCGAGTACCCTATTAGATGACAGCGGATGGGATATAGAGGTAGGTATTATCTCTCTAATTGGCTACCCACTCATCCGATACAGCTGGCCGTGGAGAACTATTTCAACTCACAGGCGAGCAGCACTGAGAATACTGAGAATAGCAACACTTCAGCCACACCCTATAGACTTCCAATATCTCCTTCCATCGCTCATGTCGGCCTCGGTTCTGGAAGATCAGCCCAGGCAGGCTCATTCATTTGGACTATCTGGAGAGGGATACTCTGGCTGGCTATAAAAATACTCAGACTTCCTCTATGGCTATACAGCTTTCTATTCAATCAGTCGGTTAGCTTCACACCACCAGAGCCAGTTCCTCAAGAAGAAGCTCACAGTCTTCTCCTTTCTTCTATAGATGAGGCTGTTAATAGTCGCGAACCGTCTTCTAGTTCGACTGCTGTCGCTCGCACTACTCAACGCCAGAATACACACGTCATTCCTTCATTATACTTAGGTACACATAGTAATGCACTCAGAGACGTCAAGAATAATGCTCAATTTGGTATCATTGCATTCATTGATAGTAGTACAACATCAGATGATTTCAAATATCACACACTTGCTGAAGAAAAATTCAACAAGTTGGTGAATGAGCATGATTGTTTGGTTTGGGTTGGAGATATATCCACTAATAGAGACGCTTATGATGTTGCAATCTCTAAGGGTATTAGGATATTCCCCCGTGTGGAAGTACACTCAATGCAGGCCTTGCCAACATCAAGGAATGCCTTAGTGTCGGTACCTACAATGTCACACCTTGGCAGTATCTCTGGAAAAGACAGTCTGGGCGAGGACTTCAGAAATCTGCTCAGTTCTAGATACCTCAATAGAGTTAGTCCGTACTTGCGTAGATTGCGTAATGAGAAATACGAAAGACAGCGTGCAACATACATCAAAGAAGCCGCCGATAGAGCTGAGAACGAGCGGATGCAACGGGATGCTGAAAATGTACTGAAGAAAAGAGAGGAGTCAGCAAGATCAGCAAAAGCTGCAGAAGATATTGCCCAACAGAGAGAGAAGGAGAGGAATGAAAAAGCTAATAATGAGGTTATTTTAAGGGAATACCGCAATTGGTTGAAGAGTACAATTCCAGGTGAGCCGGCTGACGGCATACGCTTGGCCTTCAAATTGCCAGATGGCAGGAGAGTCATTAGGAAATTCTCTCCAGAGACTTCTCTTGAGACTTTATACATGTTCGTCGACACAATCGATGTTGAAATGTCAACAAAGAAACCAACGAGGGTAGTGGACTTTGAACCAGAATTCAAACTTTATATGAGCTATCCATGCGAATTTATACCAAACTTATCTGATAGAGTGATTAGCCAGAGTCAGAATCTAATTAAAGGGGGAATCATAGCTGTCGAAAGTGATATAAAGGAGTATAGCAGCGAAGAAGAAGACTACGATGAAGTATAGCTTAAAATAAATGATGTAAAGGAATAAATTGTATATATTAGAACAGCAGATTGAATGTATTTCTATCTTTCTTAAAACGACCAAGGTTGAATACCCGATAAATGGCTTTGCAATACTTGACAGTACCAGCTAGGAGTACACAGACAGCCAGTTTAATATTTGTACACGGTTTAGGTGTGTATTGCACGTTTTATGATCTAATAGACTGACAGCCTTAGGTGACAGCGGCTACGGTTGGAAACCAGTTGCTGAATTCCTCAGCCAGAGTCTACCACACGTGAAATTTATCCTCCCTCACGCACCATCCCAACCAGTAACACTAAACGGTGGAATGTCAATGCCATCCTGGTTTGACTTGACAAGTTTAACTTTGGAGGGTACAGACGACGAGGATGGTTTACTCAAGAGCAGCTCAGAGTTGAATAAGTTGATTACAGCAGAAGTTGACAACGGAATCCCTTCAGATCGCATCGTTATCGGTGGATTTAGTCAGGGAAGCGCCCTATCATACCTCATTGGCCTCTCGTCTGAGCGTAAACTCGCGGGTACAGTCGCACTCAGTGGATGGCTTCCAATGCGCAACAAGATTAAGAGTATGTTGGGTCCACACCATCAGCTTTTACCTATCTTCCAAGCACACGGTAGTGATGACCCAGTCGTGAATCCAAAGTACGCGGAATTGACAAACGAGTATATCAAAAGTTTAGGATTCAAAACCGTCGATTCAGATAAACCAACTAATGGCGGTATTTCATTCAACAAATACGATGGAATTGGACACGGCGCTTGTCAAGAGGAGTTGGCTGATTTAGAAATTTGGCTTAAGAAAGTCATTCCATAAACTTTTTTTTTCTTGTAGACAGACAACCACTATCAGATGGACTATGGAGAATATAAATAACGATTTCAAGAGTATATTTGGTAACATTTCTATAACTAGCGATGGTTATCGCACTTATTTCTCAGATTTAACTGCATCCTATCCGCTCAAACTTATCGCACCGACTATACGGAGTGGTCCAGCGAGAATCGGTATATGCTATAGTCTTCAATATGGGGGTGGATTGGTTGTAAGTAGATAGTATATCCTTCATTCATATTTAATCAACTCAGGCGGGTGATATATGCAACCTCGGAGTAAAAGTCCAAGATGGTAGTACTCTCCTACTACTCACTCAAGGATCAACAAAAGTTTTCAAAAGCGATGGTATAAAGACATCCCAACAGAAATTATCAACCACTGTTGATCCCGGTTGCATGATTATTTCCCTTCCTGATCCCGTTCAACCATTCGCACAGTCGCGGTATAAACAAAAACAGAATTTCTACTTACACTCTACATCATCTGCTGTCATATTAGATGCTTTCTCAAGTGGTAGAAGTGCACGTGGTGAATCATGGCAATTCGATACTTACACTTCCATTAATAACATATACATTGATGATGTTTTAATAATCAGAGACGCTCAAACTGTCGCGAAACCGGATATAGAAAAGAGAATGGGACCTTTTCATGTTTACGGGTTACTTATTTTACTTGGAAAACAAACCGAAGATGTAAGACGGGCGTTCGAACATGCATACGATAAGCAAAATGCCGTATTAAACGGGAGATTCGACATTGGAATGGATGTTTTATGGTCTTACACTCCAATCAACAAGGACGCTTCCGTTATTAGACTAGCAGGTAAAGATGAAGAAGTTATCAAATTATTTCTACGTGACAACTGCATCAACTTACAAGAAGTCATCGGAATGGAAGCCTACGTTAGATGCTTTAAATGAACAATTGATTAGACTAGTTTTATTGTACAATTATTTATTATTATTAGTGATGATCTCAATTTAATTGGCTACCTTGGCATCCTTTGAGCGTACTCTAACACCTTTACCGAGCACTTTCACTTTATCTAACAGACTTCTCTTTCTAGTTAACAGAGGCTCGCTTTCGTTCTCTTTCTCCTTGATCGGAGTTTCTGGTGGTGGTGTTTCTTCTTTCTCGCTTTTCCCTGTTGGTGGCTCCGGTAAGTTCTTATCGTATGCACTTGGTGATGGTGAAATTGAAGGTGTTTGACTTGCGGTTGAATTTCCACCACTTTGAGATTTAGGTGATCTTCTGCTACTCTTCCACCTCTTGAGTAAAGATTGACTACGTCTCATGGTGTCACTTGGTCCCACAGATGATCTTCTTGTACTACCACCTGACCATTGTATTGGCTTGTCAGGATCAATCTCATCATCCATCTTGATTGGTCGCGGTGGGGGTATTCTCGTACTAGGTTTCCTTGTCGGTTTTGGTGGTAAAAGAGGTGATTCTTGATACATGTCGGAAGTTACACGTGCGCCACCTGATGGTAAATTCTTTGCACCAGCGCTAAATGCTTCCCAAGGTTCCTCTTCATGTTTACCCCAAACTTCTAACAATGGATTACGCTTTTTCTTCTCTTCTCTCAACCTATTCTCTCTTTCATCCTCCGTCTCTGCTGGTTTTACTTCACGTGACTCATGCATCATTTGTGCATTAAATGCTTTCACAGGTGCTTTATGTGAATCATTACGTGAAGGTGATGCTGCGTCATACGGACTATCATGATGCCATACTATAAACCCATTGAGTTTATATTCTGTAGAAGGAAAGTATAAAACTCACGGGCAGATCCAGTTACAGCAGTTACGTCCCAGCTATCAATTACATCAAAGTGCTTTCCAGGCTTCTTTCCTGTCTTTGAATCTGTTGTGTTTGATCTAGACATCCTAGCTGCTGACTTCCTCGCACCATCATCGGAATTACTCTGGGGATATGCTCCATCCTGTGTACGCGATCTGGATAGAGGTAACTGTTGTGGTACAGACTTTGGTGATGGTAGAGGCTTCCCCTGTACTCTTACAACGTCTTTTAAGGCTGCTTTATACGCGTCAATTGAGCTCGTTGGTCTGTGTGTTGGTGGTGGCCTATCTGATGGTTCTATAGCCTTTAATTAGAAGATTGTTTATTTATTTTATATTTTTTCTCACTAAAAGCAGTCATCGTTTTTTATACACTGTGATAGTTGATCTCGATCTAGTAGTCGATTGGAATGCGATGCTTCTAAAAACAAAAAATTATTTTACATCTAACCTCGAACGCGTCTCTTTCGCGTCTGATTTATTAGCGAACATCTTCTCACTAAATTTCATCTTGTTCTTTTTTGCATTTATGCTTATTTGCTCCTCTAAGCCTGCTTTTGATAACTTCCGCAGTTGCCGTACTAACGGACTAGCCTTACGTTGTTTTATTTTATTGTTAGCCTCGCCTAACTGCTCTATTTTTTCTTTCGCTATCCTTTCAGCCGTTCCTTTGATTTCATTAAGTAGTCCCTCTTGTTCCTTTGTTAATTGAGTACTTGTGGAGTCTCCAAATCCTTGAAATCGTTCCTTGATGTAGCGCTCCCTCTCTTCTTCAATATCTCTCAACTTGATTTCTACGTCCTCGTCATTTCCACTTTGTCCTCGCCATCCCCGTCTTTCTTCTCTCATTTTCATCAAATCTTGCGCACTCATACCAGGTGGTAACACCACTTTATTCATATCATGGAATGCTTGTCTCGATAAGGCTAAATTCGCCTTCACTTGGTCTGATTCCTCGACTTTAGACGTCCGACTTATGACTTCAACCGTCCCTGAGATCGTTAGGAGGAACACATGCAGGTAACTGAAAACCTACATGAAGCGTTCTCATTTTTTATAGTAGCAAAATCGACAAACTTGTCCTTCGGTACCGCTTTGTTGTTTATATAAGACTTCACTTCGTAGTCTATGACGTATGTAACTTTGTTTTCACTTGTATCTTCAGCCGATTCAACGTAGACACTCATATATTGTTCACCCTCGCGTGTATCAAAGGTAATACTAAGTGACTATGTAGGCTTAGTAATGGTCTTTGTAGTTCATCATCTACAACATACCTCATCGGGAATCAAAGCTGTTGCATCATCTAAAGCTCTCTCTAATATTCCAATTGAATGCTTAAATGACTGACTCGCCATTACACTCGATCCGTATATCCTTTGATCCATCTCTTCAAGTGGTACGTACTGAAAACCGAAAATGCGCTGCGTATTATGATAAGCTGTATAAGTGTTAAACAGATCATCAATATCACGCGTTACCCACCAACGAATATACCATCCATAGCTCCAATACGGGCTTGCAAACTGTTTATGTATTAACTTTTACGCTTCTTACGATACGCATACCCTACCTATATTTTAAGAACGCACTTCTGACCATATCGTAGTATTCTCGCTCAAATGACTCAAAAAGTCCGCCTAAATGTAATTAGCAGATGTTTATGTGTTGTGAATATCAAGATTTACGCGATTTTTTTATGCTATATCCGCCACCTGCTCTGTAGTTTAACACATCCATTCTGACGGCAACGACAGCTCTAGTTTTTATGTCGAATGTTTTACGAGGAAGTCTACTATCAAAGCAATCCAGTTGTGATCGCATTAATATCTTGTTTGCCTATGCAATTATGAACTGATATCACAATATAATAATGAAGCACCTACTTTTGAGTAGTGATAAGCTTCTCTTTCGGTCATTTTTTCCTTGACAGTATCGGTGATAGGGTTAGCACGTAACAAACCACTGAACTCATCAGTAGGCATCGTTAGCTGCTTTTCTAATTGAGTTCCTACCCAAAGAAGCACATTGTCTTCTTCTAAATCATACGATTTGTCCTTATCTATCGCGTATATCGGTTCTTTAGTAGTTTCTGATGATTCTTGGCCTACTTTACGTAATACGATTGCACCTGGTAGCTTAGTTGAGTAGCTGAAGTTGTCTGACTGTTGTAATGTTATTATATACGCCATTAATGTGTTCCACATACCATTCCTTGAAAGTCTTCCGATAGAGACTCAAAGTTAACAGGCTTCCAATTCGTTAAGAGGAAATGAATGTGTGATAAAACGCTAGTCATGCTCGATGTAGATCCTAAATAACGGCACTTTTGCTTCTTTGTCAATTCGATCAGATCCTTAAAAGTTATCAGACTTGCAATTGTTACTGGCAAGAGACCCTCACCTTATCCTTTGAGCTTGTCATGTAAGGTGGTAATCTATCAAATGCAAACTCCTCCGGTGGGTGTATATCCTCCAAGTGAGAAGGAAAATTGTATACACCAGTTCGTGGACATCGCAGCCAGACTGGATGCGAAGGCTGGAATAATACTCGTGATAATGAAGATACTAGCTGGGGTATACGTGGCTGATCGACTTTCACAGCTATTGAAGGTGTTAGGAAGGATGTGTCTATAGAACGAGCTAACCAACTAACGACTTATAGGTGTAGATTTGAAAGGGTCTAATTTGAACTTCGTTTCATTGCTTCGTGGTCTGTATGCACCGTTATCAGTGCTAGGAAATTGTTCTGTGCTATCCGTGAAGCCAGAAGGCAAGTTCTCATCTATGTAGTGTATATTATCTATTACTTCCTTAATAATAATGAGCTTTATTCTTCCTTTGGTGAATTTCGAGAGCTTCTCACCTCTGTGTCATTACTGTTAGTATCACCAGCCACCCGCTTCAAACGTAGCTTCTCTGATAAACTAATAGGAGATTGACTTGCTAGGTTTCTACTCTTTTGTAGTCTAGTACCAAACTTCTGGCTCGCCAGCCTCCTCATTGATAACCTTTAAGGGAGAACACAAGAGATAACACAAGAATAGCACAGAAAAGAATAAAAAACAAATGCCCTGCCTCGACCGCGCGACTAGGGAAATATGAATAGTAAAAAATACGATCGCAGGGGACGGCATTGGACCGTAAGTACAAATGCAGCGTATATCTAGAGACGACGACCACGACGACCACCCTTGCGCTATAATATATTGTTAGTATATCGTACTTTATTATAAAAATAATCAAACTCACACGTGTGGAGTCAGATGGTACTGGGGTAACATCTTCGATACGACCGATACGCATACCTGCACGAGCGAGAGCACGGAGGGCTGCTTGAGCACCTGGACCTGGAGCCTTGGTAGCGGTACCACCAGTTGCTCTGATCTTGATGTGGAGGGCGTTGATGCCAACTTCCTTACAGCGAGCAGCGACGTCTTGAGCAGCCAACATAGCAGCGTATGGGGATGACTCATCTCTGTCAGCCTTGACCTTCATACCACCGGTAACTCTGGAGACGGTTTCCTTACCAGAGAGATCAGTGATGTGGACGAAAGTGTCGTTGAATGAAGCGAAGATTCTTGCGACACCGAAGACAAGTTCGCCTTCTGCGACTTGTGGACCCAAGGAGGTGTTTCCTGCTGCTTTGGTGGCCATGACTTACGATGAGCTGAACGAAGGGAGAAGATCAGAGTTTTCTGAGAGGAAAAATTTGCAAAATGATATTTCTTTTTATTATTTAAATTAAAGTGTTTCAAAATTATTATTATGTTAATATTCTATTATTGTTAACCGTTTATATTCGTTAGATCCTATTCTGGCTCTACCTCTGCATCATACAAACAGACAGGAAGAGGAGACGATTGCAAATAACTTTTATCTTATTTGACAGGCTTTTTTCTTACTGAAGTGTTCTTGTTTGGTATGCTCGCCAGAATATGCTTGATGAACCCATACGTGTAGATAACGTATTTATAGATAGGAAATCAACTTTATCTTCCATATTATCGTCACTCAATCATAAATAAGTAGTGTAAATCATTTAAGGAGTTTGGTCGCGTTAGAGTATTCACTCCCATGACTTTGGTCGACGAGAAACAAATATAATAAAAATAATAATGAGGATAACCATACTACAAATTATACCCAACCTCTTGCCCTTGACGGATACAATACACACTGTCTGTTACTTCACGCTTACGTCATATCAAATTCAGCTGGAAAATTACAGTTTAAAATTAGATACAGGTACAACTAAAAATTTAGAAATAAATGAGCTACCTAAAATTGGAGTATACGCAATGTCAACAATAACCATTTATTTGAACACCAAAATTAACATCGGCTCGATGGTCTAGGGGTATGATTCTCGCTTTGGGTTACCAGCTTGCGAGAGGTCCAGGGTTCAAATCCCTGTCGAGCCCTTTATTTTTCTTTAGATTTTTGCTCTTTCAAGTTGATACATTTTTACAAGGAATTTGTCTCATCTACTAAAGTGACAGATCTATTTTGATATAATGCTTTTACGATTTCTCTGAAATAATGCTTGTCATCCTTACTCAGTATGTATCCATTTATCTCTAATGCTGATACTATACCACCATAGGCTTTGCTCATACCTGTATCTATCAAAATAATACCACCATTACACCTTGATACAATATTCTTCATATAATTTATTAGCGAAGTTGAGCCAATAATTGTACGAACTCACATCAAAATTTGGTGTATGTCCTTGTACTATACGTTTTGCACCAATTGTTTGCATAACTTCTTTGGCCATAGCACAAGCTTTGGTCTCATTATCTAATGCAGCACCTCTAAACCAATATGGTCCATTAGGTGACCAGAGTGACTTCTCAACGTCTGACCAGTTCCTATCACCGTTGGTGAGCTTCTCAAGCCATCTCTTTCCATCATCATTGAGTTCCTTGTATGCAAATGAGGGGTGTAAACCAGCATGAACGAACTGTGTGGATAGATTAGCTGGTAAATTGTACTTTTGTCCATCATTTTCACTGTAGTGAGGAATATTTACTGTTGTTAGATAGTCTTTAAGCCAGAGTTTCCCTATCCAACCATCTTTACTGAATGCTTGCTCTCTTTGAGTGAGGTCCCCATTGAAATATGTCATTTCTGTAGGGTGAACGTAACGCCAATCACGCATAGGTTGCATGATATCGTGATTCTACATTGTATAGTGAGAAAAATACTCCATAATAGATCAATTATCTCACTCCTAATATAGTATGAAGGCTTCCACCCACTTCAGCAGCCTGAACGCGGAGTTTCTCGAGAAACTGGTATATGGGAACCATATCTGCACTATTGAATGTCTAGATAGATGAAACGGTTCATTTTAACACATACCCTCTGTCTGTGATATCTCCTGTTTGAACAAGCACGGTTTTATTGCCAATCCAGTTATCATTCTCGTCAATAAGCTGAGTAACTCTAAGCGCATCAAGTGTACGCTGATAGTCACCATGTAAATCGCCTGTATTTGGATCAAGATCTTTCGATAATGATTGGTTTATACCCACCAATAGCGACTATGCGTTGTTGTGAGAGCACTTTATATCCATCCAATAAGACATCCGACTCTAATAATGCTGGATTTGTAGGTTTTAAGTACAGATAAGCGCTAGAAATCGCTAGAAGTGGTATAATAGACTTCTTAATCAAGGATGACATGGTGACATCCAACATAGAAACAAATGATTTGAAATAATAGCTTATACATAATAACTTAATTTTCTACTTTTACAATATTATCTGGTTTGCTTTCAGTGTCTTTGATGCCTTTGACAGCACTCAATGGCGTCACAGTCATAATAGCAATCGCGAGTACGCTCTCTACGCGTTCCTTTAGACTCTCATCAGAGCAGTCAACATGCTTTTCATCAATTAGTTCAGCGCTTCATGGAATGATCAACTATTGCTTACCATAGTCTCTACGTTTATCTTGATTTCGTTACTATCAATGTTGATGATTAGCTTGTGTTCATTTTCAGTCTCCTCGTGACCAACTTCACCAAAGTGAGCGTCTAATAGTGCTACTATTTTCTCCAATTTGAGAACAAACTCTTTGACATCCTCACTATCTGCCTTCGCATGTGAATGAGCATGTGCACATGGCGTGCTTGTCACTGATAGATCTTATCAGCTAAGTCTGTTAGATAAATGGTAACTCACTCTTAACTGAAACGGGACTTGTCTCAATACTAAGCGTCAATGCAAGCACTGAGTCTGCGATAGCATCATTCATAGCACCTGCTTTCCATTCAAGCAATAAGTTGTTCTCAGGAGCTTGCTTGACATCAACAGTTTCCATAATCTGCGTTTTAAGTTTAGCGTCAGAAAGAACATAAGCACAAAACCTACTCTCATTGTTGGCACGCCATCGTTATCAATACCTTCATTGATACTGCCATACATTCCTTCTAAGTGCCATCTTATAAGTTCCCAGCTGACGCCAATGTTAACTTTCTGTTGTTGAATAATAGTGTTCGTAGCCAAACCAGCAAAATCTTTCAAATCAGATCTGTCGAGAAGGGTATATGTGAAATCCTTATTAACAAGCAATCCTTGTACTATTTCTCCTTCAGCTGGTTGCTTTTCCGCTAGTTTTCCGATAGCTTTGGCAGTCATCTCCGGTTTAAATTCTAATTTCAAAGGTTCTGCATTCTTTGGCATATGTACCTTGATGTCCAAACCCCTATCCGCATATCTACTCCTAAGAGCGGCAGCTAATCTTGACATATTTGTCAATGCACCGTGAACTAAAACAACGTGTTGTGGTTTAATTTCGTCTATAAATTGAGTGTTTTGGGTGAAATCCACATGCGCACTAAATGAGATGTAGTCTACACTGAGCTTCCTAGGTATTTTATTGCCATTTATACCAGTAATCTCGTCAGGTTCATTGACTATACTGTGAGCCATCGTACCTTCGACGGAATAACCGCAAATAATCAATCCATTCTTTGGATCTGGTGCCCATCTTTCTAATAACTCTCTAGAGGTTCCGCTTTGAAGCATACCAGGTGAAGCCAACATAACACAAGGTCCTTTGTCTTGCCATTTCCTTAAATCACCTAATTCACTAATGAATTTAAATTGAAATGGATTTTCACCACTGTCGAACCTTCTATTTATGTTTTTGTTCATTGTACGGATGTAGGCTTGATAGACTGCCATACATTTCCTAGCCAAGTTAGATGCATAATAAATTGGTATGCTATGTAGATCTGGATTACGTTGCCAATATTCATCTAAAATCAACAACAGTTCCTGCGCTCTACCTAAAGCAAATGAGGGCATTAACACTCGGCCGCCTCGACGGATGATGTTATGAACGAGTTCTTTAAAACAATAAGTTTTTAATCTAAGTTATGATTGTGTACTCACCAGTAAATCTTTTCTCTTTCTCTGGTCTATTTTCTAGTGTTTGAACACCATAAGTTGATTCAACGATAAGGACATCTGTCTGTTCTTTCGGTATTTCAGCTGCGTGCAAATGTCTATCCTCTTCTCTACTATAATCGCCAGTGTAGAGAACCTTTAGACCAGCAATTTCTATTAAAAACATCGCTGCACCGAGAACATGCCCAGCTGGATATGGTGTGAATCGCACACCACTTGCAGGTACGATTTCCTGATTAAAATCTGAAACTTGAATACTTCTCCAACTAGCTATCATTTCAGATTCTGTGAATAACTGATCTTCTGCTGATGTTGTCGATATTCTAACGAAATCCTGCATCATAAAGCGATAAACAGCCTTCGTAGGACTTGTCATATAAACTTTTCCTTTTCCTTCTTTAAAATTTGTCTTCTCCATAATATATGTCAATGCTGCTGCATGATCCAAGTGGAAGTGAGTAATCAGTAATGCGTCCACAGTTGACCAGTCAAGCTCATCAATGAAAGGTAATGCAGCTAATCCGGTATAAGCTGGGTGTACACCTGCATCACATACAATTCTCTTTCCTTTATACTCTATCAGACAACATGATCTACCAACTTCCTGTCCAGCACCGAGTAATGTTATTCTGAGCTCAGAATCACCAACTTTTGTAGATTTTTGAGGTGGTTGATTAGGAGATATTAAAATATCGTATTCATTGGGTATTTGTCGTTTAGACATGATCGTTTTTAAACAAAACAACTTTTGAACAGCTACTACGAGCTAGCATATGTTATGCTAGTCAATAAACTACCAAAAAGTAGAATTTTCATTAGATTTTACTCAACTTCACATTTACCAGCTAGAAATTCATGGAAAAAGGAGTTCAGCTTCGTCGGTACAAAGTTGAGAGGCAGGGATACTATATCATGTTTAGATACAGCTAGACAGTTCGTTAAAGACGTAGGAATACAAGAAATGGGTAGTAGTACCACACCTGTTACTGTCATCGACGCATATTCAGGTATGTCCTTAATTGAAGGGAAGACAAACAATCTAAAGGGCGCATAGGTTTCGGTTTGGTATCAAAAGCCTTACTAGAATTAGAAAACGTTGGAAAAGTCATCTCAATTGAGCCTGCACATACATTCAACAAAGTACTTTCTGCGCTATCAGATGAACACAACAATAGAATGGTCTACATTGATAAAGATCCTTACGATTGGCAAGTATACACTGACATTGAACAAGCTGGACTTTTGAAAGACGTTCAAACGCGCTCATGGGAAAACATACATGATCATTTCGCAGTCTTCATGCAAGTTCCAGCGACAGTGCACGGCGAACAGTTAATTGGACAGTTTTTCCATTGTATGGTCTTTCGTAGTTGGTTGTTCAACAGAGGCAGAATTCCAATGGGTTTGTTGATAAACAGCCCATCCTATGATGTACGTAGAATTTCCATGCTCGGAATTAACTAACACGACTATTAGCGACTTGTACATAGCCCAGGTCATCCAGATAGAGGTCGTATAGCTACGATAAGAGAAGCAACGGCAATTATAGATGTCGTCATTCCAGAGAAGGACCTCCTTCCTGAGAATGACAAGATATACCCTCAGGTTCGTCAACCAAATAAGAAGACGAAGAAAGGTGCGAATATCCTAAACTACGTTGGCACCAAGATCACGCCGCATGTGGACATCATTCCAGACACCACCACCCTTGACGCTTGGGAATTCGTGACGAGGCAGATATTCATCACAAGAAGATATAGTCTTCGGAAATCATTGAAGTAAGTTTAACGAATTCATACGTTTACATGCTGAATCCAATCTAGACACCTCGCAGTCAATGCAGATGTTGCACTAAGTAAACCATTGGAAGATCGTGGTGTGGATCTCGATAAATTGGTACGGGACCTAACAATAGAAGAAATTGCCAAAATTATAGATGCCTTCTTGGAGTGGCCTTTCAGACCTGAAGTAAGTGCTTTGGAGATCTCCCTTTGGATCTAACGACCTATTACAGATTCTTTATAGAGATGATGTTGATGATAAGTTCTCTTAATCATACTTCGATCCAACCGCAATGCATTGTACAATAATACACACACTTGCTAATAGTTTAAAGACAGCTGCTAGATTGTTTTCTCAATATGCCGTAGATTATATTCAGGAGATTAAGTTACTAGAAACAGTCCATGTTCGTCAGCTTCAGTGTATTTTCTGTCCCTGCCGTATATCTATAACGACGTCACCAAAGGCATACTACCGCCAACAAAGCCCTATGCCGCAGATACATGTACATGAATAAATAAAACATTACAATTAGCTATATAAAGTGTCTCCAGTGCTTCGTCACTTATAGTTTTAGTTCTAAGTTCGTGTTATCTCTTTCGCAACATTGCACCTAGTCACCAACAGCTCAAGAAACCATGATTATTATCAATTTGAAGTTTCACTATGAGTAGTTAGACTTTTAGCATTTATTTTGCTTGACACTGCTATTGTTACATTTTAATGTCTTACCAGGACACATTATAACGAATAAGTCTATTTGGTAAATTCATTATTGGATAAGCTTAGAGAGTACAATTAGCTGATCATATTGCCAAATTATGATATTCGATGGTACTAAACGTCATCGTTGTGTATAAAGCAAGAGAACGGAAAGTAAAGTGGTATATGTATGCTCATTTGAGTTGTAACAACAACAGATATATCATTCTAATCTCTCTAAATACTCCAGTCTATTCAAGATGACCTGCTTTGAGGTTTCCTCAATCTCTCCAGCGAGAAATACTTCGTCTAGAATTGCATATACCTTGTAGAAGTTAAAGACAAGGTCAAGTTCACATACGTTTGAGAAGAATGCGTCTGTAGTGTGTATTAGATAAAGGTGATAATGGAGATACCAAACTGACCGAGTACTTCAACGAAAAGGTGTATAATCTCTAGATAAGCGAGTTCATTATCGTTTGCATCGATGCATACGCAGAAGAATAAACCTGCGTATCTGCGATAGACGACTTTGTAGTTTCTGAACTCGACGAAGTTGCTCTGGTGTTTCTGATCACGTGGTGCAACTAATCTGTGTACTTCTCCACGCAGTCTGATCTAGTAAAGGATGAGAAATTACCCCGTCTGCTATTCTAGCCCACCTTGTCTTCGTCCTCGACAGGGACGTACCATTTAGACAGCCTAGTCTTTCCTTGTCTATTCTGAAGAAGAGTTAGACTCTACTCGCTATCCCGCTATCCCGCTATCTAATAGATACACACCTGTACTAATATGAATCTCAGCATGACCGTACAAATCAAGGAAGGAATATTGGTGTAGTAGACTTATAAAATATTGTATCACTGTCAATATTACTATTATTATTATTATTGTTATTATATCCCTGTTGTCTTCCTTCTTTATCAACTGCCATCACCGACAGTCAAGATGGCTTCTAATAATCAGCAAAACCTACAGAATTTAACGCCTGATCAAATGATAATGATACAGCGCCATATGGCAAATCAACGTGCTCAGGCAGCACAACAACAGCAAGCCGCCGCGGCAGCTGTCCAGCCCAACCAACCAGCAGCCACGGGTGCACCTCAGCAACAGCCTCCGCAAAATCCACAGCAGAACCAGATGATGCACAATATGCAGAGTATGATACAGCAGCTTCCCGCTTTATTGGAGTTGGCGAGGAGAGGATTGCTCAACCCAGAACAGATGAATCAATTGCGTGGTTTGGCGCGTTTACATGAGCAGCAGAAAGCCAGACAAGACCAGCGCAACCAGCTCAACAGAAATGCCACCGTCGCCCAAGCCCAAGCTCAGGCAATGCAGCAGCAGAGAAGTGCAAGCCCAGCATTGAGAAGCAGTGCAGGTACACCAAATCCAAACGGTCGGGGAGGCACACCTATCCCGCGCACCGCATCACCAGCCCTCGGTAGCATGGCTGGTATCGCAACACCCCCACCATCTGCTGTTCCAGGGCAACAAGGTGCTGCTGGCTCACAATCTAGCATGGCAGCTGCAATTCAAGCTCAGCTCGCTAACAACAATAACCAATCTCTCCCAGTAAACGAAAAAGCACCAAATATGAACTTCCAGGCTGAGCCTTTCCCTAATCAACAGGGTTCTAGGCCAACGCTCAACTCAGGCTTAGCTAGTGGCCCTATTTTGGGCCAACCGTCAACATTACAAAGGGGGAATTTACCCTCAAACTTTGATGAATTGGTTGGTATGGCCAACGCAGGCAAGATAGATCCAAAGTCTCTACTGGAAAATGACAGTAATAGATTGCTTGGTAAACGTAAAATACAAGAACTCGTCGAAACTGTCGACCCTTCAGAGACTTTAGATCCTGAAGTAGAGGATCTTATGCTTGAAATCGCAGATGAATTCATCGAAAGTGTCACGAACTTTGGGTGTATGCTCGCAAAGCATCGCAGAGGTGATACTCTCGAAGTAAGAGATCTTCAATTGCATTTGGGTAGGTATCTTCCTTATTGAGATAATCCACATCTAATCAATTCCAAGAACGCAATTACAACATCAGAATACCAGGCTTTGGCACTCAAGAAGATAGCAGGATAGGTTCAAGGAGGCAGCCCCAACCGCAATCCTATCAAAACAGAGTCAACGCCGTCCATAGCTCTCAAAGCAAATAAAATTTAATTAAATAACTTAATGTCAACTTAAAATAAAAGAAGCGTTCTTGTAATAATCTAACATAGGATTACTGCCATCCTTTAACATTGTTTTATTGATATCAACGGCGTGATTCTCGACAAATTCCTTATGACTGAGTACCTTTACATCTCTCTTGATTTGTCTAGGAGTGAAGAAAGTTTCCCTATCCATCACTTTGTTGTATAATTCTGCCAATAAACCGAAATCTGTAGGAAAGAATATATCAAAGTAACCAGGCTGTACTAAGAAAGTATCAACAGGTATCATTTCACCATTCAAACGCGTCTGTACGACTGGAGAATTAATTCCAGGTATTGATTCAGGTAGTGAGTGAAAATCTGATGCTATGAGATGATGGTTAGGGAAAGTGCTTGATAATTTATCCAAAAACATTAGTTGTTTCGTCGGTAAAAACTCTTCTTTACTTAAATTTGGTGAGAAAGGTATAGCTTTTCTTAATTTACGAAGGATTGGCGAATGCGTCCATAGTGAGGGCTTAAATGAAGGCAGATTTTTTCGTAAATTCAAATATCGTTTAATAAGTGGGTCGTCAACTGGTGTATACAGTGAATGGAAGTCCCCTTCTTCATCAACAGCTACAACCATTTGATATGGATTTGGTTCATGTGTTTCCAATGAATATCTCACAACATCGTGTGCCAAATTATCCAACACTTCCATTGCAATAAAGAAACAAGGTTCATGTTGAACGGTTTGATAATCGAATACTGATTTATTGATAATGTGAACGTTCCTCGAATGTCTATTGATTAGTTTCTTTTGTATGTTTGACAATTTGGTTGAAATTTCTATAATGTTATAATGGGTGCGTTGATAGATTTCCTTATGATTATCCTTTAAGTAATCTAATATGTTAAGCATTAAAGTACCATTACCAGCACCGATTTCGTAGATGTTGAGATCATGATAAGGATAGTAATGTACTAGGTATTTGTTGGCAATATAATTAGCTATAGACATACCATAATGAGGATTGAAGAGCTCAGTTGGTGTATGCCATTCCCTGTCTTGCGACTGATCTGCCAATCTAGTTTGTAGATCGCTGTCATTTTTTATCTTGTTGAAGTTTATCGACTCATAATTGAGAATACTAACAGTTTTATTAAAATAGCCGTAATGACTATTGTATAAACTGTCATCTATGAAGTCTCTAGCTAGTAGTTTACACTTTGTTGGCCTATTAGACAATTTCTTTAATTGAGCTGCATTCAGAAATCTATAATTTTGTATTTTTTTGTCTACAGTGCTATCAAATGACAATTTATTATAGTTATAAAGTAGTCTTCGTGATTGTAGCATTATAAGGTGCGTATAAACTCAATTATCCTTCAATATACTAGATAGCTTATCTACGTTTATTCTATGCCTCATTATCTCCTCTTCGTCGAGATGCAAGACTGGGATGTCGTACTGAGTGTCTATGAGTGATGATATCTAGTATACAGCTATAACTCACTTGATATAGCTTTCGCCAGTATTCTACATCTTTCAAACTATCATCTTTTATATTGTAATAGTCCAGATCAAATTTATGATCCTTGCGTACACTTTCAATCGCTGCTTTAGCATCTTCACAAAGGCTACACTCCTTTCCACCCGTATATAATCTCAATTTTGGTATATTTTTCGTATATCTAATCAAACTTCCTATCATTATTGAACTTCGTAAAGAAGTAATATCCAGAACTTAGTAGCATCATAATTTATACGATAACGAGAATTAGCGTGTAATTGACCAATGATACACCTAAACTTGAATATCAAAAATGATGGGTAAAGGCATACATCTATTGCATAGCTATTAGCTATGTTCAAAGGAGAAAATTGTGACAATCGTACAGCGGTTTTCAGATGAGCAAATATTTAATTGATTAGTATTAAATTACTCTACGATTCTTTCATCATTGCACCCCTGACGTCGTCCTTTCTTGGATGGATTATCAATGACATCAGTCTTCTTCTCATTAAACTTTCAATGAGTGAAACACGAGCCCGGGTTTTGATTATAGGCGCAGGCTGTTCAGGTATGGCTGCTGCATACTCGTTCTCTTTGGAACCTTCTAAATTCAAGGTAACAATCTGCGATAAAGTACAAAACGTAGGAGGTAGCGCTACCAGCTATGAACTTGAAGATAGGAATAAGTTTGGTGCTGAATATATTAATGATGGTGTACAAGGTGCAAGTCCCGTCTTCTACAACACTCTATCAATGTTTGAAAATATCCTTGGATTCCGTGCTAGTAATGTTGGCATGCAAATAAGCTTCGGTAAAGGAAAAGAAAGCTTCTGGACGAATGTATTCCCAAGTGAATTGGTTGAAAATTATCATGATGACATAAAAAAGGTACGTTTGATTTTTCTACTCGCTAGTCTAATACATGTCAGTTTGGAAAGGTACTGCAAATAATTGGAAGATTTGAGCCCATATTTGCCCTCATTCCAGTAGACAAGATGCTCAAAATGTTTGGTTTCAGTCCATCTTTTGGTGATCGTATGGTGTACCCCCTCGTAGCACTTTTCTTTGGAACTGGTAATGAAACTAAACACATATCTTCTGCAATCCTTGAACGCGTCTTCCTTGATCCTTCAATGCGTCTCTTCGAGTTTAGTCAAGATAGTCTTCTGGCTAGTATACCACTTATGAAAGCTTTTCCTGAGCTTGGTCGCGTATATGGCGCTTTTAAATCCAAAGTAATGTCGAACGGTAATGTAAAAATATTCACGTCACGAGAAGTAACAAGTGTAGAAAGAGGTACGAAGAAAGCGAAAGAAATGGGTGGAAATATTTTAGCAACATATGATAATAGCGACTTCTTTGAAACATTCGATGACGTTATTTTTGCTTGTGAAGCAGATAATGCTCTCAAAATACTGGAATCTGGTTCAGGAGCTACTTGGCGAGAGAAGAAGGTACTGGGAAATGTACTTTATAAATGGGATGTTACCGTTACACATAATGACTTGAATTACATGCGCAAGCATTATCAAGTCACTTATGATAGTCAATATTTTGCACAAAGGGATGATGAAAATAGTAAGAAAGCATTTAAATTCGCGGAAAAAAACTGGAAACCGCTCTATTTAATTAAAATGTATGAACAAGATCCGTCGCAAATAGAAATGAGCTTCGATTTGACTCATTACCAAGCTCAGTTTGAGGGTATGCCACCCGTTGGATCAGATGCCGATATAAAAGCAGAGGATGCACCACCGACTGAACGACAAGCGGGTTCAGAAGGTAAGGAGAATGCAAAGGGTGTCGATAGTGATGGTTTAGTTGATGTTCAGAACAAAGAGTTACCATCCTTAGAAAATCACGTATATCAGACTATTTACTTGGATAGAGATGCGAGTGAACGTTGGACTAAGGATGAAGTCGCGTCTGATAAGATTATCCTAGAGAAATGGTGGAAACAGCAAAGCCATCGTTGGCAACACTATGGAGGAACGGTACCATGGATGTGGACAATAAATGGTAGAAATAATACCCAGTGGGTACATCTAAGCTGTTGAACATCACTTACTGATGTCTGAAAGTTACGCCGGGGCATGGACATTGGTGAATATGCACGAAGTTGCTATGGTATCTGGATTTGCAGCTGCTTATCAACTAGGTGCACCATATCCATTCAAACAAGATGAGAACTGTGCGAGATTATTTAGACTATATCTACTACTTGCACACATGTCGCGTATGCGTGGGGAAGACCGTAAAGGAATGTTTTCTTGAAATAGTGTACTTCTATAATGATAGTCTGTTGTAATTCTTCTATTAATGTGATGCTATAGACGCGTCTCTCATTTCGACTATCAAGACTAAATCAAAGATGGAGCGTGTAAATATAGATTTATATATAATGACAAGATATTAACTTATTATATAGCGCTCTTCACGACTTCCTCTTAAGAGAAAAGCTCCATCTACATCAACGACAACGACAGCGACAACGACATCCCAACAGAAATCTCGGATAGCGGCACCTGCACGACAGAGGAACGCTGAGAATAAAGTATTGAAGACATCTAATTCGACATCTTCTAAACCTAAAGTGCGTGGTTGCTTAAATTGCTTTCATCTCTAACAATATCTCTAATCAGCCAGTTGACGATAACGTACAGAAATACTGGGAAGAAAAGCTTAGTAATCTCAAGGACGTCGTTGACAATGAGGTTAATAAGAGTTAGTACGCGTTTTGTCATTTCGTTCAGTTTCTAACACAATCCAGTAAATGAAATGGATACAATGCGTCAACGTATGCAGCAAATTGAAGCAGAGCAGATCGAGTCACGAAAAAGACAAGCAACGACTGACGAATTGAATGCCGCTAAGGCTAGTCATATCGAGGAAATTTCAACTATGAAACACGAGCATAAAGCACGCGAAACTGAGCTAGAAGATGAGCTGCACAATTTACATAAAGTACAGAAAGCTCTCGAGGAGGAATTAAATATGGAAAAAGCCCATTCGAAGAAGCTCAAAACAGAACTGGCAAAGTTCACAAATAACTCCATGGCCCTTGAAACGGATGTACGGAAGATTAAAGAGGCTCTCTCGAATGCTGAACATAGACTGGAAATGGCCAAAGAGAAGGGTGCTTCCCGTGAAGACGAAATGGCATCAATGATAACCAAACAAGCTGAAATGGAGAACGAATTGAGAGCAGGAGAGAGTCTTAGAAAGAAGCTTCACAATACCATACAAGAGCTCAAAGGAAACGTCAGAGTCTTTGCTCGTGTCAGACCAAAATTAGATCGCGATCATACAGCTGAAGTTGCAAATTTTGTTTATCCTGATGGCATGAATAGGGATGGTGGTAAACAAATCACTCTGCAGTCATCGACTCTCAATGCTGAGGGTAAATCACGTGATCAAAGCTACAATTTCAGCTTTGATAGAGTGTTTGGACCCCAAAGCTTGCAAGAAGAAGTATTTGGAGAGATTGAACAGCTCACTCAGAGTGTACTCGATGGTTACAATGTAAGAAAAGTTTATTAAATGATAGTCAACTAATAAAGATGTTATAGGTATGCATATTCGCCTATGGTCAGACAGGTAGTGGTAAATCTTGGACAATGGAGGGCGGTGTGAGATATCAGCTTCGGTTACGTATACATCCAACTGACAATTCTCCTAGTCGCATAAAGGAATTGATGCAGGTATGATTCCTAGGGCGATCTACCACATCTTCGACACCACGAGAAAGTTGGAGGATCAAGGTTGGTCTTTCAAGCTTCATGGTCAGTTTTTAGAAATTGTAAGTTGCTAATTACTTGCACTAGTATGTCTTTAAATTGGAAAAAAACAGTACAATGAAAACATAATCGACTTGTTAGGTTCGGGAGAACAAGAAAAGAAACATAACATAACCCATGAAAAGAGTGGCTCGACAACGGTGTCGGATGTTGTGGTTGTACCACTCAGCGAACCTAGTCATGTACACAATCTGCTACGCAAAGCTAACAAGAAACGTACTACAGCAAGCACAAGAGTTCATGAGCAATCATCACGTAGTAGTAGTGTTTTTAGCCTTAAATTGGAAGGTAGCAATGAGGTAACAGGCGAACACTGTAAATCAGTGCTCAACCTGGTTGATCTCGCAGGATCTGAAAGGTTAGACTCGACTGGTACGCTTAACGATCCAACAAGACTCAAGGAAACACAAGCTATTAACAAATCATTGAGTTCTTTATCAGATGTCATATCAGCGCTTGGTTCAGGTTCTCACGTCCCATATCGTAATTCCAAATTAACTTATCTCCTTCAAAATAGTTTGAATAATAATAGCAAAACACTCATGTTTCTTAATCTTTCTCCTATGCAGGATCATCTTCAAGAATCGTTATGCTCACTTAGATTCGCACTCAAGGTTCATAGCACACATATTGGTCAAGCAAAACGATCGATGGTTGTAAAAAATTAAATCGTTGTAACATTAGTTGTCTTCTTTCATATATTTATCAAAATCTAACCAGCGTTGCTTAGTATCAAGTAAAGTTTCCTTAGTGACGTTCGCAACGCTAATTCTTAAATGATTGTTAGCGTCACTGTGATTATCAGTTGTGAAAAAAGCACCTGGTAGTGTTAATATGCCAAATTGTCGGGCTAATGTCGATGCAACATCGGTAGAAGATAGATTGTACGGATAGTTGACAAAGGCATAGTAAGCACCTGAAGAAGTGATACTCCATCCACCTAATTCATCAATAAGCGACTTTAGTGTTTTATGTTTCTCTATTAATGATAATTTTTGTTCCAGCTTGAAATCGTTGAGTTGATCATATATTGGCGCTATTGCCGATTGAGAGATATTTGAAGGAGAAATCTGATAGCAGTCCGCCACTTTCATGCACTGTCCGATAAAGTCCTCATGTGCAATTATACCACCCAATCTTAAACCAGGAATCGCCAAATCCTTGCTAAATGAAAATAATTGAATGAGATTGTTGAGTCCTAATGTATGCAGATTGTGTGGTCTATCAAATTCTGAAAATGATCTATAGGTCTCATCTAAGATGAGTGGTATGTGCTTATCTGCGCAAATTTTCATACACTCCTCTAAAACATTTGAAGGTATTGATACACCAGTTGGATTATTTGGTGTTACTAAAACTACAGCTCGTGTATTGGTATCAATCACGGCCTCCAAGTCCTTTGGATTAGGTACAAATGCCTTATCAGCTCGGCAGTCGAGTAATCTAACATCTATAGATAGCTGACTGAGTGTCATTTCATGATTAAAGTAAAAAGGTGATTGTAGCACGATATTACTAGTATCATTGATTTGCGTCAATGCGAGAATTGTAGTGTAAAAAGCAGCGTTTGCTCCAGGAGTGATAAGGATGTTATCAGTTGATAAAGACGCATTGTAGTGTCTATTCAAATCATCCTTAAAAGCTTCTTTAAATGCTGGTTGACCTGAAATAGCACCATATTGATAGTTCGTTGTAATAACAGACTGTTTCCCTAATTCTTGTTGAAGTAACAGAGGTGGTGGATCAATTGGTACACCCTGGCTTAGATTGTAAGATGAATTACCGTTATATTCGTCAAGCCATAATCTAGCTTCCGGTATCGGCGGTAATTTTGAACTCCTAACTGATTTACTCGCTTCGTAGTTTACGATCATGAGTGTGGTTGACAGACTATCACATCAGCTTAATAAATCAAAGGAGTGCACTTATAAAGATAGTAATGATAACACTCTAATAAACAGTACCAATTTTAAGAAGAATTTCTTACAAAAGTACTTTATTCTGACGGAGAATGGTAAACCTGTATTCAACAGTGATGAATTCCATGATAGTTATAGACTGAGCAACAAACAATTCAATTTAGCTTTAAAATCTAAAGCTTCACTTAATAGTCTGAAAACTGCATCCATAAATTCACTCAGAATGGGTAATCTCAATGAATTGAGGCATAACGACGATGAAAATGAGGAAGAATTTGATTATACAAGTTTAATAGGTGTATTGACTTTAGTACACAACTTGATTAATTTAGAGAATGATGAGATCAAGTACATAAAATCAAACAATGACCTCACTATCCATTTTAATAAGTTTGATCACTTGATATACGTGTACATAAGTAATTTAAAAGAGAGCAACAAGATTATTAGCCAACGCTTGGGACTTCTACACCAACAACTGCTATCAATCATACCAAAGTATCACATTGACAATATTTTCAGAACTAAACCAAATTATGATTTACGACAATTAGTTGAAGGTTCTGAAGGTTTATTGAAAAGCTTTATAATTAAGTTAGAATCGAACTTTAATTACAATCTTATGGGTATTCAACCTTTTAAAATGGACTTAAAATTTAGGAACCTAATCGGAAGTATGTTGTTGCCACCGAAACATCTCAAGAGTCATCATCTATATACTATTCTATTTGCGTACGGAAAAGTTGTCACTATTGTTAGACCAAAAAAACATAGCATTCATCCAACCGGTAAGGTATTTAAAAACACTTGTTATGAGTTGCTAACAGTCTTGACAGATCTTATAATTGTACTCAACACAGTAACATCATCACCAAGTTTGAGAAACTGTCAATCATGGTTACCTATCTCATTACCAAAGTTCACATCGAAGGGCTTTCTGAATGCATATATAGCGTTCGAAGGACCATCAGCTCAACTTAAAGGAGAACTTGGTTTATCAAACCAACCAGAGATTGGCGTTATACATATAAGTGGAAATCCCGAATCGTTTGAAGATATCAGTGATTGGTGGGATGAAACTAAAAAGAAGTTGAAAGAAAACGACGTTTTTGACCATATATACAAGTCGGCAAACGAGTCAGCTTATAGTTGTGGTGACGTTGCTGTCCCAGGTGTGAGGCATTTTGTTTTCAAGAACAAAGCAAATGTGCAGATTACTTGCCCAACTTATGACAGTCCTTATGCAGAAGATATGCACTCCAGGCAGCGCTTATTGAATTCTTATGATGAACTATACAATCGTGTACGTTCTACGTCAGCAACTAGTGGAATAGGCATACCTAGTAGTAAATCGTCTGATTCACTTAGATCAAGCGCTAAAGATAAAGATACAATAGCCGAAAGTACCAGTAGGAGTAGTGTTATTGGTGACAGAACTAGTGTGATAGGTGATCGAAGCAGCACAATTGATGGAGCAGAAAGCGTGATTGATAATAATGGAACTAATGCTGATGGAGATGATAATGAGGATGTTACAACAAGCGAAAGTGCACGAGTAAACGACTTAGCTGACCAAAACACAAATACATCTGAACAAACAGTACAACCTGAAGTAGCAGACCAACAAGATGAACGAAGGGTAAATGATAAGGATGATACCAAGCAAACAGATAACCAGCATGATAAAAATGATACCACAGTAATAACGAAACGAAACGACAAGACACTTTCAAAGCAACTATATCAAGCGACAATAACGACACCAACTAATTTGCTGAAAACAACGACTTCGATGATGGGCGGACTCTTAACTGTTCCGTCTATACCACAATTCGGACAACGATCGACACAATCTACGAGATCAACACCTCAGCACGTTAGACAAAGATCATCATACTATATAAAGAATGAATATGAAGGTGTTTTGGTATGGTCAACGAGAATTTTTGAATTATATATAGCGTTACCTGCTTCCATGCCACACAGAGCTGCAATTAATAGCGCACAATCACTCGTTAAATGGATAAGAAGAGAAGAGCAAAGTTTGTTTCTTGGCAATACTCCAACATTTTAAACATGTTTTTGGTGTTTCTTATTTGATGCAAAATTTGAGTACATTAAAAAGTGATTGCGAATATAAATTAAAATTAAAGCTGTGAACTATTCCTTTTATTTTCTGTTTAAATGATGATTAATTTATTCATCATATTCTCCATCGGTGTCTTCCTTTTTTATGATGATGCCATTATGTCCTGTCTTAGTTAGTTTATTCTTACATGCTCTAGGCAAATCAATGGATTCATCGTCACTATCCAATCTAGGTTTTTTATTTGTTCTAGCTTTCGTGGAACGTGATTGTCTTGTGCGCGAGCGTTTCTCAGTTGATGATGATCTAGATCGACGTGATTTATTAGTTTCTGAGATACTAGTAAGAGTTTCACTTTAATTAACAAGTCAATTGAGAAATTTTAATGAAGAAAAGACTAACTCAACAAGCCAATATTTACCTCTACCTTTTTCATCACTTCCTCGAGCCTGCTGATGGAAACAGGCATATAGTGATAGATTATGTCTGATAGAGTTTTGCCAACCTTTTGAATCCTTCTGCCATTTGAATGATTTATATTTCTGTATAAAAATGTCGTAAATTTGATCAAGTAGGAGCTTTTGCTTTGGTGATCTCTTTATTGCAACTATGAGTAATTGAGCATAAGTGCAATTTGGTTTGTCACCATCAGGGAATTCACTTAATACTATTGCTGGATTTTCATCAAAATCTTCTTGACTCACTTGACTAGTTGTTTGATCTGAGTCCTTAGGTTGCTTAGACAATAAAGTATTAACATCGATAGGTGAATAATCCTGTTCTGAAAACCTAGGCTGGATTTGATAGCGAGATTTTTGAGTTGGTGTCGGGGATGGAGGCAGTGAAAAATCTCTGTCATGGACGTCTTCCTCATAGTTTATTATATTGAGTGGTTGTTCAAAATCTGGTGAAGTTGGTAGACAGAATGAGAGAGGTGAAGCTAGATTGATAGGTGAAAGTAAAACATCTGGTACGGGCGAATAATACGGATAACTTGATTGAACGGCGCTCGTTGGGGAGGAAGAAACAAGTGAAGGAGTTAACGGAGTTGGGTTGTTTTGACAACAGAAGAGCTGCGTGGTCGAGATTGTCGAATTAGCTGGTGATTGATTTCCGGCGTACGAAGGAATTGAATGATCGTCATCAAAGATTGCTGTAATGCAATTATTATATAAGAAGTCAGTAATTGATATATTTAAGGACTGCGGTGCTTTCCATAGATCGTCAAACTGTGGACTGTTAGTCTGTTGTGTCGTTGGTGTTGTCTGAGAAGAGTAGACGAGGTAGTCGCTGAACATAGTAAGATGATAGCAATACAAGAGAACTATTTAAACTATCCAACACAAGCATTTTTCGATTGATTGACAAATTGAAAGCTTTTGGTGATCACAGCGAGGGCAGGGGCAGTTCATCTAGCGGACGTCGTACAATGAGTAAATTAAAGTAAACAAAGCTGTAAAATTAATAGAAATTTTTTATTCACCTACTATTCCGTTCTTTACCGTTTTCTCGCTTAGATTAGAAAACAGTGGCTCTTCATTCAACGGTCATAATCGAAATGCTGAGAATTGCGAGATTAATACCAAAGACTCAATTAAGAAGTTTGCACACTTCTGCATCCTTAAGGGATATCGTTAAAGTTCCACAAATGGCAGAGTCCATTACAGAAGGTACTTTAAAGCAATGGAATAAAAAGTTAGGAGAATTCGTCAACCAAGACGAAGAAGTCGCTACGATTGAAACTGACAAGATTGACGTTTCCGTAAATGCACCACAATCAGGTAAAATTACTGAGTTATTCGCATCTGAAGAGGATACCGTTGAAGTTGGCGCTGATTTGTTCAACTTGGAAGCAGGTGAAGGTATTTTATATCCCTACCTTGATTATTAAAATATATTAACCTCACTTTATAGCACCTGCCGAGGAATCGAAACCTGCTCCCGCACAAGAACCGAAATCAGAGGCACCAAAATCAGAGGAGAAGCCAAAGGAAGAGGTCCAACAAGCTTCTAAACCTGCCCCTGCTCCTACCCCTGAACCAAAGAAGGAATCTAAGCCTGCTCAGTCAAGTCAGCCCCAAGATCAGGCACCAAAAACTAAGGGTTCACGTAATGAGACTCGCGTAAAAATGAACAGAATGCGTTTAAGAATCGCTGAGAGACTTAAACAATCTCAAAACACTGCAGCTTCATTAACTACCTTCCAAGATTGCGATATGTCAAACTTGATCGAATTTAGAAATAGATATAAGGATAGAATTATGAAAGAAACAGGCACTAAATTAGGTTTCTTGTCAGCATTCGCAAAGGCTGCATGTATCGCATTGAAAGAGATCCCAGCTGCTAATGCTTCCATTGAAGGTGACGAAATCGTCTACCGCGATTATTGTGATATTTCAATCGCTGTTGCAACTCCAAAAGGTTTAGTTACACCAGTTATCAGAAACGTTGAATCTATGAACTTTGTTGAAATTGAACAAGCAATCGCGGAGGCCGGTAAAAAGGCTAGAGATGGTAAATTAACACTTGAAGATATGGCAGGTGGTACTTTCACTATCTCAAACGGTGGTGTCTTTGGTAGTCACTTCGGTACACCAATTATCAACCTTCCACAATCTGCAGTTTTAGGTATGCACGCTATACTTGAAAAGCCAGTCGCTAGAAACGGACAAGTCGTCATTCGTCCAATCAACACACTTGGTTTAACTTATGATCACAGAATACTTGATGGACGTGAAGCTGTGACATTCCTCAAAAGAATTAGAGAAGTTGTTGAAGATGTTGCACAAATTAACCTTTACGACTACTCTTAAAAAATTGATAAAATTGAGGTAACACTTACTCAATAATTTCGCTAATAAATGAATTAAATTTCTTTCTTAAATCATATATGAATGAAAAAAGGAAAATTATTATACAAGCGTGATATGCAAAATAATTAAAGGAATGAAAATTGAAGAGTCCATATTAGTCTTGTTCATGTGATGCCGTTGGTTGATATTGCCTGTTCCTTGCAGCAATTCTTGTTAATCCAGCTGTGGCAGCGTTCTGGATTCTCTCAATTGGTCTAGTGAAGGCTTGAGTAAATCTATTCCATCTTTGTACTCGAGTTGGTTCAGGTGTTTCCTCAGAGGATGATGATTCATTTGGATGATCTTGAGATTGACTCCGTGAGTGACTAGATGTACCAGGATAACCTTCATCGACATTTATATTGGCATTGGCTTCTCTTTGTCCTCTTCTCACGCTTGATGCCCATCTGGCAACCCTCCAGTAACTCAATACAGATATCATTAATATGAACCAACCGATCGCCATCAATAAAAAGCTCAACCAATCATTAGCAGCACCCAGTGCATCTAAATCTATTGGTGGAAGTTGTTCTTGAGGGGGCGATGGTGGTTGATCTAATTGATCTGGTGGTGGTGGTTGAGGGTCAGCGTTGTCGGTTTGATTGAGGGGCATACCAAAAGGGATACCCATAGCTTGGCCGAATAAACCTGTTGGAGTTGAATTTTCGTTATCGCTCGATTGATCACCAGGTTGGTCAGTTGGTTTAGCGCGTAAATAGAAACCATATTGAATGAAAGTGATACCCAAACCAGCTCTACTACCATGTCTAGCCGCGTGAGTTGTATGCAACAAGTAAGTGAGTAAAAAGCCGACGAAATGGAATGACATGCTGATGAGTAAGTTCCAGGCGAAACTGAAGAAGATACCGACAGGTAAACCATCGACTATGAGATCATCTGTATCAAAAGGAGATGCGGGTGCTATTACGGTTGTATCCCAATAAGGTGGAGTAGCGTCTAAGGCAGCTAAATTGTATGACTAAAGAGTCTATGAGTAGCCATCAGATGATGAATGATGAACTTACAGGAGGGGCGTCTTCTTTATCAGTTGATTCCTCTCTGACATATTCTATAGTAGTACCATCAGCGTTTTGCCTTGGTACCAACCTCTCGTTAGATTGTGGCTTGGCTGTCATATTGGCGAAAACGCCATCATTATTGAGACCAGCGCCTGTGATGGATTGATTGTGGTTTCTATTATAAGCGTCTGAAGGAGCGTTTGTACGCTTTATTATATTAGGATGCTCTGTAGGGGAACCTGGGGGTGGAATATCGGCGTAATGACTTTGACTGTCGAATATAACGTTTGAATCGTTTGTAGTTTCCTCATCAGATTCGTTACCAAAAGCTTCTTCTAATTCATCCTGTTTATTAATTAATTGTGTATAATTATTAGTCATTAATATCTTGATGGTGTATGATAGAGGATGAATAGTAGTTAAATAATAAAAAACAATTTGAATTGAATATATGATAGTAATAGTTTATTTTTTATACTTTATTTATAAAGTTATACTCCTTTGATTCCTTCTACCATTCCTTCTACCACCAAGATGGAGACTGAACAGCTGCAAAAGTTTGTTTTAAATCAGTTAAACAGCCAGGAAGAGATTAAAGACAGTAGAGAGTTGTACTATCAACCAATCAACAGAAAATTGAACGAGCCTAATGACAGCAATATCTTACAGTCTTCTCTTCAAGCTTTGCAATCTAAAGAGGTCAGTCTCCTGCTATAGCAAGTTTATATACTTAATGTGCTCCCAGATGATCGCTTACTCTAACTTGGAAACTTACGATTACAATCTCACTGATGAAGCTAATGAATTGATAGACAAAGGCAGTCATGAAGCTAGAGTCTACCATTCTTTAGATTTTGAAGTCGGCTCAGATGCTAAGGAGATCATACAGAAAGTTGGCCAGGTTTCCGCCAAAGTTGGTCAAGGTAGAGCTTTCAAATTGGGCTGGATTAAGAAGGTCGATAACAAGTTCTTTAAAAATGCCACTGAAATACAAGATGTTACAGTCAACAACTTGTTAGCAATCAAGCAATCAAACACTCTATCCAACGAAAGCGACTTAACAGAACTTAAAAAGCGTAAATTGATCAAACCAAAGAAGCTTCTTCACTTTTCTATCAAAAAAGGACCAAACTACGCTCCAGAGTTGATTACTTTCGAAACCGATTTAACCTCTGACATGCTCCTCGACGGAAGCTGGAAACAAAAACAATTCAAGAAGTACAACTTTGATGCTGCAGGTATCTTACCACAAGGTGGTGCTTTACATCCACTCTTAAAGGTTAGAGAAGAGTTCAGAAATATCTTCTTTGAAATGGGTTTCCAAGAAATGCCTACGAATCAATTCGTTGAATCATGCTTTTGGAACTTTGATTCATTATTCGTACCTCAACAACACGTCGCGAGAGAGTTACAAGATACTTTCTACATAAAAGAACCAAGAACTGCAAATGTCTCTGATAAAGAGTATTACGACAAAGTTAAAACAGTCCACGAAAATGGTGGATTCGGTTCAATCGGTTATAGAGCACCATTTAGTGAAGATGAAACCAAGAGATTGGTTTTGAGAACGCACACAACTGCAACTTCCGCTCAATGTTTATACAAATTGGCTAAACAACCTGGTGGATTCAAACCATCAAAGTTATTCTCAATTGATAGAGTATTCAGAAATGAAGCAGTCGATGCAACTCATTTAGCTGAATTCCATCAAGTTGAAGGTGTAATAGCAGATAAGAACATCACTTTAGGTGATTTAATCGGATTTATGGAGGTCTTCTTTAAGAAAATGGGAATGTCGCAATTAAGATTCAAGCCTGCGTACAATCCATACACAGAACCTTCATTGGAAATTTTTGCTCACCATGATGGTTTAGGTAAATGGGTTGAAATTGGTAACTCTGGTATGTTTAGACCTGAAATGTTAGCACCAATGGGATTACCTGATGATGTTCACGTTTTGGGATTCGGTTTGAGTTTAGAAAGACCAACTATGATAAAATACGCTATCAACAATATACGTGATTTAGTCGGACATAAAGTTGATCTTGATCAGGTTGAAAAGAGTGAAGCTGTTAGATTCTAGACTTTCGATTGTAGATATCTGTTTTGTTATTTTTTCTATACACATATTAAGCTTCTCATGTGAGTTATGGAGTTGGATGAGATAGTAACCTATCTAGATATAGTACTTCTACTGTAAACATTCTAAATTGCTTAATGATAAAACCTAAGAGGTACACTAGTTTATACGTAACAACCGTCTTATGTCATTCTGAGATTCTAAAACTTGATAAGATGGTTATTTACGAATAATATACAGGTTTATAATAGATGAACATTCTTAAATATAGACGCCTTCTATAGATTTCTATTCACTGCTTTCGTTTCTCCTTCACTCCCATCACCAGCATAGAAAAATGGATATTAACGCATTATTAGCACAAGCAAGAGGTGGCGCACAAAGTAATCCAACTGGAGATACTCAAATTGCTGACAGTGAGTTCATAACACGCTTTCTTAGATTATATATAGCTTACGTGTACGATAATCAGATGGAGAAACTATTCACATTTCAAGCTTAGCTTTATTAAAAATGCTCAAGCATGGTAGAGCAGGTGTGCCTATGGAAGTCATGGGTTTATGCTTAGGTGAATTCGTCGATGATTACACTATACACGTTACAGACGTATTTGCGATGCCACAATCTGGTACAACAGTCAGTGTAGAGAGTGTTGACCACGTATTTCAAACTAAAATGCTTTCAATGCTTAAGCAAACTGGTAGATCAGAAATGGTAGTTGGATGGTATCACAGTCACCCTGGATTCGGCTGTTGGTTATCCAGCGTAGATATCAATACACAACAATCTTTTGAGCAACTTAATCCTAGAGCTGTTGCTATCGTCGTTGATCCAATTCAATCAGTAAAAGGAAAAGTCGTAGCTGACGCATTCAGATTGATCGACTCACAAAATGCTTTGATGGGTCAAGAATCTAGACAATCAACTTCAAATTTAGGTCAACTTATTAAACCATCAATTCAAGGTCTTATTCATGGTGTTGGTAGACATTACTACTCTTTAGCTATACAATATCGTAAATCTAAAGCAGAAGAACGTATGTTGAGCTCTTTAAGTGGTAAAGCCTGGACAAAAGGACTGGAAATTGAGCAAGCTGATAAGTTTAGACACAACAATCAAAATGCAGTCGAAAAGTTCTCTACTTTAGCTGATCAATATGGTAAATCAGTAGCAGAGGAGTTGACTTTGACACCTGAACAGTTGTCAACACGACACGTTGGTAAGCAAGATCCAAAGAGGGTATGTATAACTTAGTTTCCTGTCTTTAAACTGACGTATTATCAACAGCATCTCGAAGAGCACGTAACAAAATCGCTTGAACAATCGACTGTACAAATGCTAGGTATGGGTGTATTGACGAGTGTATAATTTATATAATTTTTTTTTATTTCTCTTGTGTGCGTTGCGGGAACTGGTGTGCGTTTGCGGTAACTTTCGTTCAAATTGACAATCAAAGCAAAATGCCAGCAGTGAGTAAAAAAAAGTATGAAACTAATAAATGATAACGTTAAATTTAATAGACACTCGTATTAACACGCCACGGAGAATCTGAATGGAACAAAAAGAACTTGTTCACTGGATGGGTTGACGTACAACTCACAGAAAAGGGTGAACAAGAAGCTAAATTAGGTGGTGAACGTCTTAAAGCATCCAACACACAGTTTGAGTATGTTTCATTACACTTTCCTCTATCATTATTCGCTAACATTCATACACAGTTACGCTTACACTTCCGCTTTACAAAGAGCACAAAAGACATTAGCAATCATTCAAGAAGAAATTGGTCAAACTAACTTACCTGTCACCAAGGATCAAGCTCTTAACGAACGTCACTACGGTGAATTACAAGGTTTGAACAAAGATGACGCCAGAGCTAAATGGGGTGAAGACCAAGTACACATCTGGCGTAGATCTTACAACGTTCCACCACCTGGTGACAACGCTGAATCACTTGAGCTCACTGCTAAGCGTGTTTTACCTTACTGGAAATCAGAAATTTTGCCAAAGTTAGCAGAGAACAAGAACATTCTTATCGCAGCACACGGTAACTCCCTCCGTGCTCTCATTATGGATATCGAGAAGTTATCTGGTGATGAAGTCGTCGGTCTTGAACTTGCAACTGGTGTTCCAATCGAATTCCAATTAGATATCGTTGATGGTCAAGTTAAGGTCCTCTCAAAGAAGATTTTCAACCAATCTGTTTAGATTTATAACAATGTCACTTTGATACATTTAGATTTTTATGTCATGACTGTGTGGAATGTCTAGAAATATATGAGAACCTACATTTGTTTCTAAAATCTGACATTTTACTTTCTCATTCTATTATCATCACTTGACGTATGTATACCCAACCAGTATGGAAATAAAGGAACTATAAGATAAACACTGAAGCTAAAAGTTGCTCTATGTATTTATATTGCTTCAACTGTCTTGTGAATACTCACATAACGTCCTGTGATGCGACATCATAATATAAACCTCTGTTAATCATAGTAGAATATGCGATAAAAGATTAATTAATTATTAATTAGCTCAATAATTACTTTTCTATATATGAACGGTTTATTTTTACATCCTATACATCAGACTGTTATGGACTGAACAGTCTCTGAAGATAACAAATACATTATACTCTCTATAAATCACACAGTGCAGTACTTATTTACATGGTATTTTCCCAGCAACTCTAAGTACTTATATTAAAATGAAAGTAAAGAAAAGTAAAACGAAGTTGGTCTTGCGTTATCGTAGATTCATTACTCATTACATATCGTCTATTTGCCCTGGTTCCCTTTGGGAAAATATAGGAAAATCTTGTTGCTACTTACATTATAACCAATACTAGCTCCTGGCAGCCAGTGCAAGTACATTAACAGTACAGTATTGACTTCCTTTTTTTACAATTCAAACACTGATTTCCACTTTAGTCTTCAATTGTATTTGATCACTCAAGCAATTATCTACTATGTTGTGCTTCAAATCGATGTCTCTTATGGCTCTTAGTTTCGTCAGTTGTTCGTTTTTATTTCCACTTATCTTCACCACAAACAAAACAGTGAAAATATTATCAACTATTACTTGAATTTCCTTCTTTTTGTAGTTTCATAACGGGAAACTTTTACTTCAATGAATCAGACTTAATCTTCAACACTCATCATTTCTGCGACATTGGTGCTTCATCTCTGAAATGGCTGTTTTAATTTTACATCATTATTCGTGGCGATAAACCTTTGAGTCCATTAAATTACGCTTGGGCTATAGTTTGTTGGTAATTTCTCAAACATCAAAGTTTTTTCGTTTCATGACTTCGATCATATACGCTAAGCAAAAATTGCATAGTGTTGATACCAAAAAGTGTAAAGTGTTTCAAGCCCTTATATATAATAAGCTTCAATGCTATAGTACAATTTGCAACCATATTTATTCTTGCGGGAGTAGATACGGTGCCGGGAAAGTACAACCAATGCTATTTTGTAAATGTACGAAACTTGTGTCTGCAACAAAAGTAATGAAATGCCTTGGAAATAACATTCCATTGTTTTGCAAGTGATTTGTTAGTTCGATTTTAGTTAGTGTGTCATGAAAAACTTTATTTAAACTTAGTGCAGCCGCAAAGAATTGGCAAGTCTTCATATTCATTTACAGCATATAAGGCTTCGTCACGTATAGATATACTCTGTTTATGTTGGATTTACTTTCATTTTCAAGGACTTTTACTAGTAAAATCAGTTATGTAATTGTTTTTTGAAGCCTCATCTTCAGTGTCCATAAGTAGCATTTAGTCACTTTGTATAGCAAACAAATTTACATTTTGCAATTTCAAATTGTTTTTTGTTGCATTCATTACAATACATTATCAAAAGCGTGAGACTATATGTCTTTAAAGTATGTTTAAGTTTGTCCTCACGTCCATAAAGGTGAGAACCATTGTGTCATGCAACATTATACTAAATTTCAAAACAGTCCACCATATCTTCCAATCCGATTTAGACAATAATTATTTGTTCTAGCTTCTGTAAAAATTTTCAACAAGATCACATTTCTGTTACATTAAAAACGTTTTAGTAATACAATAATAATATTTCAAATAAATGACTATAAGTTTTAAACACCAAGACCTTCTCTCAATGCTGAATATAAGTCACCCTGGTTTGTATCACCAATGAGTGTCCATCCACCCATACCACCAATACCCATATCCTTTGCTAGTTGAGCCTTTAACTTGAACGATTCTGGATCATCATAACTTAAAACTTGTGAACCAGAGTAAAGGAAAGGAGTTGAGGAGCATTCATCCCATTTTCTAGTCCATCCACCAGCAGCATCAAACTGAGTGGCCGAGACCCTTTTTAATGCACCTGAATCTACTATTGCGTCGAAGTCAACTTGACCTTTTGCTGTAGTACCATCTGCATTCTTGATAGTAACAGGTGATGCTCCGTTAGTAGGAGTAGCTGGTTGGCCATCAGTTGGTGCAGCTGGCTGGCCATTGGTTGGAGTAGCTGGTTGGTCGTTGTTTGGAGTAGTTGGTTGACCGTTGTTCGTATCATCAGCACCAGGTACGGTTGGAGTTTGTCTTGCTACCAGAGCCTTTGCACTGGATTCGTGAAGATAGCCGTAAGCTGGAACACCCAAATAGATCTTTTCGAGTGGCATACCGGCTTCATTCCATGCTTTGATTGAATCTTCAGCATTAGCACCAGGCTTTGAACTGCCGCATGTGTCCTTGAGCGCTGCATTAGGACCAGGAGCAGGAGCAGCATTGAAAACATCGTAACTTAAAGTAATCGTAAGTCTTTACTTTTAATGATTAATTGAACTCACTTCATAATAAGTATATGATCGAATACTTCACCAAATCCACTAACATCTGCGAGTGGTTTACCATCTGGACCAGCAAATGGATAAACCGCAGTTGCAGCGCTAAGTGTGACACCTGAAGGTAATTGTGGCTTAAGTACTTTTAAGAATTTGAGGTAGTTTGCGCTATCTGAGCCAGTATGTGGATTACCAGCACCAGGTAAACCAGGATATTCCCAATCAAGATCAATACCATCCAAATTCCATTTCTTTTGTGCGTTTACTATAGCAGTAGCAAGTTTCTCTCTGTTGGCATCAGTTGAAACTGCTTCACTAAATGGTTCAGATCCTGTCCATCCACCAATACTTAATTCAACCTTCTTTGAAGGGCTTTGAGCGTGAGCTGCTTCGACTAAAGAAGTGAGTGTTGAATCTGAACCTGCACTTAAAGTAATTTCGTATGTACTTGGAGAAAGTAAGCCGAAAGCGTATGAAACATAATCGATGTTTGTCCAATCAATCTGATTTACTGGTAATCTGTTCGTTTGCCAATCTGGATAATAAGCACCGATCAATTGCTTTCCATTCGTGGCTTGAGCGTTAAAACCTGAAGCAGACATAGGGTATTCTGCTTCACTTGTCTCAGTGTATGGTTGTACATCTTCTGCTTCATATTTGTTGTAAGATGGACCACCTTGTAATTCTGTAAATGGTTGGATATTGTTGTTCAAGTTATCCAAGTTACGTAAACCTTCAAGTCCATTGTCACCTGAAATAGCCCTGCTATTTAAACTAACTGAATTTGTTGAAGAGATTGAAGCTATCAAAGCTGCTGCGGTTAACCAGTAACGCATAGTATTAATTTGTAAAAGAATGTGAGTCTTGATAAAGAGTCGAATTAATTAAACGCGAGCCTTTATATAATTTTCAAACGCGAATCACACTAAAATTACGGTTTTGGTATGTAACTTCCGAATTCGGTAAGTGTTAAAATGTTAACTGCATAAGTAAAACAATTTACAGTGTTTCTAGATGTGGTTGCTTTTTGTTTAATATTGCAACCCTTGCCAATGCTCTAAGTTGTTCCTCTGCGTTGGTGAAAACTTCATTAGCACGTCTCTGTAATCTGCTAACATTTGTATCATTCATAGTTTCAGTTAATTCAGTAGCATTGTCTGTTAACCATGTGGTTGCATTTGGAAGTTCTGTTTCATTTGATGCAGCTATCGCGTCTCGTATAATTTCATTATCGCGTTCACTTACTTGTGTATTAGCAAGACCTTCTAATATTGTTGGTCCTACTGTAATAGCATCAATACCCGCCATGGATACTGCGTCGATAGGTGCTATAAAACTAATGAAGTAAGTTCAAATATTCAAGAAAAGTGAACAAACGTACGATGCAGCTTTAACTTGTGTCTTTATACCAGCGCTACGATAATAACGTTGAATTTTGTGTGTTAATTGTACTCCTGGTGATTCTTTAACAGGGTTTGAATAATCGGTGTACAACTTCCTATCAAAATGAGCATCCAATTCATTAAGATATGGTGATATAGCAACACAGCCTGCTTCCGCAGCAGCTAGTGCTTGAGATGTGGAAAATACTGTTGTAGCAAGTGTCTTGATATTTCTCTTTGTGAGAATTTTGCATGCTTTGAGTCCATTGACTGTCGCTGGTACCTTAATGCAACATTCCTTGCTGCTAATACCATAAATATCAAATATTTTGACAATTTGTTCACAATGGTTCACAATTTCATTTATAACGTCAAGTTTTGAGCAACATGTTTGTAATAAAACTAAACCTTGTGGGTGTAACTTTGGTTTGACTTCTTTTATAATGTTGACTGAAGCTATATCAACGACTAGTTGTTCGAATGAAATTGTATCTTTCTCGTCAACGCCTAATGCATTGCTCAATCTGAAAGCTTCATCGACTGCGAATGCTAATACATGAGCGTGCTGAGGCATTGTCAAAGTAGCTTGTACGAGGAATTGGTTACATGTCATATCTTGAACTGGTGAGAACTTTGTTGCTACGTCGACATCGATTGCATCCAAATCAATTGTCGTGACTTCTCTAAGTGCTTCCAATAAAGTTACCATAGTATATGTTGGAGAATATTAAGGTGATGGTTGTTTTATGTAGACTATATATATATTTTTATCGCCTTTAAACGCCCGACATATCGTCATAGGTCAAATGACCCAGCAAAACGTACTGATTTCGTAGCAATATTACTAAAAAGGTTGTAACGTGTATATAAAAGGATAATTTCCAGTTTCAATGCTTCTTTCGCCCTGATAATTGGTGCTATATTTAGATAAATTAGTAAGCAGGGTATTTTAGATTTGTAAAGACAACGCATAAGTTGATTTTGTGATATTTCATACTCGTCTAATACAAAATGATGAATATTTTAGTATTATGAATTAGTGTCAGCATTCAATGTGTCTGAGTTTTTACCGGTTCCAGTAGGTGCCGTGTCTCTCGTCTCCGCCTGCAAGTTTACCATTTTCTCCACGATAATCCTGTTTACCTGAGAAAGAAATCAGCTACAATATTTAATAATTAACTTTCACCCACTTCTTTACCAACTGTCACCAAGATCGTTGAAATAGGTCCACCTAGATTTAAGGTGTAGACGAAATATGCGGTGACAAGTCCTAGCAACGATAACGTTAAATAGATAGGGTTACTAAGGATGGCCCATAATTCATTCCATCTATAGGGGTTTTTATTAGAGTACAATTCAACTATTAAACTGTTCCCTTACCCTAATACTAGTAATGCAACGTAGAACCATAATGGTATCTTGGAAATTGAACTGACTACACTACGTTTAGCTTCAACGTAAATTGCGTCAGCATCCTTTTTGAATCTTGCAGCAAGCTGGGCTTCTTTAGCTTCACCTAGTACCTGAAGTGATTCTTCATAATTATAAGATTCTTCTTCGTCAGAAACTCTGATAATATCCTGTACAGTATCATCCAGTTGAGGGTAGCTAAATACCTTTTCTTCATCTTGGGGCTGAATGGAGCGGTATAACTTTAATAATTGTAACGTGTGCTCTTTCGCATCAGTGTAAATTAGTTCAATATCATCTGAAGGTCTCCAAACTCTAGGTATACCTTTGTTATCATAGCGAAATTTGTCCTCAAAGATTGACCTCAATCTAAAAAGCAAAATAGCTTCTGAGCATTGTTCTTCAATTTTGTTACGAAGTGAAATCCAAGCCCTACGTAACAGGGATCCTGTTGTAGCATCTATTTCCTTCTGTGTACTGTTCAATTTGCTGGCTTTCATGTTGTACGATGTCTTTGAACGATCTAAAAGTGCATTGAAACGCCCTAGCACCTTATCCCACATGTCTGTATCAGGATGGTTCAAGCAAACTTCGACAAATTCACCTGCTTCCTTCTGAATTGTACGCTTTAGGGGACATTAGCGACACTGAACGGACTAGAAGTTTAAATATACGTACGTCAAGCTGTTTTATAAGCTTTAATAATTCTTCAGATCTACATTCAGCAGAAACAGTATCAATATCTAACTTGAGTTGTTCTAATGTCTCAATGTATGACCAATCTGTACCTTGTAAGGTAATTTCATTAGCTTGCTCAACAAAAGTCTCGATGTGATGTTGAGATGATTCTTTGACAACATTCGAGAAATCATACGAATCAGATTTAAGCCTCGTATGAAGTTCCTTTTTGAAATTGTCGATTGCTTTCTTGTGCAAGTTCCTCACTTGGCTAATATAAAGTGGTGAAAGGGTGGTACGTATAGAATCGACAAGTTCTTCACGTTTCTTATCATATACAGGTTTTGCGTACCGGAAAGCAATATCATCGAACATTTCTAGGAACCAGTTAGCTTCTTCGTTTGAGTTATTGAAACTGTGACAAACCTAGAGCTTCTTTCTCAGCATCCCTCATAACTTTACCGAGTTCAGGTACAAACTTCCCAATTTCAACAGGTTTCTTTACTGAAATGATTCGGTTGTGGAAAATTTTCAATGTTTCTGAGGCGATCTCATCACATCTATATTGTGCTAAGAGCTCTTGTTGCGTTGGAACATCCAGATCCTTGTTATTTTGTACTTTATCCTGTAAGAAGTTAGGATATATAGTTGATATAGTTGATATCTTATTACGCACCCAAATGGTCTCTAAATAATGACTCAGGCCATCAGCAGGTATTTTTCTATGATACTCTGGTTTTAAAGCAAATTCTTTGGAATCTTTGTCTGAGAAATAATTATTTCTGATTCTTAAAGTTTGTTGATCAAATTCCTCTGGTTGCAAAACCTTGTGAGGTAGTGTCACAAAATCAAGGTCAAAGTAATCACTAAGGTTGGCTTCTGTTAAGTTCTCAGGCTGTAGTTGTCATGAGTCTGTGTAAATAAACGAAAGAAAGAGGGGATACCTTAGATACGGAGTTCCAAATATTCTCTATGTCATTTGTTAAAGTAGTACGAAGGTTGTCAAGCGGAGTGATAGCAAGATGATCACGTATAATAAACAAGAGTAATGTCTTTGGTGGTTTCTCGGTATTGCTAATATGATGTAAGTTTAACCGAGAAGATAAGACAAACTAACTCTGAGTTTGAATTTGCGATAAACATGGAAAAGTTAACTTCCATAACAGTTTTGAGTAAGCCCATGTTAGCACCTTGATATAAACCGACTTGATGCTCCCACATGTTGATAAGTAAGACAGAGGAAGCAGCCAAAGAAAAAAGGGCGGACTTTCTCTCGAAATCCTGTAGGTAATAAGTCAGTATTTGGTTAATTGAGTAAGGTATAGATACCTGATCTTCACCGCGTTCACGACCGTCTGTACCTTCAACATCCATAACTAAGAGAGGAATATCCAGAGCTTTACACATCCAAATACCTTAGTATTGATAAATAATAGAGAAGAGGATGAAGTTGAAACGAACCCTTTGTTGTTTGTCTTCTTTGAGATTCATCCATGACATCAAAAGATGTACCGAATAGCTTATTTAATAATGTACCTTTAAATATGAGATGACTGCAATTGAATGAATGGACGGAAACATACTTTTACCAGTAGATTGTGAACCGAATACACTAAGGACGTTGTAATTGAAACCAGAGTTGGATAACTGCCATTGATTTAATTGGCTTGATAGATTGTTACTGGTAGATAAATAAATGACTAGTAAATATAGACATTAAATAACGAACCTGAATATCTTTTCCTCATTTATAACGTGTAGCCTAGATGTCATATCAAGTGGTTGTACAAGAAGAAGGTGTGTATAGGGAAATAAAGACTAAAATGTACAAAAAAATATATAAATTAGTTTGATGATTCCGACTGATCAAATGGATTGTCATGTCTCTTCACTGATTGGGGAGAATCAGTTGGTAGGGTTGATTGAAACCTATCAGTCAACTGAACAGGCTTGGCTCTAGAACGGAGTTAATGACGCGTAATAAATAGTAAAGAGTGAACTAACTTTGAAAAGTTCTTCTTCTTGTGATTTGCTAACTTTGCAGTCACGGGTGTCATCAGGTTATCAGTTGGTGAAACAAATGAGTTAGAACTGTTGTAAGTGATGAGCTTTGTATATTAAAATAAAAGGTAAATAACGAACGTTTGCTTTAACTTTTGAGCTAACAACGCCCTTTGACCTGCACCTTTATCATCATTTTGATCCTCAACAACTGCAGCTGCCTCTGGGTGGTGTAATTGCTCGACTGGGTTCTCCTTATTATCCATTAAGCTCGTCGTCGTCGTCGTTCGTCAAAGAGTTTATAATATAAATAATATAAATATTAAAAATAAAAATTTAATTATATTTTATCACTGATAGTTATATGATATAATTTCTCTTCTTTAAATACCATCAGCCATGACTACAAAGCCACCAACTAATAAACCAAACGATAAGCCCAGGAGAAAGATCTGTGTTTTAGGTAGCAGGTTAGTTCTTATTATTATCCAACCTCATTCGTACTCTTTATTAATTACCTATTTAGGAATGTTGGTAGGTTATAGAGAACTTTATTTAGTTGTTTATTTATTTATTATTTAAAAGGTAAATCCTCGCTAGTTGTTCAATACGTTGAAGGTGTTTTCGTCGACTCTTATTACCCCACTATTGAAACTACCTTCACGAAGGCTATCAATTATAAAGGTACTGATTACGATTGTGATATTTTAGATACCGCAGGTCAAGTTAGTATCGTCTTCCCTTTATTATTTCTCTTATTCCATTTAGGATGAATACTCTCTTATCAATTCAAAGCACGCTATCGGTATACACGGTTATATGCTAGTCTTCTCTTTAGCTTCAAGGGCTTCTTTTGAAATGGTGGCAACCGTTCACGATAAGCTTCTAGCTTATCATGGTTTAGAAGAACTTCCTGTCGTTGTTATCGGCCAAAAGAGCGATCTTGTTCAACAACGGTACGCTCATTTACTTTTCTAAATAGCCCTTTTCTCATTTATTCACTAGTGTCGTAGATAAAGAAGAAGCTCAACAAATGTCGAAAGAACTCAACGCTTCTTATGTTGAAGTCTCAGCTGCAGCGAATGAGAATGTTTGTATGTATACACCACTACCAAATTGCTTTTTCTAACTTCATACAGCTAAAGCTTTCGAATCCATGCTCGCTGAGATCGAGTCTAGAAATCTCCCCCCTTCCGGAGAAGGTGGCAGTCAAGGTAAATGCGTAATACAATGAAATTTCGACTGTACAATCCTTAAATCCTGTTTTGTATTTATTTCTTTTCTTCAATTTGTTCTTTGTCTTTTGGAATGGTAATCAAATGTCCCATACGTTCTATTTTAGTTCGTAAGTAGCGCTCAAGGTCTTCTCCTTGAGTGGCGCCTGCACCGATAAGACCCGCACCTGAGCGTCTAAGAACGTGTTGTAAATATTCATCTCCACTATCATTCTCTGCAGTTGAAAGTGTCTTTGCGAAAACGTCTTTATCCTCCTCTTCACCCTTCTCATTTACACAAGTAGGCGTTTGCTCTCCACCAGTGCTAAACCTCCTTGGATTAGCGAATAAATGCTTTTGTTTTAACCCTTTTATTTTAAGTTCTTCAAGGTGATTACACTTCCAAGCTCTTGGTATCATCTCAACCCTATCAGAAACAGGGATGCCCTCAAATTCTAATGCATTTACTTTATCTGGATTATTAGTCATTAACCTAATACCAGAAGATCCTATACCAAGTCCTAAATCTCTTAAGATTGATGCAGAAATTTCATACGTTCTTTCATCGGCACCAAAACCCAATAATTCATTAGCAGTGACTGTATCATGACCTAGATCTTGTAAATTATAAGCACGAAGTTTCGCAGCTAATCCGATTCCACGACCTTCCTGTCTCATATAAACAATTACACCTCTCGGTTTAGTATGTTGATCTTTTGAAGTGCCAACAAACATTTGACGTAAAGCTTCATCAAGCTGTTCACCACAGTCGCACCGCTGTGAACCAATAGTTTCACCTGTGTAACATTCACTATGTATACGTACCAAAGGTGCTAAAGGATCCTTATGTTCTTGTCTAAGTGTATATGGAGAAGCATTCAGAGAATTTGTTGATGCAATATTGATTTCAGCAGAGTTTCTCTTAATTTTACCAACATATGCACCTCTTGTCAAGCGGTCAAGTTCAGATTCACCTGAGCGGATAGCATCTAAGGATTTTGAACGTAGATCATTACTTGATACGAATTCACGTTGAAGTTGTTCAGGGTCTACAACGAATGCAAGATGTTCCTTCTTATCATGATTATTGGTATAGAGATGACAAAAGATTTCACCATGTGGTGTTGGAATGCGAGTCCTGACTTGACAAATAACTTCTAGTGGAGGCTTTTCTAAACTCAGGGATGTATCTGATTGAATGTAAGATAAGATAGTCTAAAGTAAAATGAAGACCTACTGATCGCGTACTTCTTCTCGTTCTTAAGATCGTTAAGCCTTTCCTTTCTAGGTTTTTGTAGAGACTGATGATTTACTGATAATCTTTTTGATCTTGTACCACTAGAATCGTAACCGAACCAGTCATGGTGATAATGATTATGAGTTGGAGGTTTAGAACCTGAGAGCGCTAATATCATTGGATCCATAGGAGGTCGTCTAGGCTGCGATTTGCTGGACCTCCTTGTGAGCCTGTTATCTGAGTTTGAGATATTGTAGGAGGGATCAATATCAGTGTCAGTAAGTTTTAAGGATTGTATATTTGGAGAGCTATCTGTCATTTCAACAATTTGCTATCTTTTCTACCAGAAGAGAAGATGATGACAGATCAAGTTTAAGAGGAACACACAGATCGCAGCAGCGGTTATGATGACTAAATATGAGTAATAGCTTGACTAAAACAGTCGTTTTATATTTAATAGTCAGAATATAAAGCAAGTGATTAAATTTATATTACACGCATTTAACTCACCTTATAACCCTCAAAGTTCTACGACGTTCTCCAGCTATGAACTTTTGAAAGCTAATACAAGTTGTAGTAACTATATCTAAACCCTCTCTATAATTGTATATCTCTCTTTAAGCTAATACCCCGTCCGAACTCAACCTTCCATCCCGACGATCATCATCTCCGCATTGCTAAAAATATCACAGATAGATATATTTAATATTATACTGATTATTAGGTTTTGCTGAACGAACTTTCAAACGATCTAGCTATATATCAAAATCCCTCGATTCTGGCTACAATGTCGTCGCCTTAGCTAGCTTAAATTAGAGCATGTATAACTAATGATATTTACCAACAGCTAGAAATTAAACCTTGTTTCTCGTATCTTAACTACAATATCGGACACAAGAAGCGAAGATAATGTGAAGATGCTATGACATCATAACGTCATCATAGAAGCTCTGCTAAGGGTATAACCCCCTTTGCGGTTGAAGGACATATTCTATTAACGCATCTAAATATAATGTGTCCAAAACAACTAACTCTGTGAATCTTTGAACACTGTTACTCTCAATTTTTATGAAGTGTTGATGTAGCATAAATGTTTTCGTCAAGTAAATTGCAGGACTCAAAAAAAAAGATTTATCCGTTTATCAATATGTCTCACCCACCAACGCATTGGAATACAGATACAAGTGCAGAACATACAGCGACAATCATTTGTCATTAGTGAAAGTAGCATAACGGTCAGGAACATTGGATTCAAAGGATGAACAATAAAACAGTAAAATATTAAAGCAATGAATAAATGTTGAAGGTATGAATGAGATCATCTTGTATAATGTCAATTAGAACTCGTGTTTTCATGGTAAAACAGAATTGTGAGCTCTAAATTTCAAGACAACCGAATATAATAGACCCAAATACAGTCATACCACAATATTTTTTTCATTTTCTTACCCTGCAAGGATGAATACGAACAATTGAACGTACGAACGAAAGATTGACTAGGTAACAAAATGGTCGGGCGTATCCTGGATTATGAGAAGTTACTAGCCAAGGATAAAAGATTTACGTATGAAAAGAACCAAATTCTACAAAAAAATCAATTGTAAATAGATTGAATTTACACTGTCACAGACAAATGGAACCAAATAGCTGAATTAGAAACCAAAGTAGCTTGTTACAGACATATTATGCAAAAGAGCAGGTAGGATGTGGGTTATGACTTTAACAGCTTTCGGATGTCATCTTTAGCAATCGACATAACTCCTACAAACCTAGTCAAAAGAATCCGTAAAACCTACATTAATGCGGAACTTGGAAAATTGCTAAAACTTTCCTAGTAAGTTGAATTATCGAGAGGAATGCAGGAGTTTCATGGTAAATTGAAAGCATTTTGAACGAATTCCTGAAGATTGAGCATCATAATATAGCAAGATCTATGAAATAAAGCATCATAAACATTATTTGGATAACTGAAGACCATGAAAATCCGAAAATCTAGTTACTGCAAACTTGCCATGAAAATATTTGACAATTACAATGTCTGTCGCATTGATCCACCAGTTGAAATCACTTAAATCAATCAAATTACTCAGTTGCAGCATGCTAGTGATCAAGTTTAGAACGAATACACTTCAGAAAAGACCAATATAAGCAATAGATCTACTATATCTCATCACTTAAGCTATGTTCAAACTATTTGAAGACGATTGATAGACTATCGTTATTCACACACTCAGATAAATAAGTATACCTATCCCCAGACTTAAGAGTTAACGGGAGAGAAAAGGAAGTGATTGGTGTGCTTTTCAACAGGAACGGGCAGATACGATATACGCATGTCAGGAACAGTCATGCAACGTTAATGTATACCATATTCATAGTCTCCACTTAATTCATCAGAGAAATTTTCAATGCAAACATCACATGATCCAACCAGTGGTTTAGAATCTGTGTGCATATATATTGAATGAATCACCTAACGTGATAAATGACTCAACAGGCTATAATAATTGCAAAAATAAGTTATGTCAGTAGAAGTAACACTCAATTGTACAATAAAATTCTGAATGCAAGGTTGACATCGTAAATGGTTGATACTATTATTTCTTTTCTACAAGTTTCACCCCAAGCTAATCACAAAAGTATTACTTGAGATATACAAAGTAAGACCAAAATAAAGGTTGGATAGATATGGAACAATATACGACCTCCACAGTAACATGTCAATACAATAGTTCATTTGGAATGGGAAATAAACTTTATAACTCCAATGCAAACAAATTCGGTGGACCTTCTAGATACATATCTGCCTAGCATGTGAAATATTCACGTTATCCAGTGGCTTACGAAGACGAGACAGATGCAAACAAGTATTGAATACTTAACGCCTTCCAATTATTGATTAATTTTGGAAGTTTCAAAGCAGAGAATGTTATGAGCTATAGGAGCAAGTACGGATTATAAGCTCTGAGGAAGATATACGTCCACTGACTAACATTTTCTATGATATCAACTGTGTCATAATAAGCGACTACAGTATAATTCGTATCGACTGAATGAGCGTACTCATTCTGAACGTAATGGATCTCTGATGAACTGATGTAATAACCTCCAATTTATTCCCAATTTTAATCTCGTGACAACAAACATTTTTACTGCGCATTGCAGTATTGTATATTGGTGTCCACGAAGGGGACTGAATTCTGGAATTGGTACCATAAACAGTACATATAAACTTTAACAGAATATATTAAACTTGGTTGAAACCCTCTAGCATTAGTTGAAATACTGACTGAACATTGGGTTATGAATGGCTTTATT